AGCGGGGTCGACTGAAGGCTGACCAAGTGGCCAGCTCTTTCAACATCTTAACATTCACTATGACACTCCGGCAATAATCATGTATTGAAGAAACCCACTTATGCCTGGGCATGCTTTTGCCTTGGCTTGGGGGCGAGCACGTGATGAGCCTAGAGTCAAAATCGTACTATGCGTCCGAAAATATCATTGTTCGCCCTTGACTTCATGTCTCTGCCAAACAAACAATCCAAATACAAAACAATGCTTTGTGGTTTCTGATGCTGGGATTTGGCCATTGGAGACCCCAAGTCTGAGTTGCTTTGCGGTGTGATAATTAATGATGCTTCCCGTCATCATCCGCAGTCCTCATACCCATGTTTCGACAAATCCTAGAAGGGCTTGGTTTGCTTTGCTTTGCATGTCGATTCAACTATCCCTCCCAGAAGCTTCAGTCCCTGCAGCCGCCCTTGCTCCCGGTTGACAGGGGTGGCAGGGTGGGCATGCTGGCTTGAGCACTCGCATGTTCTGCACAGCGGTTATGTAGGTGCATGTCTAAAATCTGACCAATAGCCGCTGCAGTTTTATCGGGAAGAACGAGCATGGGTCCCTGCTGGGGTGTTTCAAAAACACCAGCCGTCCTTAAGCCTGCGTACGAACCTTTTACGTCTAAGCGGCCATTGACTGGGCTGCGTCTGGCTACCGTGGGGGAGCCCATTTGCCAAGACCCAAGCAGCGAGTTGAGTCGCCACGTTTGCCTTCTAGAGCCTTAGGGCGTCCACTACCTAGCACACCGGTGCCCGTTAGCCAGCTTCTGGTGGGGGATCCTGGCCTTAGTCTACCCGTTCGTCTTGCTGTCAGATGCAAGATGGCACAGTAGGACAAGTACCTAGTCAGCACTCAACAGCCAAGAGCAACATCGCTGAGGCCGATGAGTGCTGACAAAAGTGCTCCGCTATGCCAGTGTACGTATTTTATATTACCCAAGCGATTTCTGGTTTTCGGTTTAGTCTCCGGCCGAGATGCACTCGTCGATCACCCAGGCTATCATGGATGCAGGGTATAAACATGAGACTCGTAGCTCACTACGCCATATACCAGCTTCGGATTCATGACCAGAATAGCAATCGCTGGATCATAGACCAAGTACGACCGAATTTGACCTTCTCACATGGCCTGTTGGGCTGGTTCCTTCAGCTAGGTGCTAGGGGGCCATGATGGCATTCTGCTCTGGGCCAGTCATTGTATCTTGATCCAATGAACGCTCACCACGTCTCTGGCACACCACCACCGCCGCCACCAGCAACCCAACGGCCAGCACGCAACCTCGATAGACTCCGAGGTCATCAGATGAAGTTCCTGAGATAAGTCGTCTTGTTGTCTCTTGTCGTTTTGTGGGAGGTTTAGGCTCTTAACTACAATGCACCTCTATGCAAGAGCAGTTATCAACTGTCAGTCAGGCTACCAGGAATAATATCACATTGAACACTATGAAGACGATTTCCCGCAGAAGGAACGGTTCCGTTTGACGAGAAACGGCTTGATCATCACGGCACGGCGCCGAGTATATTCTGGGACTTTGACCAGCTCTGACCCATGGGTGCTAACCCCGGCCTCCGGAATTCGGGGCTTTGTCCACATAGTGCCGCTGCGTTCTTATCCCCAGATGAGATCTGGCAGCGCTTAGTGCGCTCCTGTCCTCTGCCTTGTAGCCGACCCTGCTGGAAGATCTGACCTGTGCTTGCATACGATGCACATCAAGCATGAAGCTTCATGCTACGAGGGTTCTCCAGCATGTCGATTGAGCTGTTGAAACCCATCACCTACATAACTCCCGATTTTCTTCGTGGGTCATACCAGAATCATGATGGAAATAGTCTTGAAGTGCCGTCGGTTTCTCGCGCCCCGATAGATGCTTTTTGGAGCCTAGTGCTACCCTCACCGCTATTCCTTGATCCAATGGCACTTTCAGTACGCGAGAGGTACCGACCCTAGACTCTAGAGCAACACCCTTATGGTTTCCTTGACCGTCGACAGGGGTGGCCCTGGTCAAGAACAGCCATGATAACGGCACGACTTAGTTGCCAGCTCACTTGCAAGGCCCCACCTGAACATGGCCAAACAGATCTTGAGGGGAGCCAAGCCATGATAACATCGGCGGGTGCGTCGTTCCCTGTCAGCATCGTGGTGGTTGGAGCATGACGGGTAGGTAGCATATACTCCGCATCTGCAAGTGGTCCGCAAGGGCCTCAGTCAAGTCATAATGGACCAAAAACTCTTTGTGTGACCTGGCCAGTCTCTCATCGAGATATTGCAGGACCGCATCATGGTCATGGCGACGTGAGAGAGGTGCCACTGCTTGGAGGGAAGGTCTCAACCTTGGTGGACCAGATTGAGTTGTTTCCTCAAGATGACTTTGAATCTTGATATGAGAAGACATTGCATTGTGCCTGGATGCATTGAGGAGGAGGAGGCTGCAATGAGGATAAACCGTTGATTTACTGCCCACTACATTAGCCTTCCCGCGCATCACATCACGTAGTGGGGTGTTGGAGGGGCTGAGGACACGATGATGTCTATCCACCTGCCAGCTAATGTACGGTACGGGAAGCCTTCATGCATGCACGCGTACGTGCATGCAGGCAAGACGACTGTGGTGTCTATCTCATATGTACAAAGACGTATTAATGGAACACAGCAAAGGCTTCTGACCAGCCATACAGCACGACCTATCTGCCCAATACACATGGAGGGTTGGGAACAGAGGTGGGCGAAGAGTTGGGACACAGCATCTCCCGATAACGGTAATCACTAACTAAGTAATTGGTGTGCGTTAAGAACCACGAAAGGGCATAGGTTGCAAAGCAAAGATGAATGGAGGCTTGATGAAGCAGATGGCCGCATCTCGATTATGTGTATGCATCTACTAGAGCAGCCATACCATACCATGCCAGTCGAGAATAAGGGACGAAGATGGCATTTGGCGAGTAACGTCAAAAGGCATGGATCCACCGTCATTCTTCAATACCCTAACCAGAGATGCTGTTATCCGCGATGGGGTTCAAAATCTCACTCAGCACCAGTACTGCGCTGTACAAGATACTTGTGTGAAAATGCGGCAGTCTACGATATACATATCTGTTGGTGTAAGAGAAGGGTGCTGCAAGTATGTTCTGCATACTGTACTGTACGCGCAGGCAATTGGATGCTTGAAATGCTAGGCTGGGTTCTGAGAAAGGAAAGGAATTACAATTCGAGGTTGGTTGGTCAGTTGATTAGTGGCAAACTGATTTGGCAGTGGAGGAAGGATTTCGTGAACGCCTCACCTCGTCTTGGGTTGTATCGAGTTCATGACATCCCGGTCAAACCAGGCAAGCTGGCAAGGCAAAGAGCACTCGTTTGCCTCCTGGGGCCAAGAGTGAGAGAGGGGCCTGGACAATCAAGCAATGATTCGTGAAGGGGGAGAAAAGAGGAATCAACTGGCCTGGAGCCATGTCATGACATGACATGACCCGAAATAAATTGGAGTTGCTGGTGAGACGGGCGGTTCACCGGATGAATGTTAGAACCCGAGTTTGCGATGAACGGGCTTCTCCGACCAGGGGTGATGTGATGAAGTGAAAGTTGGAGCCTTGGAGGTGATAGTGACAGGGAGGTTTTGTGATTGACATGGCGCCAGCTGGCCAAAGCAACTCGTGTATCATGATGGCGAGAAATTGGATGTTGGAGCAGGGTTTAGCGAGGGGGTCCAACGGGTAGAAGATGAGTTTGTACGGATACTCTGTCTGTATATGCAAGACGCAAGCCTCAGCCTCACCCTTGAGTCTAAGCCGGAGCCTAAGCCTTGCATGACACTATGTGCATGTACTGTAGATGAGAGTTGATAGTTGGGATCTGAGGTGGGCGAGCGGCTCTACCCGCCCGCTGCAGCGTGAGACAAAAGTTGCAAGCCCCGAGTGAGATGTGAATAAAATGCCATGCATTCTATGCCATATACGTACTTCCCTGGGTAGGCTACTATACATACAGTACCTACGTTTTAGGTCTGAAGGGCCTGGTTTTATCAATTGGCATACCTACCACAGCACCTAGGCTATCGACCGTTTCATACAAGGTAAGGAACACTGAGGGTACCTGTAAGGTAGACAGCACAGCACTAATTTGACAGCTGTACAGTACTTAGGCAGTTTCATCAACCCCTGGTAGTCCGGGGGAGGAATCAGGAATCAGGAATCACATTTTGCACATCCCGTAAAAACAAGATCCTATGCACATCATGTTTGCAGCCGCCTTTTGCTTTGCATTGGATTCCATACGCGTCCAATGGCAAGGCTGTGTGGGGAAAATAGTAATTAATGGATTTGCTGCTAATGTTTTGGGGATGAAGGGAGATCACCAATGCATATGCTAGGGGTTCGGCCACGGTAACACTGATCGTCTACTTCAATATGTGATATTATTGGTATTATTATCGACTCATAGGTAAGTGAGATACTTGGGAGACTGTGATTAGGCTGTGCGACATTCAACAGGAGGCAGGGTCGTCTGAGGACGGGGCATATTCGTTATTGTGATTTTGTACTAAAAGAGCAATACTAACATTTGATCCAAATTAAACAAAACCGTACTCAGAGAGGAATCTAGTCCGATTTCATATTTAAGATATAACAGTATTTGAATCACTCAAGCGTCCGGATGTAACACTCAAGTTCGCAATACCATCAAATTTCAAGCCTGTCATCATCAAAGTCCAGGGTAACCACCAAACCACCTCCCTCAGTCAACTCATGTGACCTCGCGTTTAGCTTGTACACGAGTCAACGATAATACGTGGTTTGTCTCGTGCTCGCACGCGCCAACGCCAAAAGCGGTCATAATATGACCCAGTTGAACAAAGAATGTCTGCAAATTACACAAACGTAGCGGCAAAGAGAGCTTTCAGCACTAAGCTCCGTCGCATCTAGAGCACACAATGCCAGACTCCCATCTTTGGGGCCCTACACTCTCGAATCTAACCACAAGATATGTCACATCCTGTTAAAAAGGCTGCCGAGCCTCAACACGCTGCATCGTTTGATCCATGGAACTCATCGTCGACCGGCCATCAGCGTCCCGAGTCCCAGCCCGGCACCGGGTGGCGTGAGTCCCGCAACCGGAAACTCAACAGCCAGTTCCGCGGCGGCTCAACGGGCGGCGAGCGTCTTAGCGACACGTGGGGCGCTGGAGCAGAGGACTACGATGAAAAGCGCAAGGCTCTCATCTCCAAAGCGGCCAGGGAGAGGGCGCAGCGCAGCGTAAGGGACATGCTTGTCCAGCCGGGGAAGATGCGCGAGAGTTTAGGGGTGAAGGATGAGATCCAGGGGAAGAGCGAGGAGACACTCATGGAGTCGCGAAGAACAGAGGATGAGGCGCGGGAAGCGGAAGCATCGTCAAGAGGGATGTTCGAAGGGGCGGTTATCTACGTCAACGGGAGTACGTTCCCTCTCATCTCGGATCTCAAGCTGAAGCAGCTCGTTACCGAACACGGAGGCCACATGTCGCTGCACCTCGGACGTCGGAGGGTAACGCATGTTATCCTCGGGAGGCCATCAGGGGGCCATTCCGGCGCAGGAGGAGGTCTTGCAGGAAGCAAGCTGGAAAAGGAGATCCGAAGGACTGCTGGGTGCGGAGTCAAGTTTGTTGGACCCGAATGGTACTTGTATCCCCATATCTGCATTACACCTGGAGTTTTAACTAACGTCAGCTATATAGGATTCTAGAGAGTCTCAAGGCTGGGAAGAGGCTACCCGAGGCACGATTCTCGAATACCAAGATGGCACCCAAGGCGCAGGGAAGTGTCTATAACATGTTTTCGAGGCAGTCGAGTGAGCAGTCATCCAAAGATTGAACTATGGGACCGGCCACAATCCGCTTTTTGTTTCTATTTATCTGGCTTTTGGACGGAGGCTATCATCAGGGGCAGTTACTGCAATCGCATCGCATCTTTACGTGGAAACGGACGGTCATCGGGGGCTTTTTGATTTGGAATTGGAGAGGTAGCATGAGATAGGAGATGTTGCGTCGTTGCGATTACGATCATGACATAGAACACTGGAGTTGATATGTCCTCACGGACAAAGGAGGTTCGTCTCGAATTAATATGTTTGCTTATAAATAACCACCCAGTCCGAATGATGCTATAGAGTTGCTTCGCAACTCTGCGAATAATGACCGCGGATTTCGTACCACTTCGATTAACTTACCCACAAAGACCCGTCATTGGCCTTGGAGTTTGACGCTATATAATGCGAAATTGCCCAAATTGCTCTCCTCCACATATATATCACCATATCAGATGCAATATCCTTATATCATTCAACAGCTCCGTTCCCATGACTTCGACATCACAGACGGGCCTTGGCTATACCATCTCCACCAGCATTCCTCACTTCCGTCTGCCCAAAGTATTCGCGGATCCTCGCACGAGCAGCATCCAAGGTGGATGCATCCTCAATCGTGCTAGGTACCGCTATTTCCTTTCCAAAATCACCGCGAATTGCGTTCTCTGCCATCTCCTTAAGCACACGCCGGAGCATTTTGCCAGACCGTGTTTTGGGAATCATACACTTGCCCTGAATGATACCACCTAAGGAAGCTATGGCCCCAACTTGGCCGCGTACCAGTTGTTGGATTTCTTTGACAGTTTGCTGGTCTGGTATTGCTGGATCTGCATGTGTTTGTCCTGAGAGTGTGACAAAGGCAAACGGCAGTTGACCCTTGAGTGAATCTGGTACACCAATAATGCAAACCTCAATAACTCGGGGGTGAGACGCAATAGCTTGTTCGATGGAGCCTGGAAATCATTAACACATGTCTTACACAGAGAGAAGGCAACCATACCGCTGGATAGACGATGTGCGCTGACATTCAGCACATCGTCGCTGCGTGCCATCACATGGATATAGCCTTGCAGGTCGATCCAGCCCGTATCACCTGTATCAAGCCATTTGCCTTCAAACCTTTTTAGGTAACCTTTCCAGAAACGTTCCTCATCTTGCCATAGAGTCCGGAACCCTGTTGGAGCAAGAGGCATTGCCAATACGATATTTCCCATCGATCCCCTTTCCACTTCCATGCCTTCATCATCCACAATACGAACGTCAAAGCCTGGCATCGCCTTTCCAGCACTGCCAGCCTTCAGAAGAGGAGGAGGGTGGCCACGAACATCTGTTTTGCGATGCTTGCCAGCATGCGGAACAAGTGCCCGACCAGTAATAGGGGACCCAACTTCAGTAGACCACCAGTTATCGACGACATGGGCGTTTTCAGCACAGTATTGTGTCATAAGTCGCTGGTAACTCTCAATCAGAGTTGGTTCAGAACGCTCTCCAGCGAGGAAGAGCCCCCTTAAAGTCCTGAGAGCCCCTCGTTTACCGTAATCGATGAAAGACTGATTATCTTGGTCCACTCGCCTGATGGCTCTTAGAGCAGTGGGTGCAGTAAATATGGTGTTTACTTTGTACTCCTCGACTATCCTCCAGAAAGAAGATGCATCTGGGGTACCAACAGGCTTTCCCTCATATAGCACAGTCGCGGCCCCGGTGAGGAGAGGACCGTAAATAATGTATGAGTGGCCAACAATCCAGCCAATATCTGACGCAGTGAATGACACGCAGCCGGGGCCATTGATGTTAAAAAGGTAGCTGATAGAAAGGTGCAGGCCAACAGCATGGCCGCCAGCATCGCGCAGCACGCCTTTGGGGGTTCCAGTTGTGCCAGAAGTATGGATGATGTAGACAGGATCCGTACTCTTGACAGGGACACAATCCGCCTTTACTCCTCGGAGCAGGGCGTCGTTTGTTAGACTCTTCCAGTTAAGCTGTCCAGTCTCGTGATTGATGTCCCATTGACGCTGTTCTCGTTGCCAAACGATTACATTATGGGGTTTGTGAGAAGCCAACCGGATTGCTTCCTCCACCAGGGGCTTGTATGCGATAGGAGGTTTATTACCATCAATACCACAGGATGCAGTAAGAATGGTGACTGGATGGCATGAATCGATACGTTGAGCTAGAGCAAGAGGAGCAAAGCCACCAAACACAATAGAGTGAATGGCGCCGAGCCGATTGACAGCAAGGATGCCTACAACTGCGGCAGGAATCGTGGGCACTGATGAATAAGTTAGAACATTAGTTTCTGTAAGTAAAGATGTATGTGTAACTTACTATACAGCATTACAACGTCCCCTTTCTTTATACCTTGCTCTCTGAGAGAACCGGCAAGTGTTTCGACCTCGTGAAGTAGTTTGCGATAGGTATAAACTTCCTTGGTGTTGGTTACAGGGCTGTCGAAATAGATGGCAACGGAGTCGCCATGACCATCGAGTACATGCCTGTCGACACAATTGTAGCAAGTAGATATCTCACCATCGGGAAACCACTCCCAACTATCGTGTGTGATGCCATTCTTAAGTGTCTTCTGAGTCAGTTGAATAGTGGAGGAGAATGGCTTGTGCCAGTAGAGATGCTCGGCCTGATGCCTCCAGAACTCTTCAGGGTTTTCGAGACTATGCCGCAGCACTTCGTCCTGAACGTGATGATCTTCACTATTGTCAGGCATGGTTGGCAAATCCGTTCCAACCTTTATCCCGACTGCTGTCTTTGATTTTGTTTGTGAATGGGACGAGTATCGCCGTGGCTTTGTAAGAGTCCATGGTCTTAGTACCGGCGGTAACAATGACAACGAATAGCGGCAAACGTATTGATAGGGGTATACCGGACTAGTTGCCGATGCTTTACGGGGGCGTATGCGAGAGACAAAATGAATAGCTCGTCTTAGGCTCAGCGGCATCGGGTTTTGTTGCCGACAAGTCCCGGATCTTCGTTGACAAGGTATAAATATTTGTACCTGGACGACGATCTCCACGACAATGAATCCTACAGGCAAAGGCTTCGCAAGCTAAGTTTGAGCAGAGACGTTCAGGCCTGGGTCATCAAGATTGGAACTGCTGGTACCGTCAGGGCTGAGGAACCAAGGTAAGGAAGGTACGACTGTTTAGGTACCTTGAGGAAATGACGCGTAAGTCTAGTTGTTCTTGCCTTTCAGATTCTATCGCCGTATTATCAAAAGGCAGGTGTTGAGAGCTCTTTCCCTCCTTTCCCCAACCCCAACCTTGCACTCACCCTCAGTTGCGGCTCTCATCAGCTTGCTTGGCTGGGCAGGTGTAAGTGGCTGACTTTGTTCCCCCCGCATTTCGCCAAGATAACGTCGACAGTCCCGTTTGTCCGGTAATCTTTACCGGTAACCGTCGGATCGGTACAGGGCCGAGCCGTGATAATCGGTGTGTTTTGTTGATTTGGTGGTTGTTGTCAACGGTGATATCCCGGGTATTCGGCGTTGGATTGTAATAAGTAGCTCTGATTTACTGCTAGTAGTGCACTTTACGCTTTGGCGGTATGCAGTAACCTTGATGGCAACCAATGCCTCATAAACATTAGAATTGTATTTTTTTAAACGTTGGCTATTTGGAAATGATACTGTTGTAGATATCGTGAGCTCCTCGTGTTACATCAATGAGACTACAAATATGACTATTCTTTCTGTGGTTGATCCAGCAGTAACTGGAAGCTGCAATGCCAGTTATAACAGCTTATGGGTTGCCATTGAGCACACATCGCTATTTAAGTATGTTCAGAGCTTCACTAGCTATTTAAGATCGATAAAAACAGATGGGCTCACACCTGTAATCGGCTATTTCATCGAAATCATGTCGTGCCGCCAGTATTCAATACCCAAATGCGTGATGGCCTACTCAAAACACAAACCATCCTACAAATCCCATTACAAAGCATCAATGTAGTTTTGTCCAGAAAAACATTGCATTGTCGTTTTTGATGTCTCTGCTAGCGTAAGTCTCACTGAGCTGACCGCTACGACGACTCATCCCCAAACCCATGACTGTCGTTGCATCGCTTGGACGTCTTGGCGTAGAAAACAATAGCACCAGAGACAACAGTCTAATGTTACCCTGGAATTGCCCTACCGACAACATGTTGTAATACGGGGACAGCGGTTGTACCTTGCATGCTGGTGTGTGCAATGACAACAATTGTCTTGGAGAGGGCGAGCGATGTGTTAGCCTGTGCGAGAGGTCAAGCAGAGATGAACACATGGCTAAGCTCTGAGACACATATGTGGCAATTCATAGTAGAAGAGCAACTTAGTATACCAGTATGTTCTAAGGATTGATTAGTTTAACCAATACTAGTTGAATACCCAGTGTTGATTCATTCAAGCTCTATACTGCATTCCAGACATTACCAGGAAACGGGTACACTACGATAAAAAAGCAAACACGCCCTTTGTCTCGGCGCATGCACAAAGGCTGAGACAAAATCAAAGACATTTTCACAAGTCACAGACGCCACCAGAAAGGGTTGAAGGGTGCCGGACCAAAACTGGCCTCTCAGCAATGTTTGCTTTGCCTTGACTATGATACATGTTTCCCCAGGCTCGCAGAAACACTGAAAAACTGACAAGAGACCATAAACACGCCCAGCTCGAGGGAGATATGTACACCAGCGCCCAGAGAGTAAGCGTTAAGGACACTGTATATTCCCACAAGATATGTATCAAGAATAAGAAACAGGAGTCGAGGTTGTAAAAATGTGTCTCTTGAAGAATTGGCAAGGCAGAAACATGAACGAACCGCGAGTGAAGCAAGACAAGATCGTCCTATTTTGCTGCCCTAAAGGCAAAAAACCACATTATATTCCCAACCTCGAAAGAAGATCCTCACACACAGGGATGTATGCGAGTCCCCCTTCCGAACACCGGGACAAAACTCATATACAAAGAATGTCTCTTTCCCCTGCAAGGCGTGGCCATCATTAGATCAAAGACTCCATAGAGCGTTGCAGAAGTGTACCGGTTCTCCCGTGTCGTATGTTCGTAACCCAAAACCAAAATAAAGTCCTTTACACTCCATCCAACCATCGCTAACTTTCCGAAACCGCTCGCATCACGTATGATGAAAAGCTTCCACGCAAATTAAGTATTACCGGGCGTAAGAAATCGTACGTGAGACGTGGAACAGGCCCGCTAGGGGCTAATTTACAGGAAAGCAGCGAGACCGACGAGGGCAGCGAGGCCGGCACCGGAGAAGGCGGCGACCTTGCCGGCCCCAGCGGTAGGGACCTGCTCGCCGGAGCCACCGGTGGGGGTAGCAACGGGCTTGCCGGGGTGGCTGCCCTCACCACCGTGGGAGCCGGTAGGGTAGACGGGGACGAGGGTAGAGTTGCTACCGCCGTGGACGGGCTTCTCAGGCTGGCCGGGGTGACCGGGCTTGCCAGCCTCGTGGGTAGGGGCAGGGCTGAAAGACGTTAGTATCTTGATCATGTATAGATGAGTCGGATATAAAACTTACCAGTTGTGGCAGACAACAGCGGAGGTGGTCAGGACGGGCTTGGTGACGGTGCAAGGGCAGTCAGTGATGGTCAGGGTGGTGGCCTCAGTGACGGTGTAGGTCTTGTCGCCGTGGACGATCTCAGTAGGACCGGGGCAGTAGGTGGTGTAAGCAGTAACGACCTCGGTGGTGTAGGTGACGTTCTTGGCGTGGGCAGCGACGCCGGCAGCGAAAGCGAGAGCAGCAACGAACTTCATGTTGACGGTTTTGGGGGGGTTTTGGGAATTAGATTAAGAGTAACTGTAGATGTGCTTTAACGAATGAAATTGACTGAAAAGTCAGGGTATAGTAGCGATAGTGAGTGTGGGTGAGGAAAAGAAAGAAGAGAACCTCTGGAGTTCTGGAGGACTCGAGCTTTATAATGAGATGAGAGGCACTTCAATTTGCTTGACTGCCCAAGAGGAGAGATAGGGATTCTGGGGCGTGCGCGTGTGTGGTCCGCTGGCGATGGAGGGGGTGGAGCCACTGGAGATGCAGTACAGGGGCCTGAAGACCAGGGGAAATGGGGCCTTTGCCAGCAGTCAAATTAAACACGCACGAACCGAGCAGTCTAGAGCAGAATCGAGACGAGACGAGAGTCAGGAACAGACAGAGATAGGCTCATTCCCCCGGTGGCGCACTATCAGAATGAGCTTGGAAGCAAGGATTAATTTGCCTTGGACTCCTGGAGCTTGAGGTGTTGATACTCACTGGGGGGAAAACCTCCAGTTGCCATTCATTTCACTACGGGAGGCAAATCAGCGGTAGTGTTAATTACCAGGGTTGCGGATATGAGATGCGAAAACAACTGATCATCGTTACATTGATAAGCATTTTGTTAATCGTAGGTACTATTTTAGGTGTATGAGATGGGGTTCATTTACATGTGTTGATACTTTGTTGGGGTTTGGCTTTGAACATGATATGCCTCGCTGTACAGACACAACCAACACAGCAGACTATCTAGACAGTCACTCTTAGAACCTCTGATATTAACCTTCTCCCACAGCAATAAACCCTTTAGCGGACGGGTCCAACCCCTGTTTTGACAATGGACAAGCGACAGGAAAGGGGTTTTAGGGTGTTTGAGAGTGTGTGTGGGGGAGAGGGTCCCCTGGCGAATGCATGTTACTCACAGTCTCTGAAGGGCTATCAAGCCCGAGACAGGAAAATAGTGGAGGGCAAAAAGCCAAGCAAGATAAAACGATCTGGAAGTTGGCGGATTCCGACATTCGCAGTGGCTAGGCTATTACTATCTATCTATGCATGGTCGCACGACTTCATGCACAAGCCGAGATTGCTTCCCCTCCATTCCGCACCAGAAATATATGCATAATACCGGGTGATATTGCGGGAGAGAACTTGGTTGCCACTGATGGGTTCTCTAGTTATAGTTGATCTCTACGTATATGTTTTTCGTCTATTATTAATTTTCGGATGAGCCGAACCGGACCGACGTTCCATAGAGATTATTATGTACACCATGTAATCTACAGACTCAGTGATATGATCTGTGAAGCCTTCAATGCTGGCATTAGCCTTGCGAGTCAGTAAAGTTTATACCCGGAGCCCGGGCCACATCCATGATTGTATACTTTTAGAACCGTATCATTGCGAATAATATGTTTCTCTAAGGACTCCAACGTAGTATTCTTCACGGAATAAGAATTAAGTAAGCTGACGATGGAGACCAGCCAAGGGACCACAAAGGGACCACAAAGGATTTCCACCTAAGGATCGATAGGCCTGTATTCCGTCGGGTATTAGTGCTTGTGAGTCGAAAGGACTGTGTGTCGTCTCTGTAAAACGAAAACCAAAAGATCAAATGAGAATCGTGGATGGGAACTTGTCGCGTGGCGTGGGATGCGAGAGCCACCCCGTCTCCTCTGCAAACTGCTTATCCGTTCTGTCTAATGGGTTGCCACACGTCTTAGACAGCTTCCTTATTTAGGCGCTTTTACTGGACGGTTGCCCTGGCATAATGCAACGCTAATGCAGGAACAAATCTCCTCCCGCTGTCTGCCAATCCCCTTATTTTCGCAGACTTCTCCAATCAACTTTTTTATGAGGCTACCATAACGCGATAAGCACATTGGATTGGATGCCAACCCTGCCGTTGATTGCCACGAACAACGAAGCTGTAGCACTCTTGTGGTTGGTCAATCTAATCGTGCCATGAGTTGAGCCGGTACAGAGGCTGTGGGAGGCAGAGTCAACTGACCTACTCTAAACAGTGGTCTCTGGCATTCATTGGATATTATCTACAACGCCCCGTGCAGAGGAACCAGCAGCCTCGACCAGTTGTCAGTGGGCCTCAGTCAACGGCCTCATGGAACACACCTACTCAGGCACTGAAGACAGGGGATAGGGGAGGGGGTGCTGGGGGCGGTCTGCGCTTTGAAGCTAGAAGCACGCGACGGAATAATAAACAGAGTTCTCACTGAATCCACTGGAAGCAATATTAATTAAGCACATGGCACATGGCACCCAACGCCACACCGACAGCACATGAACCAGTGCGGGAGGTTCATCTAATTAATCATGGATGCTTTAATCACACAGAACTTGGTCAAACACAAAGCGGCCCATGTCTCACTCGTCGGTAGCAGTTTCTCTCGCCTTCAAAGATGTCTCTGGCTCCAAGGTGGAGCAAGCTCTGAGCTGGCAAAGAGTATGGAGTACAGAAACAGAGGTCTATTGACTTTCCTCTTCAAGACTGCTCCGTGGATGTCCCTGAGATGCTTCAGGACCGTCACATCTATCCAACCCCCAGGGTCTTGACACCCACTCTTGCAAGCTTCCCCTGTCTGTCAGATTCAGCGCAACCCTATGCTCTCACTCTCTTGTGTGCCTCCGGTGAATGAAATGAACCTCGACGGTATCTTTTTTTCGTATGCTGTCTCGACAGCTTGTTGATATGCGTGATAAGGTACCTCTACCGGTCTGTTTGCTAGCCACCCTCCATAATTTCCTTGTCAACCACTCGGACACCATTCGGTTATCTTATACTTGTAGCCTGAAGATTTGCAATCCGCGCAGCCTTATCTCCCACTCCAAGTGCTGAATTGTTCATCCCCAGCAGCATCCAAGGTCAGCATCGGATTTAACTGTGAAACTAGATCCGCCGGGCCGAGATAGGGAAGAAGTCACATACCCTCGTATCATCCCCATGAAGCTCCTTTCCTTTGAGTCATGAATTCTCAAGGAGCTGTCTCAGTTTAGCAGCTTTTCTCCTGTCCTAGTTTTCACCATCTGTCTGGCTATTGACCCGCGGTTCCAGGAGAATTGACCCCATCTCGATTTCAAGCCCACAGAAATGAGATTTGGCCAGGGGTCATCAGGTAGTCTCCCGATAGTCCTTGACAAGCTTTTGGTCGTTCTCTGATCTAGCAAAAACTAACAAGGCCAGGTTCTATGATCGGTGCGAACCGAGACGGCATTGAATGCTTGGCAAGCAAGCACGTCTTTTCCACTATATAGTGTATATCTTGAAAAGAAATAGTATTCCCAACGAACGATTCCATGCAGGTTTAAGAAACCGAAAACTCTATGGAATAACCTTTTCTCAATATGGAATCATATCGTCGATTCTTTGTCCTTATTTCCCCTTTGGTGCGCCAAGATTTCCCACCATCCCTTTACGTCTCTTCCCGCTCACACTCCCACAAAGCGCTGCAGCTCCCGCAAGCCTCTTCAAGCCTGGACCACAGGATCAAATTAACGCAGAGGGCAATGGTTATCATCGAGGCTTGTCAGTGATAAAGGTTGCTGCCACTCACACCTGCTTCGGTCAGGGTAGTTCGGAAAGGTGCACCCGGACTTCATTTCCACCGCTGGCGTTGGATGCTTGACCTTGACTTTTGACCGTTGCTGTTCCATCCTGTTTCTATACTTACTAGCGTGACTGTATTGGTGTTCTTGCAGATTTGATTCTTTGTCCTGCTTGGAGTTACATGCGGATCGACACTTTGCGAGCGAATTCTTGAGATTATCCTATTAACATTGGCGCGGTATGATTTGTTTAGTTTGTACGGAGCACGGCTCACCCAGACAACTAACAACACCTCATTTACCGGGTCCACCTACTATCTCGAGCCTTTTCTCCCCGATGGAACCAAAGCGCGGTCCGTCTCAAGTGATGGATGATTCTAATCCCAATTTGACTGCATCCGATCTATATTTGGGCGGGTCAATTTTGCCATCGCTGGGACTCTGGTATTGCTTTGAGATGTTGAAATGGCACCAGACTATTGATGTCGACGACTGAACTGTTGTTAGACTAATGTCCAAGCCTGGGTTGAGGTCTTCGCTGTAGGTTCTTTGAACGGCCTGACCGAATCAAATATCGTAGAAACAGGATTGCTGCCATTCTGCACCTGAAGAGGGATCGTTGATAGTCAATTGATGGGCAATGGATTTGACATCGAACTGGTTAATGGAAGCAATTGATGATAGGAGTGTATCTAGAGAATACTTAAGAGTGGATCGCGCGTCAGTACGCGGGTCACGTGTGAGCATGAGCCGTCCTTAATGTCGAAGTGCTTATGGTTGAGGCGGATATCGTACGCCTTGTCCAATCTATATTCGATGAGCAGGTTAGCTAGGGTAAGTAAAACATGAGGCCGAGAAGCCATGATCTCGGCACCCTCGTAAACATCACCAAGGCTGTTGTAGACGTTTAGAAGTGAGCCCATATTGGTTTGGTTGGATAGGTGGCTTCTGTGTTCAGGCTCGCGGGTGACAGAAAGTCCTAACGCATAAAGAGATTTGGGCCCAGAAATGTGATGAATGAACAGTTGATTATATGATATAGATATGATCAAACCCGGCAACAAACTATATTAATTGTTAGCGATAGTGCAATTACTGTACTTGAGTGAAGGGAAGCTATCACGGAATGATGAAATTGAGAGGGGATATATCCAGAAATAGGCACATACAATTATATGAGTCTTTAGAGGGAAATCGAATGAGAAGTGAACTATTATAATAGTCTTAGCAATAAAGAACAACAAGATTGTCCTTGAAGGGAACATGGAGACATATATACCCATTTCTCGAGTTACGTCTTTCTGGCTTAATCAATCTTGACTGCTTGCATTTCCTTACTATCACTGGTCCTGATGATGTTGTTTTACTGCTATAATATGTCGAGGATCACATATACACCTTTGGCTACCTGGGTCAGGTCTGTCAGCCTATTTCACCTGACTATGTCAGCACAGCTATTCACTAGCAAAAACATTTCGATATATGGATTTGAATTAAAAGTATTATTGATTTAATTCGCCAAAGAATTCTTGCTGTGCTACAATTTAACGACGTAGTTAAGAGCGGGATTGTTTCAGGCTCCAAATCCTGGCCGAAAATTATCTGCGGATCACGCTGCTAACGTTGTGTCCAAATTGCACCCAGTGTTTACTTTGATTTAATACAATCGATGGGTCGGCCCGTTATAGGGAGTGATCTTCTCGGCCGGAAGATCGGCTGCAGGCCAAATATCGTCTCTGATGCTATTGCCATTTCCGTCTGCGAGGTTGTATTAGTAATGTACGTCATTGCCTCGGTGCAGGCAAATGCGGGTGTTAATAAATGCTGTGACTTCATCGCCCAAAAACCTCTCTCCCATTAACAACACCATAAACCCTCGAAACTCTTATGCAAATCAGAAAATATGCCTGAACACATCAAAGCTGTTGGTACGAGAAAGTGATTCAAACACATGACTGCTTTGTCTAACTGGACCCCACAGACATCCGAGGTGGCACTGGCGAGCGTGATGCTCTCTTCATCAATGCCGAGACACCCAAGCCTACTGCCTCTGAAGGACAGGCCATTGTGAAAATCAAGGCCTTTGGAATCAACCGCATGGACATAATCCAACGCCGTGGCTTTTACCCGCTCCCACCCCAGGCACCCAAGACGCTGGGTGTTGAGTTCAGCGGCATCATCGAGTCGTTCGGATCTGGTGACCATGGTGCCTTCAAAGAGGGTGACGAGGTCTTTGGACTAGCTTACGGCGGTGCCTACGCAGAGTATATCGCTGTTAGCACCCGCATGTTGCTGCACAAGCCTTCTTCTATTGACTTCACCACGTGTGCTGGTATCCCAGAGGCTTGGATCACAGCAACCCAGGCGCTCCACCTTGTGCTTGGTTTCACCAAGGGAAAGTCCATCCTGTGGCACGCCGGTGCTTCCGGAGTGTCGGTCGCTGGTATTCAATTGTCACGCGTCGCTGGTGCATCCGAGGTCTATGCCACAGCTGGATCCCAGGATAAGCTCGACTTCATCACCTCCAAGCTTGGAGCTACAGCTGCTTTCAACTACAAGACCCAGGACTGGGCGGAAGAGATCAAGAAGGCCACGGGAGGTAAGGGTGTCGACTACATCGTTGACTTTGTCGGTGGAAACTACTTCCAGAAGAACCAGGATGTTGCTGCGCGTGATGGACGCATGGTTCTTCTGGGAACGCTGAGCGGCGCCAAGGTTCCTGATGCCGATATCTCTCAGATCTTGTTCAAGCGACTTCGCATCGAGGGCAGCACGCTCAGAAGCCGGGATGAGATATACCAAGGCAAGCTGCGGGATCGGTTGGAGAAGTATATCCCAGACTTTGAGTCAGGAAAACTCAAGATTTTCATAGATGAGGTCTTCTCCTGGGAGAAGATCCAGGAGGCTCATAAACATATGGAGGACGCCAAGAACCTTGGCAAGATTATATGTACTATTCCTTAGGTGGTTGAAGTAGTCAACAGTATAATCCATGAAATGATATTCTTATCAAAGTTTTTCAAGTTACTACTTGATAATGAAATGTTGAGACGAACACAGAGATCAAACAGTCAACCCATCTTGAATAGTCTGAGTTGGCCATGTCATGTATTTCATTACTGACATATAATCATACTAAACAAATAAATAAGACTCATCACATATGGTCTGCGCGCTGACATTCGAAAGTAAGAGGTATCATTTTAATGCTCAATGGGCCTCGAGCCAATTGAGCATCTGGTCGTAAGCAGTAGCTTGCGCATCCTTGATGGATGAATCTTGATATTCACCTACAACGGCGAATCCTAGAGTAATCATTAGTTGACCATCAAAATATGTATGACTTGGCGATAGGCTTACCATGAGGAACTCCAGGATAAACCTGGACCTCATGCTCGACGTTGGCGTTAGACAGACTGTCCTCTCCGCCTGTACGTACGTCTTCAGGGAAGAGAGGGTCATTCTCGACGCATACTAAGCTAAGGGGGACACCGATGTCCTTAAAGTCATCAGGAACAACAGAAGCAGCGTGAGCCAGAGCACCAGCCTTGATGTATGGCCCGTTCTTGACACTGCCGCTCTCAGCATCGCCTTCGGTAGACTTTGTCTTCTTGGCGAGTAGAAGAATGAACCGCGCACCAACGCAGTATCCAGCTGCATAGATGCCATCACCTTGCTTGATCGCATCGGCGTACTGCTCCCGAGCAGCATCGATAACCTTGTGCAAAACGGGCATGACCTTCTCCTCGGTGACTCGGGCGAGCCACATATCGATAAGGAATGATTTTGTAACCTCAACGGCCTTCAGTTTGAACTGCTCGAGGATAGATGTAGAGTCGTCTGTAATAGCTGTGGCACCCGGGGCCGTGTCACCTCCAAAGAGGTCAGGCATGATGACAAGGTAGCCCTCGGAGGCGAACCTATCAGCCTGAATCTGGTTGTTTACAGATCTGATTCCTGTGCCGCCTGTCAATAGTAGAAGGAGTCGCGCAGGCGCATGAGGGTAGTCGGTGGGTTTCGAGATATAGACCTAGGCAAGGGAGGGTCAGCTTGGATGTTGGGGAGCTCGCTAGTACAATACACGTACGTCGACATCGTTGAGCTTAATGATCTCACCAGTGGATGACTGACCGGAAGCTGCAATTGTTAGCGACTTGTAGCGAGATGGCCATGAGTGGTATTGTACGAGTTGGTCTGTCTGATACACAATGCTCGCCTACAGCTGCTGGAGCTGGAGCTGGAGCTGGAGCTGGAGCTTGGATGTTGTCGCTGGCCGCAATATTCTGCTGGGCGTCGCTCTCAGGAGCGCGAGTCGCGTTGTCTGCGTCAGCCATTTTGAGGATATTTCGTTCTTGTTATTTAGCTTATCCTAGCTCGTTAGGTGGCTGCAAGATAATGAAGGACGCTGGTGTTGCCTATTCTATTTGCACGTGGAGGGGCAATCTGACGTACAGGGCCTTGGCTGGAATTCAACGTCATGTTGGAGGGGTAACTGAGCAGCGAGATTATACAAAGTGGAAGCAGACCTTTAATTACCTAGATGTTCACTACCTAGTATTAGATAACACAAATAGGAGACTGAATAGAGAGGTGGATAACTGTGAATTTCGAATCATCCTACCATATGTGTTATTTAGATTTCCATTTATTACCGATGTTTACTATTAGATATTCGGTAATGCCAGTCTCGTCATTACCAGAAGAGGCATGACTGATGCTCCTACATGATGCAACTGGTTTAAATAAACGACCCATCACATGAACGGATTCTCTTCCTTATTATAAAGCACGAGTATAGAGTAATCCTATAAGATAACTGGATATAACCTAATCTCACTGTTCAGCTACAATTAACTCAGACACATTTCGCAAATAGCAAGGTCGAGAAGTCACTCATACACTGCAAATCAATCCTTCGTCAGCTCGTGGATCAGATTATTTACCACGAGTAATTAGCAAGACTCTAAACTGTCGTTTGCAATTCCAAAAGAGTCTATTGTCCAGTTGCTGCCTGGGCCTAGGGAGCTACTTACCTACCTAGGGATCAACTGCGTTTTTACGTAAGCCTTCACCCCGCGGTTTCTTGCCACAGCGCGTTGAGTGGAACGCGCTGAACGCGTCGTAGCACCTTCTTCCATCTAATGTACCTTAGTTAACGCTCTTCGTTCATCACCTCTCCAACAGAACAACCCAAGAAATCTCCGCTTCAGCAACATCCACGATCTCCCACGAACGAAGCGTAAATTACAGCAACAATGGCCGCAGCTTCAGCGCTATCGTCAGGCGCCCTTGAGTATGTTCTTTTACTTCACCTTTTCTGCCTTCACACTCTAACTTTTGCTCAGCGTGATCTTCAATGACCCCGAGAAAGCCGCCAAGCTCTTCCCCGTACCTGTCCTGCAATGTCTTCAGGTTAAGCAGATGGCCCCGTCGGCCCAAGGAGGAGATCGTTATCGACTTGTTATGAGCGATGGTCAGCATTACGTCCAAACCATGCTTGCCACCCAAGCCAACCACGTTGTCCACGATAACAAGCTGGTTCGCGGCTGCACTGCCCGAATCAAGCAATATACACCCAACAATTTGAAGGGCAAGAAGTATGTGCTTGCATAGTCTGTGTCTGAATATGCCTAACATTTCCTAGCATTCTCGTTATTCTCGACATCGAAGTCATCGAGTCTCTTGGTATCCAAGAAAAGATCGGCGAGCCGTCCGCCATCGATACGAAGCCAGCCGGTCAGGAGGGAGCCATTGCTGGGGGCGATTTCTATGGTGTCAAGAAGGAAGAATCAAAGACGCAGCCTCAACAATTTCAGCAGCAGCAACAAGAACAGTCGATGCCCTCACGACCTGCCATGCACGCTGGCAGCAACATTTACCCCATCGAGGGTCTGTCGCCTTTTGCACACAAATGGACCATCAAGGCCCGAGTTACCTCCAAATCCGATATTAAGACATGGCACAAGGCTACTGGAGAGGGGAAGCTCTTCAGTGTCAATCTGCTCGATGAGAGCGGTGAGATCAAGGCTACTGGTTTTAACGACCAGTGTGATGCTTTCTACGACCGTCTACAGGAGGGTTCTGTCTACTATATCTCTACCCCCTGCCGAGTAGCATTGGCCAAGAAGCAATTCTCCAACCTTACCAACGACTACGAACTCACCTTCGAACGCGACACTGTTATTGAGAAGGCAGAAGATCAAACCAATGTTCCTCAGGTGAGGTTTAACTTCTGTTCCATCCAGGAACTTCAGAGTGTGGAGAAGGACAACACCGTTGATGTCATCGGTGTCTTGAAGGAGGTCGGTGAGATTGGCGATATCACATCCAAGAAGGATGGCCGGCCGTTCCAAAAGAGAGAGTTGACCCTTGTGGATGACACTGGCTTCTCAGTCCGTGTCACTATCTGGGGCAAGTCGGCCAACTCTTTTGATGCGCCTGCCGAGTCCGTCGTTGCCTTCAAGGGCACCAAGGTGTCGGATTTTGGTGGCAAGAGCCTCAGTCTGTTGTCTTCTGGCACAATGACCGTTGATCCCGACATCCCTGATGCTCACAGACTCAAGGGCTGGTACGACTCTGCTGGGCGAAACGATACATTCGCCACACATCAGAATATGACATCCATGGGCAATGCCACTGGACGAAAGGAAGATCTCAAGACCATTTCTCAGGTCAAGGACGAGAACCTTGGCATGGATGACCAGGCATACTATACTATCAAGGCAACCATTGTCTTTGTCAAGCAGGAGAATTTCTGTTATCCCGCTTGTTTGTCCCAGGGCTGCAACAAGAAGGTCACCCAGAACACTGATGGCACGTGGACCTGTGAGAAGTGTGCTATATCACATGAGAAGCCAGAATACCGATACATTCTCTCACTCAACGTTGCAGATCACACCAGCCATCAATGGCTCAGCTGTTTCGATGATTCTGGCCGACAGATTGTTGGCCGAACAGCCGATGAAATGATGGAGCTCAAGGAAAGCGACGATAACAAGTTCATGGCAGCATTCGAGGAGGCCAACTGCAAGAAGTTCACTTTCAGGTGCAGAGCGAAGATGGATAACTTTGGCGAAGCTCAAAGGTAAGCTATGCCAATTGACTTATCAGGTCACGGCTAACAAACAATCTGCAGAATACGATATCAAGTGATGACCGTTACGCCTTTGGACTTCAAGTCTGAGGGCACCAAGCTTGACGAACTGATCAAGCAGTATGAGAACAGCTCGCTATAATGTGCTGGAGAATTGCAAACTGAGCTTACGGGGCTACCGCCTGGCGAAAAAAGGTGGTCTGGGCTTTCAACGGTATACTTTTGAGAAGCTATATCGAGAGAAAATTTTGTTATTGGGTCGATGTTGATATGACATAGAATAATGAGACAAATACTAAAGCACAGTAAAGCTTTTTGCGCTACCAACGTGTTGAAACTGTGACCTAAATAACCCACTGTTTAGATATCCTTGAACTTTTATACCCAACGCCTTCATTATGTAGTTTCCATCCGTCACAAGCAAGCGTCTAGAGGGACAACTTCTCATGCTTCCAGGGCTTCTTGCCTTCGCCGTCTCCATAGTCGGCCGTCGCCTGGTAGTCACCCCTGATCTTGTACTTGTAAATGGTAAGACCGTCAAGGCCAACAGGACCACGGGAGTGGATTTTGTTTGTGCTGATACCAACCTCGGTGCCGAATCCATAACGCATGCCGTCGGCAAGACGGGTGGCAGCGTTCCAATAAACGCCTGCAGAGTCTACCTCGTTCATGAAACGCTCGGCCTCGGCAGTGTCAGAGGTCATGATAACATCAGTGTGGTGAGAACCATGGGTATTGATGTGTGTGATGGCCTCGTCAATGGAGGAGACGGTCTTGACGCCGAGGGTGAGGGAGAGATGCTCTGTGTCGTAGTCCTGGGGAGTGGCATCTTGGACGCCCTCAAGCGAAAGAGAGGCAATGGCAGCCTTGCTGGGCTCGTCGACACGGAGGGAAACACCCTTGGCGGCGAGAGCGGATGCGACGCCGGGGAAGACAGTGTTTAGAGCGGACTCTTGGACGAGAAGGGTCTCGACGGCGTTGCAGGCAGCGGGGTAACTGGTCTTGGAGTCTACAATCGCGGTGATGGCCTTGTTCTTGTCGGCAGAGGCAGTTAGGTAGATGTGGCAGAGCCCGTCCGCGTGGCCAAGAACGGGGATCTTGGTAGAGTCCTTGATATAGCGGACGAGCTCGTTGGAGCCGCGGGGAATAACGAGGTCGATGTAGCGATCCTGAGCAAGGAGCTGGGCGATGACATCGCGAGTTGTGACGAGCTGGATGGCTGAGTTGGGGACCTTTGTGGTCTCGAGAGCTGATGAGATGACCTTTGAGATAGCCACGAAAGATTCTGTGGACTCCTTTCCGCCTGTGGGGGAGGTGAGTAAGTGCTTTCATATGGTGATAATAACAGTTGAGGGATGTGCTCACCCTTCAGAATAGCAGCGTTGCCGGACTTGATGGCCAGAGAGGCAATGTTGGCGATGACTTCGGGACGGGCCTCGAAGATGATGAGAAGGACACCAATGGGACATGAGACACGCTCCATGATAAGATCATCATCAAGCTTTGTCCTCATCTGAATCTGGCCAACTAACAAACAGGTTAACTTCCCACGTCTTTCAGTCAAGTCACAGGAGAGAAATACCTGGGTCGTCTAGATCCCTCACATCCAAGATACCCTTAAGCATATCCTCCCACTTGCCCTTCTTGCCCAGATCGAGCCTCGACACAAGCGCCTGGCTCAGGCCGCCCTCATCAGCCGCCTTCTTCGCCAACTCGAGGTCCTTTGCATTGGCAGCGAGGATTTCGTCCTTTGAGGCTGTCAGGGCAGCGTGGATGGCCTCGAGGGCGTCGTTGCGCTCTGAGGCTGCGAGGGTCGCGAGGGTGAAGGAGGCTGTTTTTGCGGCGCTGGCTGCGGCCTCGGGAGAGGCGTTTGTGAGAGACATGTTTTATTCTGTCTCGATTACTTTTTTGTTCTTTGTTTTTAGTAGAGAGTGAAAAGAGATTGAGGGTGGTTTATGAGGGTGTTTGTGTGTGGTCGTGATAGTGAAAGTGACTCAGGTTGTGGTGGTCGCTAATAAGGTGAAAGCTCCGGTGGTGGTCCCTTTTGCCCCGCTGCTGTATGCACCCCGCCATTAACTTATGCCGTTGCATGTATTAATTACTAAACTTGGAGGTTGAGTATGTACCTTGAATGTAAGTGAAGCTTAAGCTTTATTACTGAATTTCAATTAGACCAATTCAAATGTTTTCAACATTTCTTAAACGCTGCGAGTCTGCTTCTCGTATCTCATAGCTCTGGCTTGTGATGATAACTTGCCAGTTGACATACAAACAGCCTGCGATATCGGCCGAATCGCTCAATAGCCGAATCAGTCACTTTCTATCTCGGCAACATGGAAAGTCGAACTATCACACAAGAGGTCTTCATTAAATTAGTTACATTTTCAAGTGATGTGTTTGGTGATTTCCAATTCTTGGGAATTCAGCTGGCCAATTGACCGAGGCTTCGTCAACTATCCAAAGAACTCAATTTCCTACTCAGAACACTTACAACATGATGCAATATATCCTCATATCATGGTATTTATGCTATAATTAATGAATCTGCAGGTCAATTCATTGTCTTGTGATAGTATCCATTGAATTGCACCATCGTGCCAGGCTATATATAATTTCCACTCTTGACTCTGACCTCATAAGAGCCTCCCAGGAGACATCTCAATTCATACAACAAGGACTTTGAGCATATCCCTCTCATATTAAATCTACCATCTCAATGGCAAACACTTGAACTTCCTAGTCATAATCCAACTTTCATTCCCAAAACAGCAATACCACGTCGCTATCTCCGCGTTAACCCCCACAATCCCCATACTTATCTCTCGGCACCGTCTTCGGCCGTCCCCCTCTTCGGTTTGACGCTGCCGAGGACAATTGCCTAGGGAAGATGGAGTAATTGGTCATCTGAAGGGCGGGGGACCAGGTAGTTCGTATTTTCTTTTCTTTCTCTCTTAAAAGAGTCGGCTCAGAGTAAGGCACTTTTGCGACTCGGACATGTTTGACAAATCCCTTTTCCACTCTTGCAGCGGAATCATTCTTCCGACTTTGGCCACTCCCCCTGTCGTTTATGAATTCTCATTCGCAATTCATCTTTTTACAAAGAGTTAGAGTGAAACTTGCTTAATTAAAAAATTGCCATAGTTCTTAAGCAGCCTATCTCAGAGCTTTAAGCCACTCTCTTTCTCCTTTCACTTTTCATCTCCGGTCCGATCAACGGCGCCGCATCGGCCGCAGCGTCTCCACACCTCCGGAGCCGGCCGACATGAAACCCGGGCGTGACCAAGAGGTTGACGATGAAAAGATCAACCTGGAGCGAGATGAAGAAGCCCAACGTCCAGATACAGCGGGCTCCAACTCTTCCAAATCTGTGGGTGACCAGGACGTCATTGAGCCGGTCACCATAGGCGAGCCCCTGGGTCATATAGATACTCGGCCATCTACCAAGCGTGCTCAGTCAAGAGCGTCGTCTGCGAGGTCAAGAGCCCTTTCTGTTGTCCCTAGATCGAAAAGACGTGGTCTGCTTGCCAGATTCACGCTGGTCCCTGAGATTGCGTATCCGCCTGATTATAAGAGTTCGACGAAATGGTGTCTTACTGGTATTGTTGCGCTGGCCACGGCTGCTGCACCGCTGGGTTCGACTATTGTGTATCGTAAGTCGTTGCCCTGCGTGCCTCTACTCACTGCGACTAACGTATAAAGCTGCCCTCGCTGTTCTGGCTAAAGAGTTCAACGCCTCAGAAACAATTACCAACCTCTCAGTCGCTCTTTACATGATATCCATGGCCATCTTCCCCCTATGGTGGTCCTCCTTCTCCGAAGAGTTCGGCCGTCGGTCCATCTACCTCATCTCCTTCACCCTCTTCGTCATCTTCTCTGTTCTCTCTGCCATTAGCACGAACATCACCATGCTCATCGTCTTCCGCATGTGTGCCGGTGGTGCCTCCGCGAGTGCTCACTCCACAGGCGCTGGTTCCATCGCTGACTTGTTTGAGGTGTTCGAGCGCGGAAAGGCCATGAGTATCTTCTACCTAGGTCCTTTGCTAGGACCTATGATAGCCCCCGTCGTAGGCGGTGCTCTGACTCAGGAGATTGGATGGCAGGCGACTATGTGGTTTCTCGCCATCTATGGTCTTGTGGTTCTTCTCATGATTCTCTTCTTCCTCCCAGAGACACTGCAGCGCAAGCCTGAGACTACATTGCCAATTGCAGATACTCAAGAGCTCAGCCGAATGCGCACAATGGACTCCGCCAAGGTCAAGACAAAGCGTCTCGCCAAAGCCACTCGACGATATCTCATTGATCCTCTGGGAGTTCTTCTCTACCTGCGGTTCCCGCCTGTTCTTATCACCGTGCTTCTCGCAGCGATTGCCTTTGGTTCTCTGTATGTAGTGAACATCGCCATCCAGCAAAAGTTCTCGCGCGATCCGTACAACTTTGGACAGCTTTCCATCGGCCTGATGTACATCCCTTCTGGCCTGGGATACATCGTTGGATCATTATTTGGCGGACGTTGGATTGACAAGATCATGGCTCGAGAGGCACGCAAGGCTGGTCGTTACGACGAGAACGGCAAGCTGATATATCTGCCCGAGGACCGCATGAGAGAGAACGCTTGGGTGATGACTACTATATATCCATTGGCGTTGCTCATGTTTGGCTGGGTACTAAAGTATGGCCTACACCCTGTGGTGCCATGTCTCGCCCTCTTTTTCTTTGGAGTCTCATCTATGCTCGTCTTTGTAAGAAAACATCATCCCTCTGAACTGTATACAGCTAACATGATGTTCTCTAGTCCGTTGCAACCACTATGCTCACAGAGCTTATTCGAAAGCGTAGTTCTTCAGGCGTTGCTGTTAACAATTTTGTTCGTAATACCCTCAGTTGCATCGGTGCTATTGTTGCCGCACCGTGGATTGACGCCATCGACGTGGGATGGGTCTTTACGATTCTTTGCGTATGCTGTTTGATTATTAGCTACACATGTATCATCTTGTTGAGAAAGAATGCGACGAAGTGGAGGAAGAACATGGATGAAGCATTAAATCAGTAGAAGGCTAACGTTGAATGGTCGAAACCACTACCATTTCACTATTACATCTTGTCATCCAACTACTTATAGTAGACCATGATCAGATAAAAATATCATCATGTTCTATATATCGATACTATACCTTCAGCACAACATCAGTCTATGTACTATCTGCAAAGAGCTTACCAACAGCATCAAGACCAACATTACCACCACTTAACACCAACCCAAGATCCCAACCATCTTCACCAGCCTCTTTCTCCACCATTGATCTAAAATCTTCATCGTACAGTGCCACCGCCAGCGGAACACAGGCACTCGGCTCAACAACCAACTTGAACCGCTCAAACACCAACTTCATAGCCGACAGGATCTCATCGTCCGTTACACTGTAGATGCCCGACACCAGACGACGCCCGTAGATGACTGACCAGGGATGCTCGCCTACTGGAGTACGCAGTCCGTCGGCCACGGTGAGAGACTTCACCGATGTGATTCTCGAGCCCGACTCGTATCCTCGCTTGCCATCGTCAGCGCCATCGAAGGATGGCTCTGAGCCAAAGACTCGAATTCCGGTCCCCTCACAGCTGAGGGCAACACCGGAGAGCATACCACCGCCACCGAGCGGCGTCATGATGGCGTCCAACCCTGACTTCTCCTTCTTGGCCCCCAGCGCTGCATTGTCCCGTCCAGTAATAGGCGCCCTGAACTTCCTCTGGCCGTTAACCACAGTCTCATCAGTCATCAGCACAGCGACTTGCTGCTGAAACTCCAACCCCATAGTTCCTTGGCCGAGCATAATATCCGGGTGGTCGTAAGGCGGCACCAGACGTGCCCCCGTCTCGGCAATAACCTTTGCTGCCATGGCCTCGCGCTCTGTTGATGTGCTGCCGCTGAAGATGACGCGAGCACCGTAACCTTTTGTTCCGGCGATCTTCTTAGGGTTGGAGATCTCTGGCATGACAATATGGGCTTTGATGCCACTCTCACGAGCAGCAAGAGCTAATGCTTGAGCATGGTTTCCTATTTTTCGTCAGATAGTGATCTCTCACAGAATGAACCTCCATTATCTTACCAGAACTATGTGTCACAACGCCCTTCTCTTTTCCCCCTCCCTCTAACCATCCAGGCTCTTGCTTCAGCCTCTCAACTGCGTGAAAAGCACCTCTCGCCTTGAAAGCCCCAATGCGTTGCATATTCTCGCATTTAAACCATAGTCTCAGCACTGGTCGTGCCGGAGTCCTACCAGCATAGCGAGTTCCCTCAAGATCCTCCGCTGTACGAGGCTTTGAGGCCAACTCTGTGATAGTCCGGTTGGTCAGAACTGGTGTATAGTGGACATATGGCCTGATGAGCTTGTGAGCTTCAATGACTGAGTCTCGAGTCAACGGGAGGGTTCTCGATATATCAGCCATGATGTGGATGATGATGTTAAGTGAAACTGGTTGAGTTGATGTGTAAAGATAGTCTTTTACTTGAGAAACGTCATGTATCTTATATCCAGTGAATGCCGGCATGCCGATCGTCGGCGAATACTACAGGCTTCCTGTTTCGGTAAATGCCGCCAAGCAAAAGGCCCATATCATACTGCTTGTCGTCGCTAGGGCGTACGTGCCAATGCACGAAAGGCTCAGTAGACTGGATTAATGGGGAATTGTATGAGCAATGCAAAGAATGACACGATTCACAAGCAATTGTAGGGATATTGTTTGTTTTAACGTAAAATAAAAAAATGGTATTCGTTTTGGCTATGAGCCTGATATCAACTTTTGGATCAACCCAGATCCCCCACCAAAGCCCATGAAATTTTTAAAAATTACAGAACATTCATGTTTTCGTAAGAAGCCGTTTCCCAGATATCTCTCGCTCTCAAATCATCCGTCGCTCAACATCATTATCCGCTTACTTCTGGTTCTCGGGTCGGAGGCCACGGACGGCCTTTCCGGCGCGCCAGATCTCCAGGTTGCGGATCTCCTCCATCTCGGCCTCGTACTTCTCACGGTAGTCCTTCTGGCCGTTGTACTCGAGAGATCGCTTGGTCTCGGAGCCATCCTTGACGGAGTCGTACAGAGAGTTGAAGACGGGCTTCAGGGCATCCTTGAAGCGGGGGCTCCAGTCAATGGCACCACGGCGAGCAGTGGTGGAGCAAGCTTCGTACATCCAGTCCATGCCGTTGGCACCGATGAGAGGGTAGAGAGACTGGGTAGCCTCCTCGACGGTCTCGTTGAAGGCCTCGCTGGGGCTGTGGCCACGCTCACGGAGAACCTCGTACTGGGCAAGGAACATACCGTGGATACCACCCATGAGGCAGCCACGCTCACCGTAGAGGTCAGAGTAGACCTCCTTCTCGAAGGTGGTCTTGTAGAGGTAACCAGAGCCGATGGCAACACCAAGGGCGACAGCCTTCTCCTCAGCCTTGCCAGTGACGTCCTGGAAGACGGCGAAAGAGGAGTTAATACCACGGCCCTCACGGAAGAGGGATCGGACGGTTCGGCCAGAGCCCTTGGGGGCACAGAGGATGACGTCGATGTTGGTGGGGACCTCGACCTTGGTGAGGTCCTTGAAGACGGGGGAGAAACCGTGGGAGAAGTAAAGGGTCTGTGAGTGAATATGTTAGAACTTTGTCTTGAGTTGTAAGCAGTGAGTAATGGTGCTTACCTTGCCCTCAACGAGCTGGGGCTTGATGGCGGGCCAGGTCTCAGACTGGGCAGCATCGGACAGAAGGTTCATGACGATGGTACCACGGGAGATGGCCTCGTCGACATCGAACAGGTTCTTGCCGGCAACCCAGCCATCCTGCTCGGCGTCCTTCCAGGACTTTCCGTTCTTTCGGACACCAACGATGACGTTGAGGCCGTTGTCACGGAGGTTAAGACCCTGGCCGTGACCCTGAGAACCGTAGCCAATGAGGGCCAGAGTGTCGTTCTTGAAGTACTCAAGGAGCTTCTCTTGGGGCCAGTCGGCACGCTCTGTGAGATACGAGTCAGTTATTTTGTCCCAATTGATCCAGAAGCCAGGCCGAAGCTAAAGCTAAAGCCCAAGACGGGACAGTGACTTACCATAGACGTCCTCCTTGTGGCCAGCAAAGTCAATGGTCTTGACACCACGAATCTGCTGCTGGACAGGGCCAGCGGCAACAGGTCGGGCAACAGCACCGACACGGACAGCAGAGCGAGCAGCAGCAACGAAAGTTCGCTGCTGGACGCGAGGGGCAGAAGCCAGCTGACGGGCAGGGCCACGGAGGGCCTTTGAGAGGTTGCGAGAAGCCATTGTGATGATTGTGGCAGAGGGAGGTATGTGAGGGAGAGATAGAGAGGAGAGTGTCTGAAGAGAGGATGAGGAGAAGAGAAAAACAGATAATGGTGATGGCGAAAGCGAAAGGTTAAGTAGCTTAAGCTGTAACTAACTTTTCGCTCCTCTCCAAGGGAACTGTTCGCCTGGAGGGGAAAGGGCAGTGACCGATCTCGGCTTAGGTGGGGGGGGCTTCTGGGGCTCTGGGGCCCTGGGGCTCTTACGCTGAGCAGCGGGGAATGGGTCTGGGGCTGGAGTGGTAGAGGCGACTTAGCTACGAGCGTGTCAAAGCGAGAGGAGAGATGTACTCTGGACTTTTCAATCTGGAGAACTTCTGGACGATGCAAGGATATCTCACCTTGACTCACGTATTAGATTCGGCCCAATTGGACGACCGCCAAAGGATTTGTGTGTGTGTGCGTGTGTGTAATGTGTTTGATATTGGTAGTGGTAGATTATTAGATCGCCAGAAGAACTACCTGTAGCTACACGTCAAGATGGAAGAATTGATGTTGATACAGCCCAATTGATTCATTTCAAGCATTCACATCTCTCCAATCTCTCCTTCATAACTCAAACAACTCAGGCAACAAGAAAAAAAAGCACAATTGCGTGGCAAAGAATGAACACATCTTTCGCCCGCACCATCTCGAGCTATCTCACCGTGGAGCTAAGGTCAATGGTTTGACGGGGTAGCCTGCAGCAAAACAGCGGGTCCTTCACTTTCGGAGTATGCGTAGTCTCCCCGAGCCAGGTCCTGCCCAACCTTCGCTAAGCCGCATATCATCCGACGTAACCAACCTCAGGGCCGATTAAGGCGCCTCGGCCAATAGGCATCTCCCGAATTCAACACCATGTCTCCATATCTACGAGCGGCAACGGCACTGCACCGTACTCGGGGTCCGGTCCCTTGGGGTAGACTGCATATCGGGGCATCATCACCTACTCCGGTCGGGGTCAGAGACGTCAAACAATCAAGATCTCCTGGTCTGGGCTGCGTTGTGCTGCGCTGCGTTGGTAGACCCTGTCCGAATTGACTCTTTCAGAAACTCCACCTACTCCGGATTAAGGACTCTTAGCACGTAGATGAGGCTCAACTTGGGGATCTAGGCTCCGCGATAGTCTCTTCTCCACGTGCCTTGACAAGATGATACAGCGAGCTATCTCCCGTCAACCAACCCACCAAGTAGGCACGCATCTCTAATAAAGGCCTTGATCTTGTTCACGACCCGGCCAGGACACCTACAGCTAGCTCCATGACCAATGGAGTGCTTCAGCACCACAACCCAGCCTGGCCCAGCTCGGCCCAAGACCCCTGATATCTCACTTACAAGTACGGATAGACAGCTGTAGTAGCTCGAGACCGGCAGAGACATCTCCAAGAATAGATAGATCCCCAAGCTTAAATCTACCCCACCTCGAGTCACTACCAAGTAAAGCCTCTCCACTGGCACCATCATCAAATAACAAGCCAATGTTGGCAGACAAGCAATACTTGTCTGAAGATCAATCATGAATTGGGAAAACGCCACTCGATGCTCTTTATTCCCAATGCTTATCGTTGTGTCAAACACCCATTAAAGTCGTTCGTTCTATCGTCTCAAGATCCCAACGGCCCTTGTATCCTCAGTCATTCATCCGGTAAAAGTCTTGGGTATCCATCTCATTCTCAACGCTATTTGAGAACCCTGTCGTATGTCGTACCCTTAACTACACCACCTCCCATCGTAGTCCTCACGTTACGCTTGAATCCTTCTCGGTTGTTTCGCAGGTCTTCGGCTGCCTCTTTGTTGAGCGGGTCCGATGCGTTGGGTTCGAGGAAGAGGAACTGCAGTCATGTTAGTCACTGACCTCACAGGCGGTTGCATTTCGTCCTCCACGTCTGTGCATGCAAGGCAGCACTTCCTCATGCGGGCTTCATACCTGTAGGCCAACAATCACAGCATTCAAGTTCAGCACGGGCTTCCAGTCCTCTCGCAGGATGTTCAGGCAAACCTTGCCCTCGAGGTCGATGTTTGGGTGGTAGATCTTTTCTCGGCAGCGAACCTTGGGTGGCTCGTGGGGAAAGTTCTGGTTAATGTTGAAGTCGAATGTGAAGCGGCTGCCGCGGTACATGCCCTCGTCCGGGTCGATCGTAAGCACGAAGTTGAGAATGTCGTCGGGATCGGGGAACTCTGTCTTCATCGTCGAGCCGAGAGAGAGTTCTGAAAGATCTGTTGCAAGCCGAGTCAAAATCTTCCTTCATTGGACGAGCTTCCAGGCAAAGGGATCGGGGCAAGGTTCAACATACCTTTTTGCACACGCAGCTGAGCTGCAGTCACCTTCTTCTTCTTGCCGCCTGTAGCTTGACCCTCAGCATTCTCCGCCTCCTTCTGCTCCTTTTTCTACACGAGAATATCAGTGCCCGACTGCGGTACGGCTATCAGGGTTCTAGTCACCATCGACCATATCTTCAACATCTTAACGTGGGGGCCCAAGGTGGGCTGTATAGTATGCGCCGCTGGAGGGGGAACTTGGATGAAAGAACAGGATATAACCCGCGAATCTTCGGTCTTGGCTGAGGTCTATTTGAAAAGAGACGCGCAAGAGTAAACAGCGCTGTAGAAGTCTAATTGCTGACTGAAAGGGTTGGACTGTGCTGGGAGAAGGATCTGGATCTGGGCGTGCTTAGTAGAAAAGGTGACGATGCTTGATAAGATAGCACCGTAAGGCAGCCAGCAAGCCCAAAGATCCATATGCCCCACCGAAGTTTAGGCGGCGCCAATGGTATCATACAGTGGGCGTGCGAAACTCCCGACAATTTCCTCTATTGTAGATTTTATATAAGATTATACAAATTAATGCAATCTCTTCCTAATTTACATAATTTCATATAATCATAGTCTAACATTATATACAGTCTTCTTAGTATAATATACCTAATACTATCTATCCTAATATAAGTATCTCTTGTTTGCTCATTGTCGGAACTTTTGCACGGAACTGTACAACTGACCTGTAGAAGCAAAAGCATTGGAGACAGCAAATCACAGCAAGATGAAGATTTACAACAGACAAAAGCATCCGTATACACATTTTTAACAAAATCATATCATTCAAATGCGTCATAAACCCCCGGGGGCAGATGCCAATCTGAAAAAGACTAAATAGAGAATGCATTTGCTCGTATCCAGGTCCCTCCTGAATACCCTCTCTTTTGTGGATATCCCTCCATTAAATACACAAAGCCCAACGTACGTTACATAACAAAGGTATCCGGTACAAAAATCCATTTTGTCTACTGTGACAATTGCCATTACTTTCTTGTAATTGACCTCTCCAGAAAAAATGCAGGCGTTGAATGCAACGTGCATAGAGACACATGCCGTGCTTAGTTTCTCGAGAAGCAGCACATGATACCGGTTCGGCCCAGGAACCACAAGAATCCGAAGAAACGCACAAGAGACAGTACGGCAGTAGCGTACAGAAGGAACTGGAAGTAATGCGCCTTTCGCTCTGTGGCAGGTTCCTATCAAAATGTTAGCATGTGCTGCAAAATTCAGAAATGGTGGAAAACTTACACCCCATCCGAGGTTATCAAACTTGTCGCTGGTAATACAAACGATGAGAAGAATGTTTCCGAACAGCCAAGAGACAACGAGACCGGTTCGGAAAGACTTGTAACCATCCTCAACATCGGCCTTCTCAACCTCATCCTCCTCCTTGAAAGGAGCGAGGGCTCGGCGGACAGTCTGCTCAAACTGACTATCAATATCCTCCTGCTCCTTCTCAACTTCTTCGACGACAACCTCGTTCTTCTCTCCCTTGGTGACATGGGCAGAGGGAAGTGCCTCAGCCTTGTCTGAACCCTTGGTACCCCAAGAAACATCGTGCCAGTTGTTGAATGCGTAGACCATGAGAATGTTGATGTAGGTTGACATGAGGATAAGGTAGTACGGGAAAGAGTGGAACATGTGCCAAGGATCCAGGTACATGAACGAGGCGACAAAGTTCAGACCGTAAATGGTGATAAGGGCAACCAAAATAACACCTCCAGCGCTTGAGCCACCGAAGAAACTGTCGAGGAAAGCGTCAGTCGAGGCGAACGAGATCTGGTCTCCAATAGGCGTGTCGAAAGCACGAACGACCAGGTAGGCGGAGAGAACCAGGATGTAACCCTGAATGAGACCAAAGACCATGAACGATGCGATGTAGGTAAACTTGGAACCCTTGGGTCTGTTACCCAGAGCGAGAATGAACTGGAGCATAACGAAGGCCAGGTAGAGATACTGAAGCAGGGCGTTGACAACAGGAGTACCCGTGTCACCGAATGGCCAAGCATGACGACCGGATGCAGCGTTAGGAGCACCCACAAGATCCATGATGACGGAAGTTGTAAGCCAGTACGAACCAAGAGAGAACCAAGCGAAGAGTGTGTTGAGAGTCGTGTAGATGAGCTGAATGTGAAGGAAAAACATGCGGATAATGTTGTGGCCGGACTTGTACATACGACCGAAGTGCATCAGCGAGTACAGAGTAGCGGCGAACGAACCGTTGAGCCATCTTCGACGCTGACTGATGAATTCAGCCGCTCCTTCAGGCACATCGGTTTCACCCTTGGCAGCCTTGATGTAAGATAAATGCCACTTCTGACCAGCCTTGGCGACCAGCTCAAAACACAGAATACGATCCTCGGCCAAGAACATGTTCTTCTTGAAAATGTTCATACCATCGATACCCTTCTTACCAAGCATCTTAGACAAGGTATGATCACCATGGAAATATTGCTCTAGAGGACGTCCCATAATGGCTCGGAATCGGTAAGCAGAGAAAGCACCAGGCAACACACTGACATAACCGAACGAGGACTCAAGAGGCTTGTCGAGAATATTGGAGATCTTGTACTCGAAATTCTGGACAGCAACGAGGGGGTTGAACAGCTTCTTGCCGCCCTTGCCTAGGTTAAGTTAATATATAAAAAAGAGAAGGTAAGACTTATAAATAAAAAGTATTAACTTACCCAACATGGCGTGAATTTCACCACAAGCACCACCGAGATCCTTGTCGTTGTAGAAACCCTCCCAAAGAGCAAGGAGAGATCGGGGACTGGGCTTGGTACCGGCATCGAGCAAGATACACACCTCAGGGTTCAGGATACGACCGAAAGCGTTGAAGAGCCATCGATGAGAGTTGATCTTCTTGGTGTTCTTCTGCTTCAAACAGAAGATCATCTGAACTGGTGGCAAGTTCTGGGAGCCTTCGTTTGTGGGTCGGATAAGTTGCTGGTTGGGGGTAACGGAAAGCTGGGAGGTGTATTCAAAGATATGAGCAACGGTCTCCTTGCCGTCGACATCCTTCTTGATAACACCGTCCTGGTAGACACCAACAGTCGCAAGGACATCGAGGGTGTTCTTGTCAGCCTTATCGATACCGTCGAAAACCAGGCACACAACGATCTTCTGCCAAGCAGGCCCACCCTTGTTCCAGAATGTCGACTTCTTGAGGTTGACAATATCGCGGATGTTCTGCATAGTGTGATGCAGGGTTCGGGCAAGCAGAACCTTATCTTCGTTATAGTATGTAATGGCAATCAGCAACTCAGTGTGTCGGTTGTACATGCGAGGTCGCAAATCGTAACCGTTCTTGAGTGTGAAGTCGTTGGGATCACAAGTGGCAGCGGTGTATCGCATCTTATGGAACTCCTCAGTGCCACTCTCGGCATCGCGATACTGGGGCTGGACAGCGTTCTTGATAGCGCTGGGAACGGGGTAATCAATGCTGAGGACGGAGCCTTGAACAAGCTTGATCTTTCGGGTTTTTGAACGACCGAGGCCGCCGCCGCCACCCATCTGAGGCTGTTGCTGTCGCTCGACCCAGCTGTCCTCGGGATCGATGGCAGAGTCTGGGCGAGGGAAAGGGGCAGCGGCATCGAGGTTGCCGAACTGTCCAAAGCTGCCACCATCACCATATCCAGTAGGTCCCTGACCAGGCATGGTAGATGAGGCTCCGGGTGCGTAAGACTCAGTAAGACTGTAAGCAGAGACAGGGCGGTCGGGAGGAGTTCGGGCGCCAAGTCGATCTTGCTCGTAGCCCGAGTTCAAGAGGCCGCGGCCCTGCTCCTCGTCGTTCTCTTGAGGGGGGAGATGGTATTGCTGGAGAAGAAACAATTAGACTTGCTGGGAACGATTGGATTCCTAGACAAAGAATGTGCACTTACGCTGCTGCCAGCAGGAAGGTCCTGCAAAGCGTGGCCAGCATACTCCTGGTCACGGCCGTTGTACGCCATGATGAATCGTTATGCTCCCGTAGGCGCTCAGCACTGTTGGGATAATAATCGGAACGCGTCGAGTAGGTAGGTGTTGAGCAATAGCGATGTGAAGTGAAGACTGGATTGATGTTTTGAGTTTTTCCGTGATAGGAGCTGAAACAAGGTGGAAAGAAATGCCAATGGTGGTCACGGGCAGCCGCCTATTGTCGTAGTAGGTATAGCAGCTTAACAACTCTAGTGTATGTATGTAGTAGTACGTAGTACCTTGGCCCCAGCAACAGACAAGACAGACAAGAAAGTCGAGGCACCAGCCTCAAGAGAATTGGTGATAGTTGGGGTGGGGGGAAGGGGTAAAGAAAGAGAGGATGAAGTTGAGGTTAGGAGGAGAGAGAGATAATGAAGGCAACGAGGAAAGCCAGTGACAGGGTTTGTACTTTTACTCGTCTGCCCTGAGAAAATGTTTTGATGAAGGGCCCTGGGAACGAATCTCGTTTTGCTCCACGACTGGGCTCACAGCTTGTGAGAGAGAGGTAAGAATAGGGGACTGGGCTCGCGCTAAGCCTGCTGAGCCACCCCACTCCGCCATAACTTTGGGGGGGGTGAGGATCCATCCCATCTCCAGCTGCCATCCTTGTCCCACCGGCCTCTCCTCTCAGAAACGAGAATCTGACTGCACTTGTTGCTGCATCTTGGATAGCGAATCCCAGATTGTTGATGGAAAACACGCAGTTGCCCATTACACTGCGCTGGCGGAGCGTTGAGACGGCCATCCCGCGAAACTTTACTCGACTTCGGCACGTTTGAAGCATGGCTACTGGGCAAATAGGTTCAAGAGGCCTACAGCTCTAAACCATTAAACAAGCGGTACTGTACATACGCATCAACGTGTACAGCGGACTACTCCGTACCAGTACCGTTAGATCACCTCGTCAGCATTGAACCCACCCGGCATTGATGGCTTGGGCGAGGGCTTCAGCCACCGCAATATCGACTTTTTGCTCACCGTCTACCTACGCGGCCTCTCTTTTTTCCACTCCGTCTGACAGTGTATTTGAACTGGGGTTACAGAGCACTTATGAATGGATCATCCATAACCAGAGTGCCAGAGAATATGGAGACACAACTAAGGAGCCCCTGACAACTTGCATTACTCTCCAGCCACGGACCATGTTGTTGCTCACAGGCAGACAGGAGATGCCGAATGCACAAGCTGAGGGATCTCTCGGATTTGCTGCTCGGAATTGGCTGGGGTTTACCGCTCTGGCAAATCACTGTGTTGCATAGTACCTGCGGTTCTGTCGTTTCAGCACGCATATTAGCAGCTTCTGTGGGGAGCAAACGCAAACTTCCAGAAGCCAAGTTAAATACCCATTGGGGTCCCCTTTTCCTCCAAGCGCCGTCTTGCCGAAAGATCGTCATTCCCCTTTCTCCCGCCGCCACTTGCCCTCCGCATAATATGCGTTGGACAATATGTACAGAGGTGAAGGAGAATGAGAATGGTCCCTAATTTCCCCTCAAGGCCCGGGCTTCACAGCTTGGTTCCGTCAGGAGCTTGAACCAGTAAGCCGTCTCCTTTGGCTTGGATGTACCCGCACCCAGCCCTGTTGGCTTACGATCCTTTCCCTCAACCTCAGCCGCTGAGCCTGCTGGATGGCGGACGCCTTGTGGGAGCCCGCTCACCTGCACGCTCGATCTCTTAGGCCTTGGTAGTTCACTAAGACCCGTAGCCGTCAGCAGTCAGATTTAACCATGTCGTGGGTTTTCTACCCAACTACGGAGTACCTTGGTGTTCGGTGCTGACCGCCGACACACTACACACAGTCGGGTTCCATTACTCACAAAGGAAGCATATATGATGTGCCTGAGTTACTTCCCCCTTCTCCTTCAACTCAGCGAAACTCACCGTCTGGCAGTGACATTTTGCTGGTTGCTGTGAGGCCATTTGACGATCCCTCCCTTGTTGATGGGCACTTGGCTGAAGCAACTGACTGGGTTAGTCTTTGTCCGAAACACGACCTACAAAGAATCTGCCACAAAGGTCTCATTCCAAAAATAACTGCTCCTGTCTTGGCTAGTGAAATTAGCTGGATCGAACCGACAGCGGGGGGCTGGGCTGGCGCTGGCTGGCTGGCTGGCTAGCCAGGGATATTGGGGCGCAAGCAGGATATTTTGTGGCCAAGTCGGTGTTGGCCGTCTCTGTTTATAATCGATCAGCGCCTCTCCGCTCTGAATCCAACCCAGCCTTTGATGGGTCAAAGGTGAGATCTTATAACCCGCCTTTCTCACAGCAAACTCGCCATCTTGCTGTGGTGAAATATGCGGACGAGACCACCAAGAAGCAGACTTTGCAGCAAGTTACAGATGCATATCAGCCGAACCGACCCAACGGCGCGCGCAGTCCTCTAATCTCACGTCAGCTTTTGATAATCTGTAGTCCGCCAGCCCTACCGTTTAAGCTATACTGCCATTCGGCTTATTCACGCTTCGTCGATATTCTCGAATGCCGTTGAATGTTTCGTGCTTTGTATCTATATCTCTACCAGTGGCTGACTGATCATGAAACTTCAGCAGTGAGCTTTTGGTGGATGGCTCTCGGGGTCTGATGACATCCTGACTGAGACAATCAAGACCTTGCTGCCCTACCGACACGTTAAAGTGCCTACTCTGTACGGTCCCCGTGCTCGGCTACTTTTCCGAGACATTGACCACTCTGTATTATTGATGTAAGGAAACCTAGAGTTCTTGTCCTAGATCTTAAAGATCCCGACGGGTGCTACCCTGGAGAGGCCTGCGACCGACGATGCAAGGGATGACAAGATGTCTGAGTTCATTGTCTTATGGCAGAATGGCACAACACGAGTCATCATACCAGCTGGAATTGATTGTCCAAGAAGCTTATGCAGGCTGTGTGATTTTTATACAACAGGTAAGCACACCAATCTATGTATCAAGTATCAGTATCGTGTGTAATTAGTAGGCGTGCAAAATCTCCACCGATTCCATGGTCTGAGCCGTATCAAAGATGATATACCTAGTTATACATGTGTTAACAATTTGTTTACATAAGCTAGAAACTTACTCGATAGGTACCAATAAACACAGAGAGATCCCATGTACCACCATACAATATAATTAGTCATATGTGATACTGGTAGAGCAAAGAGTGACTTGATATATCTTATACTGCATGTGGACTTCGATGAGAGCGTCGTAGAAGTTCATATACCCGCCACATCACTAGCCAACGCATAAACAAGCACGGGTTGCCAATATCATTACTTCTATATCCGGTTTCCGGAAGCCCTGCACAGGCCCCAAAAAAGACCGATGCGGCAAATGGTTTTCGCGAAAACAGATAGCATCGTAAACTTCACTTAAAGCACAGGAACCCGCAATACGGAGTACCCAATGAGATATGGAACCAACCTCCACACAATATCGGCGCGGATCGTTTGTAGAGAAACATGATGTTTCCATAGTGGATCAAAAGACTCTCAATCATGCCAGAACGGTTGAACTGAGCAATATTCACTGTAATATGATTTATTGCCAGGATAAAGGTATATGAGAAGCTGTATGAGTACGGAGTAAGAAGCGAGGGTTGTAGCCAGATCGTATGGCAGATTATGATTCGCTACTGGTGATAATTGATATTGGCGAGTCCCAACTAATAACAGCCAAAAACCCAGCATTGTCGTTGCCGAGAACCGTTGATAATCAAACAAGTCGAAGTTAATTAAGCACGCGAACTTGGCAGCGTCTATCATACTACGTATTACCCAGCGCCAACTACGCAACGCAACACGCATACACATTTCTCTTCAAGCCCTAGAAAGAAGGGGGCCCGGAACTTGGAGGCAAGTTTTTCTTATTGCGTCGGGACTTTGTTGTTTCGGATTAAATGACGCGCGTCTGCTCATGCAGTCAAACTGAGCACGTCGAGCCCGCCCAGGTCTGGTATGCAGACTCGTGCCACTGTCGAGACTGCATCATGGTTGGCCAGATTTGATTTTACAGGGCATGGATTTGAGGAGAGGATACCGGTACTGCAACTCAACTATAGCCTCTATGAGGTAGGGTTTCCTTTTGTTCTATGTATGGATTGTTACCGGAACGTTACAGGTACAGAGGACTCGTTCTGGAGCCATTGGGCCCTCCAAGCTGAGAGATCGAACGTTGCCGTCAATAGTCTGGGTATTCAGGATCTAGTTTCTGCATGAAGCCGCTCGTTCATGTTCACCTGAAGCCGGTTGATGGGTTGTGATACCAATACCTGAGCTACCTCCAAGCCGGCGACCCTTACTAAAGCAGGTACCACAAGCCAAGACAGTGCTTGACCGGGATCATCAGGGGCTTTTTAGCACTGCCATGTGGGTATCATTCAGGGATGCGTCAAGCCTTTTCATAAGCCAGCTCGGTCAAGTCGCCCCAACAGGATCACATTATCAGGGACATATATACAGTGTGAGCGATTAACTGTTTCGCTATCGCTGGAATAGGCACAGTCAAGCATCAATACCCCTGTTGCACCATCTCCTCCTGCTCCAATCGATGTCTCGCTCCCACCAACAAAGCCCAGAGGGCCCCAAAGCAAAGCAAAAGAGTGCCAGTGCAAGTGCAAGTAAGTGCCAGTCACAGTCACTCTCTTTCCACTTCCCGCTCCTGCAATCCGCTTTCCTTTCGCCTTCGCTCCTTCATCGTTCTTCACTACCAGACGATCGCATCAATTTCTACCATCGACCGACAACCTCTTTATTGAACGAACCTGAAACGAACTGAGAACAGCAAAGCCACGACTTTGTTTTCTCGTATTTATTCATTTGGATCAATCGCCTGGTCGATTATGTCTTGTTGCGCCTCCTAAACAGCCTTCTTTTCATCTGAGCTAGCCTCTGAACCCACACTCGTTTCTCAACTCACCTCGCTTCCGACTCCTACGAACTCGATTTTTGGATATACAACGATATCATTTACCATTGATCCGTATACAAGAAGTCGACGATAAACACAATATATCTTTTTTTCTCTTATATTTTATATCTTGCGGGCCTGTCACGGATCGCCATTCAAGTCAACTTATCGCCAAGCATTGTTGATAATCCACCCCAAGTTAAGCTTGTGACTGATCACCCTAAGCGATCGACATCTGTCAACGGTCCAACAGCAGATATCATCACAGCCTCCTGCCAAACTCCATACACTCGGACGTCACCATGATGGAGAGGGACGGATACCTCATCGCCAGGGATCTGGATGAGTTGAGTCATGGTAAGTCGACCAGACAGTCGCCGTCCTCTGCTACCTTTACAGCTTCTAACAACTGCCCTTAGCCTTCCAGCTTGTCCCACGAAGCAAGAGCTGTGTAAAATGTGACGATGACGCTCAACTCGAATGTCCAAAGTGTGCGAATGACGAGGTCTGCCAGTTCACCGTGCCTCTAGACTGCACCATGTGTGCCACTTCCTTCTGTGAGAAGGACTCTGACGCGTCTGTCTCCAGCGGCAGTAGTGGTCCAAATGTTGGTGCCATTGTTGGCGGTGTTCTTGGCGGTATCGCTGTCATCGCCATTGCCACATACATCGTGTGGAAGTTCTGCATCAAACCAAAGCGATCACAGATCCCCACATCTATCTACGTCGAAGACACCGACGCCATACAGAGCGAGAAGGATGCTGCCTCGAGGGGAACCCGTCCGCATTCGACACACACCGTTCACTCTATCGCCTCGACCGTTCTCACCCGAGCATCCAACATTATCCAGATCGCATACATCCCCGGCGTCACAAACCGAGCGACTCCTACATCGCCAAACGTTCTTGTTCCTCCCGTGCCACCGATTCCTATGCACCACGCCGAAGCCAACCGCAGCCTAGGAAACGACGATCAGCACTTCTTTGTTCCTGGCGATCTACGAGACTCTACATACTCAGGATTGTCAGGCTACTCAGACCGAACATCATACGCTCGTACATCCTACGCCCCTCGATCTAGTGTGGCTTCTACAATATACGGCAAGCAGGCTCAAGTGCTCACACCCGCCCAGACTGGAATGCGCGCCAAGCCTACCGTCGTCAGCGTCAAGTCCGTCGGTAACAGCAGTGGCGAGCTAGTTGCACCTCCTGTCCCAGCAATTGACTTTGGGAGATTTGGTAACGGTCGGCCCAAGAGTGGTGCCAGCGCCTTCAGCGTCGGCTCAACGTTCCTTAACAGCGCCAACACTGCCACGCAGGCTCGTGCACAGGTGGTTAAGGTGGGAACGTTGAAGAAGGTCGACATGGGAAGCAAGACCGAATCAGACGCATCGTCGTCAACTATGGCCAACTCGCCGCCAGCAACACCAAATGGCAATGTTACCCGGGATTCTAGCATCACAGTCATCGAGGAGTCGCCTAATATGGACCAAGGACCTTTCTCTGACCCCCCAGAACGATCCAGCCCTCAGAAGACCAACAAAGCTCCAAGCCTCGGTGCCGTTATAGAAGACACAGTGGGCGAGAGTGACAAGCCACTGGCTCTTCAAAGGCGAGATAGCAGCCCCTTTGGGGACAAACACGCGACGAAAGAGTAACGAAACCATCTCTACTCCCATATACCGCAATTTCTTTATGAAAATGTCACGAATCTAGCCGACTGTTAGTCAAGGGACATGTTCCAGAATCTGTCTTGATTTCTTTTTTCTTATATTCGCTTCACGTCTATTTTTTTTGGACAGACAAACACCCAATTGTCACGGGATACGGCACCCTATTTTATTTTTTATGTTTACAATTCAGGATAGCAGCGAGGGACTTTAGGTATTAACCATGGCGTCTTGGATAATGGGCTGCGGTAACGGCCCAAGGATGCCAGGAGATCACGGAAGTCTCTATGTGAATATTGAATAGAGATGATCCTATACGTCTGATTGTGTACTGGTGATGTGTGATGTGCAATATTTCTTTGTGTTATGTATCAAGAGCGCTCGTATGAGGAAGCCTCTCAACACAACCAAGGTATGAATGATGCCGTGATGGTTGGAGGTTGACTGAGCCGGACACTGATCATTTCTGTGGGAGTTTGAGGCTATACTACTCCGTACCCGACTACGTATTATTCACAGCGCGTTAGCCGCTGCCCCTCACACCTCTGGCGGCTATCAGCATCCTGATCGTCGTGGTCTAGAGTGTCGATCCCGTGAGGTTATCACCACTACTCAGCTACTAGACAACGCTATTTTCTCCGGCACTGTACATTTGGCACATGATTCTCGTGAGGACGGCTAGAAAGAACCCAATGACCCATTGGCCATGATCTATACAAAATAGCTGGATATAAGGGTTTTGATTTTTATCCAAGGGACGGACGCATCTGTCTGATGGTGAAACAAGCTCACTTGAAGGCAAGGGAGCGGTTTCATGCTGGGACGGCTTTCAGGCGGGCTGTTTCGAGTCTGTACTAAGTTAGAGTTGTAGACATGATCCCTTTGAGGTAGGGGCTTTGAGAAAGCATGTGGTTAAACGACTAAGGTGGTTGATCTATCAGACCTTCTACTGTACAGATGCACCTGTTTTGCGGATTTGCCATTTATGCAAGGCCACAGCCTATTCTAGTCCAGCTAATGGCCAGAGAACCAAATGCACATGTACTACCATGACTTGGACAAGATATAGTGGTGTTCTCCCTTACCTCGACCACCACCAACCTCCTACGAGATCTGTCCGTCTGCCTTACCCTAAGGCGGCACAACTACACCCTCGGGGTCAACAGCGGAATAAAAACAAGCCTTGCGGGTTCATCCGCGAACTCTGAACAGGGTAGTCTAACCAGCTCGCACAGTTTTTTCCTTTTTTTGCTAGCTAACTATTGCAGTGCTTGCTGGAAACGTCGCAGCCCGTCACGTCGATCGCAAGGCTAACAGAGTTGGCCGATATTGTCGGCATCTTTTAGATCCGGCATTGGACGAGACATGACTTGTGAAGCGGCCAGATTGGCTTTGGAAGCTTGTCATGTAGACGTCTGGTGGAGAGAAGCCTTCCGTTTGGACTCTGGAGGGAGGCTGTTGAGTTTACTTTTACCTTGTTGAATGCTGTGTAAGGTGTCTGTTAGTGATGCAAGTGAAGCAGAAACCATCATCCACCACAATGATAGTGTACTCTGTACTACGTACTCCGTGTGTTGACGAAGATTACGTTACGTGCCCAGGCTAAAACCTCACCCTCTTCTTTTTCTGGCTTCTCTTTTAGGGCTTTTCTTCATTCTGGTGTCACTGTTTCTGGTCTTCTCTTCAACCCTAGTCTCGGAAATTCTCGTCCCCTGTTCCCCGAAAGGTTCGATGTGGTGCGTGTGTGTGAGAGTGTGTGTTTGTGTTGATGGGTTCGAAATTCATTCCCCCCCAATCTCCCCTACTGTTGCGTTGGGTTTAGGTTGATTCCTTCGAAATCACTGACCTTCCCCTTCTGTGCATATCCCCATCGCCCAGTTAGTATCCGTAAATGCGGTTGTCACCAACAGCTCGTTTCTTTTATGGATGAATGTTGCAATTGGTTTGCTATACGGATATCATATATATGGCACAATTGGTAATATGCCAAGTGTGACTACCCTTCCTCCCTCCCTCTTTCAGGGTCATCTTAACGCCCGCTGTTTAGTTTCCGGCGATGACGCCGTTTATCCTCCGGCTTTTGTCCGTCTCTGCGCCGTCTCTTCATCTGCCTCTCTCTACCAACACGGGAAGGGCTGTGGACAACCAATTGCATACACCAGACAAGAGCAACTCTCGGGGAGTATCTCACCCGACAAGCCCCTCTCCTCGGAGCTAAAAGAAGAGAAAGAAGAAGTAGGGAAAAGAACTCAAAAACTTCCAACTTCTAGTTAGCTTCCAATGTTAGCATCTAGCACTTGTGTCAGAGCTAATATCATCTTGCCTGGTAGCCTGGTTAGACCCAACATACCGCGATGCTACCTACTGCTATCGTGCTACTGTACTACTTTACCTGTACCTGTGAGAGCTACCTACCTTACCTTAGTCATGGATCTTGTTCCCGGTCCCCCTGCGTAACGTTCGAGAAACAAGGAGTAGGCCGGTAGTATCGGCATAGATTTAAAGCCGCATAGAAACTCTGTTTCGGCACTTGCTTCTGGCATTGTTCTTTCTCGACGATATTATATCTTTACAACTGATGTGGGTAGTTGGCTATGAATTAGTCGTAAATCACTAAAGAGGCACGTTTGAAATCAGGAACAATATGCTTATACTTGGTGTAGTGTTTATACCATGAACCTTTAGTACTTAGAACCTCTATCCGTACCTACGCAGTACAACTCTGGTATAAATGAAGCGCGCCATCGACATATAATCCACAATGGGAATAAATACGCAATGGGTGACGTCCATGGGAATATGTTAGTAGCTGCATATGCACATGCACATCCAAGACTTCCCTCTCCTTTTCCATGCTATTTATTGGCGTTGTTTAGAATATCATTACCAATGAATGCGTGGGGTGGTTAGACTGAGCTTGATACTGGATCACATCCCACACTACGTAGTACGTGTCACTACCTAGGAACGTGGGAACGCTTTCAATCTTTATTTTCTTGGCTGCGATTGAGTTACAAAGCTACCGTAGCTTCTTGTAAACAAAAAGTATTCCACCACGTCTCCATCGCTGACGGGGAACCTTTGTGGCTCAACATCTGCTTGTAGTGTAGCGCGAACTCCTCCATCTTCATATCCATCCATACCCACATCCACATCCACGCACTAACCAGCAAACCCCGCCAATTTCTCTACTATCTATCTGATCGGATCTCTGCTGCTCTGTACTCTTGTCTGTCTTTGAGTTTGGGCAAGGCCAAAGTATCCTGCAAGATCGTGCCGTAAGGCTAAACTTTGCGCAGCACGTGAAGACAGCAACAACAAAAAACGTCGTCTTTCAACTATTCCCATGTGCTACGATCAACGGCTCGCACACCAAGTCCACTCACTGGCAGGGAACATGGTTCAAAGTCCTCCTGCTCGACAGTTGCCAAGGTACGCCTATTCAAACGGAGCTAACACCACTTTCATGCCCTTGGTGAATGAGCCAACATGACACAAGCAAGACACCGAGTACGTAGTAGAGGGGAAACGGGCCCTTGGGATCTTCGTTCGGTTACTTTCTGGTTCAGAATAGCCTTCCCACGCCTGTCACTCACGCATGGACCTTGTCCCGTCCATCAGGGGCAGCCCATGCATGTGTATGTGTTGTAAAATATCACCTTCCTGTAGATAACAACATTGGTTATCAATCCCATACCTCGCTCCATCAACTGTAGCAAATCACCGAACACCATTTGAGTCCCCCAGACGACGCACTGCACGAGTATGACTCGAGAAAATTGCTGAGCAAGTCATTCAAAAATGTAGCCGTGAGGCAGTTGCACATCAGAAACACTTGTTTTAGTCCGTTGTTCTAGTCCTTGTTTAATCGGTTAATGTGCACTACCACGGGTTGGCGATCAGCCTGCCATCATGCACGAAGAGAACCCCTTGATACGAAATGTCAAGATATTCCCGCACGGAGATAACAACACATATATAAGAACTCGCTGGTTTGTGGATGAATACCTAAAAAAAAAAGGTTGGTCGTAAATTTGCAAAAAATAGTAGTATAAAAAGTCAACAGATAACCTAGCGCCCCAAGAATATGCCTCTTTTTGTTCGTACGCCTTGCGCCGGTGCGGAACTGCTTCTGCTTTCGTTCGTCATTCGATGCTGCGTCGTCATGTCGCCCAGGTTGTTGAGCAGTTGGCCATCTAAAAATTGGAGAAAAGTAATAATGTCCTTCTCATATCTCTCCGTGCATCCACGGTATCTTCCCAATTATCTTGAAATCATTGGGCATATCCTGTTCGTCAAGATAAGGGGTTACCTTATGTGTGGTTCTTGACGCTGGCCGGTTTGTCGTTGGCGGATCGACCTGCTCGTCCGCCTTATTTTCCTCCTCTTGCTTGATGGATCCTAAATCCGTAACGTGGCACATCCAATCATAATACGACACACTTGGACTTGCTGCGGTCCTTGTTCCTATTCCTGTGTCGTTCGTCTCGGTCGCCGCCCCTCGCATCGCCGTTGCCTGTTCGCGTCCGACCGCTCGATCTTTCCGAGGGGCGTGAAGATTGTTGCCGCTGCCGACGTAGAATCCTAACCACGTCGTAGAACGCCTTTTCAACATTGATGCAGTTCTTGGCGGAGGCCTCCACAAACTCGCAGCCAAGCTCGCGGGCGAGAGCGTGACCTTCCTGTGTCGAAACCTCTCGTTCGGTGACTCGGTCGCTCTTGTTGCCAACAAGCATGATGGGTACAGGCAACTGCGCATTTGCGGAGGAGATAGGGGAGCCTGGGTAGGAAGGTGACGAAGCGCACGACTCCTTGACTCGTTGAATCTGATGGTGGAACCGTTTGATGCGGGTAAAGGATGAGCGTGACGAGATGCTGTAGACTAGAACGAAGCCTTCGCCATCACGAATCCATTGATCCCGTAGTGCTGTGTACTCTTCCTGTCCAGCGGTATCAAGTACTTCAAGCATGCAAGGCTGGCCATCGATAACGACCTGCTTTCGGTATGAATCCTCGATCGTGGGGTCGTACTGTCGCAGCTTGTTAATTCAACGTAACCGGTAAAGCTAACGCAAGTGCAAGCGGTATCAAACTTACAGTTTCGACAAAGTGTTGCAAACATAACTGAATGGTAAGAGCTGTCTTTCCCACACCACCATCTCCCAGCACCACCAACTTGTATAGCACCATGCGGCCGGCCATGATGATGGCGACGGCGAGGAAAATCGACAAGAGGTAAGAGTCAATAGAAGAGACGAAAGATTGGTCCTCAGAGGAGAAAACACAACTCAGGCGACCAACGGACTGGAGAGGGGGAGGGTGGAGAAAAGAGGGGGTGGTCGGTAACGAGGCTCAAAAGATGAGTGTCGATATATCCAAAGGTGGTTGGAGGTTGTGAGGTCGAGGTCGTGGTTCACGGGCAGAGAAGAGGCGAAGGTGAGGAGCGAGGAGGGGGTGGCTTGATGGAGCAATGAGAGCTGTGATCTAGCACCGACGCCAGCAATTGAAATGTACTGCGCTGTAGGCTGTAGGTAGGCTGTAGCGGCGGGCGGATGTCAAGGCGTCAAGGCGTCGGTCAAGGTGAGGCAGCTGGGCAGGACTGGGCTGGACTGGACCGGCAAGCAGTCAGGCAGTGCAGTCAGTCAGTCAGTGCGAGGCGAGGCAAAGCAGAGCGAGGCAAAGCAGGGCAAATCAATGCAAAGCGACGAATGCAAGGCTCAAAGACACGAGGCAAGCTGCAGGGTGCGCGGCAAGGCAGCAACAGATGTCGACGAACAAGCGCCAGTGGCAAAAAGCTGGTAATAACAATCAAGTGTGGTGAGTAAACGGAAACGAGGATGAGTGCAGCTAGATACTAGATGGTCGTGGATGTAGGTAGTCGTAGTGTCCAGTCCAAAAAAGAGTTGGGACAGAAGGTAGATGTTTGGTCTAGGTCTAGGTCTAGGCTTAGGTGTACGGTAGACGTGGAGTCTGGTCTTGAACTTGCACTTGACTTAGGTTGCTTGAGGTGGACTTGGGCTTTACCTTAGGAGACGGGAAAGATGGGATAGCCCAGCCCAGCCCAGCCCAGCCCATTTCATGTGGGGAACCTTTTTTTTTTCTCTTGCCTATTTTTTCTTCTTCCTTCTCCTTCTCCCAACCAACTACACCCAAACCAAATGCTTGGAGGAGGTCGAGGTCTGTACCGTTCGCTCAGTGCTAGCAGGCCCTTGAAGGTGGGCGCCCTGGAAGCCCAGTAGCCCAGGTGCAGGGCAAGGTTACCATTCGGGCGGGGCGCCAGGTTCAACCAAATACCTGGGTGAGATGTAATGGAGACGCGGCAGCGGTACTCTCTTCCTAGGACCCAGAGGGGAGGCTAGAGGCCCTTGGAGGGGTTCTCTAGGGGGGATCAGCAGCCAAACAAGCCACTTCATTATGGCACTTCGCGAAAGAGATTTACCTCGACCACATGTACTCAGGGTACGGAGTACACAGCTTTAGGTTGGGCACGTTTCGTTTATGGATAAAGTGGAGGGCAATGCAGAAGCACACCAAAGCTACCTCATGGAGTTTGGACTGAGATCACAACCCCAAATGTACTGTTTCTTTGCTACAGCGGGATAACGGAAGTATAACAATTCATCGTCAGGACAAGGGAATCCAGCAAAAGCTCATACACGAACAACTTGGCGATTATTGTACAGTATCCGTACATACACGAGATACTGACCCAACCTAACCCAAGGGACAAAGCTGCCCTGGCCGTCTTCATGGGTAGGATATCGGCTTGGTGGGTGCCCCGAGAAATGGGAGAGCGAGGGTGCTAGGTTTCTGATAGGCGAGGGATGAAGCCGGAGTGGTGAAGCGGTGGACGGGGCACGCCCGGGGCTGGTCATAAAAGCCGCTGTCGAGCGACTCCATTTCCTTTGCATTCCCTCCTCCCTCGCCTTGGTGTACAACAGCAGACACTCTGTAAGCTGCGAAGCTTCCTCGTGTCTGTCTTAAGTCTGATCTCTGGTATCATCACACACATTGCAACATGAGGGATACTGCAGCCCTGCGTCTGTTTTTATGCATGCTCAAGGGTCGGAATCCAAACCTAGATGGGTGTTGTCGGATTCTTCGAAACACCAACACGGGCCGTTTTGGGTTGTATGAGAACTGCTTCTTCTGCCAGGGACAGGATTCAGATGCGACCTTGGTGAGTGAATGATGTGATGTGACCTTTCTCTACGGAGTACGGATACGTGCTGTGTCTTTAGACGCAGCACTATGTACTCCCTAATGTAAGTTCCATGGTTGTTCATCGGCAAGCACCCGGGAGCCCGGGTCACGGCTCGGTTGTGTCGCGGCGGGCGGGCGACTCGACCGGACCTGGTAGGCACAGTAGACTTACTTGGTTACTTTACCGTAACCGGTCTTGGTCCGTAATAGCTTGCACAACAGCTGCATAGTGAATTTGAATGCTGTTTTGTGCTCTGGCAAGTTGGCGTTGCTCATGATAGCTGAAGAACCAACATGACCGGGGCCGAAAACATACGCGCTGCTCTAGATTCCTTGGTGATCTGAGTGGAGAATTGAACATTGATATTGCTGGTTGTGTTGATTGATAATGTGCATCGAGTTTTGCGCTTACCTTTGGAGATGTTGGAGAAGAAATTGATTGATCAGTTCCGTGGCGCGTATCGTATTGATCAATCGGAAAGCGACGAGAGAAGATAAAGGGTTTCTCACGGTGTTTTCTCATTTCCATATGGCTCCACGAGTGGTCTCTTTGCTTTTTCCTTTCCCTTTCTCTCTTTTCCCTCTCCTCCGTAATCCCAAGTATTTGGTCCATCTCTCATCTCCCCCGTCATCATCGTCATCCTTGTGATTCTGCACTTCTGCACCTGTGCGCGCCTCTGAAGTGTGCAGAACTGCAGACTGCAGCCCAACCCACAGGCCAAGCGGTTGCAGGACGGGCAAGTGGTGTGGTTGTGTCCAGAGGGACAGGGTCCTTGTCTCCCCGGGAAGTCCATTCCCAGTCTGGAATGGTTGGCCTTTTAAAGAGGGCCTGCCTTGGAGAAAAGGTGGTGGCCTGTGCGGAAGCCGCTCCCAGCAGAGCTCACGTTTCTTTCCAGGGGAGCTCTTTCGGAAAATGGAGGGGAGATGGACAGTCCAGGGCAGGCACCGGGCATGGAAGACGTCTACTGGACCTCCTGTATCTATCTGTAGCTACCTGCCAATCTTCAACTCCAACATTTCAACTTCATACCATGCACTGACGAAAATTTCCATACCTGGGAATGGATATAGGTACAACACAATGCCTACCTAGGTACCTACATATAGGTAGTCCTGGAGACATGTACCGTTCCCTACTACGTACTGTAACTACAACTGCGACAGTCCTAATTATCCGAGATGACTACAACCCAGGAAAAAAAACAAGCATCGCCAATTCTCCATCATCAAATCCCGACCAGCATTTTCGGAGCCGCGTTTGTCGAGCTCCAGTCGGCGACCACTGACCAGCATCGATGGATCGTCTTAGAACCAATCCTTCCTCTCGGGCTCCTGCTCCAAGGGGCCCGGTCTTACTTAGACAGAGAAGCGAGAAGCTCCCTGGCTCCCTAGCTCCCTAGCTCCCTAGCTCCCTAGCTCCCTAGCTTCCTCCTACAACCACACTCCTCCAAGGCACAGTAGCAGCAGCAGCTCTAATTGTCGTGCGCCCCCGTACGTTACCCTCTGGGGAATTTACGACCCTATCACTTATTGATCTTATTCATCAGTGAGCTTGATTCTCCACCGAAATTTTGAGGTTGGATGGACGGGAGAGGAGGTTGGTGTTGAAGAGTTGCTGCTTGGCTTGGCGACTTGGTAATTAGAGGGCCGGGTCTAAGGAGTTGGTTACTGGGGCTCCAGACCCAGTCAGGCCAAGCGCTCCGTTCCGTATCGTTGGTCTTTGCTCGACATAACGATCAACGTAAGTATGTGTTCTTAATAACTAACGAGGCCAGGTGTATGGTAATGATTAATTACCCTGCAGAAGACAGTATCTTTTCCTGAAACCTATACTGAGTTGGTCGATCGAGGTCATCCTCACAATCATTTGGTCGAATACGACAGCTTGCCAGTTTCTTCTTCTACACGAGGTCTGGTTTTAAGAACAGTCGCCGCCTTTTGCATTGGCCAAGCATGGCATCAACGATGCATGGTTTTTTAACGTAATGCAAATAAAAGGTGATGAATTTCTTACACTGCCAACAAGGTAAATTCAAGACCAGACACACCGTCTTCTGGTAATCAATCATCCAAAGCACAACTGCCTGCCTTTCAAAGCTATTCCATGTCGAATGCTACTTACATGGGCTTCCATTTTGCCCGTCTCGGTACTCCATAGAGACCCTGCTTTTTTCCCGGATGCTAGAGACGGACAGAGACAAGCTTCGGGCTACACACAAAACGTTTCGTTGCGGCAAATCAGAAGTGGCAGTGCAAAATAAGTTGGAACCAACAATATCTGTCGCCAGTCACCTAGTTAAGCAAGTGAGTTGGAGCGGATAGATTCATCCCAGTCTGAATCAACAATCTCATTCTCAGCACAAAGATCAAGGGCGACGCTACTCATGACATTGGGAATTTAAGCGTCGCGCAGGGCCGGCGTTTATCTCACTTCGTCACGCCAGTCACGTACCCTGCTCATAGCATTGCAGGGCAGCTGGGACACATTCAGGGGCTTCATGAGCCTCAGCAACCTCTGAATACACACATACGTGATGGGGTGCTTGTTCTGTTGGCTCGGAACGAGCCCGTATCCTTCTCCGACGTGATATACGACTCGCCGCAAATTATCAAGTTGACCGGTCAGACAGGCTATGCATTGAGAAGAAGTATTAGACAAGCAATTCGAGCGCACTTGGTGCCCTAGTGCCTTTGGACCCTGCGCATCAACGGCCATGCTCATTCACAAGTCGCACGGACACAAAGGCAGTGTCCGTACCCGACGTCAAACTATCGTCATCATCAAGGACCCTTTAATCTTCTTAACGTTCAGTCATTTAATTAATGCCGTGATGTGTATCACGGTCCGACTGTCTAGCTGCATCATAGCCTCCAATGCTCCATCGTGCAGATTTACCCCACACAAGTCAAAACCTTCTGTTGACGTCTCGGAAAGGTTTATGCCTGCTATGTCGAGTCGACATTATCAGAGGAAAAAGAAAAGAAAAGAGAGAGAACAATGGCCTAGCGCTTCTTCTCATACATGTCAGATATCATGTTTCGGTTACGGCCCGCCGGTTGTTTATTGTCTATCACCCACCTAGCTCGTAGCCCTCGGCCCTTGATATGTTTTGAGAAGCTATCACGGGCCTCGCACACTACTAGTCGTATAGGACCGATTAACACACATGGATACCCTTTTCCGCTCAATGGGTTCACTTCTAGCCAGTCCCCATTGCGATCTAGAAACGCCATAGTAAACGAACTGGCTTTGAACAGAAATTCGGATGTCGGACCGCGGTCACAATGTCACACATCCCATGGGGTAGGTAGGCAATAACGACGTTTTCCCCGGAATTTTGCTCTACGGCTGCAGCTAAGTCCTTAAACGACGATTGGACTGAACGTTGCTGCATACCGTTGCGGCCGGCCTCAGTGAAGATTGAACCAGACCGGATATCATTTGCCTTGTCTCGGGCTGGCCCAGTCGGTCAGTCCTGTGCCACCAGATACTCATCTTGCTGTTGTTGTTATTGTTGGCCTTTGGTACGGATAGTGGAATGAGATCCTACACTGCCGGGTGCACGAGCCGATGAGCCCAGCTAGTCGGAACTTGGTCTAATTTCATTCAATGTGCGGGGGAGAAGTTAAGGCCATTCTCTTCTTACCCAAAGCTACAGGTAGGCGGATAATACCAGATGCAAGTGATGAGAAATTGGCAAAGCTGAGCCGTTGAAAGACATCACACGATGTCCATGCTTACAGGCAGCCTACCGCAGCCGCGAATATGGTATGGTATTGAGAGGTATGATGAGTTTGTCAGACTAGCATCACATACGTCACCTTCCTTGTGCCAAGAGAAATGATGGAAAGCTGTATCGGATTATGTTCCAGAACGCGGGTTTCTGGATCAGTGTGATAGACCATGGGTATCAATTGGAATGGTGACCTTCGGGTATGATCAAAAACAGCCATCGGGCAACTGGGAGACAACCCAACTCTCATTACTGGGAATTAACACGGCATCTAAGAAGTCCGAATTTGGAAGAACTAACACACGAGCGTGTACGATTCCAGATCGATCAGCGAGGGAGTTTATTGGGATGCTAACAATAGAAGGCGCTCTATTTCTGGAACAGCCGAGGCAGTTCTCGATTTGCGATAATGCTACTCAGGTCTCTGAATCAGAGATAGCTCTTAAGGCCATGCTGTTCCTCCCTGACAAGAGCTAGGCATGTGCTATGAGTTCCCAGGAGCATCATGCCAGTTCCTCAAGTTTCTGAGCCAGAGTTAAAAACCCTTGATCCTTCTCCGTAATCCAAATATCAACCCAATCTTGCGCCTGTTGATACCTCTCGTCGGCTACACCCCAGGCTTCTTCCCTCGGGCGTTCGATATATACCGTTCTCAGGCCACGGGCTCTAGCAGCCTCGAGATCGTTCAGGTGTGCAGCTACCATAGCCACTTGGTGAGGCTCCAGCCCCAACTCGCGCACGGCGCCAGAGTACACCGCCGGGTTTGGCTTGTACGCTGCAAACTTTTCAGCCGAGAGAAGATGCTGAAAGCCCAGGTTGCCAAAGTCGTTCAAGTCTCGAAGCAAGGAGAGATTACCGTTGGAGAGCGTGCTGGTTTTGTGAGTCTTGCCGAGCTTTTGAATACCCTCTGAGGAATCACCCCACGGCGTCAGGCGGTGCCAGACAAGGCTCAGCGATTCAACCTCGGAGGGGCTGTATAGACCGGTTAGGTTCCAGGCCTCGAGTAGCTCAATCAGGCTATCGTGATGGTGTTGATCAATGGTCTTCCACGTATGTTTCTCTGGGTCAAAGCCTCTGGTGAACCTCCCGTACGAGTTTCTCCACTCCTGGGCAAACCGACCCCAGTCTTCATCAGTGAGAGCTTGAAGTCGAGTCTTGAGAGCTTGGTCTAGGTCGGAGGAAGTTTTGCGGAACGCTCGAAGGGTGAGTTCCTCGGTTACGGATGAGCGCCAGTCAACGACGGTGCCGAAGACATCGCACGTAAGGGCTTTGACTTCGCTGAGCGGCGAGATTGCTCCTGGTGACATGTTGAGGTTTCGGTTAGCAGAGTGTGTATAGTGTTGTAGATATATTGCTCCTCGCTGCTTCTTTGATGATGTAGTTGCTGCAATGGTTATTGCGCGATGAACTCATCGAATATAGAGGCATGTCACATGATATTCTGCGCCCTTCGTTGACAACAGGTTGGTAAGTGCCGCGGCATAGACTCAAGATCAAGCAGGAGTCAGCGAATTTAAACCGGCAGATACTGATGAGCTTTGTTTATTCAGCCTTTGAAAATGTTGGCGAGTATATCAGAGTCATTGGTGTTTAGGGTACCTTGAGGCATGACGACGGTGCAAAAGACTCTGCCATCGTTTGATATTTTATATGATTCGTGATACAATGGTGGGGGTGGTTTATAATAATCCGCATGAGTGAATATATATGTAGTCTCATTACACCTAGTATTCGACCTGATATCCCAACTATGCCACCGTTGTTGTATGATAACTCTCGGTAAGGAAGACATGCAGTTCGATTAAATTCAGCACTTGAACACTGCTATGTGATGAACATGAGTGGAGTTAACTAGACATCGGGATTATCATTCCCTACAAAAGTTAAATGTTATTGATCCCATTGTTGTGTGGTATTAACAAACCTCGCTCTTCTGATATATATCATGTATGGAGTGGGAATACAACGGGACAAAACCTCCAACGTGGAAATATAGTATTTAGTTTTACAAAGCATTAGGTACCTGGTAAGAAACCCTAAGTAGTTATATATTGGCACAATACTCTACTCTCCACATAGTATGTGGTATGTTTGATGTCCCAGACCAACAGGCTAGATACTTGAAAACACTGTCAACATAGTATATTCGGAACTGCAAGCCGAGTCAACGAGAATCACGTAACATTCAACGTCACATAGAGCACAATATGGATGATAACACAGTGTAAAAGAATTGATTCCTACCTTAAGTAGTCGTATGCCATAGTTACTTTGAACAATATGGTTCAAGAGTGTGATGGCACTTGCCAGAGCTTCATATACCCTTGCTACAAGCAGCCTTTTGTCCTAACCCATAAATATATATACTATTGGCCTTATGTTCTTTAATACGACGGTTATTAGTCCGTATGTTATAATGGCATAGACAGTTACTGGGACAAGGGGAACCAAGCAGATATCTAATACGATCTAAATTATCTTTAATATCGGCGGCTGGTGAAGTACTTTCAGAGGCTTTCATAGTTGCATCATTGCCATATGTGTTGAACTATAACCGTTGTCCAAATAAATATCCATATGAGCCAATTACCTTAAAGGCATGGTGGCACAGCATAGCCAATGTGTTCCACAACATACGTTATCACGTCGGAGTAGCTCACAGTTACACAGCAGCTCGAGGCCTCACTTCTCAACTCCATCTTCACCTCTTCGATAATAGGTCAAGGCAATAACCCTAATTCCAACCACTCCCTGGTCTATTCCTTGGGTTCTATCGATGGTATTGTGCAGCGAAGGTTCCAATATAGTATATCAGATTGTGGAACCCGACGTGAGTTGCTGACATGACATATCATACGCCAAGATTTTGCACACATTACAGATTACAGATGTACGAGGCATGCATATGATTACCTCGCGGGAGTTTGTGAGTATCAGTTTGATGTTGACCGAGTCAGATCTCGTTGTTAATCTTGTGAGTTGTCGACATGTTCTGAATAGATTCCCTGCACCGGAACGAGAATGTATGGGATAACCCCCCCACCAGGGATCCTAGGTAGCGACATGTGCTACGCCTGTAGCCTTCAGATAAAATATTATTGTACAGAGTATGGATATCTCACGGTCTCATCCCACGAAGCGGGTATGTTCTTTGGGGATACGGGGTTGCCGACTGCAGTTATGTTTGCATAATGCATCATCACCAAGCATCAGGGGAACGAGAATGGAGAGCTCGTATAGGCCCCCTGCACTTTTGACATATAAAACGTGCCGGATATTACCTGTCACTCTATACTACAGGCGACAATTGTTATATCTATATTGTATTACCATTCAGACTGGAGTGAATCAGTGAACTATAACGAATGAACCTTGTTTGGCTACATCGTTTCACCTATAGGCAGTATGTGATACGGAGAGAAGGCTCATGGAACGCGTACTAACCGCATGTCACATGGTTTTGATAGCTCAACTGTTGTCGAGCCGAGACAACAACAGCGAGAGAACACAGAGAGATATCGTATTAGCATAAACAAGTCTTATTTGTTGAAGTGGGTTTGTCTGTATACTATTGACTGATGATATGGGAGAGAGCATACACAGATCTGAACCGGTGAGGTCGGAATCGACTATCTATGCGCTCTGACGAGTCTGGCTTGCACGGATTTGACTAGCAAAAGCAAGATGATCATACAACGATGCCGTCTTACTGACGACCACATCGGACCATTGCTTCCTGTACACCCCGCTTCATCTTAGCTCTTGCAAGTTGCCCGAGGGAGTATGAGAAACTATCCAGTCATGATGTATGAAGGAAGGATTGACTTGTGACAACGATGAACAGTCAAAGCGTTATTCCTACTCGTCGTACTTGAGAACCGCGTTACTAGTCAGAAGTGTGAAAAAAGGAAAAAAAGAAAGGCTCTTCTGCATCATGTATATTGAGTTGGACTCTCTTGGCAATCAACACCACAACCAGCCAGATCCTGGATTGCCTCCGTGCACTCCAACCATGATTGATTGCTTTTCTAATGTTTATTCCTGTCCACTATCTCCTAAAGCGTATGCTGCGGTGGTGCAGTTTGGCATGCTACTGGTGTAGCGAAATTGGGGTGTTGAAAACTTTGCAGATATTTGTGTGTTACAATAGACAGCACGATACAACGGATCAATGCTTATTAAAGTTCAACGTTCCACTGGGCACATGATATGCCGCGATTAGCGAGACAATACAATCCCCTTTATGATTTACAAGGGCCCTGTGAAGCCAAGTGGAGGTTACAAAATCAGATCATTGGTTTCTCGTTGCTTTTTCTACGGCGTGGCTTTACTTTGACATATGGCGACGTTTTGTGACAGGATCAGCCCTGCTGAGTTGGCTCTCTTGTGACAGAGCCCCAATTGTTGCGACTCACCGTTTATAAACCTAAGTGGAGTGGATGAACAAATTTATTTTATGAGTATTACACACCGCAGATGCTTTTTGGTGACGCGCGGGAAATGGCTCTCGTATGTTTATTAAACTGTATTTTCTGAAACCGCGGAACAAAACACTAAACAAACATGCAGGGTAATGAATCCCATAAGAACGAGGCTGACCCACGTTTTTGACTACTCTCCATCATCTGGCAATGAAGCCGCATGTTTCATGTGGCAGCGCAGCGCTCTGTTAGCGCGTGTACTATGAGGGGGATTTGCAGACACGAACCGTCCTATCGGCGCCATGAATCCTTGGGTATTGTGCTCGGTTGAGCCCAAGATACGTACAAAGAAGGCGCTCGACGATCGAATAATCACATCGTCCCCTTTTCGACCCGACGCTGTATTCATGCCGGCTGACAGCAATCGTGTACATCGTAACTGAGAAACAAACATGTCAGGACCGAGGACGGGGAACGTTTCTGCCGGCTGGCCAGCTCAAAGCTGTCTCTGCATCGAGGTCTGAAAGGCCTGCGCCTGGGCTAGTGGATAGTGAATGGAACAAAGTTTAATGAAGGCGGTATTTCCCGGCTGAACCGTTGTAATAGGCTCCGATGGTACGAAGGTCTGTCTTTCGAGACCATCGATAACGCCTTGACCTCGTTTGTGATCGGAGTCAGACGCTGGTCGAGAGTTGAAACAGGTCGAGATCGCCGCGGACTTGGTTTGGCTCTCAGCACGCGCACGTATCTTTCTCAGGCCCGACACAAGCGGGAGGCTTGGGCCCTGGTGAGAGATGCGGCCGAAACAGGCCGGGGAATCCGGTATACCTGTTCGGTAGTTTATTGGAACCCGAGCTGATCTTTTCCCTCAACAGATTTGCGCATTTATCTAGTCTGTACATGCTTTAGTTTAGCAAGAAGACGTCGATGCCTAATCTGCTGATCCTACGGGGAGCTATCCAAAGGAAGGCAATCAAACAGTACTTCGTATTGAGATACAAATTCAATTCAACCGTCCTGCAGGAGCAGGATTGGGACAATACAGTACGTACTCAGTACTTCCTCGTTCTTGTTCAAGAGAACGAATGGTCAGTGGGCGGTAATTAGCTAAGTAGCTAGCTTGCCTGCTTGCCAACAGGCTGATAATCAAACTGAGCCCATTCAAAGTGGAGTGAAAGCCAGGATCTTTTGCAGCAATCATCTGGGGTGCAGCTCGGTAGGAGAGGTACGAATGGTGCTCTGTTGTGCATATCCTTTAGAGCATACAACGTGCAGTTAGATGGTGTGACAGGTACTCCGTATTCTGTGATTGCTACTCTCGAGGACAATCCAAGTCATGAAGACTGAAGCTGTTGCTAGTGACACTGAATCTTTGATCAACTTGTGTCGATTGAGCAACCCCCACCTTCATCAAATAGCCGTTGGACAAGGGGATGATTATCGTCTTGACATCTCGGCAAAGGCTTTTCGTGAGATTGGGCTGGAAAGATTCATTTGTGATCGTTATGACGGCCATATTGGATGTGCCTTTATCGTTAGGTTCACGTGCCCTTCTTATTGATGACTCCGTCGAGAATTCGACCAAAAGAGAAGAAGACCGAAATACATCATTTGCTTGCCAGTCTAGCCAGTCTACCCCCGGTAGAAGAGGCTTGTCTGGCTCGTGCATTGCTTGTCCCCTTAGGCTTGAGGCTCCGAGTACCAGATTGTTGGGCCAGACGATGGCCTGGCTTGGAACAACATAGAGCTCGCTTCTGGTCGAACTGCGCAGTGAAGTCGTGTTTGTGCAAGCATAAGCATCGAAGTATCGGAGTATCGAAGTCGTTACATCATGGGAGCCAATTGTGGAAGTTGATTGTTTTGAAGGAGGGATTAAGTAGGCAGGGAATTTCCGTACTGCGATGCTGCCGAGTAATATCAACGGCCTTCAAAGAGGTGCTTGAATGTCATAGTCAGGGATTGAAAGAGATTGCGCTTGCGGCGAGGCCAGGCCCAGCACGAAAAGCCCATACGTTAACTCCTATTTGATCCACCAACCTTGGAAATATGCAGGACCGATATTACGGCACTGCAGGGGAGGTGGACGAGTTAGTGCGTGCATTAGCTTTCCCGGGGAGGACTCTTTAGCTTATTTGGAGGAAACGAACGTTGGTCTTGTCCTGGCTGCTCAACGAGGGTTCTGGGAAATGTGATAATAACAGGTTAATATTAGGGACTAAACTTACGGAGTAGTAGATGTTGCTACTTCGATATCCATGAATGTGTACACATTTTAGTCCTCAGGCATCAACGCCTGCGATGTCTTGAGTGTTCCTGCCAAGTTGGACTACAATGTGGTAGGTAATTTAGAAAGTGTGTCGCACAAGGAAGGTTGCTTCCAAAAAATAATGGAAGGCCTCAGTCATCAATTTCCTCAGCGGCCTTAATGCGGCCCCCAGGAAATAAAGACTGTTTCAACATTGACTTCATCTGCATCTTCTCAGCTCGAGCACATTCTTCAACAAATCACCCGTTGTCTCTTCTCGTCGCAGTCCCCGGACCCGATCCGCGGACCAGGATGTACGTAGTAAATATGTATATGTGGGATGGCAATCAACTGCAGACTGCAGCTGCAGCTATTACAGATGCAGACCCGACCTGCAAGCCAGGCCTAATTAATCACTTTCACAATCGACAACGGCGTATCTGACTGGGGTGGACTTCTTTTGGACCAGCTAGTCCTGATTAGGTCAAGCGACCATGGAGGGACGGATCGAATCGAGAGGCGTTGATGGCCGCCAGTCCATGATATGGAAAGGCGTACGGATTACGGAGTACAGTCAGTTATGAACAACAACAAAGTTATTCGAGTTAGCCCGGAGCTGACAAACTTTTACAACAAGAGCTATTGGTTGACATTGCTTCGTCTGGTGTCAGGGGTTGTCAACATGAGCATGGGCCATCTTGGCCCACGTCCAATACTAACTCTCTGACAGACTCGGGCAGAAGCCTCCTTCTCAGCTTCTTACATAGCATAGCACGCCTCGTCCGAAGCCCTCACGAGAGCCTCGACGTTGGGGCCGTCACCCTCCATCTCTTCTCTCCAGGCGAGTGAGTAAGCCTCGTCGACCCTTAATCAAAGGCAAAGGTCCAACCTTCTGGCTCCGCTCCACCTCCCGTCCCCTAACAAGTGGGCCGTTCCCTTTTCTGCTCAGACTTTGCAAGGTTCCCCTGCCGTTGGCCCAACCCAAATGTTGATTTGTGTTGGTGAGAGAACTGAAGTGCGTATCCCCTGTCTCTTCACTCGCCGCTGTCACCTGCAAGGCTCTGCTCTTTTGTGGAAAGTTATTGGACTGGTAGAAGTGAACGCCTCAGAAGTGGATACTTAACAAGGACATGGCAAGGAGCGCCCGCGTGGGCTTTAAGGCGACCCGCGTCACTACCACCTACCTTTAGACCACTTTGACGGTCTTGAACGTCTTTAGAACGACTCTTATCTTCCCATTCTCGCTGTTACGCCTGTACCCTCCTTTCTCGTTCTCTTTCGGCTCCCATTTGTTACTACCACTGGTATATTTCTACTGCTAGTGCTGGTACTGGCTTTTGATATTCTTCTTCATACCAGCCTTGCGTTGTTCCACCTCACGACACCAGGACTTTCTCCCGGTTTATTTCACGTCTCTCATTGCGCTCGATGCCATGGCATTGTCTTAGCCTGTGCGCTTCTGAGTGAGCAGCGAGGTCAATTCGAAACGCTAATTGCTTGCTTACCTCTGCAATGTAAGTCGAGACATGTTTTTGCATAGTGCTACTCGGCGCCAGTTTCAAGGCCTTCCCGCTGTCTCATGTTCTATTTCTTGCAGTTTTGATATTTCTTGAGCCAATGACGCGCGGCGGGTTATCCATTGACTAGTTTTTCCTGAAAGACTCATATAACTAACGGATCTAACGTACAGCAATGGTAGGATTCACATTGCAAACGACAGCGTGTCCATCACCATTGGCTCTTTTCTGTCCAGTTTCGAGTTGCCAGCCTTTCCAATAACAAAATTCATTGTGTCTTGTTCTATTCCGCCAAGCACACGGCACCGAGAACGTACCAGCTTGTACGAGCGGACTTCTAAAGTCCATCCTTTACGGTAGTTTATGAAACGAGGCTACTGGATTCCGTTCTTTCTACTACAAGGTTCAACCGCATTCATTAAACTTCGATAGCTGCAGAGCTACTTGCGCAATTTCATCATGGGCATGTGGGAAACAGACGATGAGTATCTAAGTGGCCCGGCTGCTACTTCGCTGCCAACACCTTTGGATACTCCCTATCGCACGCCTTCGAGAACATCAAAAAGATCGCGACGCTCAGTTACACCACCTGGAAAGGATGCTTCACCTCCGCCTTTGCCCAGCGAGATGGGTTCCAAGAGATCATCCCGGAATATGCCACCCGATGAAACCATCAGCATCTTGGACCCCAGGCGGTTTACTCCTACACTACACGCTAACTTGGTGTCCGAAATTCTTGCCCTTCGTCGAGATCAGGAGGAGAAAACCCGGCAAATTGAAGCCCTAGAAGCATCTCTATATGCAGCAAAGGAAGAGAAGGACGCACTGAAATCGAATCTTACGGAAACAGGCAAGGAGAGCAGGTCCCTTAAACGCCAACTTTCTCTTCTCGAAGGCGGATCTTCGTCCGCACTCGGCGAATTGTCACGGGAACGTGACGATGCTGTTGAATCGGTCGCTGATACGAGGAAACGACTTGAGACTGCTCAAAAAAAGATTCGTTCTCAGGAAGAGGACTCTTTGCGAGTCCACGAACTATGGGCACAAGAGAAAGATGAATGGGAGGAAGAGAGGCGAAAGTTTGAACGCCGACTCCATATTGCAGAAAACCGCCTAAAGAACGTTCTTGACGAAGTTGCCGCATATCAGCAAGCTTTCAGTAATGCCAACGGCGGAGGCAACTATGGGGCAGCTCATGGCCATGAAAGTGAAGTGGAAGAAAGCGGTCGAGAAAACGACGCTGCTAGTGTCAGAACGATGAGTATGACCAACAGCATCCGGTTTTCCCTGCAAAGCGGTCCTGGAGTAATGAGATTCAATGGCAACTCTCTTGCAGATGAGCTCAATTTCGACGACGAGGACGAACAAAGTGACTTCGGCGGGCGAGAAAGCGCCATGTCGAATTACGCAACATCTTTCCACACAAGGAATCTCAGTCGCGATAGCCCCGTCAAACGATTCCATGCACGAAACCAGAGTTTCGACAGTATCAAGAGGACAGGAAGCGTAACCCGCGGTAAACTTTTCATGAACGAGCCGGTGCCAGAAGCTTTGGAAGATGAGGATGAGGAGAAGGACGATAACATTGCTTCCCCTAAGGTCTCGTATACCGATACAGGAATTCAGTACTCGCCGCCACCTTCACCTAAACTATCACCCGTGAAGCCTGCGACGCCTGAGCCTCCAGTTCTTGTCAAGCAGCCAGAAGTTGAGTCTTCACCACGAGCAGATGGAGAAATCGAGGCCAACCAACGCCGGAAGCGTGTTCATCCCCCACTCAGCATTGAGCCACCAACTCGACGTATTATGGTCTCGAGTTCCGTACAAACGGTTGAGGAACCGTTGGTACTTCCCATGACGCCCAAAACACCCAAATCGCCTACTCGACCGCCGCCGCCACCACCTCCAGTCCTGCCTCCCATGGTTGAAAAACCTGTAATGGCTACCTCTTCTACTCAGACCGAAAGCTCGCCCACTCGACCACCACCAGCTGTCCCAGCCGCTTTGACACCCGCACCTCCCCTTGCCATCCCAAGCATCAGTGTTCACCCCCCTACTAGTCGTCCTAGCACACCCAAGGAGCCACGATTGCCAGTGCTTCACAAAGATTTTGGCTGTCAAGTCAGTCTTCCTTCGTCAGTCTTAACAGCTGAAGCGGGAGTACAGACAGAAGGTATTCAGACGGACAAGCGAATGGCATTGCTCCCACCTCATCTTCAGCCTTCTGCGATTTCTTCACGGCCCTCTTCACCCAACACATCAGCTGGCGTTGACGTGACGAAGAGTTTCACACCAGTCCCTGGCAACGTGCCCCCACGAAATCCTCGTCGACTAAATAGGCAGAGCTTCAGTGATCAACCATCATCACCAATTTCCGTTGTGGACGATGACACCCTCCACGACATTTACCCTGGAAACAACGACGACGGCCCTCTTTCAAATGAGAAGGCTCCGGTTCGACGCCCACATCGCTTTAGTAGCCTTTTCGCTGGTTTTGATGGAGGCAGTACAGACGAAGCAGATGAATTTGGTGACGCTGACTTGAGTGATCCCGAGTATCAAACAGCATTATCTGCACCCCGTCCTAAGTCTATCTCAAGTCGTCTTGGTAAGCGTAGCTCAACAGGGACGACTGGAACCAACGGAACCATTCCAACGTCGCCTGAGCAGATCATGATGAGGCAAGGCCCTCGTGTCACCACTGAAATTCATCACGCCTTCATGACTAAGCCCGGAAGGGCTTTCGAGAAGGGTCCTTCAGCCATGCCACCTAATCGGGCCAGCATTATGAGAAAAGCGGCCATGATTCAGAGTGGCATCGCCAGTCATCAAGGTCAAAGTCGGCCAAGAAGTCCCAGTCTGCCCGAGACCAAAAACCCTCCCCCCTTCCCAATCCCCACTAGAGCCAGCTCCAGAAACGTTCCCACAAGCGCGAGTGCTCCTAGTGACGGCCAGAGAAGCCCAACTCGAGAGGATTTCTTCCAGCGACGTGGATCAGGTCGTGTCTACCGGGCGGGTAGCGTACGAAAAGTCCGCTCTGCTGCTGCGTTGCCGCGTCACCATCGGCATCGTAAGCAAGGCAGTCGGTCTTCTCCTCCACTGTCCCCCTCCACTGAAGCTCCCGAGAGCCCCAGCCTCCCTCCTCTACCGAGAAACGACATTACAACTCCTCGTCCTCGGGCACGTCATAGTGGTCAGTCTAGGCATCAGCACAAGCTTTCCACTAATACAGATAACACCTTTAACACCTTCAACACTTTCAATACTGGAAATACCGGAAACACTGGAAACACACTCAATACCTCCAGCACTGAGCCACCCTTCAGCCCCAACGGTCCGCAGAACACAGGTGTAGTAGATGCTATCGCACAGACTATGGTTGGTGAATGGATGTTCAAGTACGTCCGCAGAAGGAAATCGTTCGGCGTGGCTGAGAGCAATGGCAAGGATGATACCGGCAATGATCGTCACAAACGATGGGTTTGGCTTGCACCCTACGAGCGAGCTATCCTTTGGAGTAGTAAGCAGCCTTCCTCTGGTAGTGCCCTGATGGGCAAAGCTGGTCGAAAACGTGAGTTACCCTCCGACTTTGTTGACAATTGCACCACTAACCAATGTAGTCACAATACAATCTGTACTGGATGTCAAGGATGATAACCCCCCACCGAAGGGCGTGACATCAGTATTCAACCGATCCATTTTAATTCTGACGCCGCAGCGAGCCCTCAAGTTTACGGCAGAATCGCCTGAGCGACATTATATCTGGCTGACAGCCTTATCATTCCTCGCACATTCTTCTCAAGCAATCCCTGAGAATATTTCGGTACCACGAATTCAACAAACACCGCTGCCCCAATTTGAGGCACCTCAGCCCAAACTAAAACGGGGTGGAATCAGAGACTCTATTCGTCTTGCCAAGGGGCGTACGCTTGCTCACCGTGCTGGGCCACCTAGTGTTCCAAGCATTCCAAGTATCCCAAGTGTCCCTAGTGTACCATCTTCACAGATGGGAGACCATGCTCCAGTTGCAGAATCTGTGGGAGGATTCTCAGGTACCCACTCTAGGGAAGACTCGAGAGATGCAGCGGAACCTCCATTTATCCCACGTTTCCATGACCGAAATCAAAACCAAAACCAAGCCATGGTCCATGGGCGTAAGCGAAGCAACACAGGTGGTCATGTACCACCACCACTCTCGTTCCGAGGCTTCTCTGGACCGGCTGTGGGAGTTGGTCATCACCAGTCAACCAACAGCAACGCTGGCAACAGCACGGGAACTGCGGGCTCTTCTGATATTTACCAGTCTCAGGCATCGAGCAATGGGACGTGGCCGATGAGTCAAACGACTTCACAGCGCACATCTGAGGCCTCGTCTCGACCAGGCAACTTCTTTGATGCCATCGGCACTGTCCGAATGGAGGCTTTCATCAGCCCGTTGGCATTTTCTCAAATCAACGATTATCCGGATGAACAGGACGAGTTCCGCTACTCGCTTCGGAGACGAAGCAAAGAACAACGAAGACGGCAGAGCCGAAGTCGTCAACGAGATAGTTATAATTCTCGCAGTACCCGTATGACACACGACGACTACTATAGTGGAAGCAGAACCGCGGGAGAAGAGGACTTCTTCCGTGATGATCCATTCAAAGGATTCTAGCATCTACACATCTTCACATACCAGCCACGACGGCATTTATCACTTTCATTATTTTTGTTTCATTTCTTTGTCAACTTTATTGAATATTATACCCTTTTCTGTATATACACTTTGGGAGTGGTCAAGAACCTACTTGCGCGGGTCATTTTAGCTAGCACTTGCTGTATGGGGTCTTGTATCAATGTTATTGTCAAAAGGAGGATGATAAGCATAAAAAGCTTGGAGGATGGGTGGATTGTGGGATTGGCTTATTGAAGGCCAATGTACGAGACAGCGGAGGATACGTCTGACAAAAGTGGACAGACAAGATATACAGATCAGGGTAACCATCTCCAAGCGATGAGATCAGGTTGACCTTGAATAACAGTAGATAGATAAATGAAGACAAGGCATAGCCTGTTTCCATCAATCGCTCATGGGTCGGGATTCGAGTCCGTGATTATCGTGCAAATGGCTTTGTAGCCAATGTTGTTAACCAGCTGGGTTTGATATAGTTGTCGCAGTTTTGGCTTATATCGACTTCCTTTGGCTTTGAGCACGCTTCCAAGCCAACACGCTTACTTACTGAAGCTGTCTTTAGAGACGTCATGTCCAGTTCAGATTGCCCCACAGATGAAATTTCCCACTACCCCGCGATTCACCCAGCTTATCCAAACAAGTACATCTCCTCTAGTCTTTTCACCACATGATATCTCAGGATATTTGAAGGTATTCCAATAATCTTCCAAACTCGAATCCAGCCGAACTTCGTAAACATCATGGATAACCCCGCGCCTACAGAGACACTCGAGCAGGTCCAGACGCGGCATCGTCGTGAGCTCAAGGATCTGCAAGGTCGCATAACTGGCAAGAAGAAGAACGCGACTAAGAAGACGCGCAAGGGCGTCAATGACGAATGTGCTGAGTTGGAACGCCAGCTGCGTGAGAAGCAAGCCTCAGAGATCGCCGCCCTGGCTCACAGCGAGGATAACAACGACAACGACGAACAAGACGATGTCGCTCCTGAGATCAGTAGTCAGGGAGAGGAAGATGAGCTCGCCAAGGAGACTGAAAAGCTTAGTGTCTCGGAGCCGGTGGAACAGCAGCAACAACCTGGGAAGAAGCGCAATCGCCAGAAGGATAGACTCGCTCGTCGTGCTGCCGAACAAGAGGCCGAGGCGCAGCGTGCGGAGGAGGAAGCATCTAACATGACAAACCACCGAGCAAAGGAAAGCGAATTCATGAAGGCGACTTTCGAGAAGAATGGGTTGGTGGAGAAAGACATCGCGCCTGATGGGCACTGTCTCTTTTCAGCGGTGGCAGATCAGCTCGGACAGAACGACATTCCTCTGGGAGACAGTGATACACAGAAAGAGCCGGCCTACAAGACGGTGCGGCGAGTAGCCTCGAATTACATGTTGGAGCATGGAGATGATTTCGCGCCATTCCTTGAGGAGGATCTAGAGGGATACGCTCGCAAGATGCGAGATACTGCTGAATGGGGTGGCCAGCTCGAGCTCATGGCTTTGGCACGACAGTATAAGGCGGAGATCCGCGTTGTGCAAGATGGACGCCTCGAGCGAATTGGCGAGGAAGAGGGAGCCGAGTCGGGCAAGACGTTATGGCTGGCATACTACAGACACGGCTACGGCTTGGGAGAGCACTACAACTCTCTCCGAAAGGCACCATGATGAGAGGAAGAACAGAAGATCACTTTTCTTGTGTGTACAGCGGCGACAAATCATATACGGCGGTTGTTTGGTATCGAGACGTAAAGAAGGAGATTCGGTGACCGAAGCACTCCGTTTGGCTATCGGCTCCAAACAGAGAGGAAGTCAAGCACCGCGCCTTCTGGGCTGATGCCAGCCTTGTGAGTCCGAGTTGGTTTGAGAAGACTCAATCGATGTAGGGCATCGGCCCAAGGTTTTGAAGAGGGGTCCTCGTGAACGGTACCGTCGTCGTTGTACGCAATCTCCTCGCCCGGAGATGCCAGGAGGGCCTCGTAGAGCTCTGGAGAGACACCCCATGGGGGGCCGTTGGCGGACATGGGTTTTGTTGAGGGAAATTCGAGGCAGATGAGCCGGCCGTCATGAGAAAGTAGCTCCGTCATACGCCTGGCCCATTTCGGTCTTGCTTCGCGAGGTAGGGCGCACAAAAACTATAGAGTGAGTCAGTTTACTGGTGGAGGTGCCCAGGATACATGGAAACTGAGCCGAAAAGATGCGGAATTACCGTATAATCGTAGATAAGATCAAACTTGCCGTCGGCGCCAGCACCCTTGACCCAGTCCTGCTGGAAGAAGTCGCCCGTGACCCAGTGAATTTCGCCTTTGTCCAGCCCTTCGATTGGCTTATATAGACCCTCTGATTCGGCTTGCTTCTGGTTCTTGATCGCTTCCTCCTTTGCAGCAGCGCTGTAGTCGAGCCCCCACACATTGTAGCCCCACGAGCTCAGGAGCAGAACATCATGGCCGCGACCGCAGCCGGGAACTAGAGCCGTCTTCTTTTGAACAGCGCCTGCCGAGTCTCGCAGAGGATGTCCGCGATGGTCCTGATGCTGCGAAGGCGGCACAAGATCGTGTCTTTGGGAGAGGAGGTCGTGGAGGGCGATGGAGGCGGTGCCGCGGTCCCAGGGCGTCAATGCCTCTTTCCAGCAGCTATCCCATCTTGGGCCTTGCTCTGAAAAGGGGGCAGTGGAGATACGGTCCTCCAAGGGATTTTCGGTAGCCATTGGTGTCTAAAGGCGGGGGACGGCGAGTGCTGTATCCGAAAGAGATGATAAATAGGTGCAAGCGGTGAATTGCTCGATTCTCGGGACAGGAGCTGAAGCGTTGAAGATAGCGCGTGTTGTGAGGTGAGGGGGAGGGTCCTGTCGGGTCGGGCGATGGGCGGATGGATCGATCAGTCTCGGGATGTGATGGGATGGTGGGGTTAAAGTGTAGACAATGACGAAATAGGGACGTTTTGTAGTTTGTGGGGAGCTATTTTATTTTATTCAGTGGAGCGGACTGGTATATTATACGGTGTAAGTGATGTAATATATGCCGTACGAATATGGGTAAGATTTAACACGTCAGTCAAACAAAAACAAATAAAGCGAGACAAATAAAATCTTTTTTCTCTATGGTCGCGTGCTTTACCTAAGTTTAGGAAGGAGTGACACTCCCTGAGATATCCGGAGCACTTACCTAGCGTGTACGCTAATGGAATTCGGAAGGCAGGCAGTCTGGAGTCTGGAGTATAGACGCAAATGATGAGTTTTGGCAAGTGACGACCGTTAATTATGAACAATCAGGAGCTAGGGAGGTACCTTCTGTTGAGCGTTGTTGAAACCAGTGAAACGATAACTCAATTTGGTCTGTTTTACACGATATCAAACGGTGGGGGTTTGCAAGCATCACATGCTTGTAGTCATGTCTCAGAGCGTGAGCATCAATTACAATTACATGTGGAATGATATTAGTACAAAATCAAGACAATTACATCCATACACCAAGTCATTATCTGTTATATTTCTTAATGACCGGTGAATCACCAGGCTAAGTAAGACCTGCGGTTACGGGCTCATGCTGTGCAACACCACAAGATGCAGCCTCTGCATCAACACTTGCTCACGACACCTCCTTGTACAATCCGATGTGCGTCAATCTGACCATGATCCCAAAAGTCAAAATATAGACAATCACCAATACGAAACAAAAGCTACATACACTATACACACACTGACTTACACACACAAACCTAGACTAGGTAGATCAAACATCATCACCCCCGCCAGCTTCAACCTGCTCTGGCCTTTGTGTAATCCCCCATTAATTTGTCCTTTACCTTATCGACGCCCTTGGCGAGAGATCCCCAGGTCCGGGGACCCTTTCCATCCTCGAAGCAATTTTCGGGCTTATCTTCGTCTCGGATAAGAAACCAGAGAGTCTTGACAATATTCTCTTCAGTAAATATTGGTGTCTTGGATGGCTCTTGTGCGTCTTCAACTTCAGGCGTAGACTCTCGAGATGGCCCTGAGATCTTGGTCTTGAGTTTGCCTAACATCGTTCCTATGCTTGGTCTCGATTTCTTTGGTAGTGCTGGCGGCTTACTTGTCGATTCGTCAACCTCCGTTGATTCGATGTGGATATCGACCGCGACTTGAACAATTGTAGTATGTTCAATAGTGATGGGTTTTGCATCAATAGTATCCTCAGGCTCAGACTCAGACTTGGGCTGGGTGCTTTCTGGCCCCTTCTGCAGTTCCTCAGAGGCCAAAAGTCCCATGGGCGAGAATTCGACCTTGTTGTTTGCATACGCCGACAACTTCCACACTCCGTCTTTGTCCTTCTCATAAGCACCATCGCGGACAAAACTCACCATCGCCTGCACCGTGCCAACGACTTTTTCCTTATCACCCTGGAACAACTCACGATGTTTCTTTCCACACTTGTAGCACTTGGTGATGTGCAGGTTCATGCCTCTGAGGAACACCATAGCAATGGCCTCGGCTTTGTGAGCAGCAAAAAACTGGGCCGATTCGTAGATGGGTTTGTAGAAGTCACGGTAGCAGTTGCCCGGTTGATTGAGCCTCTTGTCGGCACTATGCTCGGAAAACCCGATCTTGAAGATGTCGGCATGTTCTTTATGTTGTAGAACATACACGATGCCTTTCTTCAGCTGTATGGGTGTAAGATAGTCATAAATTTCCACCAGGATGGGCCCTCCGCCTCTTAGAGTTCCTTGTCGCTTAAGGGAGCATTTGCCCACAGCCGTATCGCCTGCGAGTGGGTTATCAGCAACCGGTGCATTGGCCTGCGTGATTGAAATGTTGGTGGTTGTCTCTTCAATGCTGTACTCTTTCTTAATCATGATGGGAAACTCTTTCGAAAGTTCCTGAGGGGATGCGGTATTGATCTCGATGATAGTATCCACAACAACACCTGGTTTACCAACATCGCCAGGTGCGTCCACAGCTGTCGAGGTAGTACTGATGGCCACAGTGGAAGTGATCTTCTGATCGCAATCAGTGGCGGAGTTATCTTTATCTGCATAGAATGGTGGGCTTTCAAAGAGTCTCCGGCTCGGAGACAGAAAGAAGCCGTCCGAGCCGGAATTACTACTTTCTTTCCAAGCTTGTGGTGAATAGTAGTCCGCGGTAGGAGGGCTCGAGAAAGGTGTCATATTGCAATCGCTGGGAGAGTCGAACACCCTATCCGAATCTGGTGTGCCCGGCAGCGATGCTTCATCTGAAGCGTAAGATAAGCTGAAACTCGCACGCTTTCTTGGAGTTTGTGGGGTATCATCCTTCGTGAAAGGAACTAAGGGAGGCAAAATATCGTGGTCGATGAGAGAAGAGTCGGGTGACGTGCTTGGAAGTGAAGTGCAAGACAAGTTGTCAACTCGATGTTGCTTCCAGTTGTTGAATAGAGGCCGGGCATCCTTAATATGGTCCCAACAATGGACAATTGTCAGAAAGATTTCGACATTTTCATAAAAAGCGAGATCGTCTGGGCACTTGTCCTTGCCTTTGAAAGACTTCCAGAGATCCTCGGCGTCCTTTTGCTTGGTCTTAGCGTTGGGTCTGTGACATTTGCGATTTTCCTTTTCAGCGTGGCCTAAACATTCAGCAAATTTGCCAGACTCATCACCAAGAGATGGTAAATAACGGATGAATGCCACAAACTCTTTGAAAACAGGGTGCTGGGGGATTTCAGAAGAAGCCATCTTGGATTGAAGCAGTTGCGAATACTGAACAAGACACGCACACGGCACAATCTCACGAGAACATACGAGTAGAAACTGTATTTTATTAACTATGGTAAATCCGGGTGGCTAGGCAATTCAGCCGCAGGGGGTTTGAAAATGGAAATAATAGTACAAGGGTCACGATACCAAGCCTCGAGGGTTATGTTGTTGGTTCAACTATGTAAGCTGCGCAACAAGGGCCGTGAACATACTCAATATGCAGTTGGCCGTGCCGTGCAGACGGAAGGATTTCCCCGACGTCGGAATAGGAAATGGATTATCCAAAGCTGAAGAAAGTTGAAACGGCAGGGGGAATAATTGTTGGGGGTTTTACTCCCCGGACTCTAGCAGCCTCGCTTAGACAATACCTTTGTGATACGCAGATAAGTTCGCCGAGTTGACTGACCCTTGTAGAGAGAAGAGAGGTTTCAGTTTATGTAAGGTTAGTGTGTGACCACCCACGTTTCTCAACACCATCTCTGCCCACAGTAGTCAGATGGAGGGTTACGGCGCTTCACCATTTCGAGCTTCGGTTGGCAAGATCCAAGATAGAACACGGAGTTGACCGATACATAGCCTTGCTGTGCCGTCGAAGAGCTTGGGGTGCGGGTGCGGGGGGCCTCAACATACATCAACCACGCTTGAGGGGGGAAAAACGATAAGGAACTTTTGCGATAGATCTCGATGTTCTGATCATATAGCTTGGCAGCCTTGAGGGCAGAGAAGAGAGAGTTGCATTGGATGTGTCGGTTAGAACTTGGTAGCAAGCAACCTTTGATATGAGTATAACCTCAGCATGTTTGCAGGTAGAGGGAGTGATGTTCGGAAGTAACATTTATTGCTATTTAGCCGATTAGCTTATCTCGAATAAATCTTAGATATGGATGCATAAAAGTTGTTATACTTACAGGCCATATTGTCTGTCGTTGACAGTCAACGGTCAACCACGGTTGAAGCTGTCTGGGCATTGGAGCTAGCTGCCAAGTTCAGGAGCACGTGCATCATCATATATCCGGATGGTGACATAAGAGCTAGCTTATTTCACAAGTGCCGACAGCTAATTATCCTTTACCTCGGAAGTGCGATCCAAGGTCAAGCATGTCTGTATCACGATCGAGGCAAGTAGACTGACTGTGTGCGTGTGTGTGTGGGTGTCGTGACTGTTTGTCTTATTATAGTACTAAAAGGTATCTGTCTAGCTAAGCAGCCCATATCATGAATTTCCAAATAACTAGACATGACCCTCCAGTGATATATATCATGCCATCTATGTATCAACAGCACAGATTCATTTCGTTGCAAAAGTGGAGAGATCCAATATCAAAACATAAAAAAGATGGGGATTATCCATATTGTGCCTCCATATTTTTGGGGGAACCATTGACCCAGAACGCCCAAAACCCCGGATATTCGCTGTGGTGCCGAAAATACAAAATGCATACAAAAAAAAGCAAGATATCTCAAAATATGACGGAAGGCGTCTGGGGTAATGACGACACCGACACCGTTTCCGTCTTTATTCAAGAGGTGGTCTCTTTCGGTTCGGTTGTTTGCGGAGGAATAGAAGAAGCCATAGCCCGAGGAATCGATGATGGCGGCCGATGAGGAATGGGGAAAGAAGTCTTTTTTTCCTTTCGGTACCGGCCCCAGAAGATCACGGAAATAGGATAGCAAAAGTTCCCGGCCCGATACTCCCAGTAAAAGGTAAGTTAGGAGGCACTCCGTAGACAAGACAATGCAAGGCAAGGCGAGTAAGTGGCCGGTTTCTCGGTCGGATCAAGGGCCGAATGTGGGATTGGGCTGGTCCACTTGATCTCCGATCTCCGATATCCAGCACCTCGGAGTCTTTTGGTCGTATTCTTTTTGGGTTGTCGGCAAATCACATGCCGAAAGATACCATGTCCAGTCCTGTCCTGTCCTGGCTTTATCGAACCACTCTCCAATGATGCAGAGTGGTTAGAGTGAGAAGGTTACTAGGAGGTATCTTTGCATTGCCGGACAGACAATGAACAAAGAATGTGAATAGGGCGCCGGGTTGATCATGATTGGTGGGATATGTGTGTGATAAGCCAAAACATCCCACAATCGCATAACTTCCCACTAAGATGGTGGCAGTGATTTGCGGGAGCTGAGAAGGGCTTGCTTTTTCTTGTTTTGTTTCTTTCTTGCCTTTGTTAGAAGGGAGAAGAAAGCCAAACAACCGATGGAAGGGAAAAGGAGGACCTTTACAGGCCACAATCCTCAAAGTCGCGTATCATGATGGCCATTTGCGCTCGCTTGGCCGCCTCGGCGATAAGAGTAAAGTCTTGGAGGAAAATGTCGGTTGAAGGGCCGTTGCTCTGGGTGGGAGCAGGTTGGGGGACCATCTGAACCGAAGGGGACTGCTGAGCCGAGGAGTTGGAAGATGAGCTTGAGACGGCGTCCATTATGGTGATTGTCTTGGTGGTAGATAGTGACGGACAGGTTTTGATATGTAAGCGAGTGAGAATGTATGTGTATCTTGGTGAGAGAGACAGCTGATTTGGATGAGAATAAAGTCAAGAAGGAATAAGATAGAGACGAAGAGTGTGGGAATGAGGTGGAATATGTATTCGCCAGGTTAGGCAGCCAAGAAATAAACACACAGTAATTAAGTAGAAAGTAGACTACTGTATGTACGGGTATGGGTATGGATATGGATATGTGGGTGTGCTGTCTTTCCCTGGATAATTGCTTATGTTCCGGTTCGGTATTGTTCTGCGTGGGGTAAAATGACGGGGGGGATGAGATGGGGGATGTCACTCTTTGACCCAATGTCTAAGGAATATCGTATCAACCTGGACTGAACCGAACTGAACTGACTGACTTGTTTCACACACGCTTAGATGTAGACTGTAGACCTGTCCAACCCCCGCGCGTCACGACTGTCACACTTCCTTTTTGCTTTGGACTGCAGAGTGACGTTTCCCGTAATGATAGGTAGTTACTGGGTACTAGTAAAGAAAGAGAAAAGTTGGCACACAAAGTGGTGACGTTCCAAGACAACCCTCTAGAATTCCCCCTCCGTGTGTGTTGTGTGTTGTGTGTTATGTGCTGTGTGGTGTGGTAGGTAGTTATGGAATAGGTAGGTATTTTAGGCTGATGCCGCAATCAGATGCAGACGCAGATGCAGATGCATTACTGTCAGTGAACTTTGTTTCTAGACCCATGTTTTCGTTACCTCTTTTCTTTTCTCTCCTCCGTCTTCTCATGCAGTCTTCTCTTTTTTCTTCTGCGCTACAAATAAAGGGCCGAGTGGAAATAAGTGTCTGGGGGGGATAATAGTATCGTGCCGAGATAGAGTCGGAGACGGAGACGGAGAAGCCGGTTTTGTGGAGGAGGAGACGACGAGACGAGAGGAGGCCAAGGCAATAGGTAGACAAGTTCACGTTTAATAATTTACATAAAAAGTGGAGGATGCCGAAGTCGAAGGAGAAGACGAGAAGAGGTTATCATGACACCACTTGAATCAACTTTCGCATGTGAATCAACCACTACATGTATTGTATCCTTTTACATTTATCCACTAGTAGGTAGAGTGTTACCTGCCTGCAGCAACAGCTGTTCTTAGATCCCTTAAAGATGGCACCCTAATTAATCGCGCGGCGGGGCAAAAGAAGCCCCAAGGAAAACAAAAAGAACTTCTTCTTTCTGCTGTTGCTGCTCGACATTCGACTTCGGCCTTATGCCCGGGAGCTAAGGGAACTGGGGTTGATTTGATGATGCGGTGGATCTGGGGTGGGAAACGTGGGATCTCACTTAGTACCTCTAACGTATTCAGGTACGTACTTAGGACAAAGCTTTTCCGTCTTTTTTTTCTTAATTGTTCTTATATTCTATGTTTGATATCACGTATTGACAAAGAGAGGGAAAAGAAACACACCCCTTAGAAATAGACAAAGAGAGATATACCAAACTGAAGATTATATGATGAAACGCTGACGGCTGTGGCATCATGACAATGCAGACGCTACAGAATTGAGCCCTATGTGCATTATTTCTCGCGGGACCACGGCCATATTGCTCCGCTTCGACAAAGAGTCCCCGAATTTCTTTCCTCACCGCTCGTCTCTTTTGAATTTTAATCACCGGCAATACATAGTACAACCACCATCTTTTTAGCCGTCGTGTTTTTCGTAAACCCCATTTTTCGGCTTCTGGAACTTTTTTCTTTTCTTCGCACAAGCGCCCGCCAATCATTGGACCCTGAGCAAGCGTGGGGTGTAATGTCTTCCCCAATCTCGAAAGGCGAGATGAGATGATATTGGTTGAGCTTGTTGACTTCCACTCCAGTGATGAGCAGGATCGTCACGCATTGAAAATGGTCATGTTATGGACAGAGTATTCTTCTGTACAGAACCCCATTGCCGTAGCTTGGCGTTCTTGGCTTTCTTGGTGGTTGTGGTTTGTGGTTTTAGAGTATCGATCTGCAATATTACCTCATCCCGCCTGCATAACAAACCCATGCTCAGTCAGGAACAAACAAGGTGATTCTCGATTCTCTGCTAACGTTATAACATCATTGCATACCTCGTAGCATCCACGGTCCGTCTTCCCTATCTCTTCCATTATCCCCATCCATCACAAAACACTCATGACCCCATTGTCGCCTAGCGAGCCTCAACTCAAGATAAGGGTCCCTGATCCTAGCAGCAAGGAAACTCACTAATTACTAGCTCCAGCCCGGGTTCTTTCGGGATTCCTCTTTCAATGGTGCGCTTGGCCTTTTTTTCACCAGTCTCCAGTGGGGATCCCGAATTTTCCCCTTGGCTTATTAGTTACGGTATGGAGCACTGCTAAAGGAAACGAGAACGGCCATGACAGGGTCATTGAGAGAATATCTGCCCATGATGATCCATTTTGCCATTTTCGCGCGGCTCTTTCGGACATGTTTTGCCGATGGATGCTGATGCTACCGTTTCCCTGCCTTGCCTTGCATCGGACCCTTGGCCTATCGAGGAGACGTCAGCCCAGAAACTCGAATGTTTGATTGTTTAGTTTTTAGTTTTGATTAAACGACTCTTGCGTGCGGAGTAATTGCAACTCAAGAGATGTAGCTTCGAAGCGCTTGAATAAGCCTACTTAGGTGGGTTGAAGGATGTTATAACCGCTCACCAAAGTCTTTAATCAAATGATGTACTTAGTGTCCGTAAATTGAGACCAATGTCATGAATCATGTGTAAAGATCCTCGTCTTTCTTCCCGAGATGGCCAAGAGATGAGCTGGTATGACATAGCCAGTTTGAACGAGTTGATGTCAATGGCATTGGAGAGACTGACGATGATGCCTGGTTCTAAGATCATAGAGATCTCTTGAGATCTCGAAAGCATAATCATTCCCGTCGTTGTATCCCCCATACCAACCTTCTCCCCCGTGTTCCCCGGCTTTTATTCACTTCCCGTCCCGGACCAAAAATGTACGTACCCCCGATCCGGGGTTTTGCCCGCCGCGCCGATCCGTCCTCCGGCCCATGACCAAACTAGGATAGCTCCCAAACCTCAAGCACCAACAACCAGCCAGCAAAGGGAAAAGAGACATCGACAAGCAGCATCACGACATCAAAGGCAATGACGTCCACCGTCGAGCCTCCCCAGTCCAACCGCTGGTTCGCCGTCCCGCGCCCCATCCAATACCTCTTCAACCACTTCCCCCTCCACGTCTACGGGCCCGAAGATCTCCCCGTGCGATCCCCCGCCAGCGTGCGCCAGCGGCCGGCGCTGTATGTCTTTGTGGCCGAAGAGGATGCTGTGCTGGGTAGGCCGAGCTACAACCCTTCGTGCTTGAAGTGGCAGGTGTGTTTTAATTTTCTGTTGGGGGGGAGAGAAGTGCCAAATGCGAAGACTAATGCCAAGTTGGGTAGACAGTGTTAAAGATTGCTGGTGTCGAGTTTGATATTGTACCTTCGAACAACCACGCTTCACCCTCGGGCGCATTGCCTTTCTTATTACCATCTTCGCCGCAAACACCAAAACCCCTCGCCGGCCAAAAGATTCACAAATATGCCCTTGAGCACGCCGCTCGGGAGCTACCCAAGATATCGTCACCCCGCCTAGAAGCCTACCAAGCTCTCCTCACACAAAACATCCGTCCAGCATGGGTACGCAAACCATTCTCTTATACTAGAATCAACCGCTTACAAACATATAGCTTTACGCTCTCTATCTCCTTCCCGCCAACGCCCCTCTCCTCAAGAGTCTTTACCTTCCTTCCTCGATCCTCCTCCGCACACCTCTCCACCAGACTCTACACGCCGCAGCAACCGCTGAGATTCTCAAGACAACCCGACGCGCAACTATTTCACCTTCTCAGATTTTCGACGATGCCAGAACTGCGCTGGGAGCCCTCTCCGCTTTACTAGGAGACGATAAATGGTTTTTTGGCGCTGAGGGGCCAGGATTGTTCGATGCAGATACATTTGCCTACACGTATTTGATGGACGGAGATACACTTGTCTGGGCCGACAGCTCATTAAATGAGTCCCTGGAAGGCCTGGAGAATTTGAAGAAACACAGACAACGATTGTACAAGCATTGCTGGGGGGTGGATAAGTCCTGAGTAAACCAGGACACTGGATATATAAGGGGCGACTGATTTGCCGTATAATTCACTGGCACAGCCAGGACATGACATGTACAGACACTTGTAAAATATGTATGACAAGAAGAGCTCAGATCAAAAATAGACTTGCACAAACGGCCAGCTCAAAACCACGAACATGTCAAGAAAGCATGCAACAATTTACTCGCTGATCATCAACACAGATCTCATCTATGTACTGGGCATCATACAGCCCGTCATTCTTTACCTGCAAGAGGGGAGTTGGCCTAATCCCCACAGCTAACCTGCCTTGAAGTCCCATAACTCATCTATAACAGTTTCCATGGGGGCGGAGGGCTCCCACATAAAATGCTGGCTGTTGCTAACTGAATAACGCTCATGGGCAAGTACATCCTCTAAGAGGCTTTAGTGCGAGAAAAAGTGAGCAGAACTAGGAACAGCAACACGACAAAACTCCATGTTGATACCAATATCCTTCAGAACGCCGAGTTGATCCTGAACCCCAACAATGCAAAGACCCGGCAATGGAGCAGAAAAGGTGGCCGTGTTGAGGACAAGCTCAGTTTTGTGGAGGTCGAGGGATTCCTTCCAAGACATCGTTTACCGAAGCAAAGGCTCCAACACCGCCATCTTGGCGCAGATCCTCGAGGATGACGTTGGTCTGAGCATATAGCTTCTCCAAGGCGGCCCGAGATGATTTGCCGAGTGATACTGCTTATAGTTAGTAAATTGGCTATTATTGGACTGTGTTGCTTGCTTACGTAGAATTGCAGAGTTCAGTTCCTCTGCAACAGCTACCCTACCATTCCTATCCAAGAGGTGGCTGACTTGAGGCTCCTTGAAAGGATTTTGATATGCAACCAATGCCCAAATCTCGTTTAGTGCTTTGCTGACTTCTATCCGCGGGTCGTTGGCGTATTCTTCTTGTAGCTTCTGTCCGTACTCTAGCATGCTGCGCTCGAGCTCAGCGCTTTCGGTCGTATTCTCGCCGCTATCAGCTTCCCATGAAGTATTTTCACTTCCATTTAGGTCGATGTCCATGCTTTGAGACACAGTGTTATGGATATGCCCATTGCCCTTTGTCTCATTGCGCATGTTGAGTTGGGCCAGCTTTCGCACTAGCTCAATGAACTTGCGGCATCGTAGTCGGAAGTAGACGTGCTCATTGTCCTGAAGCACATGAGGGTAGTAAGCATTCGTGTACTTGAGCGCCCTATCTATATCTCCCTCGAGGATAGCCCGTCGTATACCTGAAAGTTCGTTAGAAGATGAACATGTGGGCGAAAGACAGTCAACTTACGTTGGCGGTTGTTTGCGTCTTCATCATCTCTGATACTGACACCATCTACTGTTACCGCCGGGTCAAGACTTAGGGCTTCTTTTTGAACTTTCATATCTTCCGCAAAGGCCCGAGCCGTCTCCACGTAGCCATCGTGTTGAAGGAATTGAAGAACAAGTGCCTGAATTAGGTCAGTCTCACCCATGCCTAGGACAAGACTTGATGTCTCCGTGGCCTGGATATCCCTTTGCACTTTCATACGCTCTTCCTAAAAACGTATCAGTAATGCATTATGCTGTGAAGTGGGTCACACAAGCCTACACGCATGAGGTCGTCGATGTTATAGATAAAAGGAGTCTTTCCAAAATTGACCCGGATTGACTCGCCTGGCTTCTTGATACTGACTGCTGGGTAAAGCTTGCCACGAGTAACATCGTGGAACGCCGTGCCTGGTCTCACATTAGTCCACGCTTGATAGATTCCACGACTTCCATGAAACACACCTATCTTGACTCCGTTCTTCGTGAAGAATGCAGTATTTTCTTTAAAATTAACACCACACCCAATCACGTCGCCTATATTGTATAAGGGGCCGTAGTGTCTTCCAACGTTCTGTCCTGTAAAACACCGACCATCGTCGCCATGATAGCCCCAAGCCTCAGGCTCCCAACCTATTGGTCGTGATAGAGTAGCTGTCTTTGTGGTAAATCCAATACCGATAGTGGCACTATTTCGTGAGTTAATAAAACTCTATCAAGCATGTACATGACACCATAACTTACTCATCACGCTTGGCCCCCGTTATTTCCACTTCGAAGTAGTATATTCCACACTGAGGCGGCATGTGGTGGTCGGCACGAACGGCACTGGCCTCGTGATCCCTATCATGCTGGTTCTTGGGTCCAACATATCTCACAGTAAGACCATCGGGCTGTATCTCTATGCCCGCCCATTGGTCGTCCTTGTTCCATTTCGTTGGCAGAGGAGCAAGGTCGTCATCCTCTTCAAAAGCTGGGGGGCGTTCTATAACAGTATGTGACAGGCCTCGATGCGCGCCGGGTGGTAAAGGATGTTGGTTAGGTGTAGTTGAGCTCGGGGTGAAACCGCTGGTCGATGTACGTGTTGAATCGCGAGCCTGGACCTTGGCTTGGTGTGCCTCTTGGAGCTTCTGAACGTATGTTGAGCTTTCGAGATATGACGGGACAAAGAAGCCGTCCTCCTCCTTCTTGGGGGTGCTGTCAGCAGCCTCCGAAGCCACAAGCATGTTGAAAGCCCGCGAGAACGACGGCAGACCAACCCTTCTGGTGATGACACCAGTCTCAGACCCAATGGTCTCCATATTGATAGTATTCGTTGTTTCGGAACCTGGGATGTTAAGTTCGCCGGATGCACTGAATATCGAAGTACGAGAAGGATGCGTGTAAAAGTTGGGGATGCTGGCGATGGATGAGTTATACGGCGGGGAGAATCGGAGGTTGCGGGCAGCGTTAGATGGCGAAGGCGCGACGGATGGCGATGCTGATTCGGGAAGAGCAGACGAGCTGGAGGCTTGGTGTAGGGGACTTGCCATGTCCACGACAAGCAAGCGAAGGGCAGTTTGACCACCCCCGTCAGTCACCCAGCAGTAAAGGCAGGTGAGTTAACCGCGAGGTGAAGCCCTGGAAGAGGATCCAATACAGGTAAGGCCTAAAGGTAGGCACGGTTGTAGTGGGGTGTAGTCGATACGGTCGTAGTTGGCGGCACGAGGATGTATGGGAGCACAAGCTTCGGATAAGGCAAGCCAAGAGCTAACGGATGAGACAAGAGGCACAGTAGACAAGCAGAAGAGGCGGGGACATGGAGAAAGAAAGAAAGAAGCAAGAAGGTACAACAAGAGACACAGGCAATCCTTTAGTTCTAAGAGAGTGATTTGCTGCCAGTGGGAGGTTAACGTTAGTAACTACAAGTAGTTGATATGGAGTTGGGAGAAGACGGATGGTGGATGATGGATGGCGGAGAGCAGTGGACGGGGCGGATAGAGGTGGAGGTGCTTCCGTCAGAAGCGTCACCGTCACCACTCATTCACCAACCTCGATCTCTCATCAACCTCATGAGATAATATTAAGAAGGGGGGTTACTTTGTACTGTACGTGGTTTGTTATGATAGAGCTGCGACTTACACAGTAAAAGAACCAGACCAACCGTTCGATACATATGTGTTGACAGCCAACTTGGACACAGCCGAATCATGGCTGGATCATGCCTCTCCTCTGATCAACGAGTCAAGAGGTACGTATCGTATCGCTCATCATTGCTATCAATCACGCGGGTGCTTGACCACGTCTGTTAAGCTTCTCCCTAGCAAATAGCCGTGTCGGCTTAACAGTGGATGCCCCAGCTTCCCCGCTGGCCGGAGCCAGACTAAACTAGACCCTCTCTAAGCTGCGCGTTCCCCATGCAAAACGCCCCAACAGCCAGCAGGTCAAAAGCTGAGACTGACTGAGACATGATGATAGCAGGATAACGCGACATCACTGTTTGTTGTTTTATTCCGGGTGCTGGGCTTATGGGTTGGTGAATGGAAATAGAGCATCGAGTGATGTCCTTTTCACTAATGAGACCTCGCCTGTGGGAAATAAGAGTTCCCTTCGCTTACGGATACACGTTGGTGATGCTGCTTACCTCACTATCCCTCCAATGAGCATTTCAATCCTCCAAATATTGCTTTTGGTTTCAAACTTGTTCGTTCACTCCTGGTTCCCCCTCACAGCATCAACCCAGCCACTATCCCCATCAGCTACACCAATCTCCCATGTTACAAAGAAACACCTAAGTATAATCCGGATATCAGTAGGACAAATAGCGCATATATACATAGTCACTCAGGCTCATCTACCGGATCAACCTGCAAAAGTCACGGCTGACTCTGACAGCCGATGACTAATCTTGGGGTGCTCCCTGCAACCACACCACGACATCAAGAGATGACCCCGATGAGAAAAGGCGAACGAAAACGTATCCACAGTCTGGCCATTGGGGCATCTCAACCCCCGAAAACTCTTCGCCGACTGCTGAACTTTAAGAATTGCCTCACATTTTAGCCAAAGTCTCACTGCCCAGCGCGATAATTGATGAAAGGTCGCTCCAACGCTTTACATGCCTGCCTTCGCATTCCCCTGACGAACATCGTTAGGGAGGCGTTCCAACAAAAGGAGCACCCAGCATGTATCACTCTAGATTTATCGTGAGCTAAAGTTTGCGATAGTTTTCTCTAGGACCGCAAACTCCGTGCCCAGAGGGACTTGCCGTGAAAAACTTGAAATTATCAATACGACACAGACTGCGACAAAGCGACGTGTCAAGGAACGGTCGGAGCTGCGCCCGTCCCAAGAACCTAAGCCACGGGCGGATGGATGGTTACTAACATCATATACACACAGCACACATTGTCTTTGAATCAAATTTAAATAACTGGGCGCTCATCAAGCGAAATCTCCATTTCTGTCTAGCAAATTCCCATCGTGGTTGTAATTATACATCGATATAACCACCGCCAAAACCTGATACGGTTCAACACCATTCCTTTTCCACAGCGTTTCATCCTTGCTGTTCCGTAACGCCAGCGACACCAGCGTCGCATCTTGATGAGAAAAACACTCTCAAGTCTGAATCCATGTGCATGCTCAGTCTCAAAAGCATATCGCTTGTCTGACTAACAGACCAATGATCAGTTGTGTATCAACCTAAAACGCCCGCCCGCACTGTCTCGTGCTGTAATAAAACAATCTCTGATATCAGAGCAAAATAAAATGTAATGACATGTGAGTTGCGGACTTAGGATGCAGCTGCAATAGCCAAAGGGGCTGGTGCCGGTGCCGGTGATGAGGCATGATGGCTGGGAGCACTTTGCATCTCGACGTCGTTACCGCTGTTGCTGTTGCTGACACTGTTGCCCTCTTGTCCATTCTCCTTGTTCTCCTTGCTGCTACCCTCGGCAGATGCAGCAGCAGAGTCTTCGGTGCCGGATTCGGGGGCCTTCTTTTGAGGTGCGACCCATCGAGGAATCTCCCAGGTGACACCAGTGAAGCTTTTGAGCTGGAATCCTCCCTTTGCCCATCTGCGACAAGGTTTGCCCGAGCGATCGAGGGCGCGCAGGCCGGCGTTGATAGCTCCTTGGTTTGCCTTGGGTCCAAGTTTGTGACCTGCGGCAGGTTTGGAGCCAGAGTGATCGATCGTGCCGTCCTCCCTGGAAGTGGTAGTTAGTATGTAGCTCGAGGTGGATGTAGGGATTGCGAAAACTTACAAACGAGGCTTCTTCTTGGGGCCGGGCTTTCCTCGAGGTTTGGGGATACCATCTATCGATCCGTTGGCAACGGCAGCAGATCGCTTGATACCCTTCTTCTTTGGTCCCTCGGTGGGCGGTCCCATGGCCGAAGGGGCCGGTGTTCCTTCGGCAGGGGTTGCGTCGGCGACAGGAGTAGCAGCGTTGGAATCTGAAGCATTGTCGCCGTTGGTGTTGCTGGCTGGTGGTTGCGAACCGGAGGCAGACGCGGCATCGGCAGGCGATTCGGCCTTGGCTTCGATGTCTTTGGCTGGAGATTCCTCCTTGACAGCGGGCGCAATCAGGGCACGCAGCTTGTCGGGCGACACCTTAAGAATGACGATTGAACTGGCTTTGGTGCTCGACTTGCGTCGCGCGTCGGCGGGCTTGGCTGGAGGAGCCATGGTGTTGAGCGTTCGAAGTAATGAAGAGCCGACGATGATATTTGACAGTTGATAGTATAGGAGTCTAGGATCTAGGTAGAGTTTGTTGATGACAGGGCGAGACACGGAGTTGGGTTGTAAAGTTTGAAGCGGCGATGGGTTATGAAGGAAGATTAGGGAAAGGAACAGGTTTTGAAGAATAGGCTGGTGACGGGTGGTGATCCCGTGGTGGTCAGGGGTGGTGGGCTTTTGGGGCTTGCGTGGAGCGAGTCTTTTAGTATAGTAGTGGGAGATTTGAGCTGGAGCTGAGCTGGAGCTGGCAGGCCGACGTTGGTGATGATGGCGATGGTGATGGGGGACGGGATGGTACGGGAATGGGTTCATTCAGGTTCAGGTGTTGGAAAGTGGAAATGAAAGTGAAAGACGAAAAGGCAAAGGCCTTGTCTTGCAAAGTTGGGGTCTTGGTATTGCTGCCATTTTAGAAACTGGTACTGGGGCCAAAGGCGGCGCACAAGGAGTTAAAAATCGGTTGGATTGGGTTGATTTCCCGCGTTTCTTTACTCTGGGCTCTACTCTAAAGTGAGAGGGAGCAGAGACGTACATAGTACGCACGAGCAACACAACTTGGGGATTTCAGGCCCAGGTCCAGCCAGGCCCAGCCCGTCCAGGCCCGTTACCCGAACGGGACAAGCGCCACTTCGTCTGCATGGCAGGGGCTGCGCTTGTTTCCAGCCAATCACAGCCCTGGTATGCCCTTAATTTCTCCCAGAGCATTGCCTCGCATTCTATTGTTATCTCACTCCTCCTACGCGAGTGAGCGATTCAGTGAGCAAAACCCTTTTCAAATCAAGTTCCCAAGGGTCTCTCATCACCCTCCAGCCCCCGAAAGTCCCCTACGAGCATCGGTGACGATAACTGCACAGTTGAAACTACAGCAAGGCACAGTTTTCATCTGCCAACTGCGCCAGTAGTCATTAATGCACTAAATATACACGAATTTACTTTCAGCTTCATTTGGTGATGCCCTGGAATGCTCACCATGACCCTTATTAATTATCAATATTTGCCGATATACAAAAACCATCAAACACAAAGAAAACACCCAAAAGACAAAAGTATCAAGTCTGCCGTTTTCTTTCATCCCTTTTTATTTCCCTTGTTCGGCCGCATTGTTTGTACTGGCCCTCCCTTAGCAGATGCTGATGTTGATGACGGTGACGGTGACAGTGCAAGCCCCTGCATTGATGGGTGGCGGAACTCTACGGATATGAATGATCAAATGAGTCAACCCACCTGTAGAGTAGAAACAAAACAACTTGGCATTACTTTTTGCGACTTAAGCCTTTGGAGCCTGTCATCTCAGGTCCCATTTTCAGCGCTTAGTAGAAGACATGCACCAGCTCACAGATCATCAAATACCTCACCGAGTCCAGTACAAAACTTGCAGCACTGTCTCATGGCTTTTCTTCAGCATCATACTAGACGTGTTTATTAGCAATGAATTCCGGTATAGCCGAGATGGATAAAACCCTCACTACGCCGTGCGTGGTATCTAAGTGGTATTGTATGGATACAGAGTAAGGCAAGGGTCTATGATCGGACTTTCATTACGACTCCGCCAAATTCTGCTCCGTCATCCATCATGTACTATACCAAACAGGAATTGGACAATCAACACTTAACCCAAGTCCCCGCAGCGGCCCATCAACATGACGAGTCAGCATAATAACCTGCGCTCGGCAACGATATCTAGAATACCTGCTTCAGCGTATCAGCACACCACGGACATATCCATCTGCTTCACTCCAGGGTCCTACTTTTATCGTATTTTCTTTCCGACTCATCAATAGGAACGAGAACACATCCTTAGTCTGATATGAAACAACAAGTGTTGATCCATTCATTGTCTGCCCACCCGAGACTAAGACATCGTGACATGAGCGTTGCTATTGCGATAGTTGGAATGCGTTGCTCCCCTACAACATGAAGCCCATGGCAAAGATATATCATGGCAACCTGTCGACCAGCAGTCAACTGAAAACTCACAAACCACATTGTTTATTCAATTTTTACTCCCAAATCGACAACATGATACGCTTATACATTCTTCTTTGCCTCCTACCATGCCTCCTCCTAACCACCCCGTTTACCCATGCCGCCCTTTTGCCTCGTCTCAAAGCCTCATTCAAACTTCCAGGTGCGATCTTCACTGAGCCTGTGGCTAGATCTTTGGAAGTAGTGCCCTTCAAAAAACACCCTCAGCAACTTCATCATGGCCATGGACTTCACCACACCCTCAGTCTTGTCAAGAGACTGGTTGAAGATCAAGGCGACATGGTTGAAGTCACCGAGGGGTCTCTTCAGGAACTACTGGATCAGATCAACAGGCTCAAGGAACAAGTCAACGGCATGATGCCGTCCGGTACATCGGATCGACAACCTTCTGGTGAATCAGGTGCTTCCTCTGGGGAACAGCCTGGTCAGTTGCCTGCAGGTTCTCCTGATGGGTCTTCTGGAAGCAACCAGCCAGAACAGCTATCTCCCCCGTCTGTCCAGACTGATGTTCCTAGGCTGGACGGTCCTCCTGGCCCACCAGACGTTCCTGTGATCACAGATCCCTCCCAGCCTTCAAAGGCAGATGCAGCGGCAACTGTTGTCGAGCCTCAAGTTCCGGGTGCTTCGGGTCAAATAGACGCACCTGGACAGTTGCAGACAGAAGAAGCTGATAGGCAAGAAAACATAGCGTTGGCGGCGCCAGCTGCAACCCCCACTCGAGGAGCAAACGATGGATCTGCTAATCTACCTAGCGAGGCTCAACCCGAAGGGTCACCAGGCGATAGAGCCACCGGAATCTTGGTCGAGTCTGCAAATGCCCCTGGACCCGGTGGTGCCCTCCAATCTGGTGATCTGCCTAACAATGCTGCTGCTCAACCAGCAAGCGAAGTCCAGGCTCCAGCTGAGACACAACTCGGTGCAGCGCAAGAAGCTGAGCCTACCAAGGAACCACAGGACGAAGATGCCACTTCTCGATCTGAAGTACAGAATGCCGAGGAAACTAGTGCTGCACCTGGAGGTGCGTTCATTGAGAGTCCTGATGACTCCTTTGGGGCTCTTTCAGATGCCACTTCCGCGAGACAGACTGGTAGCTCGGCAACCAAGGGAACCCAAACCCCTTCACAAGCTAGCAACGATGAATGCGTTGAAGAGGACGAAGTAAGTGGTACACCCATCATGCGTCGAATTCCTAACTGCACACCAGGTAGTAGTAGCCCATCCGCAAGCGAGTCAGTACAAGAGAGTCTGATAACTCTGACTCTTGTCCCTACTCCCGCGGCAACAGGAGCAGAGAAAGCGGCCCCCGCCTTGGAAACAGAGGCCACATCGACGCCGACTATCAAGGCGGAGGACTCGCAGAAGCTCGCAGCTCCGACAATCATCTCGAGTCCTCCCGCCGTGGTCAAACCTGAACCTTCAGATGTCGTGCAGCTTTCAGTATCAGGCTTGTCTCTGAGCTTGAGAACTGTGGTCTTCACGTCATTCATCACAAGGTCGTCGACTATAGAGGTGACCACCACGCACACCGAGTTCGTGAACGCCAACCAGCCCACTCTATCTCTGAAGGCGCCCGGTCATGTCTTTAAGGAGGATGCAGACTCAACTTTCAACAAGGACGGAAAGCTTGCCATACAGGATAGCGATGAGGAAGAAATCACACAAGGTAACATACCTGGCGAGTGAGACGTAAGAGCACTACTAAACATTTTGCAGAAACACCTCGAGGGACGCCTCTCGCTATAGAACCTACGCCCAACAAGGCTACCGACAGAGCTACAGTTACCAGTAGCTGGAGGCCAACCACGACCATCAGTTTGAGCAGGGCCACTGTTTTAACAACACCCGAACCTGCGCAAGAGTCATCGCCTCGCTCTCCAGTCTCATTTGACAGCGGATTCAAAACGATGCCAAGGTCAACAGCGAGTTTGGCGGAGAGAGCGCAGGAGTGAAAGCACATGATTTGTTTTGGGAGTTTTATGGATTTGATTGTTTGGGTGTTTCGATGGAATTAGAATGGGCACAATGGATGGGTTTTTGTCGACGGCGACATGGAAATGATTAATACAACGGCGCTCAACGATGAGGAATGGCATCCAATTACAAGTGATATTATGAGTGACTCCCCCAAGGTATGGTAAGTCAATTCGCCTTTGTTGTTAATTACCAAAACAGCATTGAGCAATTTATTCATAGATAGCACCTGTGTAACTTCAGGCGATAAGAACAACGCTCTCACTCAGTTCCAAGGACAACTTCAGGGTTGAATCTCCATAGCGAAAAAGACTCCGGGGCTGTAGATTCAGGGATACAAGGATATACGCAGGGTTCTTTGGAGTTGAATGTAACAGTGTTAAATGCAGACGCTGGTATCGGAGAATAAATATGTCGCTCCACGACTGCAAGGTGATGGTGCAGACGAAGGATCCAACCATGTATTCAGGAATAAGAGCAGAAGCCGAACACTTGTACCATGATAATTCGAGTTTATACTCGGTTACCCTCCGGTACTGGCTGGCTTATTCATACTAGGTATCAGAACTACCCATCTTGAGACAATATAGTTCACATTGTCTTAGGTACCTTACTTATAGATATCGCGTCTCTTTGCGTCCGTTAGCATCAAATCTGCCTCGTGACGTTCAGTACATGCCTTGAGTAACCAGGGTCAAAAACCCATAAGCATTGAGGAGCATGTGCGTCTTGTCCACCTCGGTCCATAAAGGCCGCACTCGACATAGCCTACCCACCAAGATACTCTACAGCATCCTCATGTGGCACAATACGATTTCGAGATCCACAAAGTCACAGCTTCCAAACAATGCACTGAAGTTCTTGTTAACCATAAAATGTACTCTCCTCTAATATCATCATCACAGTCTGAGGTGATTATTGCGGGTTTTATACCAAGTTAGGCCATGCCATGTAAGCACTTGCGCCTCAAGCCCCATCAAAAACGGTTCCCTCTGCCACGTTGAGATCGACCCTTTCATTTAACCACTCCCACTCAAGCAAACATTAGGAAGCTGGATATAAGCCCGAGTGGACGATGGACGGGCTGACCTACTGTCAATTAGATAGGAGCCAATAGTATCCTTCCAATCTGACTATCGACCAACAACAGGGCTATTCTATGGTCACCCCTCCGACGCACGTCGCCGCTTGGAGTCTTACATGCATAGACCTCTCTCGAGTCTTGGCTCCCATCTCATTCAATTTTTCTTTTCTTTGTTCAACGTGCACTCGTTTTCAATGCAGTCTTTTGGTTCGTAGTATCGTGGCTACTAATAGACGACTGTTGTGAGGGAGAATAGACCAGACGAGATGCGACGATGATCCCAGTGCAATATTAATTCCCCCTCCTGCATGCGCTGTACACACCATGAAGTTCTTCAGCCTATTCGTCTTTGTCCCATGTGCTGTCGCGCATCACACGCGACAGTATGAGGCTCTTCAAGCAGCTCCCGGCGACCTCATGCCGCGCTTCTTTATCGATCGCTCGTTTCCCTTGGCCAAGCGCGCGGACTGTGGTTCCGATCACCATAACTGTAAGCTTGCGCAGTGATAAACTTATGAACATAGAGCTCACCCATGTTATAGGCCTTGAGATTGGCTTCCCCGATGACTGTTGCGAGAACGACTCTTACTGCTACGTCAACGGAAAAGGTGATCCTAAATGCTGTCCCATAGGCTCTAACTGCTCCAACGACTCTCCATGCGGCTCGACGGCGTACTTCTGCACCCGCACCGTCACCTCGGGCGGAACTGCCACAGCGCTACAGGGCTGCTGCGATCGTAAGTGTCCCAGGACGAGTCTCTATCTCTGTCCCAGCAGTCTCGGTGGGAACTGCTGCGGTTACAACCAAGAGTGCCGCGCCGGCGGCAATTGCGCTTCTACCAAAGCTGCCTCTAGAACAGACCTTTTATCCCCCATACCCTCAGGTTGCACGACCTCCCAGCATAAATGCTCAGATGGAGCTGGCTGTTGCGATAATGACCAAGACTGCACCCAAGTCAGCGGAGAGGGATATTGTGCTCAAGCAACACCGACGGAAAGCGGCGTTACCATCGTTGACGACAACGACGATGGCGGTGGCGATGGCGGACTATCAGATGGGGCAAAGGCGGGTATTGGTGTTGGTGTCGTCGTGGGAACAGGTATCATTGTCGCAGGACTTGCGTGGATGTGCCTACGCAAGCGAAGACAACAGCGAACTGCGACAGGACCGTCAGCATCAGGCGATGTAGATGGCAGCGGTCCCCCGCGTGATACTATGACAGATATCTCAGGGAGCCACGCTCGAACAGGGCTGACTCGAGACTACTTTGGCCCCGACCCAGCAGCAGGACCGTATACAGAGCAGGCCAGCTCACGGGTCACTTCACCCGGGAGAGAAGCTGCAGTGCCGATGCATGCACAAGGACCAGGCGATATTGCGGCACCAGTCGAAATCGATTCAACGACAAGAGAAGGCAGTGATCTTCTGTCACCCATGACCAGTCCAAGTCTGTATCAGACACCGCTCTCCGAAACGATGGATGGCCGCTTCGAACTATACGGTAACGAGTCAGCTATAACTCCAGACCGTCCGTTGTCAATCGTTCCGACACCGCCACAGAGCGTCATGGGGGATAAGGCTCCACAGCGAGAGTAATAGTGTAAAGGAGAAATTCAGATCGTTCTATTCTTTTTGGTTACATAGAAACGCCTAACCATTCCATTCATGCAGTAGAAACATCCAAATCTTCAAAGTGCATATCCGACCAAAGAAACCAATAAACAATTATGTGTACCGAAGTTGTTGCGCAGAACTCCATGCCAAAAGGAAAAGGGAAACATAAGGGCGCCGCCTGATAGTCCTAACGCCGTTGTTGATGAAATGTTTAACAAGGTATGAAATGAAAGCAATGCTGATGTGGATTTCCTTCATTCCAGCTGCGTTTAGCAGACGACACCGCCAAAGGGTGCGCAATCTCGGAGGTCCTTGACGAGATCCTCCACACTGCTCAGGTGCTGGCTAAGCAGCTCTTGCTTCTCCTCGGTGGTGAGATAGATATCGCCCTCAGGATCAGAGCCAGAGCGCTTGCGGCGGGAGTCGGCGTTGAAAGCCCCGACGAGTTTGCTGGGGCTTCGTTGGAACATACCAGGGACACTGTCGCGCTGGTCGGCTCGAGGGATGGACGGGATCTCAGGCATGAGGTAGAAGTAAAGGAACTCGACAAGCTTGAGTTTGACCTCACGGGCTGTAGATCGAGATTTGAAGAGGGAAGTGACAGTGAGAAGGCCATCAAGGCTCTCAAATGTGCGTGTGTTGACTGGAGTGTCGATGAGGGCGGTGACGAGTGTGAGAAGAGTCGCAGACTGGATCGCGGGGCAGTTGTATGGCTCAAGAAGGTCGAGAAGAAGCTGGGCATGGTGTTAGTTTATGTTGACTTGACGGTAGAACGATTGTCACATACATTCATATTCTGCTCTCGGGCGAAAAGAGACTTGCTGGGAGGGTGCAGCAATAGCAGTCCTTGGATAAGATCAAGAGCACTCAGAATTAAGAGGTCGTTTCCACCATCACCACCCTTAGCCATCAGTCTATCGAGAGTACCGATCAGACGCATAGGCACGTTCCATTCGAATCCCTCCTGCAGCTTGAAGAACTCGCGGAAAGCTGGATCTTGAGAAAGTTGGCCAAGGTCCTTCTGCGATGACGTCGATGCATCACTGTTGTCGTCTTCTGAACCTCGGCGTCGATGGCTGTCGTTTTGGGAGTTTGCGTTTGAGAGGCAGATCTGGGCTAAAAGACCTTCGACCTGGCGAAGACCTTTGCGGATTTTGGGTCCATCGTAGGATGAGAGGTTGTCGAAGGCGAGAGATAGAAGAGACTCCATGGTGTAAGTGGGATGACTGAAATGAATGTTATGCCGAGAGATAATAGAAGCTTGAAAGGCGCTGGGAGAGGATTACTCGAGGACTCGGAGGACTCGCGTTGCTGCTTTCCTTTTCTTTCCTTTAAAGAGAGTATTTCAACAGCCGCAACTTGCGGTAAACGACGATGACGACAGGAACAACAAGAAGAAATGCAAAGCTGATAGTGCAGCGCTGAGAAGTGACCGAGCTCGAGCTCCAGCGGCAGCTATGGTATTATCGTGGTGCTTTACCGCCAAACAATCGACATGAGTGGAGATATCGGCACGGCAACGGGGGAGGATTCCAAGGTTTAACGGTCACAAGCCGACATGGGTCCGGGGTTACAGGGGGGTCCTGCTACGGATACAGTGGATATGCAGCTAGGGTCCGCGCTAAACAGTGGGCGTTGGGCTCTGCTGTCACTGACAGCCGGGCTGGGCCGGCTTTCAGCTGCTGGCCCGGGGGAGAATGGAAGGGAACCTCCCGGTAAACGGATGTCAAAAAGTTGATTCTAAAAGAGATGAGGAATGAAAGAGTTTGTGATTAGAGTTAGCCCGATCATAGTTAAGATCCGAGCAAGAGCTAAGTGTCTTGGTCAAAACGGGAATGCTGATGAGCCTGTAGACTGTGTGTGTTTTTGGTACCATCATTTGTTTACATAGCAACGAAGGGCGAAGGAGTGGACATCAGATCGATGTAAGTGCGCATCGATGGTACGATGGTCAGATCAGATCAGGTCGCGATGCAATGTGTACATAGATGCATAGGTATGCTTATTCATGTTTTCATTTATCATATGTAATTGTGTATCATGCTGTCATGGGTGCCCGTGTTTGTATCGGCCGAGTATTTGCTGTCGGCCGATCTTAATAGTACTTCAGTAGGTATTTAACATTACACAATCGGATTCTTTAACTTTTGACTATCCTTCAGGTCCTGTTGGGATTATATATTCTCCAGTTAATATATATCCATGTTGTCTAATGTCTTATACAAAAACCTTGTCCTATATATGACTTGTGGCATCCTGGGTTCAGGGTCCTTGGACTTGAGATGAACATGAAACCACCAGGCATCAAAACTTTCGGGCCAAGATGCTGATCTATAAGTACCTCGACCTCATACATTAGAGACACAATTTCTATAAGTCAACTGCAAACATAAACAACTCCCCAAAGCCATGGCAGCATAAGATATGCCAATCTCATTGCATCATCACACTAATCATCATCCCCAGCCTGGCTCAAAATCGTCCCCACAGCTTCATCCACAGTAGCAGCCGTAACTGTTGGTTCCAAACCCAACGAACACCCCAGAGTATCGCTCCAGCCTTTTTTCTCACGATCAATCCATGCGCTCTTGAGCCCAAGAGCCGTTGCACCCACCACGTCGAACGGGTTGCAACTCACCAGCCAGAGTTTGTCAAGCTGCGATTCCAGTCCCGCCGTCTTGGCCATATGCTTGTACGTACGGGGATCTGGTTTGAATACCTTGAGGGAGTCGATGCTGACCAGCTTCTCGTGGGGAAATACTTTGCTCGCTTGTGACAAGGACGGTGATGTCTCGAGTGATGAGGTCATCATGGCCATGGTGCCGTTGGAGAAGATGTACGGGTCAATGGATGGGCTTTCTCCCAGCCTCTTCAATGCCTCGTCGACATCTGGGAATGTATCGAGGCCATTGTATGCATCCATGATACGCTCTTCCTGCTCAGTGGTGAGCTCAACGCCAACTTCTTTGGTAGCTTGACGGAACGACCATCTCGTGAGGTCGCTGAATGAGCGATAGACACCTTGATAAAGCATGAGCCACTACCATAACTAAAGAATGTCTTGACTTACCCATGCTATTGGCACGCCATGTAGACTCAAGCTGGTATCGTCTTGCGAGCGGGGCAATCAACTGGGCTTTATCTTCGCCGTATAATTTTGCCAACTCTGCTGAGATTGATCCGGTGGAGAGAATAGTCCCGTAGAGATCGAAGGCAATAACTGTGCGTCCCATTGTAGCAAGCTTTTGTAATATGAAGAAAGATGAAGTTGGAGTAAAAGATGGTTCAAGTGGTCAATCGAAATGAAGTACTGTAGTACTGAAGCCGAGGTTGGAATATATGCTCACATAATCATCCGGGATAGTTTGTTGCACCTTGCTTTCAGCTCTGCCATTTACTCAACCGTCCCAGCACTTGGAACAAAAATAACAAATTACCACACAAATAAAGAAACGCCACTCATGTATACTCATCTATTAAATTTTACACCTCTCGCATTTCTTGCTTAGTTGAATGCGATATCAGTCTTGGAAGTAGATCAAATTATTATAGACTTGTGTTAAGCTTAAGTTTTACTAGAGCTCGATCATATCCAGGTTTCCATATCCTCGAGGAGATGTTCAACTCAGCACCTTTGCACCAGCATACACCCCAGTGTCGTTGTTGTTAATTAATACTGGTATCGTTCTATAAACCCTATAGCCTTATGCAGCCATTGTGGAATCTGAACTATCATTTGGGTGCGACAAAACACGGTTCTCCCTATTTTCATCAGCCTGTTCCTCATCCTTCTCCCTGGCCTCCTTCTTGTCCTCTGTAGGTGCAAACTTGCTTCTGATTCTAATCTGTTTGCCGTACTTGTAGAATAGAAAAGGAATGGCAGCCAAGACGGTAGCAACTCCGCCGATAAGGCTGCCACCACCGCCAACACCTAGAGCATCGAACATTTGTTTGGTAAACAGAGGGGCAGCGGCACCACATGCAGATCGAGCAATGGTGTTGGCTGCGATGGCAGATGCTGCGTACATGAGGTATACATCCACGAGGTATGACAAGTACGCTACGAAGATGAGCATCAGGGAGGTGGCCAAAAAGGTGCCAGCCAACGTGGGGACTATCCAGTGGATTGAGCTGGAGGTAATAAGGTTAGTTTACTCTATACATCTAAAGAAAGAGGTTGAATAGTGTGGGGGCTCCTGGTAGTATTTGCAGGAGTGTCTTCTCAGTCACTTACTTGTACTCAGCGGACCATGCAAACCAGAACATAGTCACAGCAAATCCAACACCTCCAATCATTGCCAACGGCAATCGATCTTCGGGTTCCATCTTCTTCCCGCCGTTCTCAATCTTCTTCCTCCGGATATGTGAATCAATCAAGACCACGAAGCCACCAAGGAAAGCACCTATAATGTTGTCAGTATCACCATATTGCAACCAACCTAGAGAACTCACCTATAACAGTACCGATCAAAGGCAACTCTCCAACGCCTGCATTCCATCCCCGTCGTTCTTGGAAAACTATGGGGTATATGGTGAAGAGCATGTACAGTAGGGTATATACGATCGACATGTAGATAGCGCAAAGGAAAGAGATGGTGTCGAACAGAATGATGAATGGTCGTGTAAGTGCGATCTTGTACACAGCTGATAGTGTCCGGTCGCTGGCCTCAGCCTCGGACTTGACATTCTCATAGCCCAGTACCTTTGCCTTTCGGATCCTTCGGGCTTTCTTGAGAAGGAGTGTCGGGGCGTGTGTCTCTGGAATAGTCAACATGACGACAGCTGTTGCACCCCCAAGCCAGATCAGTACATAAAAACTCCACTGCCAGTCCTTCTTGAGCTCAAGGAATCCCGCGATGACTGGACCCAGTGCTGGTCCAACCCACACCATGGCAGCAAAGCCAGCCATGGCATTACCGCGCTCCAACGGCGCCCAGAGATCAGCCAGCACGCCAGGTGCGTTACTCAGAGGCGCAGAGACAAAGGTCCCTGTAAGGAAACGGCCAACAAGAAGGGAAGCAAAGTTGGGCGCCCAAGCACAAAGGAAGTTGAAAATGACATAAAGCGTAAAGGTGATGTAGAAGATCCATCGTCGTCCATAGAGCTCGCTCAGGGGTGCGAAGACAAGCGGCCCGGCACAGTAACCCAGGAGGAATACGGTGATGGTCAGGCCAGCTACTAGCTCCGACACATGGAAGTGCTCTGATATCGATGGGAAACAACCGCTTGGTGAGCTCGAGGCGAAAGTTGCATTGAGAACGAGAAGCACAGCTGAGAGTGTCACAGCCGCTCGTCTGGGCGTGGACCAATTCTGAGGGTTTTCGATGTCGCCAGGAGCGAAATCAACGTAGCCTTTCTTGTTCAAGTACGGAGTGCCTTCATATTCGATATTCTTGGTTCGATAGGGCTTGTTGTTGGCCGATGAGAAAATACGATGTATAGGGGCCATGGTTGCGTTTGATACAGGTCTCTTGGCCAATATATCGGTGCCAGATAAGTGAGGGAGCCAAGACTGACTTACACCAGTTTAAGGAGCACATTGGCTGTATTAAATATCTACAAGAGAAACACTTTACATTTCAATAACACGGCTCGTTCCTCTAGCGGCTGGATGCTCAATAGTCGGAAATACGTTAGAAATCAGATCTAAGTCCGTTCAGTGATCGCCATCAAGCATCACCACTTTCGCTCCACCGTTGTCGTCATACCTTGGGTGCTCTTATTATACCATAGGTCGAAAGGATTACATGCAGCACTTAACTTAAGTACTAACGTTACGGATGTGAGCTAAAGAAGGATTTCGCGCTCGCGCTTCGGATCTCGCTGCCGTGTGAGGAATGTCTCGGCCGGTATTTAATGGATAATATGCTTATCCCCGTTATCAACGTTGATCATCCAGAGCTTCATGCGGCACGTTCGGGAAGTGAACAGGGGTGTTGATGGGCATTGATGTTTAACGTTGTCGCAGATGATTAGAAATCTTTATTGAAAGGAACGCAAATAATGATACGCTGTAACATGAAGTTAGCACTTTGATTTGCAGTGACATATATTGATGGTGCTTTCATGATATTCGCAGTTCTTTGGTGTAGCAGCTGTTACAATAAGATCCTGGTCTAAGAGTGAACAGAAACAAATCAGAAACCAGAGAATCAAGTCACAAGAGTATCAGGACTTGCAGAAATTTATTCTAACGACAAAGCACAGAACATAAAGACATTCATTGATCAACTGGTGATCCCTGGTAGACTGTGTCTAAAGAAACTCCGCGATGGATCAGGGGTCCTTAACCACCATGATCTGACTCTGACCCCATTGCTCAGCTCATTCTGCACCCCCGAACTTACATGTGAAATCTGGACTGACTTGGCGAGATCTCCTAATAAAACACAGCAAATATGGAACCAGGGATAAACTCAACGTGTTTGTCTTCGTCTTTGCTGAGAACTAGTTCTCAGCTGCCTCAACATTCGACAGGCTTCGCAAGCCCTGATTATACAATGAATGGGCTGAGGTGGTGTGTTTCTTTGTCCCAACGACCCAAAAGTTGTTTACAGATAATAAAGGGAGAGTTTGCGCATTGAAGAATGTGTCTGTGTTTGTCTAATATTTCGTCGCTCGCAATATTTATTATCATTATCCTTAGCGAGTACGATGTAAGTTCTGCGATGCAAGCTCTCCATATCAACCACTACTACAACTTAAAAGCTCATACCAGGCTATATATCGCAAACTAATACTCTTACAGATACACAGATACCCGTCAATGCCCAGGGTAACGCAACTGAAGTAACAAAAAAAGGTATGCATTGATTGCCTGATATGACTCTCAGCTGCGTTGCTGCTACAGCTCCCCCACAATCCCACTCCAAAGCTCCCCCAGCTCCCCCCTGGCAAGGCCCATTCTCCCGCTAGCCCCTCCCCTTGACAACAAAGCACAACGCAAAGCTGCATTCCCATTCCCACTCCCGTCTCAAAGCTCCCTCCAGTTCTGCATTAGCTTGTGACAGGCCCCTAATAAGACGGCACAGCCCTAGGTACTTCATGGATGCTTTGAAGGGTGGTACCTTACCTGTAACTGCCGCTGCCCTCAGGTACAAGATAGTTGTCTTGCGTAGGACAAACGCGTACCCCACACCCCTCTATCACAAGACAAGATATAGAGCTCTCGGTAGCTTCATCCTTCAAGGTCATGCCCTTCATGTTCTCAATTTGGAACACTGCAGGACTTAGGACTCAGGACTTGGGCCCCTGTTCTTCAGCGCATGCGCAATTGGATGCGCAAAGCACATTTCGACTGTTTATCCACATTGAAAGCGCCCAGGCTCAACTCTATGACTCTTCCATCGTCGCAACAGGCGGGCTTAGACATGTATCGTTGGATATTCAATGACGTCGACCACTTATAGATTCACCCGAGCTACCCGACAAAACCACTCTCTATAGCACACCAAGACGAGACACGACGAGACATTGCATTTGTTTATTATTGCGCCTTTCTCTCACATTTCTTGAACGTTTGTATTCTCTCTCTCAAGTGTAGGCTAGGCAGTCAACGTTGTGTACCTACAGGCTACAACTCAAACCCAGGCATCCATTATTTTGTCCACCAAAACCTTTGTCAATAGCTCCAAATATCTTCAGAGGCGTCATCGATTAAGCTACCAACCCCGAAATTGACCCCTCCTCCTCCTCTCACCTATCGAATCGCATTCTGGACTTTATTAATAAGTATACCCCAAAAACACAGGACGCATGATCCCCACGGCCGACCCCATCTTCCCTCTCAACCCCGAGGCTTTGCCCCCGTTGGCCTTGCACATGTTATCACTATCGCCAAAAGCAATCGAGAATATGTCTTCTCTCTCGAATCCACTCATGTCTCCCAACGCGATTCCTCCTCGCACCTCGAGCACCGGCGTTTCGACCTCGCTCAACACGACCCCTACAAAGTCCGTCTTGCGACCTGTCCCCGAAGCCGACTGGCTGAGCCAGAAGCAGCTCTCTCCAAAGGCACAGGTCTCGAGTCCTGGTTACGGCGTCATGCAGCCCACATACCCGCCTCCCGACCCCGACCGCTACGCCCACGAGGATCTTGAATTCACGGCCAAGCGCTCCTGGAACGAAGACAAGGAGAGCGTCGTTCGCGGGCCTTACGACTATGTCATTAGCCATCCTGGCAAAGACTTTCGCGCCCAGCTGATTGGCGCATTCAACGCCTGGCTCGATGTGCCCGCATCAAGCCTCGAGGTCATCACCCGCGTCGTGGGTATGCTTCACGAGTCCTCGCTCCTCATTGACGATGTTCAAGACTCGTCTGAGCTGCGCCGTGGCTTCCCCGTGGCGCACAACATCTTTGGTGTCGCCCAGACCATCAATTCGGCAAACTACATATATTTCGTCGCTCTACAAGAGCTACACAAGCTCAACAACCCAGACTTAATCACCATCTTTTCCGATGAGCTTGTCAACCTCCACAGAGGTCAAGGAATGGACCTGTTCTGGCGAGATACCCTTACTTGCCCAACAGAGGAGGATTACCTTGAAATGGTCGGTAACAAGACGGGCGGCCTGTTCCGTCTTGGTATCAAGCTTATGGCCGCCGAAGCCGACGGTCCTACGGACTGCGTGTCCCTCGTCAACCTCATTGGTCTTATTTTCCAAATCCGAGACGATTACATGAACCTGTCGTCAAAGGAATACAGCCATAATAAGGGAATGTGCGAGGATCTGACCGAGGGCAAGTTCTCGTTCCCTGTCATCCACAGCATCCGCTCCAACCCCACAAATCTCCAACTTATCAACATCCTCAAGCAAAAGACTTCAGACATCCAGATCAAGCGCTACGCTGTCGCTTACATGGAGTCCACCGGCAGCTTTGAATACACCCGCAAGGTTGTCGGAGTCCTCATCGAGCGCGCCCGCAAGATGGCCGAGGAGCTTGACCAAGGCCGGGGTAGCACCAAGGGCATCCAGAAGATCCTCGACAAGATGTACATTCCTTAATGTTTGCGGGACTTACTCATCTTATTTTCTTCTTCGATTTCTCTCGATACGGTTAACAGATTTGACGTGTTATGAATGGATCGCATATAGAATGTTCTGGCTGGAGTCAGAGATATCTGACGACCCCCAATTTTGCGAATACAGGAAGGGCCTGTTCAGCGTGATACCACTTGAGCTCTGCAGGGTGATGATGATACTGCAAGCGTTGGATTTTGGAATACGGTTTTGTAGCCAATACATTCCGATTGATTGTAGCAAATGAATAGTTGAATTGTTTGTTCTTTTGTTAATTCATATCGAGACACGAAGCTCATAAGAAGTTGCCAATTGTGCAGTTTGTCTCGTTGCTTATACATCACCAACGCCTTGCATAAATAATCAAACATAAGAGCTTAACATTACAGAGGGAAGACGAGATATCAATTTGGCTGTACTGGAGCCGCTCTACGCTTCACCAGTCTGACCCATCGTCGTCGTCTCCAATCTCCTCTTCGTCCACTGCCATCTTCATTCTCCTCCCAACTTGGCTTCGCCTTCTGTTTTCCTTTTTCGTTTGCAGCGAGGTCTACAACACCCGTGCGCTCATCCCGCTCATCCCATATATCATACACCCAACGCTCGCCTTCTGTCTCAACCTCAACGCCTGTGATGATGCGTTCTTCAACCCACTCGCGACTCCAGAGATCCAGCGCCCACTTCTTCTCGCTCCATTCCCAGCCATCAGGCGGCATAACATCTTCGAAGAATCGTGAGCCGCGGGAACGTTCGCCTGCGATACGAGCCTGTGAGAGCGGATCGTAAGGAGACGGGCTGAACAGCCAGGGCTCCCATTCGCCACCGCCAGAGGTCTTGCGCTGCAGCTCGAAGATTTCAACTTCACGCGTCTCAGGGCTTGAGTCGAGGATGACATCCGAGCTGATCCAGCTGTCTAGCCATGATCGTGCTTTCGCCTCCTGCGGTTTTAGACGCTCGCGATGAGCCGCAGCGAGAAGTCGGCCGATGTACGGGTGTCCCATACCCACGATAGCCCAGCCACTAAGAAGAAATATAAATCTCCAGGGGATGATCTGTGCCGCAACGGTCATGAATATACCTCCCGCTGTCAGAAACAAAAAGAGGGTAGAGCTGAGAGCTTCATCACTGAAGTTCGTGACCGGCACGAGCAGAGCGACAACCTGATCATGGCCTCGACTAAAGTCGTCCATGCAGTTCTGTAAGTCACGCATGTTTCTAAAGAAGTCCTTGCTGAGCTCTTTAACTGGTTTCACTGTCGCTGCGGGTGCCAAAGGCGGTCCTTGGGGGGAATATCCAACACTCTGCTCACTTGATAGCGTACCCTTCGGCGGTGCTGGATGTCGGGCCAGGAACGCGGGGATAAAGACACCTAGTAAAAGGATGGCGATAGGTAGAACACATAGGAGATATGGATCTAAGCAGACGAAGCTGTAGACAGCGAGGAGCGATAGAGTATGCGATGCACGCTTCCATAATAGAATACGTTCGACGCGCCCTTGGAACTTAAAAACGACGCCTATTCGAGCGTTGAACCGGCGGAAGTTATAAGACATGGTGGTGATGTTGAAGTTTGGTCTTTCAGTATGAGTTGCCTCCTGTTCATCACCCACAAAGTGGACGTCGGACTGATCATCGCCATCTGTAGGTATAACTTGTTGTAAAAGTCTATTGTATCATCAGTCAGCATGTTCGGCATCATAGACGTTTGGAAAGCTGAATATACTTTTCTACTAAGCGATCTTGTAAGCTAGCTTTTTGGCGAATAGCTGCAAATCCTCCACGCAAGCCCGTCTTCTGCGCGGGCGCATGGGAGTCTGATTCAAGCTTCTTATCATCGTTATCATCACGGCCATTGTTACGGCGCTGGCTCGAGCCCTCGGAGGAGTCAAAGACATGCCCCGAGGCGAACATCTCTGCAGTGAAGTCATCCATGAGGAGGAGGTTTCAAGGGCATAGTGTAACGTCGGATGGTGGAGGTTTCGAGATATACCGGGGCCTTGATTTCCGCGTGGAGGTGTCACGGCACGATCGTGGGTGTGCATGTGACACTGAGTGACATCACCTGCACCTATGACCGACGGTTGGAGGCACGCTGACAGACCCGTGACAAAGGCCTGGGTCTAGAGGTATACACTGTAGGGTAACTAATATAGTGTGGAGGCTAGCTTCAGTGCACCAGCAGAACGCCATTATGGATGAGCAGAATACCATCCATTTGCTAATTGCCCTTAGTATTCGCTATGCCTGGTAAGGTTTACAGTAGCGTAAGGCAGCCCGTAGCACTTTTGAGTTGTGTGGTGCTGCTTAGAGGAAAAGGTTGATTGATGTATTGCCTTACTGGGCTGGGTGATGCTGAAAGTGTTCATGTTCCATGGCAGGCTACCGATACGTATTTTGACTTACTACCTATACAGGTACCTAACATGGCCTGGGTTGAGCTTTCATTAATATTCACACTGGAAAATAATAAGTTTTTTCAGATGTTCACTACCTGAGTGTTGTAACTGATATGAACTACCTCTTCCATCTGTATTAATATCCATGTTCGTCTGCTCAGGCGCTGACTTACCCCACACCAAATCCACACTAGAGACTGGAGAGAGACCCTCCTTATTTCGGATTTATTTCCATGCTATCAGTCATGCATGCACTGGCCCGAGATATAAGTAAGGCATTGGATGTCGGGGATGCCCGTAGGATAATAAAGTTGTATCATCCCAATCTAAATCTCTCGGCTTATCTGTTTCTGATATATGCTGCACGATATTAAGTGGCCACCCATTTCATAGGTCAATGCATTTATTGAGGTATCGTAAAAGGAGCGATTGCCCGTGGCGACGACCAGTCAGATATCCTGGATGCCAAATTGGCCATCTTGCCTCTGCATCAGTTAGATGTCGCGTGCAATTGCGGGACGCCCAGGATTCGGCATGCGGCGACAAAAATAATAAACGCGACTTGAGATGCAGCACGGTTAATTACAGAGCACACCGTAGAAAGCATAACGTAGCGAACTGACAACAGCTTCAACACGCCATGTTCATTGGGCCGGGAGACATCCCATGGATGGTTGATACTTGATAGTTCACAAAAGCGATGCATCCGTATGGCCCTACCGGTTGAAGCTGCCCGAGAAAGGTCCCGCTGGGGGACGACAACGGGTCCTTCAAAATCCGAGACACAGCCTGAACCTTGTACTCGATGATGTGTTGGTCTGAGCGGGAGGTTTAAAGAGGACGTCTGTCAAAAGGGGAGTCTTAAGCCTGGTCGCGAAACAGCGGAGTGACCGTGCTGTTCATCGCGATATCGAAACGGACAACCTGTCGTTTGGAGACCCTGGTGTTTTTACTTTCCACCTCGGCGACCCAATGTCAACATCCCAATACAGCCCAATACAAACATTGTATGTCGACATGGTCATGTATCGCGCCAGTGGCCGTTGATGTGTCAACCGGTTCATGCGTGCACCTCTCGGCACCATGTGTATGGGTGAATGGCTGGTAGCATGACGATACCGCCCACTGCATTCTCCACTGTGCAAATCCCATACCCAAAATCACCGCCTTGGCCGCTCGCCATCGAGACCAGCAGATCAAAGTACGAGCAGTTGGCGAGACGGGCGGACAGGGTATGGTAGGTAGTATAGCTCGGAATGGGATGACGATGGAACGCGACAGGGACAAGCGGTAGAATATCCACGAGTATAATTGCGGCCTTAATCCGGATTCGGGCTGGCATTTAATTGTAATGGAAAGAATGTCTCATTTCCTTAAAATGGGCGGATAATAATTAATGATTGACGTTCCTTCATATCTGCATCGTTGACTGAGGGAGGCTAATAAAGTAAGGGGACGTTGATAAGGTACCGTACATTAGGTTGCATATCCGGCAAGATACCTCTGATGTAGGCACAGAAAAGGCAGATTTCGAGGTATCTTTTATCCACTAAAATGGCGGTAAAAGGCGTCACTCTACATCGCGGTAGGTATGGATCTTCCACCTCTGCCCGCACTGAATCCAGGGACCAATATCCCATTCTGAGTGGCCAATCATTCCCTCGCTTGTTCATGGCGAGATCCACTGCTTCACTGCCAAGTCCTCAAATCACTACCGTGATATTGATGCTTTCACGAGGTTCTTTGCACTATATCAGCCTCTCAGAAGCCTCGCTTCCAACGCTAAGCACCTAGCCTGGACTCTTGGTACTGCAGCCGCTGCAGTTAGCATGCTGCACGCTAAGGAGGCTCCCCAGTAGACCCCCCTTAGTACGGGTATGGATGGATGGAAGTATTCCCCCCATGCCCCATTCCGGAACAGCCTGTGGACGCCTGTGAGAGAGATGAGAATATCCATATTCAGTCAGCCAGTCCAGACGGACGGGAAGGAAGGAAAGACCAGCCTGCCTAGGTACCTACCTACCTACAGTACCAACCAGCCCATCCTGGGAAAAAAATATCCTTACCTAACCCAACCTGCCTCCACTATCCGTACTCAACGACTCCATCTTTTATTCCATCTCCGTCTCGCATCTTACTGTACCATCCCTTTCTCGGGGGTGCCCACTGCAATCAATCACTCCGGGTTCCATTTTGCATTTTGCACTTCCCAACTCTGCACTCTGCACTTTGCACTCTGACCTCTTCCTGTCGACAACCGCTCACTGTTCTCCTGTCGGTTCCGGAATGAGGTAACCGTTCGAATGCGCTCAGCTCCCTGACCGGACTGAGTCTGTGCTAGTGACCGACCGACCCCGTGAAATCCACCTCCGTCGTCGCATTGCCAGCCACGCCCCTCGACCCGGACCCTATGAGCCGCGATTACAAGGCACCTGCTGGGCCTCGACCAGCCAACTTTTCTCCAACGCGACAGTGAGCCTTTCCATCTCTTCCTCGTCTGAGTCGTTTATTTCCTACCTTGCCTTTGACTCTATGGCCCATGCTTGTTATGGTATACCAGCGCTGTCACCGTCATAATCCAAATCTTTGTCGTCTTGCATTTCCTTGCACATGGCCAAGCTGACCTTGATCCCTTTGTGACAGGGGCAAAATCGCCGACGCTCAGCCTCGACCACATCTCCCCTCGACGAACCCTGGCTTTGCCCCAGACGATCCAATGCTCAGCGCAACTCCTTCTAACAACCATTCTCTTTTTTCTTTTAGTCGTGATGGGGAACCAAACCAATTAAACGATTCGACCGCCTCTTTCGATTTCTTGCCCTCCGTCAGCTTTGATGATCTGCAGAGCAGTATCGAATCCGCTTCAACAGATTTCAAGCTCACCCAATTTCCGTCCCCTACTGGCGAAGGAGGCATTCTCGATACAAACAGAAGAGACGACAACAACATGTCGCCAAGACCCCAGGCGACTTCGTCTTCGAATGGTGCTACCACCCGCACCACAGCCCATCCCAATACTCGACCCAGCCGATCAGGCTCGCTCTTGCGCCGACCTAGTAACTCTAGCAGACAGCCTGCTAATACGCCTGGCATTTCGGGCCCGACAGACCATATGAACGGGTCAGGCACGGCACGCTCTCGCCGACAAAACCAATACCCTCCCGTATCTAGCACTGTTGTGCCTCGACCTCCTCGAAAGTCAATCGGTCCCGGTGTTATCGGCGACGATGGAGCTCGGCCTGCCCAAAAGCGGCGTCCTAGCCTCTTCTCTGAAGGGGCACCTACCGGCTCAGCCAGAGCCTCCATGGATGGAAACTCGTCATGGCTGGAGAATACAACAAGAAATTTCTCCACCTCTAGGGCTGCCAAGGCAAAGTCGGTACAGCCGCCTCCAAGGCCCAGTCAAACAAACTTGGGCCTCGGCAACACCCTTACTCCAGAGCAGAATCGACACTCGACACTTGCCCCACGGTCACCTCGTGTTGGAGGTCAATTGAGTACGCCCTCGTCCAACAAGCGAGTCTCGATGATGCCTGGTGCCCATCACTCTTCGCACGCGACCGGTCTCGGCGCGAGGACAATTAGTCCCACGGATACGAGGAGGATGAAGCGTCTCTCGACAATGCCACAGTCATTGAGCCTTAGTCATGTTTCTACACCACCACCTCCGCCACCGGTTTCAATGGGCAACCCGATAGAGAGGGCCGAATCGAAATCGCCTTCCATGATTCCAAGGAGAACTTCTGGGACGCCGTCGTCCTCAAGAACGACCCCGGATCTCAATCGTAAATCTTACCACTCTGGCCTGTCGGCTACCTCATGCCTCAGTCTGAACTCGGCAAGGACATCGACTGGATCGTTGCATCGTATATCTGGATCTTCTTCTACATCACGCCTACCTGCGCCAAAACACACGACAGTTCACAATCCCATGCCGGCCGATGACGATGAATATGTTCCTCCTGTCCCTGCTATACCAAAAGCATATGAATCACCAAAAGACTCACCTGCTGATACTTATTTCATGGAGAAGAAGAAGACCGCACTCAGCAACATGGATGTTATGGGCATCAACTCCAACTCAACGGGAGTGATATCCATGCCTGTATTCCCTGAACCCACAAAGTTACAGAGAAAGCCGAGCGGTCCTCGACAGCCCTACGCACCCAGTTTAGCTACCCAACCCGATAACAAAGCCACACCCCCGAACAAGAGGCACCTGCAGCCCTTACGACTGCCACCGATTAACTTGGGTCCACTGAGCACCCCAACAACTAACAAAATTGCAGCGTTGCAAGATCACGATAGTACAAGCAGACATCATACTCCGCCACCAGCTCGGCAATTGCCCAAGACACCGACGACCCCTATGACAGCTTCCAAGAGCTCTTTCTTCGCAAAGACCCGCCATGGCGATACCCCAGAGCTTCCTTCTTTGAGGAGTAGCAGCTCGGTACACCATGCACATCTTACGCCTACGCCCCCCGATGCTAGTTCGACAGAATCCTCATTGGCTTTCAAGGAACTCGATCACAAGCAGAGCATGTCGCCATTTTTGTCGTCGTCCCTTCCCAAAGGGGGAGCAGATCATGGTTTCTTGAAGAGATCAAGGACGGGCGCTGATTTCACGACGTTGGATGAAAACGTTTTTCAGGACAAAGTTCACCAGAAGCCTGCTGGTCCTCGAGCGCCCAAGGATACTGAATCTATTCCTAAGTCCCCTCCTCCTGAACCGGTATTGGACGAACCTCAAACCCCTTCTTCCATGAGCTCCATTCGGCGAAAGCTTAGCCTCTCATGGAAGCGCGGAACTTCCAAAAGCAACCTTACCACCCCTGCGGATGCTCTCGAAAATGCAAGTGCAAAACAGCCAGAAGAACCCATGCCACCACCTAGGATCCCGATTTCTTCCACTCTCAACAACCTATCCAGTGTTAAGCAAGCCAGTCCATCTCCTACCGTGAAGCAACCACCCGGTGGGTATCTCGAGTCGAGGAGGCGTAAAAGCTCAGGTGGAAGCCTCAATGGATTTATTTCACACGACAAAACCAAGAGCGACTCTTGGACCACCAAGAAGCCTGCACCTGATCCTTCGACAATGCCAGTAGCTCGTAACACCTCTGTCATGCAGAAGATTCTTCGACCAAGAAACTCTTCAGGCATTGCGAAAGGCCCTGATTCATGGTCTGCCGACCTTGATAAGGATGACGTGGCGGCCGAGGAGGAGATGGCCAAGCTCGGCTCTCGGCGTAAGGAGACAGATGTTGCCGCTAGAACTCTCGACGCGCTTAGAAAGCGAGCGACACCGAAGGAACGAGTCGGTGCTCACGAAGCTATTCGTATTGCCATGCTCAATATCTATGAGCGGGGTGAGATCGTGGACTACACCGATGTCTTCTTCTGCGGAACCCAAAACGCTCACAAGGTCGTTGGTGATCTTCAATCTGATGCACCCAACTTCGGCTACGATGACGAGCGCGGTGACTATACCATTGTGTCAGGGGACCACCTTGCGTACCGATACGAAGTCATTGATGTTCTTGGAAAGGGAAGTTTCGGGCAAGTCGTAAGATGTATTGACCACAAGACTGGCGGCCTGGTCGCGATCAAGATCATCAGGAATAAGAAGAGGTTTCATCAACAAGCTCTCGTTGAGGTCAACATCTTGCAGAAGCTTCGTGAATGGGTAAGTTGGCTTATCTGGCAGCTCTTTAACTTTTGTGCTAACCCGTCGCAGGACCCCAAGAACAAGCACAGCATGGTCAATTTCACACAAAGCTTTTACTTCCGTGGCCATCTCTGTATCTCTACAGAGTTGCTAGATATGAATCTCTACGAGCTCATCAAGGCCCATGCTTTCCGAGGGTTCTCGATCAAGATCATACGGCGATTCACTAAACAGATCCTTAGTTCGCTCAACCTACTAAAACAACACAAAGTCATTCATTGCGATCTCAAACCCGAAAACATTCTCTTGCGTCATCCTCTTCACGCCGAAATCAAGGTCATTGACTTCGGTTCCAGCTGTTTTGAAAACGAGAAGGTGTATACATATATTCAGTCAAGATTCTATCGCTCACCTGAAGTCATCCTCGGCATGACTTACGGGATGCCTATCGACATGTGGAGTGTTGGCTGTATCCTGGCAGAGCTATACACAGGCGTTCCTATTTTCCCTGGCGAAAATGAACAGGAGCAACTTGCGTGTATCATGGAGGTGTTTGGACCCCCCGAAAAGCATTTGATCGAAAAGAGTACTCGCAAGAAGCTGTTTTTTGATTCGATGGGCAAACCCCGTCTCACGGTATCTTCAAAAGGTCGCAGACGCCGGCCTTCTTCCAAGACTCTGCAACAAGTGCTTAAATGCGATGATGAAGTGTTCTTGGACTTTTTGGCACGCTGTCTTCGCTGGGATCCGGAACGACGACTAAGACCTGAGGATGCGATTCGGCACGAGTTTATTACTGGGCGTAAGATGCCCATTCCTCGGATGCCACCCACCCGCGAATCTTCACCTATGAAGCGACATAACACTATCTCCACTCCACGACCCCTCCCAGACCCTCCGGGCACTGGTGCCAAACCTTTGGGATCCCTACGAACTGGAGCCAGTCCTCATAAGCCAATCTCAGGTGCCGTCCGCAAAGCCTCAGGGACGATGGGACCTACCAGCTCCATGCCCACTAAACGAACGAGTGCCGGCACGACTGGACTTACACAGGTAGCGAGCGGCTTGCCTCGAGCTGCTGGTAGGAGTGTGAGTGCAAAGCATGACCTGGCTGCTGCTGGTGCAACGGCTGCCATGAGTCGACGATTATAGTTTTATTTCAGAGGATGTCCATTATAATGATTGGAGTTCAGGTTGTGTTCAGCAATTTTTGATTTGACCGTTGTGCACCTTTGGGTAACCGATACACACGCTGTGGCCCTGTTTGTATCGATATGATTCGGCCTTCATCTTGCAAAAGCTGTATGAATCGTATGGCGACAACTAAGTGTATGAAGGGTACAGAACTTGAAGGGCGTGTCTGCGGTATGATGATACATACCACTTGTTTCAAGACTTGTCATCAGGCATACGCGGTGACTGAGGACGTCCGCTCTGCGGCTGCCTTGCAATGGATCAGCAAGAGGCAAAGCTGTGGTACAATGAGACAACGTCTGGGGAGTCGACATGACTTGGAATTGGGGTTACAACTTATGGGAAGGGTGTATATCACGAGATTTTACGACTGTTTCAACTCAACTCGATAGATATCGTTGTCCGTAGCGAATCGGAGGGGTATAGAAGTAGGGGGGGCAATAACCAGGGGCCAGTTATGCGGAGTATATCTAACATCAGAGGGCAACTCGGGCTCCTGGACAACCTTACACATAATGGAATATTCGAGACTAGTCTCAGCGTTGATTTTGACTCTTGACTTTTGACCGAGGCCTCCCTCTGAGGAAAAGAACCATTGGTGATTGTTTTTGAGTCACGAACACGTACAACGTCAGATGCTTACCATGTAGTAGATGATCGTCAAACGGCTGTAGTCTAGAAGCACGAAGGATGGCACAGTTTCAAGACGTGTCGCCTCCATTGCATATCAGCCTTACACGCTATGATGTCGGACAGACCACGGACCATATTGAGGGTCGCGAATAGAATCGCGGCAGCGGCAACGTAGCGAGAAAGGGCGTGAGAAGAGGCGGTAATGCTATGTCAGGGGTTCTTATAATGGTATTGTGCTAACTGCAAACGGCCATATCTTTCTCTCAGAGACAAGGAGGCAGCTTTGGCATTGTAACTGCATCAGTCAACAGCCGCGGCGCCAAAGACGCCGAATGATGATGTAGGGAACGGTGTTTCGTGAGGGATGACTTGGGTCCTAGTAAGTGCATAATAGCATAGTCAGAAAAGGTGCATGGCTATGATTGGTAACCGAACAATGTTGAGTCTGCTTATCTCAAGATTAGCAACGGGCCCGGCCGAGAATTGAGTCTCACACCCGGTTCAACACGCTCAAACAACGGCATATGTACCTGTCATGGTTCGCTTCAAAAGTCCAAGGCAGACTGAACTGGTGAAGCACTGGGAGAGTATCCCAAAAAAGGAACAGAATGCACAAGGGTGGAGCATCGAGATGCCTTGCCGTCTGATTACAGCACTTCTAACTTTTTGGGTGTTGAGTAATTACTGGAATAACACAGATGAGGATTAGAAGTTGTCATGATATGGCCGGACAGCATGGTGTAAGTCAAGCTTCTCCGCCGGCGACTCCGGAACGAACAACGGGGCAAGCCACGGGCGGGAGGCGCAGCAGGTGGGCCATGTAGTGGCGCCCCTCTCCGGGCTCCGATTATTGGGTGCGGTTACCGGACGAACAGGGGACTGACCCATTCCCCCGCAGACGGCAGGGGTTGCTTGACGGGGTCCCGGACGAGGCTGGAGGTCTTGAACCGTTGTGCAACATGAGTGTGAGGTCATTGAACCCTCCATGACGATAGTAGTAAGCCGTCAGGGCCATTGAGGGTATATGGAATTTGATGATGGTGGGTGCTGAGTATGATGGTGACAAAGATACCTAGGGTTGGATTCAAAGCACTTGTCCACCAGACGTCGTAGAAAGCGTACGTATTTGGTATTGTACTGCGACAAAGTACCGGTAGAGTTTAGGCAGATGCGTTCTGAATCTCTTGACAAGATGGATCCCCCCCATCTTCTGTCTGTGCTCGCTCATGATCCGCCTTTCCCTATCTTGGGGTGTTAGTATTGGTGTTTCGTTGGATCTTGTCCAGCCAGTCATTGGCGTTCTCCACTGCATGCAATGTTATTTCCACCTGAATTGTTTCTGATGCCTGCCTGTTTGGATATGACTCTTTATCCTTCCTGCATACTGCATAGGGGAAGTCTGACAGTCGTACTCATCGGTTTCAACCTTTGACTAGGGTTAACTAAGAATAGACTTACTTATAATATCCGTTCTGATAGAATGGCCGAAACATTATACCAATAGAAGGAGGAGAACTTCGGATGATATACAGGACCGAAACGTACCTGAGACATGATTCCCAATTAGGCCCATTCGGTTGCCTCTAAGCCAATTGGGCACATTTGTCGAGAGATGGTGTTTCTGGCAAGACATGTGAACGGCAGCGGACCGTAGATGGTGGGGGTACCATGAGACATGACATGAAGATCAACCGATGCTTGGTAACTAAGTGACAGAAACTATTCCATTGTGGTTTGGGACTTATTCACAGTGAGAGCGTGAACTGCATATACGCAACCAAGTATAACCTTTAGGTGCTGGTTTAGTTTGACATGTGTTTCCGTTCATTTGCCAGGAAGGCTTCGAAACTCCAAAAAAATAAAAAAGTTTACAATCGTCAATTTGACAATCCGAGTGGCGCTTCTTTCGTGAGGCCTCGTTGTCAGCAAGTTGTCTATCCAGAGTCCACGTGAGGGCAAAGAAACAGACAAGGGCGCAGATGTTTTCCCAAGAAAGTCAGATGCCCGGCGCCCGATTGCCAGCGGCAGTCAACCCTGTGCTCCGTTCCAATAAGAATGTAGTTCTGAGTGAGACATGAGGTAGGGAGCGGTGAAAACTTCGGGAACATGTCAGCATTCTCATTAAGGTATCTGTACGGAATACTGTGTATAGAGTGTAAGAAGACGTACCTGGACATTCAACATACCGCTGATGCAAGGCTAGGCTGGCTGCCTCTATGTTCGGTGGGAGAACCGTAATTGAAAAAAAAAACACTCTAGTAGTGCTGACAGGCCAATGTCACATACAACAGTTCTCAAAAGTTTCAGGGATGATGCTGTGATGCATGTCAGTTGCGCCGAATCACTGCGTGACAGGCTTAATAGAGGTGTGCTCAATTTCCGACACTTCGGTGATGGAGGGAGGCCATGGAAGATCTGGCATCATCAGACAGAAACATGACAAGTTGAAAAAAGAGACACGTACAATCAGATTCATTTTGTTTCGGGCTTTTCGTTAAAAGCTGTGCTTGAGAATTAATAGATTGAGTATGAGTCTGTATAGTTTTGCTAACTCTCGAGAGCAAAATGATCGATGCGCTCGCTATACGGTATGAACATGTGATCAGACACCGTAACTCATTGGTAGAGATTGCGAAGGATAAGAGAGCAAGCATTGCCAAGGCCCAGGGTTGAATGCAGACACAGCCTTATGATTGACAGGGGGGACCAGTTGAGTAGCTAAGACTGTCAGCAGGTGGTTGGGTGGGTGGTTCTTGTACTGAACTTTGGAATTGTGGTCCTCGTTTTCATCTGTTTCGAAGACTTTCCATTGGTATCAATTCGAAATGATATACGGAAGATGATCGTATAATTTCAGGCAATTGAGTCTCAAGACAGGCACGCGGTTTGGGAGTATGCAGGAAGTGTACTTGAGAAAAATAAGAAGCAACAAGAACATATGCTTCCGCCATACTGCTTGCTAGGCAGCTCGTGTGCTGTACCTATTATGTCATGGTGTTGAATACCTATTGATTGATGTATGGAGCCATGGCCGTGGAATCGTGAAACCCTGGAATATGATCGAGACCCATGCTCTTAAGCCCATTGCCCACTAGTCTGGTCGGCGACAGCTTGATGACTCTAAATTGAGGCCGTGACTTTTCCTACTGCGGAATTAGCTGGGCATGAAACGGGAAACGGGAAACAAGAAACAAGAGACCGCATCAGATTCCAGACATCCAGCGACTCCAGTGCCCTAGCACCGGGACGTTGGGCGCAGCAAGGCCACCATCACCATTGACACCACCAACACCACCACTACCAACACCTGTTTAAGTGCCGAGCAACAAGGGTTAGCGCTGAGCAAATCAAATGAGACTGCGAGTGATGTTCGTTTGAGGCACATCTTGATATTGATGTTTCATTGCCTTAGTTAGGAATTCTTGCAAGAGCGGGCGGTAGGTAGTAGACAGAGGAGAGTGAGTGTCTGTATTCCTCATGCAGTACTGTATGCGTACGTAGGCATTCCAGTTCCAGGCATCAGTTGTTGATTCCAGTTGGGGGCTATTTCACTGCCACGGGGGCTGCATATTTCAGAGTTCTATTGTGTTGCATTGTAGCCAGTCTTGTGGATGATTTTTAAAGAGAAAATAATATTACTCATTGAAGGCGAGAATATACGAGAATTCGCAGTCTCTGCCTGATCTGCCTGCCTGGGTAGGCAGCCTGGCTGGGCACGTGTGGTGAATTTCAACGGGCAGGAGCTGGGCGAACCATTGCCTTCCCAAAGTCCCCTAAATTTTTGACGCCATTCCGTACCTACCTAATTATACTCCACCTCCCGTTACCCGTGATGGGGACTCCTTCAACTTAGTACCTGGCAAATGAGAAGATCTTATTAACAACACGTCCTATTTTCCCCATTATTTTACGCCCTTGACCGGTGAGCTACTGATATGATTACATGTACAGCTACTCCGTACCAACTCTGTTATATGGTCGGATTGACGTCACAGGTCTGTCTCTACACTCATTGATGGTATTTCGGGTCATCTCGAGCTTCTTGAATTCGCCCTTAGCTGATCAAGATGCACGCGTCCAATTCACTCTTACGTGCAGTTACAGTACTGTGCAAGTACGATATAATACAGCGGAAGACGATAACGATATACTGGGCCGGATTTCAACCATGGCTGCTGCATCACATCATTTCCAGGCCTCTGTAACCCTCCCCTTCAGCCCTACTGCAGGTCAGTTCAAACTCCCTGCCCCAGGCCAATAGGTGACTCTTCACGCCGAGACCATCTGGAACGGTGACGGAACCGCTCCCTGGGGACTCACTGATGGTTGGTTTGTCCTGGTGGTGTACATACTGCTTGTACCTACAGGACTTAAGGTAAGCTACCCCTGCCCTCGCAATTGACCCTGCCAATGCGGTACGGTACCAGTACCCAGGACCTTAGTACCCAGGACCTTAGTACCCAGTACTTCTAGGCCAGGCTCATTTGTCCACACCAACGGCGCTGCGCCTTGAGAGCAAGCCCGTGCTTTTGCAGTCTCACTCAATTGATATGGATGTTTGCGGTGCTGTATCCCTTCGGAACAAGAACCACCCGATGGAACAGAAGATATCAGAGCACAGGGCACTTGACACACAAGGTCCTAAAGAGCCATAGCCTCCAAGAAAAGAAAGCCCCCAATTCTCAAAGGTCCATCAGACCCCCCTCCCTCTCTAGGCCCAAGGCATCTTTTGTCCTTCACCAGTGGGTCTCTACCGTCCTATGCCTGCAATAGACGCGCCCCAGCCTTTGTCACCTGTCAGGACAGTCAGACTCGACCTCTGCGGCTATCGTTCTCACGCACTGTTACTGGCGTCTCTGGCGTCACTGGTGCCTTGACGCAACATCCTGGCGGTGTTTCTGGGGGAGTGGTCTTTGTCAAGAAAACCCCCGAACCGGGGCGTGTCGCTATGGGCTTCGATGCTCTCGTCCAGGCTACAAGCAAGCCTATAAGGCTGCGATGCCTCTCTGAACGCTAATTGTATTATCCTCACTTCCTATCTCTTCATTCAAAGTATTCATAGAACAAGCGTTTCTCAGTTGATCTCTCATTGTCTTGTCTTCAAGTTTCATCCTTCCTATATATTGCTCTCTACCCTCATCACAACCAACTGCCCACTGATCTTGACGAGCCCTACCACGTACGAAATCACCCTCTGTTGGTTCAAGCATCAAGAACTTTAGCCGGCTATCTACAACTCCATACATCCTCGAACCAACACCAGGCCAACAACCTTCCGGCCCAACACCACAGTCATGTGTTATCAGCTTGTCGAGCTGTATTCGGCTTGCCGATGCCCCTACTACACACACGCTGTTGATCGCTGCGCAGGATATGGCCGTCCGGGCCACTCAGTCCAGCAGCGTACAATACTTGTTGGTTATCTATGTTCTGCACATGCAAACCATGGTGCTCAGTATGCATCACTACATAACTACTCCGACAGCGGCTACTATAGTAGCCCCTCAAGCTCAAAGAGCTACCGATGAACGGTTCTGTCTTCGGCAATGGGATTCCACTCTCCACGACTGATCCTATTTGATTTCGACGGTTGGGTTTCCTACCTCCTCTCTTTCAACCCATCAAAACTCTCCTCATTGCTGGCAGGATACGCTCGTTGGATCAATAGCATTCCAAATAAGGTTGATGACTAGGCGTATCCTTTAGCACACTTTCTGGCTCTCAGATTGCCATTGGTGCTCCTTCCTTTCGTGGATAACTCCTTTTGTCACGGAGATTACAAAAACGTTACCGGAGACGCGGAGGGAGATGCGGTACGGACACAAAACAATTACGGCAGAATGCCTCTTCTTGGCTGTGGGGGAAAGCGACGCTGGACGCGGTTCCATTTTACGCACATCATCCTTTCTTCAGCATGACCTTCACCCCTCGACGATTTGGGCTTCCTTATTTGCCGGTCGGATCTGGTACTCCTTAACGGCCGGAAAAACCTCTCATCTCACATTGCTAGATGGCGTTTGATTATTTGTCCTTTTTTTTTTTTTGCACAGCGGTGGGTTGTTTTGGTGCCACTTCATTTTTCGCTTGGCTGGGAACAAGTCAGGATATACGAACGTTGGGTTACATCCTCGGGCAGCATTTGCTGGGAGCCTCACGGCGCCTTCTAGATGGCGGAGTTTCTTTTCTTGAGCTTGAAGAGCAAGGGCATTACTGGTAATGACCCTCTGACTTTTGACTATAGCTGTGTTATTTGCCTTCACTTCTTCTTGTTCTTGGATTTCTTTTTTGACAAAAGATGGTCCACTTTTTAGGGACATTGGGATATTCTTTTTTATCATGGTTTGCATTTGAACTGTCGGGGGCAGTACGGAAAATGCTTGTAGCATTATGGGTATAACATGTATGGCTGGCCATTATTTCATTTCTTTCTGGGGAAGACTTCCGTTCGGAAGCTCCTTTTATTGTTTCAAACCTCTTACTCCCCTCTTCTGTTACCAGGGTACACGACTTTCACGACGCATTGACTGCAGCAGTCACAATTGTCATGGTGTTTTCCTTAGGGACTGGGTTCCCAATTATATGACGAACAGCAGGACCTAGAGCGCTGAGCGCTCAATATGTCATAGGAATATAAAACACTTTCTACCCGTTACTTGCAAAGTTCTCTCCATCAAACACATATTCTACAATAGTCTGGTTATGGCAAATGATTGAAATTTAGCCTTAACTCATCTTCACGATCATCGTGTAAAGTGGGGTACATCAAGTCAATTCTCCACAGCAAGCTCTAAAGTCTTACCCCTTGGTGCTCAACCGGTACATATACGGACCCAAGGAACGTTGTTTTTTAGTTTGATAGAAGTATATAATCTTGAAACTAATAAGCTCTAGGCAACTTTTGGAAACAGCTGTTGTCAGATTCATCGCAAGGAGGCCTCGTGTCAAACATAAGACACCAGAGCTCAAGTGCTGAGTTTAGGATTGCAGGCACAAGGCAGACAAATCTATAAACACTTGCGAAGGGCGAACCAAGTTATAGCCTTGCAGCAATCAGTAATCAGCAACTTCAGAATAAGATGTCCAAGCCTATGGATAGGTGACGTTCATGGTGTACCGTAGTACAAAGCACGGCCGGTAGCGTGACCTATTATTAGGCCTCCCACCCCCGGTAGATTCCCAGATCGAACCACGCGGGAAAGATGGGTGTGCTGGGCATGGACAAGGCCAATCACGCGAAACCTGGCTCGAGAAGGATTTCGGCTGTTTTACTCAGTAAACTTTTGAGGTTGATGACAAGGAGGGCTGGGGCTTGGTGTGATTTGCGGGCGGTGCGCGATTAGGCGCACTGGCGCGCTGCAGGGAACTATTCAAGGATGTGAGACGATCAGTCGGGTTGCCAAGGATTCGGGGGGTTTTTGTTTTGAGTATAGGACACATGCAAAGGAATTAGTGTGCGGGTAATTGGAGGGGAGAATATGTGCGAATGGGACTGCGCAACAGAAGCGAGAGTTGAAGTCGAGTTAAGGACTGGCTTAGGACTTGGTAGATTTGTTCGCACTTGCAATACAGTATCCCGTATTGCACTATATTCTTAGATGCTCGTTACTCGGATTCTCGGATGTAACAATCCCGTGCAGAAAAGTATCGCATCTTGCAACCGAGTGGTCGGTAAGTTGGAATGACATATGCAGTGTCTAAGGGGAACTCGGATTCTCAAGTGTAATTGGCCAGAAGAGCACGCCCACCCCCCTGGATTTCACGAGTCTGACACGATAGAAGAGCTACCTGAAGCTAAACTTGCATCTTGAGAATTGATGGATATAGCAAAGTGATTCGTTTATTGGTCTAGAAACTCACCCACGGCTGAGGTGAGCTGCAAGAGTAACGGTACCTGACACCAACTCGGCAGTACTGTACCGTACCGTCCGTGTCTTAGTATACTGTACCGGAGGGCGTTTATCAGTCCCAACCGAAAGGGTTTGGCTTGGCTAGTCTGTCAAAAACGGCTGAGGTCGGCTAGTCGGCGACGCATCCCAAGCTGACGGTGGCGGAACTAGGTTTGACGATCCCTGGAGTGCCGGGCATTCTATGCAGGGGTATGACGTTTGGTGGAGAGCTCAAGGCGTTTTTCTGTAAAAAGGAAACTAACAGGGATTGCTCGCCTAAGCCAGGGGATATACAGCGCTCGCGCTTATGGGTTAAGAAACATCTTGTGTAGACAGGTAGATGAGTTACAGGGTCTGTCTGGGCAAGGGCTATAGACACTTGGATCAGATCATCATGCTTGGATCAAGGGTTCCTGGTTAGACCCCGGTTACGATCAATATTATGCTGCTAGTGTTATATCATCTTCAGCCTTATACACGAGTCAGGTTTTCTGGTAGATGAAGTTGCCATATCGTCATGGTGATCATGGATTCGAAACTAGGTACCTAAAATATTACCGTTATACTTCAGATCCCGGTAGCAAGAGCTGCCTTGATCTGGGTAAGCTCGACCTCACCTTCCCCTCCCCCTTTCCACTTCCCGTGTAGAGATAGAAGCACCTACCTAGTAAAAGAAGAAACTGTACCATCCCACTTGCCGCATTCAACGACCACAGTAGAATCATTAACAACTTCATTGTCCCAATCGTGACTTAGTAACTCTCCATCACCATCACCATCGCCATCATCACCCACCTCCCTCTCCTCTCTCCCATTTCCTCTTTTCACCATCCGCATCCTAGCATCCTCTCTCTCTTCATAATTGCAGCATTCATAAATTATTCTAGTGCTGCTCCTGTATCCATTCTTGATCTGTTGGAAATGACTTCATGTCCTGTGATCCAATATCCCAGTCTAACACTTCATCAACTCAAGCCGGGTCGGCCTTCATCACCAATACTACTACTGGGCAACCTCTTCTGTCAAAATATTCCCCAAAGAAACTTCCCCGCGGTAGCGAGACTTCCTCATCGTCACGAAGTAGCGCTACCACTGTGATTCATACTTCACTACAGCTACCTGGATCAGCACTAGAAACGCACGACTTCAAAATGTTTTCCACACTCATAGGCCATACCCGAACCCTACCCCCTCGAGGGGAGTTAGAGGGGTGCGTTTCAGACGATGTCGAAGACTTTGATCATACACCTCCTCCCAGCAATCGAGCATCCTTAGATATGTCAAGGGATGAGGCTGAGAAGCCAACTGCTTCCAAAAGACTAGAAACGAGCCTAGATACTATTTCTCGGCATCGCCTCCACAAATCATCAATGAAAGACTCAAAGATCGCAAGCAAAAACAAACATGTTTCACCGGTCTCAATTACCTCCTCTAAGACCGATTCAAGCATGCCATTGAGAAAGGCCCTTGACGCTATTCCTGACCCCCCATACTACAAACCATCATCACTGCAGGACTGGCCGGCTACAGATAGCGTTTGTACGAAGCCTTTAATGCTTTCACAAGATATCCATTCCTCCAAAGGCACCGTAGCACTCGCCGAGCTTTCCGCCTCTATTAAACTCATGGAAACATCACGCGTCGAACCACAAGTATGTCCCTCGACTCAAAATAATTCGGAGAACTCGGATGGCGTCTTCGTTGGAGGTGGCTAGAAGCCTCAATTCCTTCCCCTGGAAGACCCAGGTCATAGTAGTGGACTGCAAACGGTTCCTAGCATCGAGGACGACAGTGACTGTGCTAAGGTGCGCATGCGTCTTAACTCCAATCTGAACAACGATCAAACACCCTTCAAGAAGATCGTAAATCCGCTTGGTGGGAGAGTCCGTCAAGTTCGTTTTAACGATAGTCTCGCCCACCATGTACTTGTACATGGTGCCTCGATTCATAGCAATGATTCAATTCTTTCCGATAGTTACGGCCAAGATGACATGGTAACACCAGTCAGCACCAACGAGCAGTCTAGCGGTGTTATACCAGCAGAGGTCTATGCAAGCGAGATAAAAGATAGAGATGAGAGCCCTCAGGATCGTGAGCCATCGGTTGCTTACACGGGGCATTCAGGACGGAGCCAGTCTTCTGAATCTATCATGAATATGTGGAATAGTAATTGGCTCAAGCGACTGCCAGCCATAGAAAGATCGGACAGTTCGCGACTCGCAGATCGTCCCCCTCAAACCAAGTCTATTAGAGCAGATGATCGACGCCCATCAGAGCCCTTGTTATCGAGCGGCAGAGCTCTCCATAGGCTATCTATATGGTCCAATCTATCTGATAAATCAGTTTATGAAGAAGATTGGCTATCATTCAACCGTACTTTCAACGATCTGGAAAGGCTCCTTGACAATGCACTTTTGCTGGCTTTGGAGGTTGCCGACCATTCGGAAGCCACAGCTCGCATCAATGATAATCTTGCAACAGACAAAGGTAGTAACATCAAGGAATTGAACGAAACGGTCGTGCATAGTACCCATGAAAACTTCGAGGTGCTTGGAATGAGCAGAGAAGATACGGGCTGTCCGGTAAGGCCAGGGCGCAGTCGTGCTGCCACTTACACGAGCATTCCAAAGCGTCCACGGCTGGTCGATATCGTCGATAGCTGTTCTAGGACGGACAGAGAGCTTCAAACAAGACCTCGCATTGGACGAAGACGATACAACTCATCATCGCCACGTGCCTCACTGAGTCGGAAGCCTGGAAGACAGAGCCGAGTAGGAAAATCAGACCCTAAACGTGAAACTGTTGTGCTAGGGGACCTTCCCAGCCCAAACAATTTTCTCAAGCTCGATCGCCAGAGAGAGGGTAGTCAAGAAAGTATTACAGTTCACAAACGCTCTGTAGCTGCGAATGTTTCATCGGGCGTTCGAACCGGGACCGGCCTTGATACCTTGCCGGACCATGACATTGCAGGCAGAAGACTACATAATGAGCACGCAATCAATTTACGAAAGAGGTCGCATGTTAGTCTTCGAGACATGCAAGGATTCAATCTTCCCAAGTCACATGTAAGGCAACCAATTGCGAGAGACTGGTCACCAATTCGCAAACGTTTTGTCGCCTCTGTCGCTTGTTTGAGCACAGCTCTCATCGGAGTGCTGCTTGGGATATATACAGGTCTTGTACCGTCAATTCAGTACTACATCGTCGATCAATCGCACGTCGCTGTCCATGGTAACACGGGCTGTTTCCTAGCGCTTGCTTTGCCCTCGTTCTTCCTCTGGCCACTACCTTTGCTTCACGGTCGCAAACCTTACATCATGTCAAGCCTCATCCTTGCAATGCCACTGCTTTTCCCACAAGCGATTGCCGTTAGTAGTCAAAGATTGACCAATACTACTTCCTGGAGGGTACTACTATTGGTCTCACGTACGTTGATGGGGGGCTCATTAGGGTTCGCCAGCATGAATTTCCACTCAATTCTGACTGACCTGTTCGGTGCTTCATTGATGTGTAGGCATCCCCATCAAGAGGTTGTTGACCAATTCGATGCAAGGAGACACGGTGGTGGTATGGGTGTGTGGCTCGGTATCTGGACTTGGTGCTGGATTGGATCTCTTGGTCTGGGTTTCCTCATCGGCGCAGCCATCATCGACAAACATCCACCCGCGTGGGGATTTTATATCAGCATCATGTTAATCGCAGTGGTGTTGATACTCAACGTCGTATGCCCTGAAGTGCGGCGGTCTGCGTTTCGGCGGTCAATTGCAGAAGTGCGAACTGGGGGAGATATCTCACGTCGTTTGGCCCGAGGAGAAGTCATGATGCACCGAATCAAGACAGGTCCCAAGTGGTGGGGCCAGGAAGCATATCACGGAGTTCTTCTATCCTTAGAGATGCTTGAGCAACCCGGCTTCGCTGTTATGGCTGTTTATGTCGCGTGGATTTATGCACAGGTCGTCCTTGTGATAATTCTATTGGGCTCGCTTGTATCTCGATTCTACCACTTGAGGTCGCCATATGTCGGTTTGCATGTCGCCGCAATTGCCCTTGGTGCTGTTCTTGCAATCCCTTTCCAGAAGGCCAGCTTCTTCTCGAGATCTCGGCACCGGGAAGGCAATTCTAATCGCGAGTCAATAGGGAAAAAGGTGGTTTGGTCATCGCATCTCATTCGCCGGGCCACCTTTACCATCGCGCTACCTATCGGTGGTGCCTGCTACACAGCTGTTTCGTCTGGGCCTCCGATTAGTTCTGGTGCACCTGCCTTCTTTGCCCTCTGCATGGGTTTCTTGTCCTGTCTCGCAATTGCGGAATGCAACGGCCTCATCATGGAAACTTTTGATACATCAGACCTGACTCCTGGTATGGTCGGCCGCCACCGTGACCCCTTAGGCCAAGACCAGCGGAGGACTAACTACTCATCATTTCCAAGAGTGACAGCAGGGTTCGCGATAATACACTCCTTATCGTATATTCTGGCAGCAGGCTCGACTGCGCTGGGTGGACATGTAACTCGCAAACTGGGTCAGCAAATCGCTACAAGTATTGTGGCCGGGATCCTTTTCGTGTTAACCGTTCTGTTACTGCTTGTTCTCATACGGTTCAAGAACGTGCTCATTATACCTCGTTCAAAGTCGGAGGAGATGGAGAAGATTACCCAAGCCCGTCGGAGATCTACAAAACGTCGGGCCTCCATGCCAAATGACCCGCGAGCAATAATGGAAGAGGATTATGCCTGGCGGCCGGCGATGACAGGAAACCCAGTAGGCAAAAATCGTCGGATGAACGTATTGGAAATGGGGAACCTGACAAGATGGCAAGACATTCGAAGAAGAAATAAACTCATAGATGCAGGAGTGCATCTTAACCGCGACACAGTGGACCATGGGCTAGATACCCTGGATGTTGCACTGGAAACCCATGTTGATGATATGCGACAGAATGCACACGGATTCTTCAGACGAGGGAGTTTGAGAAGACATGGAAGTCGCCTCCGACGCAGCAACCAAAGCAGCGAGCAGACGTTTCATGATCTAGACTTGGATACGCCTGATCCTTTTGGTACGCCAAGTGAGTCATCCCAGCAACCACGACAGTTTGTCGAGAGGGAGTGTGTGATGGGTCAGACTATCAAGGAAGAGAACAAAGACGAAAGTCAAGCTAGATCAAGCAGCTTGGGAAAGATTAAACTCTAAAGGACAAAGAAGGACCGGAGTCGTAAAAGATTGACCTTATAAAATTAGAATGAATGTCTAAGGTGGTGTAGTGTATCAAGGATATTTGCCCTAATAGCGTGTCTGTGTCCTGGTGCCTTTTACTTCCAGTCTATGGCTCATGCCCATTATAACTTCCAAATGCGTAACTGTTATACAAGAGTGTTTTCATATCTATTTAACAAAAGAAAGGAAGGGTCAAAATACATGTCGGTTATGCGTTCGTGAGGATGCTTTTACTGAACGTTAAGGTAAAGGTCATCTCCTCGCCTTGTAGGGGTCAATGTTGGCTTCCAATGAGGCGACAAGGGAAAGTTTGGAGGAGTCTTGTTTTGGTCATCGCGATTCCACTTGGGAGCCTTGCTTTGATCTGTACCAATAGTCATATCGGCGGCGCGACCAGAGCCGACGCGCTTGGCGAGTAGTGAATCTTGGCTACCAGACTGGGCAAGCGGCGGGTTTGTGGGTTGAGGAGGATGGTGGCTTTGATACATGGAGGGATGGATTTGAGGCTGCTGCTGAGCAGGGTATTGTTGATAGGATTGGTATCCGCCTTGGGTGCGGGGATGAAGCTGTTGGCTATGTCGAGCCTGGAAAGATGGGTACATCTGTGGTGGCTGTTGGTATGATTGCTGATGCTGTTGTTGACGCTGGTATGGTTGTAGAGGCTGTTGTTGCTGGAAGGATTGGTATGATGGGGGCATACGTTGGGTAGGTTGCCAGGCGTTCTGTTGCTGAGGTTGGTGGTGTTGGCGTTGTTGCTGGTGATGATGGGCATGCACACGCTGAACGGGTTGCCAAGCTGCTTGCTGCTGACGAGGAGATGGCTGGAACGAGGGAGGCCTCTGATACGGCTGGTACTGTTGTGGTTGCGGGCCTGAAGCAGAGCGGCGATGTTGTGAGGGTTGACGGGTCTGAAGAGGCTCAGGATATGGTGGATCAAAATAATAAGGAGAAGCTCGGATTTGTGTTGGGTTCACAGCAGAGGGTTCCCCAGTCTCCTCAGGTTCAGGGGAGGGATCAACGATGCGCATAGTTGGAGAAGTTGTCTCGAGTCCTGCGTTGGCGATGGGCTCAGTGTTCTGTGGAGCTGTCTGTGGTTGTGGCCGCAGTGCTGGGTAATTTCCAGTCGGAGGCTGCATCATTCCCAAAGTTGGGCTTGGCTGTCCAGGGGGGCTATACACGATCTGGCGTGTGGGAGGGGCAGATCTCATGTTGACACTCTCGCTTGAGCTTCCCATCTGACTAGCACGTCGAGGATCTCGAGGCGGGATCTTGGGCTGCTGCTGGCGATTACGGACTGACTGGGGAGACTCGACAACGGGAGAGAGGCTGACTTGTTGTTCAAGCGCCAAAGAGGGGATGCTTGAGGAAGAATCAGTTGAAGTAGTGATGATGGTGGTGCTACTGCTACTGGAATCTTCGCGTGGTCGAGTCAGAGGCCTGGTCATAGAACGACGAGAAGAGGCGCTGCGTCGTGGGTGAGACTGTTGTGATGAGAAGAAGGGAGAAGGATATTGTGGGCGAGGTCCACCAGGTCTGAACTGCGATCCTGCAGGAACAATTTCAGCTGCAGGAGCAAGCGTCCTGGCATTGTTTGGTTCCGCACTACCAAGAGGGCCGTTGTCGTGTTTAGGAGCTGGCTTTGATGCACCCTCTTGAGATCCCTTGGAGTCTTGTGAGCCCCGCGCTACTACGGAGGCACGTTTGGGATTGCCCAGAACCCAATTGCCATACTGATCAGCGACATAGTAAGTCGTTGCTGAGAGAGGCGTTGTTGGTGGTGGCCTCCAGACCTGCGTGTTGGCGTTAGGGGATATTGATGTTCGATCTTCTTCAAACTCAGTCACATTGCTCTCGCGATTGTTGGCTCCTGAAATCGCCGCTGCGGACGTTTCAGCGGGAGGGATATACAGCTTCGGTGGCACAGGGGCCATGGGCCTGGATCTTGGTGGTGAGGCAACAATCGGCACAGCCAGTGTTGGTGGTGGTATTTGGGGGGTCTCGTTTCCACCTGGTGGTCCAGCGACCTGGCGTCCAGTCTCTCCCCATTCTGGTTTTAAAAGAGGCAGAGGCTTTTCATTAGTAGCTCCGTTAGACAGATCTGGTAGTGTTGGTTTTGCAGGGAGAAGTTTCGATAGTCGTCTCAGGGGCGACGAGTGAGCGGTGTTGCGGTTCGAAGGGGGAGGCGATAGCGCTACGCCGATAGCTTCAGGTTTGATGCTCCTCCGGTTATAAGCAGGCGGTGGTGGTGGGTTGTTTGTAGGATCCAAATCAGGACGAAGTTGGTGGATCATCCATGAGTTGTGTCCACCGTTGTCAGATCGGGCTGGCTTATAACCCCATGTATCTCTCATAGGAAGAAAGCCGGTTTTGATATGCGGGTACTTTCTTCGTCGGTAGTATCTCGCCAGCACAATGGCTCCAACTGCAACTCCAACAGCTGCAAGAACGCCTACTGATATACCAGCCACCTGTTCGGTGGATAGTTTGTCTGGTTCGTCGTTGTCTTCGTCTTTGCTCGCTCCTCCAGCGCCGCCAACTACCCCTGTGCTGGACGCAGTCTCAGTCTCTGATGTCGTTACAGATGTCGAGGTTTTGAAGGTCGTAGATCTAGTGATGGGTGGCTCAGTAATTGAAATGATCTCTGAATCAGTAGTGGCATCATCTGAAGAATCGGCAGAGGGTTGCTCCACAGTTGTCGGTCGGGTTGTCGATCTTATCGTGGTTTTCGTTGATGGTCTCGGAATAACAGGAGGCGATGATGTATCGATGACTAGAGTTGTTGGCAACGTTCGAATAGTGCTCGATGTATCCGAGCTTGATGTAGTCCTGGTCCTGGTCGTCATCACAGAAGGAAAGGTAACAACTCCTCCCGAGGGGGCTAAAACCAAAGTTGCTGTGATGGTAAGATGGGTAGGGTGTACAGCATTAGGCTTCCCGCGGCACATGTCATACGCATTCTCGATGACTCGATCTGGTTCTGTGTAAGTAACTCTATTTCAACACCTTCAGCGCTGTGTACAACATACCATTCGCTTCGAGTATAGAACAGAATCCAATGGAGCGTTCGGCAGAGATGCATTGCATAGCGCCTTCACCCAAGGTAAAGCCCGAGGCTCCCCTTCGAGAACATAAACAGTCCAACAAAGGCCTTCCAGTACAGCTGTCGGGGGCATAATTGACGTTTAGGAAAGATGCAAAGCATTCCTCAGCGCAGCTAGGAATCAATCGCGAGAAATCGTTGGAGAGATTAGTTGCCAGTACGGCTGTTACACAAAAGATCAACCATGTCGGCACGAGGGAAAATGGCCGACTGGCCATTCTACAACGAAACATCTGAAGACGGAATATTCAGTGCCAGCTCGGGGCTGAAGATGTTGAGCTTGTGGACTCACCTATAGAGAAGGGTATCCTATTAAAGGAGATGGCCAGCATCTCAACGAAGTGTATTCATGAGCAGTCGTAACAAGAGAGAATAAGGAAAATAGGAAAATAAGGAAAGGGAAAAGAGATAAAAGGGACGATTAGTGAGTGAGAATTCTCACAAGTGGTCACAGACAACAGAAGGAAAAGAGGAAAGGAAATGCGAAACACAATCACAACGAATACACAGGAAACAAGGGGACATAAGAGGAGGGAGTTGCATTCATTTCTTAGCAGTAGCAGCAGCAGCCGCCGTCTTCCACTATAGCACGGAAGCTCGATCGTGATGAGGCCAAAGGCTGAAAGGGCCAGCGCTTGCTGGCCTGCTGCCTGCTGGCTACACTGGCTATACTAGGACATTGTGTGTAGTCCTGCAACTGCAAATGCAATGCAAGCCTCTTCTTCAGCTCAAAGGGCCACGGAGCCGCCAGAGCGGGCCCCTTCGGCGCTTTCTGTCGTCATTAATGGAAGAGGCTGGATCCGAAAGAGGCTGCTACTGCTGCAAGAGGCTATTTTTGCGTGGGAGTGAGGCAGTCGATGCGAAACTCGACCCCAAAGAATCCATGTTATGTTGCGGCGGTTACAGTTCGTGCTGTGAGTGGTTGGAGTTGGAAGATACCGCCCTCAAGACTTCAAGACCTAAACGCGGGAGAGGGGTCCTTCCATTTGGGCGCCAACTGCTAACAGCCAACCAGTCAGCAGGAACCGCGGTGATTGATCACGTGAAGCTATCTCTGTCCAATTACCGCGCCTGTATAACCTCGATGTGAAGGTCTAGCAGAAGTCGGCCGCTCTTTGCAGATCGACGACCTTTATTACAACTGTTAATGTTAATGTTAATGTCAATGTCAACGTGGGATGTGATGACTTTCACGTCCACGTCTATTGCTGCACTGTTTTACGTCTCAGTTGGTTTCTTAGTGGGTTGGCCAGTTACGGTGAACTAGTTCTGTCACTCACCTCTGCAGAAACCACTGTTGCAAATTATCTCTGGAGCCGGTCACATATGGGGTCGGCTGAAAGGATTAAATAGCGTTACTTCGTCTTGACTGCACCTCCACATCTCGGTTCGTTGCGAGATCTTCAAGAGACAAGGTTAAGGCTGACCAAGAGACAGCCCTTGTTTCACTTCTTTTACTGCGGGCATACGAGAGTCAATCAAATAGTGAATTGACCCACACCACACCTTCTTCATCTACTCCGGGTTATAATAGCCAAACAATATAATCACTATCGCTTTCTACGATACTCATACCATATGCCTGCTCCTAAACCTCAGTGCATTGGCTTATCCACATCACATCATATATCTCACCTACACACCTCATGATACTCGCATCCTCATCCAATAGTACAGAGAAGAACAATTGCAGTGATCATTCACCATCTTGGCATACATGTCCTCTCGATTAGGCAACATTTCATGGCCAACTTTACATGATATATTCGCATTGAAGATCTAGATTCTCTGCCACTTCAAAGCTCGTTCCTCATCAATCATGTCTCTGATAAAGTGCAGACTGCTCAGTCGCACAATCATCAAAGCCTCATGTGATATTGAACGCAATGATCAAGCCAAATTCCTAGGCAAAAGATGGACAGTGTTTCGCAAACGACAAGGATCAACAACAGTCTCAGGACGCCGACGCCGACAGAACACCCACGACAGAACAACAAATCCCTCAGGGCATGGGAAGCTCAGGATACCACCAAGCCATATCTTGTCTGTGATAAAAACATGCCACAGGCGACGTAGCTTTACCCCCGGTTCCAACCAACTAAATGCTATGCAATCATCAAATTCCTCTAATGGCAATTTCACATGGCCATCTCGGCCTGTAGTTTCCGAAGTTCGGCTTCCTCGTCATCTTCCTCGACTGCCTGCTTCTTGTTCGATACAGCTGTATCATGTCAGTGGTTGAACAAAACTTAACCTGGCCAGGACACTTACGCTCTGCGCTAGCTGGCGTAGGCAGCTTGTGCACGGCATCCGATACTGGGACACTGCCTGTCTTGAGCATCTGCTCATCAAGCTGTTCCTGTTGTAGCTCGTCCAATTCGTTCTCCAGATCCTCATCGTCAATCGGGTCACCCAATGTCCTTGAGGTGATAGCGTTGACAATCTCGTCGCTCATAGCATTGTGCTCGTTCAATTCGTCCCTGTGTCACGAAATCAGTAAAAGCTCACACCTAGCACAGGATAGCGTATGGGAAAACAAGATGAGAACGCACATTGTCGCATCCACCTTGTCCACCGTGAGGCCCTTGTAGATGTGTTTCATCGCCTCGTTGGCGTTGTTCATCGCCGCCAGAGTCTCCTTGTTGATGTTGGCTGACTCGATCGAGTTGATTTGCTGCTCAAGCGTGCCGATCTGTGCAACGGTTTGCTCCAGCGAGTGCTCGTGTGTCTTCTTGCGCCGCAAAGCCGCCTTGGCCGCTACCATTTGAATCAGTAACTCCACTCCGCATAATTCTGCTTATTGAGATAGTCGCATACCGTTTTTGTTTGTGCTCACGTTCTTGCGTGCGGCAGCATCCTGCTCATCGATCTGGGTTTGGAGATGTCTCTCACGCTTCTGCAGCATGTCAAGCTGCGATCGCAGCCCGAGAATCGCATTCTTGGGAGTATCCTTGCGCTTTTGGGCCGCGGCGCCACCGAACCAACCCCACATATTGCAGTCGCTGATCGCTTGAGATTGATGTAGATGGATTTAAATAGATGAGGGACAGGGAGCGCTCGTCCTGTTCCTCTCGGAGAGTTGATCTCGTTTTACGTTGTCGGGGCAGGAAATGGCGTAAAGAGCCTCGACTCAGTGTTGGGTAGTGGGGCCGAAAGAGGACTATAGCCGATGGTGTCACGTAGGTCAACCGAAGTTTTTAGGATTAAATAAACGAGAGCAGTTTTAGATGCCCCATGCGTTGTTTCCTTCGATATCGTCGTCGTCAGCGTCGGTAGTGTTGTGTTGAAGGTAGCCTGCGGGACTCTTATCGTTGCCTGTGTGATGACGGCACCCTGGGCCTTGCCCGCCATTCCCTCTTAATTGCATAATATGGGGTTACCCACCTTATTGCAAGACCAAGAGACATCCCGCGCTCAGGTGCACTGCACTGTCAGGTTCCATGTGACGCAATATCCACATGGTCAAGCCCGAAGTAGAAAGTTTGATTCGCCCATGTTCTCAGCGTCACGCGAACTAAACATGAGGTTATTCCCAGATTGATATCCAGTACATTCAGGGCTGATGCTTGTCAGCCAACCTTCAACTTTGAGCCCATGTTTACTTAATAGCTTTGTTTGAAATAGCATTACAATGGTTCGGATCATTCATCAATTAGATCACTCGAACAAGACTCGACTAACATGAGCTTATAACTTTAGAACAACCGAGAGCTTAGCATCATCCCGCCCCCGCGAGTCAAAACTTGAGATTATTAAGCTCTGGAAGTACTACGAATGTGTTCTTCTTGAGTTCTTTTTCCAGATATTCAACTACACATTACACATTACAGAATACCATGCAACCTTCCAGCAACATTGAGGACCACATCTCCAACTCGAACAAGCAACTCAATAATCTTATGTTACACATATTACCCTAAAATCCGCCAATCCATTCATGTACGAGGCCCTCACGCTCTCTCTATACGCATAACTGCCAATATTCAGTGACATGACAGACATCTCAACCGGCAGGAGCCCAGTGTCCAAACATTACAGCAAAACCTTTGGTTTGCTTTTGGCCCTCTCTCCAAATAAGGCCCAAAGCGCCAACATAGACTGTATCAAAGGAACGATAGATCGTGTCCAGATCGAGTGTAGTAAGTGATTTGCAGACGAAATATTATTTTGTTGCACGCACGCCAAGCTCAGCTTGGCTTAGTGTCAGCTCCAGGTAATCAGGATACATGTTGGAAACGTTAACAAACGTAACGTCATGGGTCTGCGTGTATAAGTAAGTTGGCCGGTCTAGAAACAGGCTGCATAGGTTGTAGGTAGGTAGCAGGTAGGTGGTAGGTTGTGTGGCAGGAAAGAGTTCGACACGAAGACCACGCTTCAAACTCGACGCTTTTATAGATTACTTCCCTTTTCTTGTGTATCGAAATGCCAGACGACGTAGTTGGGCAGGCCAATGACTTGATAACCAGCCCGCTTAGCCATCTTGGCAAAGCCTTCGGTCTCGGCCTGGTTTTCGAAAGCATAGGCAGGGAAATTAATGCCTAGGGATACTGTTAGTCGCGAACTTGACCCATGTCATGTTTAAGTACGCACCTGATCGATGAACGTCTGCCTTGACGAGAATGTTAACACCGCCAATTCCATCAAGTTGGAGCTCTACGTCTTTGTTTTCACGCCAGTCTCCCAGTCTGCACATGTACTCGCGTCCTGTATCGAACTCCTTGTAACCCTCAACAATCACTGTGTCTTTCGGCAAGCTATTGGCAAGTTTTCGGCCCTTGTCAGACTCAATCCACGAGTTATAGTCAACTGCAGTTTTTACGTCAGTAACTTTCTACAACCCACAAATTGGTATATTTGGTACTTACATCGGCCCTCAATATCGACACCCTTCTCGAATCTATGGAACCAAATGTCTCGAAGAAGTTAGCTTCACCATGTCTTAAGAATCGTGTTGCCTAGACTTACTGGGTACTAGAATATCTCGATCATGGGCAATGAAATCTTCAATAATTCGTCTGGGTGCTTCCTCGATGTCGACATCACGCCAATACACCCATGAGTGCTCTGGTTTCAAAGCGGTGGTCAAGAGGTAGTTTCTTGCCTTTGCCATAGCTTTGCGGCGCGGCGCCTGAACGTCAAAGCCGTGTCTTTGCTCAGCATTCTGGCTTAGGTGGAAATTGAAATTCTTCTCGATGATTGTGATACTGTTGAATGGTACCTGATCCTTCCTTTTTTGTAGGTGGTCCAGTTCGGAAGCGAGTATAGCAAGGGTGTCGTCTCTTGAGTCGGATATCAGAAAGGCTAGGTCGATCAGGTGATGCGGATAGGTGAGCTCAGCAACGAGTTTGAAGTAGTGCTTAAGGAAGGGCGCCGCATCCTTCAGAGGTGTGAGAATCAGTACTCGTTCTTTTCGGGTGATTGCTTGTGGGGTTGAGGTGATCGGGTTCAGGTCAATGTGTTCGATCGAGGGAGATTCGACTTTGAGAGGCTTATGGTGGTTGAAGAGGACCGGCGTCTGCATGTGTGCATTCCATAAGGCGTGTTCGTTCGGTGTCATTTCCATTGGTGACTTATTCGGACCCCAGCAGCGAACGCTATAGTCATGTCAGCCAAATATCTACGACTCGTGTTCTGATGGGAGTGTACAGACTTTTGCGGCCCAGAAGGTGTTGCCCGAAAGCTATGGTACAACAGCATGACAATGCCAGTTACGCCTATTAGGAAAAGCAAACGTGATCGTGTCAAACTGCTACGTAACACTCTGCCCTGAGACATCTGGGCCTTTGCGGCCTTCCAGTTGAGTCCACCATGTGGAAGAAGCATAGCGAATGCTTCGGGTGGCTGTCGTCCAGTCTCTCGTCTGGGTTGAGGGGTCCGTTCCAAGCGCAACAACGGAGCTGTCTTTGTGACCCTTCTCGCGGTTTGTCGTTAGCGACCACGTGAGATCTTGAGTGTCTCCTGTTCTTCCAATGCGCCCGGTGTCGCAATGGATCTATCGATTATTCGCTCCTATGCAATTCGGAACTCCGGTACAGTTCAAGGCTGTTCGTACGTTCCCGTGGACGGAGGGCACTCTGGTTAATTGATATGCTGTTAAACAGGGGTTTCGCTTGGTGATTCGAGGTTGCTGCTGTTGCGCAGGAGGTCTAGCGTATCTAGGATGGTCCCAAGATTCAACAAACTTCGCAGTGACCAGGACTAAGAAGATGAGGGCGAAAACGAGTGTGCGGGCGGCTCTCTACAGTTGATCGAGTAGGTCGGGAGGCATATGTTGGAAGAAGGCAGGCCTGGAAGAGAAAGTTGGATATTGTTGAATAACATTACCCATCCATCCACGTTGCGACAGCTGATATCAGCACTTTGGTGGCTCTCGTTGGCTGAATGGTACAACATGCCCGCAATGTTGCTGGGACAGGGCCCCCTGGAATTAGAGCCTCCAAGCCCGCTAACCCGCCATTGGTTCCATGCGTATGCTTCGAAAACAGGACCGTCAATATTGTAGGCGACATGACCTTACCCTACAGCCAAGATATTCAAACATTCGATGGGCCCATGCCTTAGGTACTTCATTACCATTCCACCACCAGTGAGTCGTCAGAGCATGTACATTTAGACACAATTCATACACAGAGAATATGAGCATAATGTATTCGATAGGTAGAAGCTCTTCCATTAGATATTTAATATTTGTCAGATGGCGGATCGACCTTTCGAATCCTAATTGGATCTTCGCTGCTGACGTTTTTGGTTTCAAATCCGTCTAGGTAGAAATCGGCCAATGACATAGACAGGGTGTAGTTGCCACAAGTAGATGGCACCTCATGCTTCTCCATCAACGTGAACAAGTACAAGATATCACTCTTGCCTTCACCTGCAAGAATACCTAATCTACAAATCCAAAGAACTCGTCTGTCGCGCTCCGCCAAACAGACAACCCGATAGACACAGTGGGATACTCGTCATTACTGAAGTACCACATGCTTCTTGCGCTTTTACGATATCATCACCTTCGAGCTGTACATTCATTCACATTGCCATCACGAACACTGCGGACCAGCACAGAACTCACACCAACTCACATCATGGCTGCGACAAGGCGCTCTGCACGTCTCAGCACTATCGCCGCGACAAAGGTAGAATCACCAGCCAAGCCTACGTCAGAAAGCAGTGGCCGGAAGCGCAAAGCAGCCAGTGTTCACGATGAACAACAGGCGCCATCCACGCCCCCAAGGAAGCGTGCGCAAGCAAAACCTGCAACTCCCGCAGCTCCACCGCCAATGACACCGACGCCAGCTGCTGCCGGAGCATTTGCTGAGCCTATAAGCTCTACCAAGAAGCCTCGTAGTGCAACGGTGACACGACTTGCAAACCCCAAGCTGACAAATGCAACGCTTCTTTCACCAGAGTCATCAAGGCTGATTGCCTCACGGGATATTGAGACCGTCTCGCCTAGCAAGGCGCCCCAGGTCAAAACGACTACAGAGAACTTGCTGAAAGAAGCATGCGACCATCTCATCAAAGTCGATGCTCGCATGAAGCCTTTGGTAGAGAACCACCACTGCCGAGTGTTTTCACCAGAGGGTCTGGCAGAGAAGATCGATCCATTTGAGAACCTGTCGAGCGGAATAATCAGCCAGCAGGTATCAGGGGCAGCAGCGAAGTCCATCAAGGCCAAGTTCCTCACCTTGTTCGAGGAGCAACCAGGCGTACGATTCCCGCATCCATCTCAAGTGACTGCCAAATCGATCGAGGAGCTTCGCACAGCAGGACTATCACAACGCAAAGCCGAGTACATCAAAGGTCTTGCAGAGAAGTTCGCCAATGGGGAGCTGAGCGCTCAAATGCTTCATGATGCTTCGGATGAGGAGGTCATGGAAAAGTTGATCGCCGTGAGGGGTCTCGGCAAGTGGTCTGTCGAAATGTTTGCATGCTTCGGGCTCAAACGAATGGATGTTTTCTCGCTCGGTGATCTAGGCGTGCAGAGAGGCATGGCTGCATTCGTCGGGCGGGACATCGCCAAGCTCAAATCCAAGGGCGGCAAATTCAAGTACATGTCAGAACAGGATATGACCGAGCTGTCGGATAAGTTCTCGCCATATCGAAGTCTCTTCATGTGGTACATGTGGCGAGTGGAAGAGACAGACATCAGTACGATGGAATAAACTTTGGTTGCTGGGTCGGCGCATGTTTGTTATCATGGCCCTTGAAGTCAAAGATCCCACATTGTGTTGCTCACAGTCGTCGCTGTTGCAAGTGGTGATGTCACGTCACAAACTTATTGCAATTGTATGTGCTCCGTATGGGTCCATGATTCGTCTAAACCTGAGAAATAAAGTCGGGCCAATGCTTCTGACGATGGTCAAAGATTTTTCTATCCTAATTGACTTGGCACGCTCTAGAACGTACTGTATTCTTGTACAAATCGCATGGTGTTTTTATTGGCGTTAAAGGATCACAATACCTAGCACTAATTGGCTTAGCTTGCACAAAGACATGCATGATTCGTTATCGGCGATCGGCTACAGGGGAGGGTTTACTTGTGGATTTGCTCCTTTAACGGCGTGAAGACGGTTGCGCCACGAATCGGACCAAGGACGCCTTTGCCGGCCTGCAGCAGGCCTCGATTCATCTACAACGTAAAGGTTGCAACAAAGAAACAAAGGACAACAAAAAGATGGATTTGTACCAGATCAGGCGCATGGAAGACCTACGTGTCCAGGCCTACTAGCTAAGGGTCGTCTATCTTGGCAGTTCAATGGCTAAGCATGATAATCAAAATATGCCTAGCCTCTCGAAAGAAAAACCTTGGTCAACCATCTGCGACCACTTCGCATATCGTTGATTCTCTTGCAAGGTGTCTTGGCAGATGGAAGCGGGAAGTGGGAAGATGCTTGGCTCGCCGTGACAGGCTGGGAGACGGTCTCACACAAGCTACAGGCTTGGCCGTCTTGAGTGTGGAGAGGTGCGACGCGTCAAGGGGCGGCGGCGAGCGAGTGAGCGGATAACTTCGATTTCAACGTCTGAATAAGATGGAATGGAGGCGTCCGCCCGCCGTCCGAGAGTACGCATTAGCAGGCGCTGGGATAACGGAAGATTCAACCGAGCAGCCAACGGGAAGAAATCCACGCATTTCAGTACTAAATTAGCTCCTTAACCCGGTGTCGTATATCCGTGAACTGTTGACTTTTCATGTCTGACCGGAAGACATTGAGGGTTGCGCTTTGATGAGGTAGGAGAACACTGGAAAGTGTTCGAGGGCGAAGGCATGATGATTTGCTTTGTTGCGTCACTACGGATGATAATGATTTAAATAATGATCACAGTCGATTAACCACCGCCATCAATGGAAGTCCCGAGGCCATGAAACATAGCGATAACAAGTTAGGAGGCCTGTAGCCAGGGAAGTGGAAAGAAAACAAATCAGGGGCAGATTCGGGTTAGAGGTGGTGTGAGGCAAATGGCTCCAGAAGCGCGACACTGGATCTATCCGCTGCATGTCCGGAGTACCCCAGTACAGTATCATTGATTATCCACTGCGATACAGGATCGTCCACGGTTGTTGCAGGGTGATCATCCGAGACTCATCTTGAAAGCGGAAGCACGTGGGTTCGATGACAGTTGGGCTGCATAGGAGAAGGAAATAAGATATAAAAGGGAAGATGAGATTAGATTGCGGCATGGAATGGTGATAAAAAAAGAAAGAAAGGGAGACGCATTGAGGCTTTTGAGCTTCCTTGAATCCTTACCCCCGGAACCACCGGGGCATTGCCGAGCTAGGTCGTTCGTATTGCCAATATCGGATTTGAGTGATGTTCATGCTCGTTGGTGATTGCAATTATTCCTGGCTATTTCACTGCAGGTAGCGTTGGAAGAATTTCTCCAGCCGTAAGATCATATCCGACTCGTGCTGCTGTAGTTGGACGACCTTTCGTGCCAGTCACTGAGGTCTCACCCTTGACAGGCTGGCAGGTGAGTTGTGTAACCGTTGGTAAAACATCAAACTGGGAAATTGATCGAGTTCCACCGGTCCAGCTCTTGTCTCGCAGAAATGATGACGTCTCGGTGGGAAAAGAAGGTAATTGAAGCTTGAGGACCCAGGCCCGAGTTGGATCGCAAGATACGCTGAAGCAAGACGAATGGAACAAGATGAGTTTTGACAGGGAATGCGGCGAAATGACTCCGTCTGTTAGCATGTACCTTTTGGATAAGGTTCTTAGGTGAGTAGCAAGCTGGAAAGATCTGATCTCAGGAGTAGCTCGTTATCATCACTGGGTACATGGGGCTGGGAATCCCTGCTAGTTGACGCGCAAAGCGGATACTTTCAGCAGCGTCCGTAGCTGAAATGGGGTGCAAATCTCGCCTGCATGCGATGCGATGGAATTAGCTGGAGAGGCACAGAGTTGAGTTTGTAGCTAATTTGGGGATCGATATTGCAGTGCAATAATTGCACTGGGAATATGGAGTATGGCCAAGGACGGTGCTCAGATATCGATCTGTAGTCCAGAAAATTCAAGCAGAATTCGCACATGCTGTCTCCAAGTCGTTGCCTCCGATATTGGAAGGTTGGAATTAGACATCAAATTCAGACTTGAAGAGAATGATAGCGTGGTACCAGCAGCACGGCTGGCGTGGCTGCAGGAGCCGCGGTACTGTGCCTGATAGACACCACTAATGCGTCTGTAACGCCCGTAGTTAAAGTCAACCCAGAAGGTTTAGGTCTGATACATGCAGCACGGGCACCCGCTGCTTTTCCTAAAATGGAAATGTTGATTGTTTTGACTGGATTCGTTGCTGGCCAAGCATGGAGCTAGGTGCTGTCATTGTTGTTGCATTTCATTTTTGCTGACGCGGCCAGCACCATTGAGTTCTTGAGGTATAATTGATAAGATGTATGCCATATTAGGCAATGGCTCGCAGGACTTGCCAGCGAAGAAAGAATATTTCCCTCTAACCAAGAGTGATATGATACAAGAACTCAATGGCTTGGCTAGTGTCTTGATAGTCAGCGGTGGTCGGTGGTTAGGAAGAATTTCGACGGTGGTGAGAATTGAGTGATGATGGAACGACAGTACGTTACAGTATGGAGATGATAGTGGGCCCATGTCTCTGAACCATTTAGAAGGAAATTAATGCCTGTGCCTCCCTAATAGATGATAGAAGATAGTACCTAGGGGTAATTCTGTAATTCAATTCTCGCACCTGGCTCATGGGCCGCCGCACTTGTTCGCAACTTAGGTAGCCTCGCCCTGGCACGTTCTTGGACCGATACTGGCTCCCTTTAGTCCTCCCCATGTCTGAGTGCCCCTGGGCATATTCGATGGGACCCGAAACTGGCCTGTTGGTGCCTTGATTTGTTACTTTTTGCCCCTAGTCCCTAGCCCGTCCCCTGTGCAGGCCACGCCGAACCGAAATTCTCACCGTGCACTCGTCGCTCATCTCGGTCGGCCATCTCCCATCTCTCATCTCCTCCCTCTACTACTTCTCCTCCTCTTTTTTCTTCCTCTCGTCGACCTTCTTTCTTCCTTCTCCTTGTCGGTAATCATTCTCGTCCAGTTTATTTCACTTCACGCCACTCGTTTCCCGTCAGGTCTATCGTGACTTCGTCTCCATAGCCGACTTTTCCCTAATTCCAGGAATATCTTTACTATCCCCTGCTGCATCTCAGTCGTTCGCCGAGAAACCATCAAGGATTTGAAGAATAAACACCATACAAAACTTCCAATTACAAATTAGGTACGTTTATCCAAGTCGCTCGGTCGACTGGCACTGGCACCGCTCGCCTAGACGCGCATCACTTGGCGTGTGCTTGATTGGTTTCAACCGACCCCGTCCCGTCTTTCTTCTTGTCTTCTGTTTTCCTTCTTCCTTCCCCATCTACCTCAAACAACCCTCTACAAACTCTTCCTTCTCCATCCTTTTGCGTTTTGTGTCATTTCTTGCTTAAGACGTGACTACTACGCTTCTCTTCGTTCCTCCTTCCTCCTCTATCCTTCTTACACATATCCTTCCAGGTTGGTTAGCCATTTCCCCATTCCTCTCCCAAAAGGAGTATCACCACTACACATCAAGCAACCGTGAACAGCAATCGCGCGGTGTCCAGTTTACCAACATTAAATTTGTCCACGACATTCTTCTTTGGAGCGACATCCATAGGAACAGAAGCCCTGAAATTAGCACACAGCCTTTCATCGCCAACTCGTCTAAAATCAACGATATCTAACTGTATTCTTGTTTAGGTCATAATGCATTCCATCAAGCTTCTATCCGCCATTGCGGCCCTCAGCATCTCTGCGGTTTCCGGTATGTTGCGCGAGGACTTACAGACTCGATCTTAGCTGACGAGGATTCCCAATAGGCGCCTCAACTTGCACAAAGGATATCAAGGTCACCGAGCCCACACCTGTCATCGACTGCGATGTCGTTGATGCCGATATCATTGTCGACAAGAGCGTCGAGGGTACCGTTCTTATCGACGGCCCCAAGGAGATCAAGGGAAACTTCCAGGCTAAGGGTGCCGGTAAGCTTCTGGGCATCTCCAGCAACACCATCACCACCATTGGCGGCAAGTTCGAGCTCGAAAACCTCGAGAGCCTTAACACTCTCGGCTTTTCCTCCCTTAAGAGCCTGGGTACCCTCAGCTTCATCAAGCTTCCCCGTCTCGGAGAGCTCAGTTTCGGTACCGCAGGTGTTACTAAGATTAAGAACATTCGAATTACCGATACCTTCATCAGCGATCTCAGCGGTCTTAAAGTCACCAGCGTCGAGAGCTTCCAGATCGACAACAACCGAAAGATGAACACTTTCAACTCTGATCTCGTCAACGTCACTTCTGAGTTGTTGATCTTCGACAACGGCAATGACGTGATGGAAATCACCATGAACAAGCTCGAGACTGCTGCTGAGATCCAAATCTCCAGCGCCAAGTCATTCATGGTCCCTGCCCTTACCGAGGTCACCAAGAGCTTGAAGCTTAACGCCAACCCCTCTCTCAAGTCATTCTCTGCCCCTAATCTGACCACTATCACCGAGACCCTCTCTCTCGTCGACATGAACAAGCTTACCAACGTCTCTTTCCCCGTTCTTGAGGAGATCGGTGGTGGTTTCAACATCCAGAACAACAGCAAGCTTGTGTCTATTGATGATTTCCCCGAGCTCGAGAAGGTTACTGGCGGTGTCGATCTCCGAGGAAACTTCGAGAAGTAAGTAAAACGAGTACCTGAATGTTAACTTAAGTACTAATAATTCCTCTTAGGGTTGAACTCCCCAAGCTCGACCAAGTTAGCGGCAGTGTCGTTGTTACTTCTACCACTGATATCGCGGATTTCTGCAAGTTCTTCAACGACCTTAAGGATGACAAGAAGATCGACGGCAAGGAACAGTGTACCTCCAACAACAAGAAGGCCAACGAGGGCAAGGACGGTGGTGATGCGACCGAAGGTTCTTCCGAGAGCAGCGACAGTGATGATGACAGCGCTGCTGGCATGGTCAGCATCAACATGGCTGTCCTCGCTCTTGCAGGTGTTGCTGCCGTCGCTCAGCTTTTCTAAGCATAGGCGTGCCGATATTGCTAGCTTTTCTCTCAAGGCGTCATGCCACTCGTCATCATGTTTCCCGACTTTTCTACGACATATTGTGCTTGGTCATTCTTCATGGGGCCCAAAATGCTATTATTCATGGGGGCGGTAACTGCGTGTAAAGGATAACCCATTAGAGCTTAATAATCGATTGTATTTGGACTTAATATTCTCCTTTTAATCTTGTAATTCAAGGTGTATATGAAACTTCTTCGATCAACCAGTTTGCAGACAAATTACCCGATCCTTCGTAACTCCAAAATCCGACCTAGTTAGTCGTACATAAAAAAGTCCTTCCCTGCTTCATAATATCACCTGTCTTTCCACGGTTCGCAAAATACGGATGTAATATTGAATCTTTTGATATGAACACTTGTGATGAACTCATCTTCAAATTAAGATATTTTAAAGGCAAAACGAAAACAGTAGAGAGGTTGGGGTTCCTGTCGCTTGAATCTCTTGGTTTTTCAGCTTTGGCTGTCTTAGAGCGAGTTATTCTTCTCGAGCCCAGCTACTCAACAACTACATATTTATTTCATGCAGTCCTGCAGCATGTTCGTTTTGATATTTGCAAATATAGGGTATCGTTGGTCTTTCTATGTCCGGTCCTCTACCACCTTTTTCCCCAACCACATTGTATAAAGCGGGCTGTCTAGTTGTACTTCCCTTGTTCGAACCTCTCTGTATCATAAAACTCAGGTATAATTGTATTGCCGTTAAATACGCGACCATCTAGTTCATTCACAGCCTGTGTATGCTATTAGTTGGTCGGTTCTGCTATCAAGATTTGAAATACTCACCCTGAGTGCTGAAACCTGATTCGTGAACTTGATGAAGACTCTGCGGCTTTCCTGGTCGATGTATAATCTCTCCACACGTCCGTACTGCATAGTGTTAGTTCTGACTTGGGCTTCAGATCGGACATAATATTGACATACCTTCTCTCCACACTCCTCTCCTATCTCTTGCCCTAAGCCTCCAGTGATCTCTTCCTCAAGGTTGGGCATATTCTCAAGCATATTTCGTAGTACTATGACGTCGCTCATAGTCCCGAACTTGCCTGTGTTATCATCCTTCCGCTTCCCTCCAATGATCTTGCCCTTGCTTCCTGGTTCAGCCCAGCCTCCGCCATCTGCATCGGCCTTCTTCCGCCGCTTCTCAACCTGGACACGTAGAGGATTAATAATTCCCGACTCATCAGCGCCCAGGCCGCTGCCTTTTGTCCACCCGTATTTGCTCATGAGTCGATGCGCAAAGCCGGATTGACCTGGTCGGCTGGACCGGGGCTGAGAATCGTCGTCGGGTTGTGGAGGGAGATCTGAACCAAAGGCTGGAGGTGGGGAATATGCGTCGTCTTGTTCATCTTCTACTGCCACATCCTCTGTATCCTGAGGTTGTGTGTATCTAACAGGAGCACGCGATATTGTGACAGAGCCTGGAGGTCCAGGAGGGGGTGGGGCAGGTTGTCCTTGGGAAATGGCCGACGGGCGAGAAGTCGCATGACCTCCAGTTGTATCGTCTGGGGGAGGAGCTGGAGCTGCAGTCGGAGGTGATTGAGGTGGTGGTGGTACAAATGAATAAGATGGAGGTGGAGCAAATTGATCTGATGGTAGGTTAGAATTAGAAACGAAAAAATCATAGTAGTGCACTCACTGGATGGGACCTGCCGGGCTTCTTCATTCTCATTATCGTCTGAAATGTCGCTTTCATCACGCTTTCGTCGGTGTCTGTAAAGTAAAGCTTTCCAATCTCTCACTTCTTGAACCTTCTCATCGCTGTGTAGGTACTCTTCCACATTAGTTGGCCTTGTAGGGTCATATATATCCTCCCAATTTGTCTCAAATTCTTCCTCGTGCCTTTTCTTCTTCTTTTTGCGACCACCGCGCTGGCGTTTCTCGACCGCGCCATACATCCACTCATCCTCTTCTGTCGCTGCCCAGTCTGCAAGTGTTGTCTTCGTTTGTGCAGGAGTGGGAACGGGAACAGCGGCATCGGCAGAAGTAGGAGCGGTAGTGGTAGTGGTAGCGACAGTCTGCTTAGGGAGAGTGGGTTTGGGAAATGTTGGCTTCGGTTTGGCTTGCTTCACTTGTGGTCGGCGAATAGGTTGAAAGCGAAGGGCAGGATCAATGACTTTCTTAATCGTAGTTTCCGCAGACGCGTTGTCTGATTGGTTGTAAAGAACGGGTGCTGATGAGATCGTGGCAGAGGCTGAAGAGCTATCGTTGGGATCGAGGAGATTCTCGTAGAGGGAGAGCCCTCCAGGTGGAGGAGGTGGAGGAGGCGGCGTTGGCGGCGGCGGAGGAGCTGCCATTGTTGCAACTCAAAGAAGTTATGTAGTGTGTCAAGTTGAAGAAAGTCTCGTGCGACTGTGACAATTGATATTTGTCTGACTCAAGGGAACACTTTGAAAGCTAAGATCATCCGTTAATTAGTAGAAGCTGGAGCTATGTCCAAGCTATATGTAGTATGGAGTTGTTTGGGTTTAACTAGTTAGGTGTTTGCGACAGAGGAAATGCGCCGGGTAAATTGCGGACCGAGCGCCGCATGTGCCCGTCGACCTACACTGGTAGACTGGGGAAGCTGATGCTGTGAGGCAGGCACCTACTGTGGCTGCAAGTGCCCCTCCAACCTAGAATGATTTAGACCCCGCCAAAACTTTGGAGAACTACCTATTATTCAAACAACAGGCGGTAACTGGCATGAGTTTGTTTATGCCTAGTTAACTCAAGCAAAAGACAAAATTTCTCATCTCTTTACATTTTCTTGAGGGAACTTCACGTCTACACCCTTGTTATAAGCCAACACAGTCCCAGCGGGCAGTCTCAAACGGAAGTGTTTCCGTAAGAAAATCGTCACAGGTTACCACCGCCTCCCCACCATACCGACCTTTCTCCTGCACCTTGCGATCGACGAAACGACTCTACACAGCACAACACAACACTTTGCCCACCATGGCTGATCTTGCGAGCCGAATCACAAAGCCCGATGAGGCTGCCACGGATGCTCCAGCTCCAGCTCCAGCTGAAGACGCTCCCGCCGCTTCTGCTGAGCTTGGCCAGGCCGACGGCACTATCGAAGAGCTGGGTGGCTCTGGCCTCCAGGAGCCCGAATGGGATGTTGAAGTCTCCCTGAGCGAACTCCAGAACAATGAGGCTACCCCATTCCATTCTGCCACTACTTGGCAAGATCTTGGCCTGTATGTAGACGTCTGCCCTCTTTAGAAACCGCACTGACACCTATGCTAGCCGTGAGGACATCCTGAAGGGTCTCCTCTCCCTCAACTTCTTGAAGCCTTCCAAGGTTCAGGGAAAATCACTCCCTCTGATGCTCAGCGACCCCCCACGAAATATGCTGGCGCAATCTCAGTCTGGTACTGGCAAAACTGCTGCCTTTGTCACCGCGATATTGTCGCGAGTCGACTTCAGCAGGCCTGACCAGCCTCAAGCCTTGGCTCTTGCGCCCAGTCGAGAGCTGGCCCGACAGATCGAAGGAGTAGTCAACGCCATCGGACGTTTCATTGAGAATAAGAAGGTTGCTGCTGCGATCCCTGGTGTCCTGCCCCGTGGAGAGCCTGTCAGAGCCAGTGTCATTGTCGGTACCCCTGGCACAGTGATGGACATCATCCGACGTCGACAGCTGGATATCTCACAGCTTCGCGTTCTGGTTCTCGACGAGGCCGATAACATGCTAGACCAGCAAGGTCTTGGCGACCAGTGCCTAAGAGTCAAGAAGTGAGACCTGCCAAATTAAGCCCAACGAACAAAGTGCTAACAAGCTTATAGCATGCTGCCCAACGACATTCAGGTTCTCCTTTTCTCTGCCACATTCCCCGAGAACGTCATGAAGTATGCCGGAAAGTTTGCACCAAATGCGCACAGCCTTAAATTGCAACGCAGTGAGCTCACCGTCAAGGGCATCTCTCAAATGTTCATTGACTGCCCTGACAACAACATGAAGTACGACATTCTTTGCAAACTTTACGGTTTGATGACCATCGGCCAGTCGGTCATTTTCGTCAAGGTAAGTGCTTTCTATACTTCGATTCTTAGATTCTAATTCGGTCTAGACTCGAGAAAGCGCCAATGAGATTCAGCGACGAATGGTTGCAGACGGGCACAAGGTCTCTGCCCTTCACGCCGCATTCGATGGATCTGAGCGAGACGACCTTCTGGCCAAATTTCGCCAGGGTGAGAACAAGGTCCTTATTACCACCAACGTTCTGGCCCGTGGTATCGATGTTTCCAGTGTGTCCATGGTTATCAACTATGACATCCCCATGAAGGGACGCGGCGATACCGAACCTGACGCCGAGACTTACCTGCACCGTATTGGCCGAACTGGCCGATTTGGCCGTGTCGGTGTCAGCATCAGCTTCGTTTACGATAAGAAGAGTTACGATGCCTTGAGTAAGATTGCCGAGATGTATGGTATCGACCTGGTCAAGCTGGATACAGAGGATTGGGACGAGGCCGAGGAGCGTGTTAAGGAGGTCATCAAGAAGAACAGAGCCCAGGCTTCTTATGCTCCCAGTGCCACTGAGCCTAAGTCTTCCGCGGGTACTTAGAATCTGCCCGCGTTTGGAGTACAGCATGGATTTCAGATTGGGTTTATGAACGACGGGCCACAGTTTAACTATGGCAGCATGAACCCCGGCACAGCCTACCAGAACATGAGCTACTGAGGTTGCTCGGATCATCAAATATTGATTTACCGGAGATACCTGTCGATTTCTTTTGGGGGCCATCGAGTTGTGAGCTCAGGATGGCACTGTGAGGTGGAGAGAAGGACGTGGGAGCGCGAGCTGGATTCAGCTACCCTGTGTCTGTAGCATTGTGAGATACCAAAGACAAACAAAGTTGTTGCCATTTAAACTCCTGTTCCTTTCACCAACCACATAACTAAGGCGAATTGCATGCTATGCCCGTCATCAAGCGCTTTTGAACTATTGCGGTAGGTTCCAACATAACGAGCCGTACTCCGTAGGATTGAAGGCTTCTGTGTCTCTACCGTCATACAGCAACATACGCAAAACTTGCAATGTTAATTGATACCCAAGTCTATAGATACCTGCATACCTTAGGTATGTAGTTAATTATCTCATTGTTTGCAATTCCCTCACATTAGACCTTTTGTTAGGTACCAATCGAATCTAAGAGAGTATCCATAACGGTATTGATTAAAAGATTGCTTACCTGGTAGTCTTGGTTGTCATCGATGCATATTCACGCAACTACGGATACCCAAATTCTTGGCAGCCCCAACCTCGATTATAGGGAGCTTTCCACCACCCAGCCTCTTCTTTTCCAGCAGCCTCACTCACCGCCCTGCCAGCATTGATACCGCCCACGGCACTACTGCCAGGAACAGATTTAATTTGTGTAACAAAGCAAGGAATGTGACTTGCGGTGGAAGCTCTGGAGGCTGAAGGCTAGAGACAGGTACCCCGTAACTAACGGCTACCTACAAAGATGCATGTGTTGATCAATACGGGACGCAATAACCGAAGCTCCGTGCAATGATAATGGACAGACCTTTGTTTGAGACATGGAACAAAGACCCGGCCAGAATGATAATGCCGTTTTGCTTGCATGCCTCGCTCAGCTCACAAGGTGCTCAGCATCGCCGTACCAGTCCAACAATGTTCGCCAATAATAACGACGGTAGTGAAGCGAGCAGACGATTAGCTGTTATCGCATGACCAACCTGATTTCCTACAAGAGTCAAGTCTCATACAACAAGCGTGGAACAAGTTGGGCGCTGTTTCATCAAAAGAGATGCGTTGTAATCAGGACATGGATATATCTGAGAGAGTACTCCGTATAGGCGTTGACAATGAGTAGCAATGCCACCAATGCCACCAATACCACCAATCACCCCCACTAAGGGACCTTGGGGAGAATGGTCTACATGTGTGTACATACATAATCTGAGGCCAGAGGGGCTTCCGATATCGAGATGCATCATGCATGATGGGTCTAGCAAAAGAAGCTTCGGAGACGAGCCACGTTGCACATCTGGAGCAACTAAACCGCTCAGTCGCAGCCATACATCATACGCCATAGACCATACATCATCCACTCAAACCTCCCCATCCATCGATTGACGACTTTGCTTTGCCGAGTCATCCAAGGTTTCGACTTCCGAGTTTCGACTTTCGAGATGTCGTCCTCCACCGGGCATCACCTGGTGAGACTAGGTACCTAAGACTAGCGAGGCCGTACCGGGGTCCGCCTGCAAGGTGCGGTATCTGGCGTGGGGATGGCGGGACCGGATATCTTTGTTAGCCACCAATATTGAAGTCGATCCGGATAACTCTGCAGCTGGCGGTGGACGACATGCGTCTAACGGCCGGTCACTCAATTTACAGCCCACCAAGCTCATCGGATTACGTCTATTTCGACGGAGTAACTTAGTACCTACTGCTCGCAGCTTGTGAAAGATACCGAGTACCTAGACTACTACTACCTACGGATTACGCATGATGGTTGTCAATCATGGTCCACGCTTGACCAATATTGCTTTAATTGTCATGCTGGCAGCGGGCCGTCCATGCAGGTCCGTACCTACTACCTACTGGTTCAGCCGTCGAAGCTGGGTATTGGGCCGCGATAGAATAAGCCTGGCCTCATCACCAATACATCCAATCTCACTTGTTCAACCTCCTCGTCGAGTCTTTTGATCGCCCGCCCCGCCCATCAGGCTCGCCTTACTGTACTTGACACTTAACACCCATGGAACCCAACCTACCTAGGTATCCAATCGCCCCTGCGACGTGGCGCCAGCCAGCGTTGGTCCTGCATGAGCCAATTACGCATGGGCACGATGCAGCGCTCGCTGTAATCCATGGCTTTGGGCGCCTGTGGCCCATTACGAGCAGGGGCACTGGGGCCTTGTCAGGCCTGCGTGCTTTTTTTCTCCAGCAGTCGCAACCGCGGGCAACCACAACCGCAAAACGCAAAACGCAAAACGGGACCCATCCAACGTTCGCCTCAAGAATACCTCTCGTGAATGACCTCTCCGGACCTCCCACCCGTTCGCCCGTTATGATCCGAGCCTTGCATTTCGCAAATCAACGTTACTGACCTCACAACCCTTTTGTTTTATCCCACTGCCTAATAGAGGTTTTCTGCTATTTTTTATTGCTGAGCTGTCGTGACCTGCAGCACGCCGCATGATACCCCAACCTACCTAACGTCTAACTTTACCCACCCCCATCTGTCCACCCGTTTATTCCCACGACACACAGGCAGACAGACTATCCGGCTTGTACTCTGTATAATACGCTACCTGATTAAACGGTACTTCCTAGGTAGGTAGGAGGCTTGACAACTTCAGGCCCGGGACACATCTAACACCCAGTGGCCCTACTGTAGCTACCCAATTGCCTAAACTGGCCTGCTGCAAGAAGCAAGATAATAGAGTTGCTCCCCGGATTTTCATCCAAGAACTTTTTCGTAATGTCAGGTGCGGATAAAGAAGAGAAAGTATGAGTTACGGCTACGGCTATGGCTACGGCTACGGCTACGACCAAGGCCAACATTATTACCCTAGTGGTAGGACACAAGTTGATTTGAGCCATGTACAGTATTCCGATTTCTCAAATGTTCAATACTCCAGACCCGAAATCTCAGATGCAGAGGATGATCCTGAGTACGAAGGTGAGTTATGTTTCTACATTCGTGACTTTCTTGGTATCCATTTACTGAGTCGTCGATAGGCGGAGATGGATACACACAACCACTCATGAGGGCTCCCATGCCACCTACACCATCACATCCACTTTCAAAGAAAGATAAGAAGAAGCTGAAGAGGCAACAAGAGAAGGCGGCAGCAGCCGCTGTTGCGCCTCCTACTGTACCAGATCCACCAGCACCCGCAGAAGATGAGTCCCCAACAACCACATCATCCAGCAAGAAGAAGAGCAAGAAGAACAAGAAGAAGGACAAGGAGTCAAAGTCTCTCCCAACACCTACCTCAGCACCAGTTCCCCTACCTCCCCCTGCCGAGGAGAGCAAGGAGGCGGAGAATGTAGAGTTAGAAGCGGAGGCAGAGGCAAAGACGGATGAACCTGAAACGGCCGGAACACAGGACAAGGCCGATTCCAAGGACACACCAACACCAGAAGAGAAGATTGCTGAAGAAGAGACACCAGCTGCGGAGGCAGCGACCAAAGAGGACGAAGAGCCTAAAGAGGATACCGCGCCTGAAGCCTCTGCAGATAAGGAGGCTCCCAAGGAAGAAATGTCTGCCGAGGAGACATCTCCAAAGGAGGACCCTCCTCCAGACGAGACACCGGCCACTGAGGGCGACGAAACACTTGCCAAGGAGGAAGCTCTAGCTCAAGACGACACACCTAAAGAGGGACCACCAAAGGAGGAAGAGACACCAGACGAGAAGCCTAATGAAGAGGCTCCTACAACAGAGGCTCCTACGACAGAAGCTCCTACGACAGAAGCTCCCAAGGACGATACTCCAGCGGAAGAAGACGCACTACCCGAAGCCGAAGCACCTGCTTCAGTGGCCCCCACAGAGACTCCAGCACCTGAGAAGCCAACAGAAGACCCTTCCGCAACAGACGCCCCCCAAGATGACAAGTCAGGAGCAGAGGCGCCATTGCCCAAAGACGATGCTCCTGCTGCAGAAGCAGAGACCGCCACGAACGAAGCTCCTCCAGTCAAATACGAAACACCTGCTGAACCAGAAGTGGTTGAGGCTCCAATGGAGGATGATGATGGTGATAACAAGCCGGCAGTTGCTGCTGAAACAAAACCTCTGAATAAGAGTCAGAAGAAGAAGCAGAAGAAAGAGAAGGAAAAGAAGGAGAAGGAAGAAAAGGAGATGAAGAAAGCAGCTGCCAAGGAGAAGTCCCATCATCACAAGTCCAAACATTCACACTCTTCATCAAAGGGCATGGATGTCTCCAAGGATAATAAGACACCTGACCCACCGCCTGCCGCTAAAGACAAAGACGAGGAGAGCAGTCCGCCAGCCGATCCCTCAATAGAGGAAGACAAGACTGCCGAACCCGAACCCGAACCTGAGTCTAAGCCCGCGGAAGCAGCACCGCCTGAGCCAGTGCCCGTCGAGGAAGCGAACCCCGCAGAGGAAACGAATTCTGCAGAAGAACCTAAGCCCGCGAAAGAGCCAGCACCTGCAGAGGAATCAGCACCCGCAGAAGAGAAAGCTGCTGGACCTGAACTCCAAACCGAGTCCAAGCCTGTAGAAGATTTATCATCTCCAACAGAAGAACCAGCGCCTATCGAGGAGGCGAAGCCTGTAGAGGAATCATTACCTGCAGAGGAGACAAAGCCTGCAGAGGACAAAGCTGATGAGTCTGAATCCGAGGCCAAGCCTGCGGATGAGACATCACCTCCATCGGAAGACCCACCACTGGTAGAGGAGTCAAAATCTGACAAGGAGCCGGAAGCTTCAGGGGAACCAAAGCCAGCAGATGAAATCCCGACAGAAGAGCCTTTGGCAGCACCACCTGTAGAGGATGCTACTCCCGAAGCCGATAGAGATGAGGATGATAGCAAGACCTCGGAAGCCGTGGAGGATCCCAAAGCAGCAGGTGACGCGGAGTCCAAAGATGGCAAACCCGCAGATGAGGGAGAAGCAGCTGCATCTGATGCAGCAGACTCCGATAAAGCCCCCGAACCTGAAGTTGCTGCCGTGGAAGCCCAACCATCCGAGCTAGAGGACAAGTTGCAATCAGTAGCCGACGCACCTGCCGATGTGATGATCCCAGCTACGGCTGACGAGGCACCTACTGATGATGCGGCAGCTGAAGCTGAGAGCCAGTCTCTCGCAGATGGGGAGACTTCTCCCTCACTAGAGGACAAAGCCAGCAAAACCGATAACGAAGAACCTGCCAAACCCGAGGAATCTGGCGAACCAGAACAGACAAAATCTGGTGACAAAGACGACATCGATGCAGCCGAGCCGACTAATGTCGGTGACAAGCCTGCAGAAGAGGAAGAGCCAGCCGTTCCTGCCGACACGAATGATTCTGCTGATGTTGACGAATCAACTTCTGAAGGTAAAGCAGAAAAGCAGAATGTTATTGAGTCTGCCTCGCCTGTTGAGGAAAAAACCGACCCAGCTGTCGTTCCGTCAACAGATAAGGAGCCATTAGCCGCAAACGATCAATCCCCTGAAGCAGACAAAGCGCCAGCCGATGAGGCAGCTGAAGCGCCTAAGGAGGAAGTCTCCAAAGAGGAAGCTCCCAAGGAAGAGGCTCCCAAGGAAGAGGCTCCCAAGGAGGTTAAGCTGGAAGAAGACACCGTCCCCCCCGAGGACACTGGCACCCCTTCGAAGAAAAACAAGAAAAAGAAGAAGAAGAAGGGAAGCAAAAGTGGTATCTCAACACCCCTGTCTGCACCAGATCCTGAGCCAGCAACTGAAGTCACCTCTGAGCCTGCTGTATCAGAATCTAGTGCTACTAAGGAGCTGAAGCCCGAGCTCGCCGCTGAACCCGCCGCTGAACCCCCTGTCGAGCCTGCTGTCGAGCCTGCTGTTGTTGAGCCCGCTGTTGAAACCGCTGCCGAGACTGTTCCTGAGCCTGCTGTCGAGACTGCTGAATCCGAATCTGATGCTAAACCCAGCTTTACTACCGAGCCGGAGATCGAGTCAGTTCCTGAGCCGGTCACCGAATCTGCTTTTGAGCCTGCTGAAATCACATCCGAGAAGGGGATCGAGTCTGAAGTTGCTGCAAAGGAATCTCCAGCAGATGAAGTCAAGCCTACTGAGAATTCTGAACCTGATAACAAGGCCGCCGAAGCAGAAAGCGAGAATGAGTCAGAGGCTGCGAAAGCAACGCACTCCACAGAGGACGAGAAACCCGAGACTGAAGATATTGTCGATTCAACCGTGGTCGATGATTCCTCTGAAGCAGCCATCCCGCCCGAGGAGAAGGACGAAGAGACTGCCGAAACTCCTGCCAAGACAGACGGTGACCTGGATTTTAAACCTGCAGCCGATTCCCCTGAGAAGGAGGAACCGGACGAGGCTGAAACGGATGCTGAAGCCAGCGTAGCCAACCCCGCAGAGGGTCCTGACGATAAGGAACTCGATATTCCCGATACAAAGACAGAACATCCTCTAGCCATCGATGATACGAAGTCTGAAAATGAGCCTACTGTTGAAACCACCGCACTCGAGCCCTTGAAAGAAGATACTCCAGATGAACCGAAGAATGATGTCTCAACAGCCGAACAACTTAGTGTGGAACATGCTGAAATGCCCCCCGAATCTGTGAGTTCGGTTGATACCGTCACAGATGAAAAGCCGGATCCTACCGAGCTAGCAGGCGATGGAGAGGATGGGGAACCTGAAGAAATATCTTCAGAATTACCTGAAAAGAAGGACGAACAACTCGACGCCCCTCTAGAGGCCACAGCAGAGGTGGAAGCACCCGCGACAGCCGCCAGGCAGGACCAGGATGATATAGCTAAGGGTTCAGAACCGAAAACCACGGATACAGATACAGACACGGACACAGAGTCTGAGTCCGAGAATGAGGAGGACAACGTGGCACTGGAGACTATTGAGCCTCAAATAGCACCTGGTGAGGCTGCCGATAAAGACAAGATCTCTGAAACCGAACCGCTGCCGTCCGAGGATGCTACTCTTACAGTGGTTGAATCTTCTGTCAAGGATGCCGCGCAGGACCCTGAACCAGCAGAAAAGGGGGACTCTATACCTGCAGCTATGGAGCCAAAGGAAAAGGCAAAGGATGAGCCTTCACCTCCTGAGGTTCCTGAAGAAAAGACCGATGAACAAGCGACTCCTACCGAAAACGCAAGCGGGGCTCCCTCAACAGAGAAGTCGAATGAAGTTATCGAACCAGAAATCCTTGCTAATTCAATCGTGAAAGAGGCGCCGAAGTCTGCCGAGAAGGAGCTTGTTGTTGACTCCGAACTTAGCGAGGAAGATTCTTCGGATGATGACGAGGATGATACTTCTGAAGCTGCTGAAAACAAAACCGGCGATCTAGACACACAGGCAAAGGGGGCCCCTGCCAATGATACCAAGGAAACAAACCTTTCTGATGTTTCTGACGCCGCCGAGGCGAATCCTCAAGCCAAGGACGAGGATGGCACCAGTCCAGTGCCTGAATTAGATGATGTTACCGAGGAAGCCACCAACAAAGCCATACAGGACATACCCGCAAGCGAACCCGAGGCTCCCACAGACGATGAGGTCACCGACGACGAGAAGACTCAAGAACCAGCTCCCCTGAGTGAGGAGGACAACAAGCCAGACGAAAGCCCTGATACCCCCAAGGAACTAATACCAGCACCAGAGGCATCTGCCTCTGAAGAGGAAGTCAAGTCGGCTGACGAGGCATCTATCAACGAGCAGTCAGAGAATGTGCCAACGCCTCCCGAGAATCAGCTGAGTGACGACAAACAACCTTCCGATACCAAAATACCGGATGCCGAAGACAAGCCAGAAGGAGCTGAAGACATAACGCCCAAGGAGGAGTCAGCTCCTGAAACACCTACCGCTCATGAAAAAACAGAGGAGGTGGCAGGAGTTTCTGATGAGAAGCCAGTGGGAGTGTCAACGGCTGACACAGAGTCAGGGGAGGAAATGGCAGCTCCTGAAGCGAAATCGGAGGAAACAGATGTTACTTCAGAGAAGTCACCTGCAGTTGGCGATGAACCGCATGATAAGGATAAGCCTTCAGACACTGTATCTGATATATCAGTCCAGCCTGCCGAGGGCAACCCCGAAGGGGCGGCCGAGGCTGATGACGAGTCAAACGAAACAGAGGCCAAGGTCTCTGACGAGAAGTTGGACATGAAAGTTCCAGCAGCTGATGGAATTAAGGAAGAGGCCAACCCCTCCGAAGAAGAACCAGCTGCAGAAATTTCCGTGGCGGATGATAAGCCCGAGGAAGTTGTTCAACCATCTGACATTGAGCCTGCAAATGATTTGCCCAAGCAAGAAGCTGAGCCGTCTGACGACAAGTCGACCTTGGAAGCACCCTCTGGCGACGAGTCCAAAGAAGAAGTCAGCCCTGTTAAGGATGAGCCAGCGGATGAGACCCCTGGAACCGATGATAGTTCAAAGGAAGTTGAACCCGTTGCTGAAGCTGAACCCGTTGCTGAAGCTGAACCCGTTGCTGAAGCTGAACCCGTTGCTGAAGCTGAACCCGTTGCTGAAGCTATATCCGTTACTGGAGCTGAACCTGTCGTTGAAGCTATACCCGTTACTGGAGCTGAACCTGTGGTTGAAGCTGAACCTACTGCTGAGCCCGTTGCTGAGCCCGTTGCTGAGCCCGTTGCTGAGCCCGTTGCTGAGCCCGTTGCTGAGCCCGTTGCTGAGCCCGTTGCTGAGCCCGTTGCTGAGCCCGTTGCTGAGCCCGTTGCTGAGCTCGAACCCGCTGCCGAAGCTGAAGCAGAACCTGTTGATGAGCCGGTTGTTGAAGCCGAGCTAGCTAGTGAAGCTTCTGCACAAGAATCTAACCCTGAGACGCCGACAGAGACTCAGCCCACCAACGAGACACCGGCAGCTGAAGAGACACCAACCGAGGAAGCACTAGCAACTAAAGACGAGCCGGAGAAAGGTTCTGAACCCGCTGACATCAAACCAGAGGAAGAAGCTATAATTCCCGAAGACAAGCAACCAGATTCCCCTGCGACGCCCGAGGACAAGCCCAACGATGATGTAAAACCAGCAGAAGAACCACCGGCTCCTGCAGCAACAGCCGAAGACGATGCTGCTCAGACGCCACCTACCGACACACAGGAGGAGTCCGAGGAGGTTACGTCTACCAAAGAGACCCCGGCTACGGAAAACGTAACCATCCCTGAGGAACCAGTAGTCGAAGAATTAACTCCAGCACCGGCCGGAGATGCTGCTTCCACTGATGACAAGCCAGATGACGACTCCAAGAGCAACAAGGAAGAGCCAAAATCGACAGCAGAAGAACCTGACGTACCAGAGGAAGCGAAGCCTGCTGAAGAAGCGGCAGATCCTGAACCCGAAGGCACTGCTGTGAAGTCGCCTGATGAATCTGCCGACGTACCAACTACCGAAGCAGAAAAGAAGGACGACAACCCAGCCGAAGCCATAGCTGAGGACGAGGCCAAGGCCAAGGAAGTCGAAGAGAGCAAAGACACCCTTGGGCCGATTCCAAGAAGTAAGAGGCCGGTTAAAAAAGGTGAGGAACATGGTTCATTACAAGCTATCCCTTTTGATTTCACACAAAACTTGGGAGATTCCCCGGAGTTGAATGAGAAGATGGACAATGGCGTTGTGGAGTTGCTTTCAAACGATACCCAGGGACATCAAGACACACGATCCTACGAGGACGAGGAGAACACAGAACTCGAAATAATCACTCACAGCCCGAGCCAGCCACCAATGGCTGAAGCATCGGGCGATCAAAATAACCAAACTATCACAGAAATCACGATGCCAGGGTTACAAGAGCCAAGTTCAGGCCAAAACACGAACATTGCAGCAGTGGAAGGAGTTTCCGCACCCCTAGACTCAGACTCAGAATCAGAATCAAAGGCCGAGATTCTAGATGACATCCAAGAGGAATCGATTCAGCCTCGACAGATGGATCCTAGTTTAGATCTGAATCTGAATCAGGATCAAGATCTAGATCTGGAGGATACCGATCTCGCAGCGAGTTCCCCAGCCACCGAAGCCCAGGAAACCACTAAAATCTCCACCCCTGGCACTCCACATGAGCAGGGCACACCAGGCCAATCAACGCGCTCCGTCAGGGAAATTGTCGCTGCAGAGCCTGTAAATGTTGACCTTGCACACCCTACAATGGCCCTTCCCCAGCCCCAGTCCCAGCCTCAGCAGTTCAACACTGAGACCGAGACTGAGATTGAGACCAGCTCAAGAGCATCGGATTCAACACCAACACATGGTACTCACGATGGCAATGAGAAGCCAGAGAGAATGGAGTCAGATCTGCCCATAGCCGATGCACGCAGCACAACATCATCATCACCAGCACCCTCGATAATCTCTGAAGATGATTCGGAAACTTCTGCGCTTCCATACACCGCCGCTGAGGGACTCCATACACAACCCCTAGACAGCATGGACAACGTCAACAACGCCCAAGCAGAAACCAAACAATCATCTCCAGGACTATTACAAGCCATACCCACGCCTGATGCTACTGCTCATGAGCCCAAAATGCTGGAAACCGACTTCGATAGTGTGCTCCAGATGTCGCGAGAATTGCCGCAGGATCCTGAGATGGGGTCGTCAAATCCTGCTGAGCAAGATGAGGACTCTGATCTTTCAGAAGCTGAATCCATCGAAGATGATGAGTCGGCATTGGAGGAGCACTTAAAACACCCTGCAACTCCAAGCCGTGCCGCAAGCCCGGATTTATTAGAGGTGGTAAAGCCAACTGAAACTCATATTCACGATGAGATTTCGACGAATGTTACTCATGCCGACGATCTTGGCTCAACGGGTGGAAAGAACATCGAGGTTATGGACAGATACGATGCTATCTCCCGTACTAGTTCACCAGACGGGTCTGCTGCTGATGAGTCTGAGGTAACCCATCGGCCATCCTCCCCTGCAGATTCCGTACCTGTTGATACTCATACAAAGGACATGGACACGGATGATGATACAGATGATGGCATGGGTGACAACGTCAGCAACCTTGATCAGCAGAGTGTTGCTTCTAGCTCTCCGTCAATGCGCCATGCCTCTGACTTCATCGCTGATCAACATGACGCTCAAAAAGACGGTGTTCGCTCTGAGATTGGTGAGCCAGTTGTAGCAATGCATGCGGAACCTGCATTGAGCTTGCAAGAGGCAGTTGGAGAGACTAGTGACCTTGAGCACTCCGCTTCAGAGGACGACTCAGATGACGAGGGCTCTGAAGCTGGCTCCGAACTTCGCCCAGCTGTTGATCTAGATAATCATGTGGACGAACCTGACGATGTCAAGGAGCAGGCATCACCAACAAATGCCACATCACCTGCCATGGTCGAGGATGTATCCGACTCGGACGAAGATGATTCCGAATCAGAGCATGCTTCACCAAAGCTAGATGTCCAAGACAACAACGCACATTGGGAGGACTCACGCGTCGAAATACCTGCACGTGCTCTTGACGTGGATAGCGACGATGAAGATCAGTCTGACGCGGATCATACTCAGCACATTGACAGGCTCAGCTCACCAGAACCGGAGCCCACCTCTCTTTTGGAAGTCACCGAGGCTCGTCGTGGATCCGAGTTAAACGATGAGGGATTGCCCGCGCCCCTCGACCTTCCTGAACAGACCTCAGTGGCTACCCGTGAAATAGAGCCCTCGGACGCCGAGGATGATGCTGCGGCTCAAGCTGAAGAGTTGAACCTGTCCGACTCTGCCTCAGAAGTATCTGTAGACACAGATACCCAAAGGAAATCAACACCCCACGATCAGCCCCGTTCACACTCTCCTAGTTCTGGTGTTTCGAATACGGTACCCGCGGCTTCCCTTCTAGAGGCCTCAACTACTAGCCACAATGAAGCTACACCGGAACCCAGAGCATTCGATAATTCATCGACACTTTCGGAGCCCAAGTCTGCAATCGAGCAAGAGCCCGAGGAACTTCCCGTGCTCCATGAACCAGATGAACTCCATGACGCAGACAGTGAATCTGAAGATGAAGCGCCGCAACAGGAAACTTCAAGCCAAGTTTCTCTACCACGGCAAGCTATTTTTAACGAAAACGATGACAATTCTGACTCTGCTTCTGACGATGAACTCGACTTCGCTGAGCCCTCTACTGAGCCTATCCCTGATGCACAACGGACTGGTGACTTTATTTCCTCTGAAGTACCGGTGGTTCATGACATAGCTCGCGACCAGACAAACCTAAGTGACCCAGTGTCCCTGAAGAACGGATTAGACGACAAGATACCAGACGTGTCTGACCCCCAACCGCATTCCAAGAACCTATCGATTGCCGAATCTCCAAACGATGGGTTAGACCGACAGTTCTCAGATACAGAGTCATCTGACGATGAGAGTGATGATGATTCCCCTGCATCAAGGGAAATCTCCCCTATCGGTGTTGGCAGAATTTCTGCACCGTGTAAGATTGATCCAGCCACGGAAGAAACGGGTCAAACTAGGCGTGCTAGGGTCGATAACACCGAACTTGGGCCCTCTTCCGAAGCAACATCACTTGTTGGAACAGAAGATTTGGCGACTCAAAGCACAATTCAAGGCCCTGGATGGGATGAAGATGACTCTGAAGAGGAGCAAATAGCGTATAACGACAAGTTCGAAGGGCCGCCGGCTGTTCATGTCCCTGCGGCATCATCCGAGACAGCAAGAGCGATCGGAGGTGCTTCTCAAGAACTCGAGGATAGCAGCTCGGACGATGACGAACAGACCAACGATCACGCCGCGGCTGACAGCTCACGGGACAAACACCTACCACTGCTGGAAGGACCCCAACAAGATATGTCTGATCACGTATTGTCCGAGGTCAAACCCCCTGACACTGATGATACTCTGGGTTCAGAGCCAAAGCCTGTGCAATCAGCTGAAATACAACCGATGGGGCTTGTCCGACCTGACATCAAAGTTGTCGATATCCCATCGCGCGACAAAGGCAAAGCAGTTGCTAGCATACCAGATAACCCCAAGAGAGCTCGCTCTACCTCCCGGTCATCGCGCCCTTCCCGTACTGAACCTCCTCGAACATTCTTGACGCAACAGCAACGACCAAGAAGATCGCTGAGGGTCCGACCGGTGACGGAAGTCTACACAAAAGATCCCATATTCATCCCTGCTGCGAGTCGACCAGCCGATGCCAAGCCCATGCCTAGACTTCAACCTCTTCGTACTGAAAGTGAGCCCGTGAAGGTGCCACTGCGTCCCGTACTTGGGCACCGGGCTATGGAGACAGAAGGCGAATCTTCAAAGGCAGCAAAGACTGAAATAGCTCCTAGACCTCGTTCTTTCCAGGCCGAAGGCGAGTCATCTAGGGCTCCTGTGAGGTATGATCTCAGGCATTCAGCAATTGCTGTTGAGGAGGGGTTCAGAGATGCTGCATATCGTGACCCCCCTTCAGCTAGCTCAAGTGCTGAGGCCGATACCCAAAGATCACCTAGTCCTGGTATCGTGGTTCCAGATGCAGACATGATTGACCTACAGCGGGCCCGTACTCTGCGACGCACACGAAAGACGTCAATTCAGCGTGCAGAGGACACGCTAGCTGCCGCCGTAGTCATTTATGCCACAGCTGAGGCCCTGAGCCCTCCGGGAAGCCCCTCACCTTTTGACCACTATATAGACAGGGATCTGCCTAATCTGGAACACCAGATGTATACGGAGCCTAGTGATTACAACTTCCCGGTTGTGTCTACACCACGGAAGAGCTTTGAGGATGACTATGAAGAGTTTCACAAGTCTAATGCTGACTTGTTTGCAGACGACAGGAGCAGAGAATCTGACTCGTCGCGCAGCGATAGAGACAGAGACGGACACCGTCGGCGCCGACACTCACATCACTCGCACCGCTCCAGCGGAAGCCGTGGTGAAGAGGACCGAGAGCGCAGATACCGCGACGATGACGAGAGGCGGGCTCATCGAACTCGAAATGAAGATGAGGGACGCCACCGTCGACAGTCCCTTCGCGAAGACGAGTCTCGATACAGCCGTCATCGTGATGATTCACGCGGTGAGGCCAATGCTAAGTCTAGAAGTTCTCGTGGATCTGAAGAGCCAAGAACCAGAGGCTACCGTCGTGACGAGGACGTACGACCACGCGAATCCCGCAAGGTTGAAGAACCCGCTTCACGTAGCCTCCCTCAAGAAGATGAGGGCCGAGAGCGCAGGCGACGATCTTCTGGTGCTCATACTTCTAGACGCCATCGATCTGATACTGTTGAATCGGCTGCACCCCCAGGCACACCTCCTAGAACACCCAGAAGAGATAGTGGCTTCTCTGCCGACAACAGTTCTGGAAGCTCTGGTCGTAAACGCCGCACGACAGAGGAGCAAGCTGCTCATGACAAGCGCAAGGCAGACAGGGCGGAACGACGAGCAAGAGAAGAAAGTGACGCAAGGCGCGAACCTTCTCGTTACCGGGAGCCAGTACCAGAAAGCAAAGGCAAAGAACCCGCACGGGAACCTGAGGCTGAGACTGAGGCTGAGACTGAGGCTGAACCTGAACCTGAACCTGAACCTCAGCCCGAACCAGAGCCAGATCGACGACATCGCCGCTCACGTCGGCACAGCCATTCCGGGAGGCCTCGGCATGAAGAGCCCCAGGAGCGCACTCGAGAAGAGCCAGCTACACCTGAAAAGAAGTCCCATCCTGTCAAGAAATCCGAGGGCGTCCGGAGTGGTACTCCGCCACCACGTGAAGAGCCTGCAATCGCCGAGCCAGTCAGAGAACGAACAAGAGAAGCTCCGCCAGAGGGCTCACCTAAGCGCTCTTCAACACGGCATAGGCGCACCCACCCATCCACTGATGAGCCGCGCCCTCGATCCTCTCGTCGCCCACGTGATGAGCCTGCCCCTGAACCACCCCGAGACAAAGATAAGGAGAGGAACAGGGAGAAGGACAGAACTAGAGACAAGGAACCTGAGACTCGACCTGCCAAGCACGTCAGAATGGACACGGAGGACACCCGCCGCAAAGCACGACACGAAGAGCGACGCAGGGCTCAAATCAAGGAGGAGGATAAGAAGCCATCGGGCATCAAGGGGGCGTTCAAGAAGCTTTTCAGTAAATCTTGAACGTCTAAGAATCTGTGATAAAGGACAAGTTGTCAAGTTGTCCTGGACTCGGTTTTGTATTATGATGAGAAATGTTTTATCATGCACATGTGACGATAGGGATGGGCATTTTGGTTTGTTGCGACGCATTATGATGTTCTCCTTCTGGTATTGATATTACGACAAGCATATTATTACGCCACAATTGCCATATAGATTGACGACAATTGATGATACTATTTTTTATGACATATGCTTCTTATCTTAGTTTATCATTGGTGGCTTCTGCTTGCCGCTCTTTGGGTTTATTGTGGCGAGGGGAAGTCGAACGAAGTGCCCGAGTGTTCTTCTTCCATTGGTAAGCGTCCCTTGTACTTCCGACAATGATACACTCGACCTCATCAGAGGCTTGTGTAGTTCATCACGACCATTAGTTACCCCTCCTCAACAATCCTCAGGTGAGGAGATCCCCGCGACGACATCGATACCGCAGGTACCATTGGTTTAACATGGCATGATATCCCGTCATGAGTCTCATTCTTAAACTGTTTCAGATCATCGCTCCTTGGTGTATATAATGCTTGCTGGGTTACCTCTCCCCCTGGTTTGACCTGGATTTTCAACACTTACACGTCTACTCCTAAGGCACTTCCTCACCTCATCTTTACTGCCAAGATGCGTGTCAGTCTCGTTATTTTGGCAACCCTTGCTGGGCACTCTGTTGCTGTCCCGTGTAAGCCCAAATGGGTGGTATCGAAATCAAAGTCGTGGATGTCAGCCTCCACCAGACTGGACAAGGTGCTCGCTGAGTTGCCTACGATCTATGCTGATGGAGGGACTGTTCCTCCCAATGCCACCGCCATTGCTACCGGGACAGTCGCTGGCGATGAAGGTGACCTTTCTGCTACCACAGCAGGTGTTGCTAGAAACCGCCGTGTCTCATCAACCCCCAACGCTGCCGCTGCCACTGCCAGCTCTGGCACCCCTTCTGCTGGAGCAGACAGAAGCGCTGATGGCTCTGACCCTACATCAACTGCAACGACAACTACGACGACGATCACCGTGACTCCTTCTGCTTCTGCTGCTGCGGAGGCAGACGAAGCTTCTACCAAGGCCGACAAAGTCTCAACCGAGGAAGAAACCCTCAAGGATCACAAGATGCACCGTCGCGGTTGCCCTCATAGGAAGGTTTGCCCTCATAGGCAAGCGCTCCCTCCGGTCACATATAGAACCGTGACCGAAGATATCCCTCCAGCATCTACTCCAGTTGTCGTCGTATACAAGCATGTTCCGTGCACTAAGAACAACAAGATGCACCGTCGGAGCTTTGAGGGAAGCAAGGAAGAACAGAAAGACTTGGACATGCTCTCAATGCTAGCCGAAAGCAAGATGGGCGAGGCAATCAATATGCAAGAACTCTACGACAAAGGCATGGAGGCATTCAAGGCAAAGGAAACGGCTCTTGGTGATGAGAAAAAAGCTCTTGGTGATGAGAAAAAGGCTCTGAAAAAGCAAAGTTCCGAGGCCAAGTCCTTGATGAAGGAGGCACGCGACTGGGACAAGAAGTTGCATAAGGCAGTACGGGAGTATAACCTAAAACAGCAAAAGTGGGAGGAAGACATGGAGAAGAAGGAGAAGAAGGAGAAGGAGGCAAAGAAGAAGGAGGAGGAGAAGAAGAAGAAGAAGAAGGAGGAGAAGGGGGAGAAGGAGAAGCGCGATGGGTCCTCATTTGTCCTCTCCAAGGAGCAGTACGAAGACAAGATCTATGAGAAGATTGGGGAAAGTCTCAAGAAGAGCCTTGCTAAGAACGCTAAGGAACATGACAGACACGTCTATGTCATCACCAAGAAGTACAAGGTCCTCAAGTGCGACAGTGCCCACGGCTGCAAGGGCGAGGAGAGCAGTGAGGCTCAGCAGGGGGTATTGGACTTGAAGGCAAAGAAAGAGGACGAGGAAATCAAGGGAGAAGAGAAGAAGGAGACCAAGCAGGAGGGGGACGCTGAAGAGGAAAAGACAGAGAAGGTGGAGGAAGTCGAGCTGCTTGCCGATGGAGACGAACATGAGCAGTATGTTCGCCTTTCGACCCTCTACATGCAATACCGCAAGTTGCTTGTCGAGGGCATCCAGAAGAAGCTTGACCCTGTCCTCAAGAACGACAAGTACGCCGGAGATGAGATCGAGGGGGAGCACGAGAATGGTGACGAGAAGGAGCAGCTCAGGCGACTGACCAATCTATACCTGGACTTTCGCTACATGCTTGTTCCCAAGTTCAAAAAGCAGCTCGATCCCATCCTTCACGAGGGTAACCTGTAGGTAGAGCCGCTTTAGTCATGCAGATGAGTATTCGGCTGTGGGTTGAAAGGAGGACGAGGTTTAGAAGTAACTACCTAGATAGGATTCTTTCAAAAGATCTCATGCTCATACCATTAATCTCTACTGCCTACTGTCCCAACATATACTAAATACCCTAGAACTTACTTTTCGGTGATGAATGGATGCAGACTTATTGGATGATTGCGCACAATCATCCAGTAACTACCTACCTAGGTGGTACCATAAGCTTTTCCCACAGAGAACGGTTCCTTTATTCCACGCACTCGGCTTCCTTTGACTTGTCCGAGTGATGATGTTCAGCCCGTCTAAGTCAGACGTGCAGGTCACATGACCCCATCTCGCACCAAAAATTATCCGTGCAGAGCCCTAACGTCAATTGTCGGGCACCCACCAGAATATCCCAAGCTCGGGCAAGAAACCGCCGATTTTTCCCTTCCTCTTTTCTTTCCCCCCCCCTCTCTCAAGCGCAGGATTAGACTTCTTTGCGACCGAAACACCACAGTCCCTCTCCCCCAAAAAACCACACAAAAACCCCATTCCATCCGCAATGGCTCCTCAGGCAGTACGTACATGACACCGCTATGCTGTTAGGCCCTCTCGCTTTGAAGAGAGGTGCCGTCGAAAGAATGCAGTAGGCTAAGGTCATTTTCAACAGAAGAAGTCGGGCAAGGCCCAGAAGCAGACCAAGAAGGTACGCTATCCGAATTGAAGAAAGGGGAAACAAAAATCGAATTGGATCGAACTCGAATTCAACGACGACGATACGATGACGATTTTTTACCTTCACCTACCCCGATGCGACCAGGAGAACACCAATCGCTAACTAATATTTCCAGTACATCATCGATGCTTCTCAGCCTGCCAGCGACAAGATCTTCGATGTCGCTGCCTTCGAGAAGTTCCTCCAGGACCGCATCAAGGTCGAGGGCCGCACCAACAACCTTGGCGACAACGTCGTTGTCCAGCAGCAGGGTGAGGGCAAGATCGAGATCACTGCTCACAACGAGCTCTCCGGTCGTTACCTCAAGTACCTGTACGTGCCTTTTTTCCAGTCCCGCACTTCATTCGACGAAGCGGGAAGGTGTTCGCACGAGAGATCAAAATACTGACTGTTGTATCCAGGACCAAGAAGTTCCTCAAGAAGCAGCAGCTCCGTGACTGGCTCCGAATCGTCTCCACCTCCCGAGGCGTCTACGAGCTCAAGTTCTTCAACGTCGTCAACGACGAGGCTGATGAGGACGACGAGTAAACGAAACAAATTGCATTGCAACGGCGCAGGAATGGAATGGTGAATTGGAACAGGGCATAACAAAAGTTTGAGGACTCGGCCAATAGACCCAGCCATCTGTGTGGCACTCTTTGTGGTGTTCATATTTCTGACCCTATAACTCGGTGACTTGTGCTTTTGTATAGGTGAATTCGTAAATTAAACTGTCAGTGCTATCACGGCTGACAAGAACTGTACCATTCCGTGTAAAAGCCGTCCAAGGGGGGGGGGGGGGTATGTTTTCAAACTGTCATACTCATACATTTTTCTCAAACTCACAGCGATCTCATGACGCCTTCAAAAGCAACCAACGCCATGGCATTCGCTGGGAACGCCCTTAGGAAACAAGGCACAAACCCTCTCCAGTATCCTTTCCATCCTCGCTCCCTATACACAGCAACCGCTGCATCCTTCCACCGAGGAAACCTCCTGACTCCATCGTTAAGTCCTCCACCCAGGGGATCCGTCATGATACGCTGTTTCACCACGTCGCTCGGATAACTCGTTAACCAGAACACCTGCGCACTGAGTCCGCCCGCCCAAAAATTCACGGCCGGTACGCTGAGATTCGTCCGCTCGCGCAGTTGCCGGGATAAAATATCGTAGCTGCCCCACCAGAAGAAGAAGAATGCTCGGAAGAGCAACGTCGCTGATAGGCCGTGGTAGACGCCTTGAACGCCGTGATGCCGATAGATCTTGCGTAGACAGTCAATGGGCCCCGCGTATAGTCTGGCTGACTTTTGCGCCGCATACTGAATTTGTAGCCGCGCCTTGACGTGCTCGACTGGCGCAGCAATGAAGCTCACTGTCGCTCCAGCCATGACGCCCGCGATGCCGTGACCGAAACTCGGAAGCGCCGTGTGCCCTTTCGGTGCAGTACCTGGTGAAGATGCCGTGACGTCGGTGCCTAGAGGTTCAACATGGAAGACGTGCTCTGAGAGAAGACGGCGGTAGACAGTCAGTGAGCCCAACATGACCGAGTCCATAAACATCCACCCCACCAGCGGCGGCGTTGCGCCCTTGTAGAGCCCACGAAAGCCCTCATTGCGCAGAGTCTGCGTGACGCATTGAATAGGGCCACTAAAGCGACTCGGGTCTGTTGTTTGCAGACGAACTTTGATAGTGTCAAAGGGATGGCCGACTGTACAAGGTCAGTTTCAGTGCTCGGCGAGTCAAACTGCCATGATAAGGAACTGGAACACACCTGAGAGTTTGGCGATGCCGCTGAAGACGCCCGCCACGAAACCTTTGTAATCGTGGGCACCACTGCTACCGCTATTTGTCTTCTCCTTCTGGAGTTTGAGGGGTTCGGCCTCTTTCATAATGTTGATGTTTTGTGTTTGCATATCCGCAGCCATCGTGTGTCTGGTTGGCTCGTGAGAGTCTATTCGTCATACAACTCCCACCACTTGAGCAGTAGGAAAGCACCGTAAATAGGACTTGGAATCACCAAAGCCTCAAGGCGATTGAAATTCTGGATGATGGTATGTCAAAGCCCCTCATGAGTGGAAAGAAAAGATTGGTAATGAGAAAATCATCCAAAGCTATTCGATTCAGAAGTTGGATGCTGACGTCTACAGTTGTTTGGCTATCGAATGCTCGCCATTCGCCGAGTCCGGGGGAGCTCCCGCACTAACACTTCTTCACCGACGTCGGAGCTCAGGGTCTTGCCTATCGACGCTACGGGGGTCTTTGGGGGGTTCCCTACAGAGGTACAGCGCCGGAGTTTTGCAAGCCTCCCCAGAAAGTCCCCAGAAAGACCCCACGACCACAGTTAGTGGGTGCCGTTTCTATGCGCTTCAGCATTAGTAAATAAACTATCACTATCACTATCACTATCACCATCACCTATGGAATTATTGGACTCTCCACTCTACTTCACTTTGCAAACAACAATAACCTCATGTATATGCCGAGAGTACAGTAGTTGAGCTTGATATTCATCATTGGATTCATATCAGTTGGATTCTTTCTCCTCCCCAATTGCAACCAATATGCTGGTATCTATCTCACAAAACTAACAGCTAAACTAAACCTATCTAACTTGAAATATGTCCACGCACAGTCATGTCAACTTTGTGCTTGAGAGTTGCCATGTGCCTATCCTCCCCTTCACGCTTGTAATATCAAATCCAAACCAGCAAACATTGCCTGCAAATCAAACCATTGACGTATCGCTCTGTAATCAGAAAGCCATGTCATGTCATCGTCAGAACCTGAAGCAAAATCCCTTAATGCAAATGTGTTTCCTTTCCTCCTCTGGCTTTTGCTTCTGCTTTTCCCTTGCTTTTCTCTTTTTTTGTGTTATGTTTTAACACCCGATATGCTCGCTCGCTCGCTTCTTCTTCTGTCATTACATCCTTCATCAACAAGTTGCCTCGCTGCTGCTTCAGCTAGCCGCCATCTCCCTCTATAGCTGCCTGTTCCGCTTGTAAAGTCATCCGACTCAAGGCCGTTTCATGTCCATAAGAACTTCGTACAATTGACGCACCACCAAGCCTCCCTGTGCAGGATGCAGGGCGACGTCAAGAAAAGCAAAAGCGCGGTAGCAATTTTCATGACAGATTAACATCCCGGCAATGGACGAATGGCACGATTTACCCCTTTCTAAAAGGTATCCGTGTCGTCCGTGTTATGGGAGGCAACACTACCAAATGTGTCTGCTTCTAATGTTAGTTACATCTCTCAAATATTGGGTATCAGATTCAGACTTACCTCGCTTGCGTCGGCGAGATTCGTCCTCGGGACTCTTTGGGGTCATGGCTCGTGGCCCACTGGGTCGTCGAGTAGGGACACCCAAAGCAGTGTTCAAGTTACGGTTCTCAGGCTTAGGGCTGCTTGAGTAGTGGCTGACATGAGTACCACTCATGGTCGCATATCCGCTCTCGTCACTTGGGTGTGGCGCAGGGCTACCCTTAGCCAACTTGGAGATGCGGCTGCTCCTTTGGGGAGACATAGCCGAGGGGCTGCCTGTAGGCTCGATAGGCTCCTTGGGGGGTCGAGGAGGGCCAGGAGGGGATGTGGTCCAGTAGGATGGATCCTGAGGAGCACCTGTTGAGGATGCTTGGCTGTATCGGTTGGTGTTCTGACCCATCTGGTTGAAGCTGGATACTGAGCCACCCCAGTCTGCCGACCGAGGCGTCATTGGAACATTGTATTCTTGGGCAGAGAACTCAAGAGCGTTGCGGAAGCGCTCCGTTGCGCCCTGTCTAGGCTGGGGGTGTTGAAGATTCAGCGAGTTTCTGTGAACCTTGTACTTGGGTGCGTCACCAGGAGTGTGGGTGATTTCACGACGAACAGGCGCTGGCATGGCAGCATCGGGTGCCGAGGGGAGCTCCTGCTGTGGGAATCCAGCAGGGAGCTGATCGTCGCCATAAGGAGCATGGCTGTAATCTCCATCGTTGTAAGAGCCCTGGCTGGAACCAGAGCGAGAAGGAGGGTAATCGTCGTACTTGGGCTCCTTCTTGCCGTTGCCTGCGCTAGAGGCTGTCGTTCCAGACCATCTGGAGATCTTGGGGAACCAACCAGAAAGGCCAGATTTGTGCTTCTTCTTCTTTTCTGTTGTGCGAGGAGTATTTTCGTTGCTCATGGGCTGAGTAACACCTGAGGGTTGAGGAGGGGTGTCGAGAGGAACAGAGCTGCCACGTTGGATGCCTGTTCGGTCGGGAGTCAACATGTTGGGGTTACTTCGCTCTCCAGATGGGCTGGGATGATCATGCTCATATTCATCCTCATGCTCGGCGACGGTGCTAATGCGGTTGTCGGAGTATCTACGCTCATTGGCGAGACGAGATCGCGAATGGGAAAGAGAGAAGTGTCCCGACTGGCTAGGGGTAATTGTCGAGTTGCCTTCGGGCTCATAGCCTCGATCCTGCTCAAACTGTCCCTCAGGCTGCAAGTTGTCGAAAGAGGAACCACGTCCACCGCTAGTAGAAGCTGCGGGGACAGCTGATTGTCCCTTCAGATCGTCGACATCACCAAGAATCTGCATGAGAATCTCCTCAATACGCTTAAAGTCGCTGGTTCCCTTGTTGCTCAGACCCTGGAACGCTCGCTTGAAAAGGTTCTTCTTGGCAGCGGCCTCATTCAAGGTGTCAACCTGGGACATGCTCTGGATTGATCGGGCTCCTGGGTAGGGGCGAGGGCCGTTGATAGCCTTCTGAAGCTTTTCAGTGTTCTCGACACCAGCAAAGATGACGTCGTCGCTAGTGTCCTGAACGAGGGTTCTAAGCTCGTTCATGGAGGTTCGCATCTCCAAAGCTGAGTTCATGAGCAGTGCAACAATCTCCGTGTCGCGGGCACTGCGTTGAGCATCCCGGACCATGAGATGCTGCATGAGAGCAACAATGTCCTTGTTCTCGATGCGGTCGATTCCTTGACCAGTAGACGCATCGTAGAAGGGTGAGGCCATGCCTTGAGACATACCGCTCATATGGCGAGCATCCTTGGGGGCGTAGAAGGGATCCTGGCCAGCGGCGTTAGGAGACCCAGGCAAAGACAGTTGAAGAGGTTGACCCTTGGACTGAAGGTCGGGGGTTCGGTTGTTGCCATTGGACATGTAACCTTCATCATACTTGGGACCAAAGCCAGGGCTTCCGGTGTGGTATGGGGCTCCATAGCCGCGAGTGCCCAGAAGGTTATCGTTGAGGGCAGGGTTGGCAACCGGGCTGGTATCCTCGTATGGGTTGGTGACAAGGGTATCTCGCTTACGGTCGTCGGAAGTACGTTGCCACTCATCTTGGTCTTGAGCACCAGGTCCATGGCTGCTGGCAGCACTCTCGGCACGCTGTTCGGCAATGCTTCGAGGAGTGGGTGTTACTCGGCCATCGGAAACATCATCGCGGTGCTCTCCATCGAGACGCTCTTGCACGACGGATGGGTTGGTCAAAGCATCGTCATCCATGTAGCCAAACTCAGGCATGGGGTTGTGGAAGTCAGGCATACCAGTAGCGGCCAATTTGGGTGACTCGTCGTAAGAGAGGCGGTCGATGCTATGAGCGGGAGTGTTGCGAGGCTCATGACCCTCCAAGGTGCGCTCCTTGAAAGACTTGTTTCGGAAGACGCCAGCGCCTTGGTATTCCTCGGGTTCCTCCTCTGTGACTGCTTGCTTCTTGCCCTGCGCGGCCTTGAGAGCAGCAACAGCGCCGGTAGCAATAGCCACTTCAGAAGCAGTGGGCGATCGTGTTCGAGGCACTTTGCGGCCATGCTCATCCAGATCATATTCAGAGAACTCTTGCGACTTGTTGTTTGACCTAGCACTAGGTGAAGCGTGCCTCTCAGGTTCCAGCTCGCTGCCATCAAGGTACTGCTTCTCTGGGCTTGCACCACGGCTGCTGTAGGTTCTTGACTGATCATCATAAGAAAGTGTTGAGTCACGGGGGCCGTGGTAGTCGTTGTAAGAAGCACTCAGCATGGACTGGTCGATCATTGAGCCCTCCACTAGGGAAGCAACCGCTGATTCGGGGCCCATAGGAGGGTGAACAACATTAGGGTTAGCAGCGATGCCCCGGACGGCTTGTCCTGAAGTAACCTTCTCCAGCTCGCTATCGTCGGTATAGTTGGTGTGGCGGTAATCCATACCAGAGCTTTGAGGCGACATCTGGTCAAGTTCTCTTTGTTGAAGGGAGTTCAACGAAGATGTAGAGTGATTGGCATGATGATTCTCGGACTGCTCATAGTAAGCATCGCTCGTAGAGTGTATGCTCCTTGAGTTGCGAGGATGATACTCGCTTCCACCCTCTGTGTAACCGGAGACGCTAGGAATCGGGCTGAGGCCTCGGGCACCTGCCTGGTAAGGGACATACTTCAGAGGAGGAGGCACATCCTGAGTAGCGAAATAGGAGTTATCATATCCGCCCTCGGGATAATCATTCTCAGAAACGTCATCCTCATCGTCATACTGATGGCGCTCGAGAGGATGTTTCTGGCCGTACTCGTCTGTTTCATACTCTTCCACGTAGTCCTTCTGACCACGTGGTAGAGCAGTCAAGTCACCATGAGAAACGTTGGCGTGCTGAGTAGATAGTGTGTTCCCAAGATTTGAGGGGGTAGCTGATGGTGTGGGTGTTGAGGCTCCGGAGACATACCCGCCAGGAATGTTCTTGACGGGTGTGATCTCCTCGCTAGCCGAATGAGGTCTGTCATCATCGGCAGATCGAATGGAAGTCCTTGTCATCTCTGAAGGGTTGATTTCACTCATGAGAGGCATTGGGGGTTGGGGAACCATACGGTCGTCATCGTACTGGTCAGCGTATGGGTCACGACTCATAGCACGACTGTGAGCAGATTCGGCTCTTCGGCGTCGTCTTTCCCTTGGCTTTCGATCACCTTGGGTACTGTCGGATAGAAGCGATGAGGCGATACCAGCAGCAGCAGCACCAGCTGCGGCAGCTTTGAGCGCATCGCCGCCGTTTCGCTTAGGCGTAAATGGCTCATTCTCGTATTTGTACTCGTCTTCCACAGAATCTTGGCTCAAATCAGAGTTGGCTTCAAGGACGTGACGAGCCTCTCTATTGCGCCGATCCTTTGTTTCACTCCGTTGACCTGACGACCGCCGGCGGTCGGGGGTCAACTCATCCTTCGATACTGATGTGGCGGATGAGAAAGAATCGCGGCGGCCCTCCCTCTTACTACTCTCTCGCTTGAGAGCATTAAGCTCGGGTAATATTAGGCGGCGAATGGCGTCTTCGACGGTCTCCAGCAGCTTGGGGTTGTTTATTGACGATTTGGAGACATCTGATCGTGAGGAATGTGTTGCGTGGGTGCGATGGCTGGGAGCCAGATGAGATGCTGAGACATTCGAGTCAAGTCCTGACACATTAGATTCCTGTTGGCTTCTGCTCGAGCGACGGCGATGTGTTTTAATAGGCTCCTCCGTCCGCTCAGAAACGCTGCTGGTCCTGCTCTTTGGCCGACGCTTTCTATCCACGGTCGACTTATCTCTTGACGATTTTGTCTCCGACACTTTTGACCGGTCTCTGGTTCGGCTCTTGCGATTCCTCACCTCCTCCGCGGCAGCACCTGCAAGTGCACCAATGCCAACAGCTGCAGCCATATCTCGGGTTTCTGTTGGGCTGTCTACCTTGGCGTCAGTGGTGTTACCTGGGCCGTCAAGGAAGCTATCGGATGGAATAGCGGAGATATCTGAGGCGTTGACGTTGTAAGTCTCTGAGGGAATCAGTGGACTGGCCGGTCGTCGACGTCTATGGCTGCTGCGATCAATCTCAATATCGATGGGATTTCTCGAAACGTTCGACTCCTCGGTGGCAGAGGCGTACGATGTCATACTGTCGCCGTCGTCTCCGTCGTAGAGTTCAGAGTCACCTAGGGGTATTCGTCGAGTCACAGATGTGTTACGAGCGCCTTTTGTTTCTGTGACTTGGATGTGATGGTCGGCGCGACCTCTTTTTGATGGTGTCAAACGAACACGAACGCTGGGGCGTCGTTCGCCTGTTGAACCAACGGTAGATTTGCCGCCTTCGAAGTATTCGATGAGCAAGGAGGTCTGAGACTTGCTGGCTTTGTGTCCACGGGTAGCAATGGTGACGGGAGTTCCGTCTTCAGGAATAGAGTAGGATGACTTCTCGTCGCCGGGATTCACCACGTCCTCCGTTTCGGTGAGTTCGGTGGGCGTGGTATTAGTCTCGGTTTCGGTAGGGGCAGGAAGTGGAAGAGATTTTCTGGAAGATACACCCATCGTAAATCCTGCGAGGCTCTTAAGTGGAGGTGTATCGGGGCCCTTTCTTCCCAGAGCCAGGTCTGCGATCCGGAGCGGATGCAGAAAACCACCGGCGGGAGCGGAGGGGTTGGGTGATTAATGGGTTGATATCAAGACATGCGGAATCAAGACGCAGCAAAAGATTGTCTGGAAAGAGAGGTCAGCGACTCCGAGGTCGAAATGGAGCTGGGAAACATCGGTGTAGGCCAATGACATGGAGTATGAATCGCCACCAGCGTTGTATCGACCGACTCGGGGGGCGGAGAGCGGAGAAGGTGAGGGATGAGAGACTTACACACAAACGACCCGATTAAAAATAAAAGGAAATAAACAAGTTGCCGCGTCGCTCGACTACAGTTCTACCCAAGCCAAAGGACGGGGAGAAGTCGACAGCAAAGGATACTTACTTGAGCCAGCGACTCGGAGCTGGCCTGTAGAAGCCTTAGTCTTAGGTTCCGTGGGGAATTCGAGAAGGAGAAAGATTTGGGAGAAGGGTTTAGGGATGCGACGTGCGGCGTGGTCGATGGTAATGGTGTGAAGGCTCATGGGATGTGGATCCGGCAAGGTGAGGTAGAGCCCGTTCTAGCTGGCGGGGTGGCTAGGAAAAGATGGAGCATGGGAGGGGGACCCAAGCAGCCAAGGCCGACGAAGTTAGCCAAAGTTGCCCGCAGCAACCAAAACAAAGTGGAACAGCAACAGGGAATCTAAACTTGAACTGAACCACCCAATGTCAGATTCAAGACTCAGACGGACGGGAAGCGACCCGAAACAGTGACTACAGAAAAGGAAAGTGCAGAGTGTATTCTAAACCGATTGGGAAGAGAAGAACGGAACAAGGCATTCGTTCAATTTAGGCGCAGATACAAGGGCAAAACGGGGGAGGTTGGGCCAAGATCTGGAGGTTGGAGGCTGGGAAAAACGGGTTGAGAGTTAAAGCAAATAATAATAATAATGCGCTGACTTGAGCTTGGGCTGACTTGACCGTTTCAACAATCAAAAAATAATTAAGGTACTCCGTAAACTTACTGCAATGCATGCACTAAAATATTAGAGCTTTGAGTGATGGAGGTTTAATTATGGATGATGTACGGATATGAATCTGTAACTTGTCCTCGGGTATCAATCTGGGTCAACAATTTTTTGGGAGAGAGTCAGCATAAAGTGGAACCCTAGAAGGCTTTAGGTGACTACTCGCTAACTATCACTGGATGTTTTTCCAATCAGGTCCCTTAAAGGCCCCATGGATCAGCTTCACAACTAGATCTTGCTCAAACATCGATATAATCAATACCTTTCTCCCTTGTCCTGGCGGCCCTGGCCCTGGCCCTTGACTTTGACCAGAGTCTCGCCATCACATCACATCACATCACACCCATACAATTCACCTGCAGTGATCAGTCCCCATCCTATCCCGGCGGCTGGGGCCCTTGAGATTTTCAAGCTAGTGTCCTTGGGGGGGATGATGAGTTGTCTCTGCCGAATGGGCTGCCCAATAGCGCCGGCCCGCCGGGATCCTACCTAGCTCAACACGCTATGCCCGTGGTTTCTCTGCCAATGGACGATCAGCCAAGGACACGACATGTCGAGATGTACAGACGTGGGTGCAGGAAATTCAAAAAGCGAGGCCCGACGAGTTCGTCGTTCGTCTCTCTTCCTGTGTGTGATGGCAATGAATGTGTGATGTGACAAGCATCCATCCATCCACTCCTTAATCGCCATCGAATAAGCATCAGCCGTAAATATCAAAACAGGAATTGAAACTAGCGGTCCCTCAACGTTGATGCGTTGCCGCGACCAGCCTCTTTTATCTTTAGTCTTTACGAACACTCAGACACTATGCACCCATCTCCATCTTCAAGAGACTCTCCAATATCAAACCGCGAGAGACAACCGTTGGGCAGCCACGCTTTATCCGTACTTCCTTTCTCTAGGTATCATGAGAAGCTTCGGTTTGCCCTTCGTATCATGTCCTGGTAATTAATCCTCTCACTCTAAACTATATCCGTCCCCCACCCAACCTCTCTCTTCCCCTGCCATTGATCGATCTTCCCCCATCAATCACTCAAACCCCCTGTACATCCATTGATCTTCGACCATCAGTTGCTGAGCGCCACAGCCCCATAATAGGCGGCTGGGCGTCCGCGACCAGGAAACGGAAAAGAACCATTCGAGCGAGCCTCATCATTCGACTAGACCATGTTTGGATAGAGTACATTTGATGAGGCTGCATTTGTTGACTGACAGTGCTGCCTTCGGGCTGCCTGAAATTGCTTGTTGTTTAATCCCATCAAGTATGAAAAACCACCAGGTCTATTTCTCCATAACTCTCAAGCAGATGTGTTGTAGGGCTGAAAGTCTCAGACCCTCTGCCGCAGAACATTTACACATTTACCTCAAAGACAACTTTGAAACAGAGACAAACTGATTTGCTGGGGCTAGTTCTTCATATGTATCAAGTTAGTTACATCATGGTGCTTTGAGAGCTTCTTCAGCATGGCTGATCATCCGCGAACGTTTGCAAAGTCAAACACCGCCAACTCAATTACATGGCGTGTTCCTGAGAATCGTTTGAACAAAAAGGAGATAAACTTTGCTAAACCATTCTAGATGCAACTCAATTCAGAGCGTTTGTTCGTATTATAACCCCCGGTCCAGCCTCTTGCATTCTCGCACAACTTTTGACTTGGTGTGCCTGGTCCTCTATACCCCCCAACCACATATTTACCTTTCTTATGACATGAGTCTACCCCCCAATGCAAACATTCGACGCAAACAAATATTCGTTGAAATAGGGCAAGCTGGGCAGATGGAGGATCATATCAATATTAATAGCGTGTAAGCTGTATACAATGGGTGGGCAAAGGTTCCGATAACTTCCTCTCTTACATACTTCATCTGAGATAACATAAATTATTATAAACTCTCTTATTTTATACAATCTTATTTCATTATATCCTAACATTATTCATAACATATTCCAATTATTCTATATCCTATATGTCTTTATGATCGTATGTATTCCTAGTTGGGTTGTTGTCGGTATTTTTTGCACGGGATTGAAGGGGGATCCCAAGTGGTAAAGACTCTTCGTCATGCAAGACATATAAAAAAGACATGGAATACCCTTGAACTTTTCAACACAAGACAGTGCTCAGCTGTCTGTTTCACTTTCACTGAGGAACTTGTAGGTTCTGTGTTTGGAAGCTAGTCAGGTTGTTTCACTACAAGATCAAGCATACCGTTACTCCTTGTGTGCACAGCAAGACAAACCAGTGGCAAGCAACCACAATGATATATCATCTTGATAGGTTCTTCATGCCAGGTCACTATTGGACATAGTTACGAGCTGATTATAGTCTTTTACTCTTACAACTATTTCCGCTACCAAGTTTAACTTGTTGCAGTTCAGTTCTTCTCCCACGACATACTTCCTGAAGTACAACAGAACCCTAAGAAAGGATTATACGCCGTATCGGCTCTATTGTTCCCTGTGAAGGGGCACCACGTCATCCCTAGCGACAACATACTCGATCTATGCAGCCAACCGGATCTTCTCATGCCATTCGTGTCACACACTGACGATCTCGTATAGCATTATGCTCCCGAAGACTCGTAAGAGACTTGCCTTGTCCTATGCAAACTGGCCATTCACCATACACCTACACATCTTCCAAGATTTCAAGATCCCTCATCAATGGCTGTCCGGGAAAGTGACTTCTGTGTTACGCATGGCGTGATTAAGGAGGTTTCGCCAATCGTCCATCAGGGTCATGGGTAACATAATGAAGCCTGGACTCGACCTCGGCAAATATTGACGTCCTAATAAATATGTGATGAAATAACGTAAATTGGAAAAGACGAACAAAATCTCTAACTTCATGCATAATCGTGCATCGGTTTCCAAATAAGTCAAAACAACCCGCCCATACAGCTCAAGCAAAGCAATCAGTTCCTCCGGCCATCACTAATCAGAGCCGGCGGCGGCTCATTGGGATATTCTGGCGGACTGCTTCTAGCTTCAAGATCACGCAGTTCCAATGGATCCTGCGTTTCCTTCTTCCCATCATACGGCGGCGGTGCCTGGCCCAACTCATTCAGTCCTTCTTGAGACCTGGTACCATTCCACAGCGATCGCCGGTTTGTCGTGCCGTTTCCGCCACGGATTCCTGCTGCTCTTGATCCTGGAGATGGACCAGGACCGGGCCATTGGTTTGCGCGACGGCGACGACGACGCCTGATCTGGATGATGGTTGCGGTCAAACCAAGAACGAGGATAACGAATAGAGGGATGAGAACCCAGGTGAAGGGTTGATTGCCGAAGCTGAAGCCGCCGTTGGTGTCGTCATCGTTGGAGTCGCCAGTTGCCATTGCAGTTATAGCAATGAGTGAACGTAATGTAGATATGTAGTTGGCGTTGAGTCTGAGAAGCAGTTGACGATCTCAGTTGCGACCTGGAATGTTATCTGCATAGAAGCCTTCCTGCCGATTCTGATATTTCAATCGAAGCGGTTTACGAGACAACAGGAAACAAGAATTGTTGCAATAGAAGCTTGTTATGCTGTGAAGTCAGAGACTTTGATGGAGTGGCGTCATCCAGTAACTCCAACTCATTAGACAGTGGAGGGAGGACAGCCCTTTGTACTTGTGCACCCTCGCCTTCAGGCGTCGTGTGCCCCCCTCAGAAACCCAGCCGCGTAGCCGATCAACCCGCCCGTGGTGACTTCATCACAGTGGCTCGGTAGCTAAGATCTGGAGATATGGTAGGTTGGATGCTCCCGTGCCTCGGTGGAGACGGCATAATTTGACCGTTGAGGCATCACCTGCTTTCTCGTCTATGATCTCTATCATAGCATAGCCCGGTTAGACCAGCCGAATTGATGGATGCCAAGAGAGAAATATGAACTGGAAGCCGAGCCATTGCAGCCTTTCTCGCAGACAGTACACTTGGGGTGGCGTATCTAGATGGGCTGTGCTACTTAACAAGGCACCAAATACGCAGCAACTGTCTTGTACATGATACGGATACGCAACGGTTAGATAGCATGTGTTAGTTAGCTGATTTGCCACATCATAATTCGGTTTTGTAGATTCGAGATAGGACGGGATTGAAGATCAGGCACAGCAATCACGCTGACTGTACCGGTTTTCAGTGTAATTCTCCACTAAACGGTGGCTTTATTGAGGCGCAGAAGCGAAAGATGAATAAACAATATTTGGAATCCAACGTCTGTTGATTCATTCTATTCGTGCATGCCATGTCATCTATCTCGCAGGGCGAGTGGCCCGTGCATCATGCAAGGCTTCCATTGAACTCCACAGATTTTCTGGGGGGGCTCTATCCACAACTTCTTCTCTATCTCATCATAAGCCTTATCCAGCATTTTTGGAATCTCCCCGCCAAGATGCCTCGCGCAATAAGAGGTTTGCCTTACCGTCGCTTCCCACCTTGGTCTATCTAACCTTCTTCCCCTAGGCGTTCTCATCGAATGCGACCCTTCCATCAAGTCCATCATCGTTAGCATCGATAGTGCTAATCATGACTACATCATCGAAGATCTCGACGATGAACGCGTGGTCGTGAAAGAGAACATGGTCTCTATGCTCAAGGCCAAACTAGAGGATGTACGTTCACTCAATAATACGCTCTCTACGCGCATGCAACGCTGTTGGATGTTGACATTGTTTACCTAACACATACACAGCGACTGAAAGAAAACCTCCCCCCTGAGGAAGAGTCCGGCTCTGAATAGACATCGAACACATACAATGAATAATCCCAGCTACAATAAACAATGCTACTTTGACGGTCGGCTTTACGTCTAGACTACAGCTTCGCAAATCTAGGCTTCGTCTTCTTCAACCCACTCATCAGACCCTCCGCGAAGTCCTTGCCCTGCACGGCCGCCGCATTCCACACCTTCGTATACCTCAAGCTCTCCGCAACGCTGACATCCCGCCCATGGTTGATCAACTCCTTTGTTCCCTGCACTGCAACAGGGCTCTTCTCAGCAAGTGTTGTCGCCAGCGCCAGGCCGGCGTGCACAGCGGCTTGTTTGCTGTCGTGAACCTGGCTCACAAAGCCCACCGAGAGCGCCTCCTGCGCAGAAAAGTCCCGCGCTGTGAGACACACGTCCTTGACCCACGATGTCGAGCCAACAAGCTTAGGAAGTCGGGAGAGTGTACCAATATCGGCAGCCATACCAATATCAACTTCTTTGACAGCGAAGCGCGTGTTGGATGCGCAGATGCGGATGTCCGCGCAGCAGGCAATATCAATGGCGAGACCGATAGAAACAGCATGAAGAACGCAAATGACAGCTGTGAATGTTCAAAAGTCCCCGTATAAGTAATCGTACTTTTATAAATGCTCGCAAGAGTGACACTTACGTTTTTCACACTTCTCCATAGCACCAATGGAGTCCTGGAACTCCTCAATGTGACTTCTCAAAACCTTCGCCTTCTTCGCGATATCGGCGTCAGAACCAGACAGAATTCCATCCCCAGAAGCAGCCTTCACGTCCAGACCTGCGGTAAACGCTCGATCGCCAGCACCGCTGAGCACTACGGCGCGAACATCCTCATCATGACTGAGCTGGTTGAAGACATTCCCAAACTCAAGCCAGACCTCCTGCGAGAACGCGTTGAGCTTCTTCGGGCGGTTGATCTCAACGTGAGCGACGAAAGGTCCTGGTGAGCTGACAAGTATGTGCTTGTAAGATGTGTAAGCGGGGAGAGGGGTGGCGGAAGACATTGCAGGCTAGAATTTGTATACGATTGGCTTTTGAAGAGGAAGGATATGTATGTATGAGTGCTGTTCTCTATGTGATATTCATACAGTTATAAAGTCTTGAGAAATACAAATGCCTGGGGTAATCATTGGGGAATAAAGCTTGGTTGTAAGCCTGTAACACTGTCACGGATGTAAGTGGTGGGCCACCAATGGAGATGCCGAGGTTTCTTCCTGTTCTAGCCGTGGCTAAGTCAGACTCACGTGTGCTGGTTATTGATCAACAATTGATGGCGTAGACTTTACCTAGCCATTACTACTGCATAACGACTCAGAGTCACCAAACATGCAATGCCAGTTATGATATAGTTTAATGAAAGTCTATTGTATGTGCCTTCGCACGAAACCCTTTTAACTGAAACGACAAAGGCGATATCCGCCCAGATAGCATTATAATCATTTCCGAGCCGTCTGCCCTACCTGGGCTAGACGCCAATGCTCCTGTTGAAAAAATACGAACCCAACATGGCCAGCGCAGCTAATCAAGCGCTCTTCACCAACATCTTCTTGTGCCTATCATGAAACCCAAAGAGGGGGGCCTAACGCATAGCTCAGACGGCAATCCCCACACTAACAAGGAAAGTAAATAAAGAAACAACTGATACGCTGTTTACAGAAGAAGGGTTCCGAAGAGGGTGAAGGCAGTGGCGGCAGCGGTGATGTAGAGAGCACCGAAACCGAGGCTGGCAGCACCGCTGTCATCATCATTGTCGTCGGAGCCGGATGAGCCGGAAGAACCGGTAGAGGTACCAACAGCGACGCTGGCAGTGGCAGTACCACTGTCGGCGTCGTCTTGGGAGCCCGCGCCGTCGATACCAGGGCCCTTTCCAGCACCGTCCTTCATGTACTTTTCAGCTTGGGCGGGCATCTCAGGGAGGTAGCTGGGGTCGACCTGCCAGACGGACTCGGACTTGGGGCACTCAACGCCGTGGGAAGACTTGGCAGCACCACCGGTACCAGTGGGCATGGGGTACTCCTTGAGGGCAGACTTGAAAAGGTCGAACTCCTTGTCGGGCGTGACCTTGCCGCTCTTGATCTGGACAATACCGTAGTCGTTGTCCTCGAGGGAGTACTCGTACATGATACCACCAGAGTAGACCGAGGACATCTCCTTGCCCATCATGGGCTCCAACTCCCCGAACTTACGAGGGCGGTTCTTGATGCAACCGTACTCAGACAGGCTGGCGCAAAGTTAGTTGAGATCATTGGACCAAGTGGACATACTTACAAAATGGGGATACCGTAGTCGGTGAAGTTCTTGACCTTGACGTCCCAGCCAGAAGTCTCGAAGTCACTGTTGCACCAAGAGTAGTCGTTGAAAGCGAAGAAGTCGGATCGGACGTCTTCAGAACCGCAGTTCATGTAGTGGGCAGTCTGCATGCGGTTGGAGGAAACATCGGCGGCGGAGTATCCGACGGGGACCTTTCGGAGCTTGCGAGCCTTGATGTAATTTCGCATATCACGGGTGATGGCCTTGACGTAAGGAGCAGACTTGTCGGTGTCCTTCTCGTCGTTCATGACCTCGTTACCAGAGAAGAAAGCGAGGGTGTTGTCGTACTGGGCGAACATCTCGACAGTGGCGAAGACACTCTGGATGTAGGCGGCGTTGTAAGAAGGACCGGGCTTGGCACGGTTGATGGAGTACTTGGGGTTGTTGACATCGAGAACAAGGTAGATGCCGGCTTCGGCGAGGGCCGTCATGCACTCATCGTGGTCACCCTTGTTGTCGACAGCGTAGACACGGATAACGTTGACGCCAAGCTCCTTGAAGTACTTGATATCACGCTTGCAGACCTTGGGGTCGGCCAGAGGATCCTCGTTGGCGGCGGCACCACCGGGCTGGTAGTCGATACCTCGGAGGTAGAATCGCTCGTTGCCAGTCCAGAAAGCTGATGGGAGTTAACCTTGACATGTTCATTTGATTTCCGAGAGAATTGATCACTCACCATTGCCGGAGGCAGTGACTGTGGGGAGAGAAGCGCGCTTGCTGGGGGGATCCTTCAGAGTAGGGGTCGCAGAAGCGAAAGCCGCCAAGGCGGAGACGAGAACAAATGACTTCATTGTGAATAATCGATTGAACGGTATCGTTGGTCTTGAGTTAATTTGTCGTAAAGAGACGATGTATTGTCGAAGGCCGAAAAAGATCGTAAGGAGAGGATCTGGTGAAGAATTATAGCTGAACTAGTAGAAGAAAAACCAACAACGAGGGAGTTGGGAGAGGAACGAAGGAAGAAGGGCGACAGAGAAGCGTCGACCGATTGAATAGGGAGATGAATGAATTAAGTCAATGGAGGGAGGAAAGAAGAGAGGGAAAGGGATGTATAGAGATGGAGGTTGGTATGGGGTTTTAAAAAAGGGCCATTGATGGGATTGGGGGGTACAAAGTTACAAGTTACAAGTCACTCCGTATACAACTCAAGTCGACAAAAGCCAGACGAAGCGTGGGTAATTAGTGGTGGTATCAAGCCTCAAGGGATGGCAAATTATGGGCTTTTCCAACTCGGCATTATCTTGTGGTTGGCACAGAGCAGAGGGGTGTCGCGATAGCTGATATAGTATGGGAGGAACTCTTACGACAACTCGGCCAATGTTTCCGTGCATCAACATCAAGCATCAACAAGCGCCAATTGAAAGAAGACCAAGCGTCTAGAAACTACGCGACTGCGTCCACTTGTGGACTCGCGTTTCCTTCTTCGTTCCTTGAATTGGCTGCCAATGCAATCGAGTCCATCCTAGGGGAAAGCCATGGGTTGAGGATTAACCGTGGGGCACGTCTGATCCAGTAATTTCAATCCCCATATATTCATGCTAGCACACCTAATCTCAACGCCAAGGCAAAGCATGACGATCAAGCGTGTGCATTATTAGTGGATGCTTTTGTATGGATATGGAGTACTCCGTTGTGTACAATGAGAATGAGTGTCCTCTGTTGCGAAGCTAGCTTTCACGATTGTAAGTCGCTTTTGACTGCCGGATATATACACCATGCGACATCAGTACCATCTTATCTATGTGTGACTGTGTGTTTAAACAACACGGGACAGACAGGTACACGAATCAATGGGCTGTGCCGGGCTAGCCTATCATCGGGAATACATTTGTTGGTGGTGTGCTGATGCTTGTCACTTTGTAAAAACACGATGAACCAAATACTCTCGTGCCGCTCCAAACGAGGCGGTTAGCAGTATCCGTAGGCCGCGAGTATCTGAGAGCATGTTTCTATAACAAGATCAATACCCATAGCAAAAGAAAATCGTCATGTTGCCGTCTCATCCAGACCCAAACTCTGTTTTTGTTGTTATTTTTGCTAGTGTTGCCCTTGGTGCTGCATCTCTCTCTCGTATTACACACAAACATCTCACGTGTGTCAACAATGCCAATAACATGGAGTTTATCCTGGAGAGAAAGACACCCAAGAGCTACGCAGCCCCAAACCGGAGACTCGAAAGAGAGCAGAAACTCAATTGCTCGGTATCCATGACAAGTAAGGCCCAGTGGTGCATCATTATTAGCATCACCTCTAAGCTCTTTTCTCTTATTTTTCGCTTCTTGGCCTCGATTTCGCTCAATGATGGATGACCCACCAAAGGCGTCGTAATGCTTTTTTTTTAATGGATACGACACACCCTCCAGTGCATGCATCACACCCCCTTTTCGGCTGTATCAAGCGCCTTCTGATCAGCGATTGGCGCGTCGCTGAAACTCGTCTCGAGGGGCCTACAGGCTCTATGTAAAACGGGTTACGGTTGGTGGCACAGTTTTAAGCACGAGAATGAGAATGGGACGGCTATCTGGGGTTGGCATTGAATGTCTCTGAGCATTAAACCGTGGAGATTTATAGTCTTATTGCGTGTTGATGGTATTCAGCACGTAAAAATCATTGACCAACAATTCTCTTATATAAGAGACTCATCCATTAACCTCGCATGCTTCTGGTCATGCACGTGAAAGCAAACTTCGACAACGTTTTTTTCCCTTTCCAGTCCAAGTAGCTTTGATCTTCAGGGGGCGCGGCTCTGCCACTCCCGTCCCGCTAAACACCTCAGTGGGAACTGTGGGACCTCTCTCATGCATATCCCTCTAAATGGTTGGGCCGTATCTACGCTTTGTAGAGCAAGTCAAGAATAGAAATTCAATCCTTTGAGTACAATGATGGTATTTGAAAGTTCTTGACAGAGCAGATATTTGCCCTGATACTTAAATCTACCTACATTACTCCAAGAGCCACCTTTGACTTGAATCTTAGCTATGAAACCGTAGTCCCAGTCTTCTCCAAGGAACCACTCGGCCTCTTTTTCGTCAAAGCAATTTTTGACAGGGCAAGACTGGATGACGATGAGCACCACTTGACATGGAGCTCGCTTAGTTTTGCTGGGTCTTCAAATTCGACTGATACGCTGGCTAAATTTCAATCGTCACGTCGATCACCAAGCACTACCTCGTGTACTCGACCGCCAAACGCCTTAACATTCTCAACCACGGCGCCAAACCAAAACCTCAGCTGATTGTTTGCGGTGAAGGAAATCCAAATATGGGCGTTTGGTCGAGTCGAGAAGTAGGAACCCCCTTGTGAGACAACGTGTTTCTACCCGCAACTCATTTCTTTTCAACCAACGGCCCTCTTTTCAACTGGAAAACGGTAATTACCTGTGGTACGTCATATCCCCTGCTTGTCCATGCACCACAGAACAGGTCAATACTCTATCTCAAAGCCAAGCCTTTTGTTGGCCTTTAAGCTGGGGAGTAATAGGAGGTTTCAAGTGACACTCAGGCTCTCGTTCCATAAACTCTTAAGCCTCTTGCGCAACGAAACGTGATTGTCATTGCAGACTGAACATGAGGGAGATTCTAGTCAGCCTTCTAATCTTACATATCTTCCACAAATTACTATGTGTAAAAATACGCCACATTATGTCAAATATCACAACATCGTAACCAGACGTTCTTATCGTTGACCCCAGACCGCGTATACAGTTCATCTCATTCAACTACGGGTATCGAAAACTGAATCCAATGGTTGTTTCTATTTAGTCGTCATCAGTCATCAAGAAATCTGAAAGAGCTCCTCAACCCCCTGCCAGTTTCCCTTTGCACGCTCTTCCCAGTAGCTATCCTTTCCGGTCTTTAGCTTCCATACCTCCTCACCCTCTGGAGCGTTCTCGACCTTGACAAACCATCGAGGCTTGTATGTCTCACCCCGCTCTTCGAGTTCACGGCGTCGCACACGCTGCGCTTCCTCCAGCTTTTGTTTCAGCTCCTCGGCATCATCGATCGCGCCTTCTTCGTATGCACGCTGGTCAGGTCGCAGACGGCAGTCAGTTGGCGGGATCTTGTCCTTTTCAACCTCTGTCACCTCATTCAGGCTTGCGGCAAATGTTGTGAAGCCAAAGGTCTGGGCTGCATTATCCACCAGAGACCCTACGCGCCAGATCTCCTGGCCGCCGCCTTTACCAGTTGTCTTCAAACTGCTGGTCCATGTGCCTACCAAACCACTTCCCGTGTTGGCACCTTCAGGGTTGAAGATTTCAACACTAACATCCTCAGTGCGTCCACCCCACATGCCCTTACTCTTAAACTCAACCGCAGCCTTGTGGCCAGTACTGTCGTTGACAACATGCATCGTACCCACGGGCTCAACATATTTCTCACCCATCACCACGTTGCGTAGGAACATGGTAGCGATGTTCCAAGAGTACCGCTCCTCGGATCCGTTCGAAAGACGTAGAACAATTCGTACACGTCCGTCTGTTGTGATTTCGGCACTCTTACCCCAGAACTTTTGGCCAGGTGCAGGTGATTGTGAGAAAGACCAGTTGGCTGAGTCCGCTTGCATCGCCAGGAGAAGAGGTCGATGTTGGACCTTCTCGACCAAGAGCCTGAAGCCTCCGGGAACCTCCTTTTCACTTCGGACAAGTTCAAAGGTCTCGCCTAGCAAAGGGGTAAAAGGCTTTCGGATGGCGCGCTCCTTAGCTCGCCCACTGCTGAATTGCGAAACTGCAAATGCTGCCACAAATAAAAGTCGATCTGTGGGAGAAGATTGCTTTGCTGCTTGATTTAGTAGTTGTGCATACTCAAGCTGCTCGGCCACCTTCTGGCACATAGAAGAGGGCTCGTTCGACGTGACGGGCATACTGATTGTACTAAAATCTTTGCCAACGTTTTTCCGGAAAAAGGCGATCAGACTTGGGGCTGCTGCAGCTGCAGGTGGTATGGTCGATCTTCTCGCAACGTTTTGTTCAATAGGCAAAGGAATGAGGCTCTTGGGCTTTGCGGGGAAGAGATGAGATGCGTCGTCGGGATTTGTTGCGTCGTTCTCCCCTATCGATGATACAGAAGAATTATCTCGGAAAGAATCTTCCTCCTCCTCTTCTTCTTCCTCTTCTCCATCTTCCGATCGCGATGCGCCATCTTCGCTGCCATCAATTTTAAGAACAGCAGAATTAGCATCCTCGGCATCAAAAAACTCGTCAGCTGTCGAGACTGTGTCTATGCTCTTTCTCGACATGCCACTAGCCGACAAGGGTATAGGCATTCGACGCCGTTTACTGTTGTTGATAAGACTTGTGAACTCGGACACAACCGAGTCCAGATCTGTTAGAAGTGATTGACAATGGTCTTGTAGCGAACTTTCTTCCCGGATAAGACCCTTGGATTGTCTCCGTGAGTGGTTTGGCATGTTGGCTGAGATAGTCGTTGTGACACCACCTGGTGTGGACACTGCCATAGCCGTAGCCGCACCCAGCGTCGCGGGGGATATCGCAGGAGTGTTCGACTTCCGTCGCCAAAAAGAGCGTCTCTGGTCCGGTGGAGGGGTGAAATATGTGTCGTTCTCCTCGATAGCACTGCTCACAGCTCCAGGTGATAGGTATTGAGGGCTGGTCACTGGCGTCGGCTTTGCCTGTGAAGTGACCTCCCGAGTCAAACGTCGGAGTGCATCTCGGGTTCCAACAACGCGGCTGACTAGGGATTCGACCTGTTCCCATTCTCTATCTTCCTGGGGAGAAGACTGGTGGATGGGTTGTAGCTGCTTGGTGTTGATCTTAAGCTCGTTCTTCTTTGGAAGATCAAGGCTCTCTAGCCCCCTTGCAACACGACTCGCCTTCTCTAAAGCGTGTGCCCAATCCTGGAATTCCTTATCGTTGGGAGCTCTCAGATGCCACACCTCGGCGCCTGAATCAATGCTAATTTCTCTTCGTCGTTCGTCCGCAGCAACAGCAGCTAAGCTCAAAGGTATAGCACCTCGGAGCGCAGATGACTTTGGGTTGTAATAGTAGGACAGAGTACACGTAGAGTAATCAAGAGAGAAGAACCTTCGTGCGTAACCTTGTCCCTTCTTACGACGTCTCTTGTGCAAAACGCCGACATGATAATTGTTGGAACCACCATCGCTCCGACCAGAGACAGAGCCCGGTTTCCCTGCGGCATTGTGACTGTGAAGGCTGTCCAAAGAGGCAGACGCAGCCCCGTCGAGCTTCGGGCTACTGTGTCGTCCAAGACTCGTCTGGCTGGCTCCAGCTTTCTGCGACTGAAGATTTGGCAGATGTGATGATGTTGAAGGTGGCGCTCCTGTAGGATATGTCATGACCACAAATGTTGCAGTTTTGGATGTCTGCTTTGAGAACGTGTTGTCGAACACTAAGCCGTACATTCCGCTTTGATCTTCTTTAACATCGTAGGTGCCGATTGAGACCTTGTCCGCCTCACACTTGCCTATCCATTTTATGGGGATAAATCCTTTACTTTTCAGGAGTTCCTGTGCGTTGATCTCTTTCTTCGCAAATCGGCTTGCCTTCCCGTCTGAGGTGCCGCCCGATTCTTCTGTACCATTGTTCAGGTCTTCACCAGTCGAGGCTGCGAAAGTGGTGGCACCGCTGCCGGGATGCTTAACAATACCGAAATTGCTACCATCGCATTAGTATAGAGCTTTAGGTAATGCCACGAGAGGATGACATCGAAGTTTCAGAAAGCGGACACGTACATGGACTTTTTGTGTGGCTGCACACTCCACGATAGGGTGTTTCCTTCGTCAACTTTGACCCAACGAACTATGTACGACTTGTGAAAGTTAGCTAGGAGCTCCAGTCCAATTTCTTGGCCGGCGCCTGGCATGGCATCTGGTATATGGGAAAGGGCCAGTGACGTGCCTTGCTGTGAACCTCGAGCTGCTCAATGCCCGCCATTTTGTGCGATGTTGGGGCGTCCTACTCCCGACAACAAGGGACTCCGCGTTTGAGGGGTCGAGTGATTCTAAAGAGCTATCGGGAAGCTCGGTAGACGGATTCGGTGGTGCGTATTTGGTGTTGAGCAATTGACCATGCCGGTTCGATCGGTACTAAGGTTGGGGTTTTCGGAGCTCCGGAAACTACGGCTCGCGGAATGGCTTTTGTCGTTGATAAATAAAGACAGGTTTCGAAAGGTGTAGAGAGATTTTGTGTGTGCAGGGGCTGAGAGGTCCTCCTTATGGCTATCCGTACGGAGTAGCTCTGCTCGAATACGTAGAAGCCAAGAGTTTCGCCTCGAATCCTGGAGGAGTTAAGGAGTATCCGTACTCCGTATATGTACGCTATACGTGGACAGCTCGAGCACGAGGCAGCTACCCAACGACTAAGCTAGTGTTTGTGTAGTCGTGCTGGGCTGCCGGGCTTAGTATTGGGTCGAACAGGGGACCTGGTGGAGGGGTAAAAAGGCCGGAGGCTGTAAAGCGAGGTTCGCCTTGTTGCTGACGTTGGAAACGCGGCTTGTACAGCCACCACCGCCACTGAATGCCACAAAGCCAACCCTTTTTCGGGTAGTTCTTGACTCTCGGGCGAAACGGTTGCGAGGATGTTGTTCGTTTCAAGTGGGCAAGTTGATGGTTGAGTGGTTGGGAGAGCAAGGAGGGCGGAGGCTGGGGAATAAGAACCCTGGTAAAAAGGATGATGAAGGTGGCTGGAAGGCGGAATAATTTGAACACGATTTATATGGGAGTGGAGGAAGATCAGATATCGGTGGAAGGAATGTTATAAGACGATTGGCATTGGTTAAATCCGAAAAACTCAACGGCATTCGCAATGCGGATTGCTTCGTTAAAGAAGGTTCATGGCCCAAAGTAGACAGGTATGCGAGCAGAGTAAGGTAGGGTTGTTAGTGCTCCAAGCCATGATATGACGTTGCTTTCCACTTAAGTAATGTAGCGAACAGAGATACAGGTTGTTCTCACCATACCATTGGTGGTATACCGTAAGGACTACCTGTAGATCCGTCGGAAAAGAGGCCCTACTTAGAGAGTAGGCGGCAAAATTATAAAATAAGGGCAAAATCGTAGGATAAGCTTCTACCTTACTTTATTTAAATCTTATAATTTTTACTATTAAAAACCTAATAATTATTAAATATTTTTAAATACTATTTAATTAAATTATATCTTTAAAGTTATTTTTTTATTTAAACTTTTAATATAATTAATTTTTATAATCTTAACCTTATTATAATAACTACCTATATAATCTTAATTTTATAATATTATTATTATTATATTAAAGGGAAGCCCTTTATAATTAAGGTAATTATTAAAAAATATAATATTTTTAGAAATATTAATATTTATTATTTAAAGTTAATAAAGCTATTTAAAAAGCTAGTTTTTAATAATAATATTATTAATTAATTAAGAAATCTTAATAAGGCTAAGAAGTATATTATTTTTTTATTTTTTTTAACCTTTAACTTTATTAAGCCTAGGCTTTTTAAATCTCTTAATAATATTAATAATAAAAATAACCTCTTTTAAGGTTAAAAACTTAATATAATTAATATAATAAAAATTATATATAATAATTAAACTTTAATTAGATAAGTATATATATAACTTATATAGCTATATATATAAAAGCTAGCTTTCTTTATATCCTTAACTTAATTTATATTATAAATATATTAATTAATTAACTATTATAATTATAGTTAGTTAATTAACCTTTAGTTCTTTACCTTTTAGTTTATATTACTAACCTTTTTTATAGTTATTATAATAAATACTATTTAAATTATAAATATTTATTATATTATAAACTTTAACCTAATTTAATTTTTTATTTTTTTAACCTTTAACTTTATTAAGCCTAGGCTTTTTAAATCTCTTAATAATATTAATAATAAAAATAATCTCTTTTAAGATTAAAAACTTAATATAATTAGTATAGTAAAACTTATATATAATAACTAAACTCTAATTAGATAAATATATATATAACTTATATAGCTATATATATAAAAGCTAGCTTCCTTTATATCCTTAACTTAATCTATACTATAAGCTAGTTAATTAATCCTTATAGTTATAGTTAGTTAATTAACCCCTTTCGGTTTATATTACTAACCTCTTTTATAGTTACTATTATAATAAATATTACTATTTAAGTAATAAATATCTACTATTATATAAACCTTACCCTAATCTATAAGATTATTTAAAAAGCTATTAATAATTATTATAATAAGTAAAAGCTTAGCTTACTTAAAGATAAGGCTAAAGATCTTTAGCTTAATCTAAAGTAAGATTTTAATAGTTATTTTATATTACTTTTTTATAATAAATAGGATAATTATAATTTAATTAAATTAATTACCTTTAGCTAAAATCTTTTAATACTTTATAGTTTAAGGCTTAATAAGGGAAATTATACCTAAAAGTATATATTAAGTTAAATATAAAAGGTAAAGAAATAACTTAAATACCTAAAAAGCCTAGAAAATAGGCTTATAAAAAGGCTAGTCTTTAAGACCGATAGTTACTTTATTAAGGTATTTAAATTAAAGTATATAACTTAACGTAATAGCTTAGAGAGGTAGGTTATAAAGGTACTTAAGGTCTTTAAGAATAATCTATAAAGAGAAGTTATATATAAGGCATTAAGGGGCTAGGATAGGTAGAAATAAAAATAAAAGGTTAAAATATATTACTTAAAGGAATATATATTCTATTAGTTAGAGTTAAACTTAAAGTTAAAGTAGCCTAAAATTAAAGGTAGTTTTAGGCTAAGGAATTAAATTAAATTATATAACCTTTATTAAAATCTTATTATACCTATTTCTATAATATAATATATAATATTATTAATAATATTATTAACTAGGGTTAACCTAATCTATAAAAAGATTAATAATATATTAAAAAACTATTATAAAATAAAATATAACTAACTTAAATATAAGGCTAAAGACTTTAAAATTAATATAAAATAGGAAATAAAAGGTTTTTTATTACCTCTTTATAGTAAATAAAATAGTTTTTATTTAATTATATTAATTACCTTTAGCTATAAGCTTTTAATATTTTTTTTATATATAATAAAGTTAAGACTCTTTTTATTAAAGGAAGTTATTAAGTTTAAGGTATATAAAGAATTAACTTAAAAGCCTAAAAAGCCTAAAAAATAGGCTTATAAAAAGGCTAGTCTTAAAAATTAATACCTTTTTTATTAAGGTATTTAAATTAAACCCTTATTATATAGCTTAGTATAACTACTTAGAAAAGTAAGTTAAATAGGTAATTAAGGCCAGTAAAGGTATAAAGTAAAGCTAGATTAGAAATTATATATAAGGTATTGAGGGACTAGGGTAGAAAGGTAGAAAGTTAAAATATATTAAAGGAATATATATTTAAAGTTAAAGTTAAAGTTAAGGTAGCCTAAAGTTAAAGGTAGTTTTAGGCTAAGGAATTAAATTAGATTATATAACCCTTATTAAAACCTTACTATACCTATTTCTATAATATAATATATAATATTATTAATAATATTATTAATTAGGAAGAAGTTATATATAATAACTAAACTTTAATTAAATAAATATATATATAATTTATATAATTATATATATAAAAACTAATTTCTTTTTTATTTTTAATTTAATTTATATTATAAATTAATTAATTAACCTTTATAACTATAATTAATTAATTAACCCTTACCCTTTAGTTTATATTACTAACCTTTTTTATAATTATTATTATAATAAGTATTTAAGTAATAAATATTTATTATAATATAAACCTTACTTTAATTTATAAACTTATTTAAAAAGGTATTAATAATTATTATAATAGGTAAGAACTTAACCCTTTTAAAGATAAGGCTAGAGATTTTTAATTTAATTTAAAATAGGAGTTTAATAATTACTTTATATTACCTTTTTATAATAAATAAGATAATTATAACTTAATTAACCCTAATAAATAATGTTATTAATAATATTATATATTATATTATAAAAATAGGTATAGTAAGGTTTTAATAAAGATTATATAATCTAATTTAATTTCTTAGCCTAAAACTACCTTTAACTTTAGATTATTTTAACTTTAACTTTAACTTTAAATATATATTCCTTTAAGTAATATATTAACCTTTTACCTTTTTACCCTAGTCCCTCAATACCTTATATATAATTTCTAATCTAGCTTTACTTTATACCTTTACTGGCCTTAATTACCTATTTAACTTACTTTTCTAAGTAGTTATACTAAATTATATACTTTAACTTAAATACCTTAATAAAGGAGGTATTAATCTTTAAGACTAGCCTTTTTATAAGCCTATTTTTTAGGCTTTTTAGGCTTTTAAGTTACTTTTTTATATACTATAAATTTAATTTCTTTTTTTATATAGAAAATAGTATTAAAAGCTTATAACTAAAGGTAATTAATATAACTAAATAAAGATTATCTTATTTACTATAAAAAGGTAATAAAAAGCTTTTTATTTTCTATTTTATATTAATTTTAAGGTTTTTAATTTTATATTTAAGTTATTTATATTTTATATTATAGTAATTTTTTAATATATTATTAATCTTTTTATATAATAGGTTAAGGCTTATATTATAATAGGTTTTTATTATTTTAATAATAATACTTATTATAGTAATTATAAAAGAGGTTAGTAATATAAACTAAAAGGGATTAATTAACTAATTATAACTATAAAGGTTAATTAACTAGCTTATAGTATAGATTAAGTTAAGGATATAAAGAAAGCTAGCTTTTATATATATAGTTATATAAATTATAGTATATATATTTATCTAATTAAAATTTAATTACTATATATAACTTTTATTATATTAATTATATTAAGTTTTTAACCTTAAAAGAGGTTATTTTTATTATTAATATTATTAAGAGATTTAAAAAGCCTAGGCTTAATAAAGTTAAAGGTTAAAATAAAATATAAAAAAAATTTTACTTTAATTAATTAATTATAATAATTTTAAATTAATTATAATAAAATCTAAATATATAGCTTAAGATTTATCGATTTTCTTACCTATTTCTTACCTAAAGGCTTATCTTACGATTTTACTTTTATTTTATAATTTTACTACCTACTCTCTAAGTAGGGCCTCTTTTCCGACGGATCTACAGGTAGTAATAAAATAGTATATTTATGGTATATTTCTGTTCTGTATAATCCTACTGATTCGGGAAGAAGTGCTTGAAATTAACCATATGATCATAATACACGGGTTCCCGGATCCGAGAAATGGCTATAGCGGTGCGTAAAGTAACATATGGGTAAATGATGTGCGCTACCGATGAAGCCGAGTCACATCCAACTGGAATTTACATGTGGTTGCCATGTCCAGAGTCTGGGGACAGCGAGTGGTTCAAGGCTGCTACCCGGGAGTCGGTAATGTTGAGACGCGATGAAGCAACCAAATGGTTTATTTTCTTGTTTAATTCAAGGACTTTAAACAGGGCCGTTGTCCACAAAGTCCTAGAACTTATGAAAGACCATTCTTCTCTGTTTCCATAAACTTTTCGAACCGGCTTCGTGGCGAGATGTTCGGTGACGGGAGTAGCCGTATCATAGACGCATAACTGCCCGGTGCATGTTCATGACACCAGGACGTTTGCAACCAGCGTGCGAGTATACTCACAGTCTAATTTCGACCTTTGTAATATCACGGCCAACAAATACACAATGATATAGACTTTATAAATAATGAAATTCGAATCAATCACATGTACATGTCTCAATAGTACTATTCTTAACAGCCAACTGACTTGCCTCCCAGCGCTTGGTACGGGATAGTATCTACCTTTACGAAAGCAGGCCGTGAACTGTACGGATATCTCCAGCCTCAGAAACACATATAGGAACCCTCCTATTTAGTATCGTTCTTCGCGAACATCGGTTCATCTCATCTGCCAAACCCTGTCTCACCCACGCGACCTGCCCCTGACGCCGTCGTCACCCAGGCTGTCAAGACACTTTTACTGGTGGATGGATCAACAGAGTCCATGTCTGTCTAAAGCCTAAACCCAGTCGGGTCAGACTGAAGGCCCTCTAGGAACCTAACCTTACCTTAAGTGAACCAGTGGATCTGCTATGCAAGCCTACAGCGAGATGGAAGGTCCACCGTGGCTTAGGGGGATACTAAGGCCTAGGCCAGGGGCTTTTTGAGGACAGTATTTGGCTGGTTTAGTGAAAGAGAAGAATTCTCCCAAGAATTGAACCACCTCGGATTGTGTTAAGCCCGCAGTCGAGGAAAACTCTTCACTATCCATTTATTCTCGTGAACTGTGCCAACAGATTTGATGACAGTTAGGTACATACAGGCTAATAGTAAATCACCATTGTATCCGTAGAGACCTCCAGGATTAACCTACGCAGTGCCAGAGCGTGGCAAGTGCATCTTCCCGCTCCCGCATCCCTGCCGTTCTGACCTGAATCGCACGGCGCAACAAGTGTCTAGCTCCCTTCCAGGTCAACTTCCATCTTCCCTCCTCCTTCTTTTCGATCTTGTCACCACTAAATCGCATCGCGTCGCATATTCCTGTCTCTCCTTTCCACCTCTATTGCTGTTAATAATTGCTTTTCCCGTTCAACGCATGGACGTTTAATCATTTGCTTCTTTCCGCTTTCCTTCAACGACAACCCCGTTTCCGGCCTCCGACCTCCGTATTCCAATTCCAGATCGCCGACTTTGTCCTGCGCGAGCCCTACGAACGACCCGAGACGGTTACACTGGAATCTTGGCTGTATTGATACTGTATTTCTTGTCGACATTGTCGTAAACTTATTACATTTGAGCCTGTCATCATGTCGGGTATGATGAGCAAGCGCCAGCAGGCGCGGAACGAAAAGGCTTTGCAGGACCTCGTGCAGAATGTACCGGGCAATAATATGTGCGCTGACTGTCACGCGCGTAATCCAGGTATGCTTCAAACACGCAGCGAAGCTCATCGAGGGCCTGGTATGCAACAAACGATGTTGAAATTTGCTAACATGAACTGGTATCTTAGCCTGGGCATCTTGGAGTGTACGCTTCCCCCTGTATACCGATCCTCTTCCAAGAGCTAACGTGTTTCTTTTCTTAGTTGGGCGTTTTCCTATGCATGAGATGTGCTGCGATCCATCGAAAGTTGGGCACACACATTTCCAAAGTCAAGTCCTTGAGCATGGATAGTTGGACGAACGAACAAGTCGATGTGAGCAACAAAAGTGACGCAGTAATAGCGTCTAGAAAACAATAATCAGCTTACAAGATGAACAGAATATGCGTAAGGTCGGAAACGTTACCTCCAACAATATCTACAACCCCGAACATGGCAAACCACCGGTCCCCGTCGATGCTGACGAAGCCGATTCTGCAATGGAACGATTCATCCGACAGAAGTATATGAACAACACAGTTAGCAGAGCAGGAAAACCCAAAACACCTCACGTAGGAGAGGGAACGCCTCCGCCGTTGCCGCCCAAGAACTCTACTAAGTTCGGATTCCGATCAGCATCATCCATTTTCCCACTGTCATCCAAGTCCAAGAAGGAGGCCAAATCAATAGCAGCGGCGCAACTTGCTCGCACTGAGTCCCCGAGACCCCCCAATAAGCCGTCCAAAGTGTTTGGCGCAACCCTGGACCTTGATCAGCCAGACGAGATGGAACAAAAGCTGTCCAGGCTACAGGACATGGGTTTCCAGGATGCTAAGCGAAATGCCTTGGTGTTGAAGGGTGTCAATGGCAACCTTGAGCGGGCAATTGAGACTCTTGTGCGCCTGGGTGAGGGAAGCGGCCGTCCTTCACCCCTCCCTACACCTTCACCTAGAGAACAGACTTTGCGCACATCAAGGTCTTTAACTCCTCTGACACCAAGTGCTGGCGGGCTGGGACTCGGTGCAGGACTTAGCGTTCCATCTCGTTCGGCCACGGAGCGTCCAACCACCCCGTCGAGTGCTTCGACAAACCCATTCGACAATTTGGGCCCGGCTCAACCACAAACAGCTCAATCTACCGGAAGTCTCCAAAACCGAAACCCCTATGGTCAGACGAATCCATTTGGCGCGCCCGCAGCCCAACAACAACAACACCAACAACAGGCAAACGATGCCTTCAGCCAGGCATTCCAAAATATGTCACTTTCTCCCCAACAGCCTCTGTTTCCTCATCATACCGGCGGAACGGCGCCGCAGCCCGCCCCACAGGCGCCAGTGTACCAACAAGTTGCACCTTCAGCACCTACAACCCCCAGTGGTTTCTCAAGTCTAGGCTTTAGTAGCAACATGGCATATTCTCAGCCACTACAAGCGCAGTCAACAGGATATAACCCTTTCTTCCCAAACTCCACAGGCGCAGTTCAGCAGCAACCGCCACATGGGTCCAACACATACCCTCAAGTCAACACGAACCAAGCACCTGCAGGTTACAACCCCTTCTCACGATCTCCAACTCGAATTGCATCACCTAGCCTTGGTCAGATTCCGGAGCAAACCCAGAGTTCGTTCCAGAGCTCTTCTGTATATCAAACCTCCGCCGTATATCAGAGCCCTGCGCCTCTGAGCACCCCGGAAACCTCTACAAATCCGTTTTTTGCAAACGCTGGTCAGCCGATGGTAGCAACGGGCCAACATATGTTTGGCCAACAGCAGGCTATGCAGCAGATGCAAAACCAGTCTCAGGCGAGCTACAATCCGTTTGCCCAAGCACAGGCTGGACAGCAACAATTGTATGGACAGCAAATGCAGATGCCGCAGCAGCAGCAACAGTTTTACCAGCCACAGAGACCAGACAATGCCTCTATTATGGCGCTTTTCAACAACTACCCGCAAACGACGTCACAACACCCTGGTGTTGACTCGGCACATACTTCATACCAGGCACCGCAGCAGGCTACACAATACTCTCAACAGCCAAACATTCCTGAAAACCAGCCCATGCAAACACCTATAGCCTCTGTGCAACAGAATCACAGTGTCCCTCAGCCACTGTCATCTAACACGAACCCGTTCATGAGCAACACGCCTTCTGCCAATACGAATGCTGTGGCCACGTCCGACCCTTTTGCTGCCAGGAGCAGGGAGAGTATGAATCTTGGTATGGATCTTGCATGGACCAATGGTCGACACAGTCCAGATGCCTTTGCAAGCCTCAGCGCACGTCATGGTTGATAGTATGACGAGTTAAATTATGTTGGAACACAAGGATGTCAGGATAATACATACGCAATGGGAAATGTAGACCACACTAAACTGTACGATAGTATATTAATGTTGTTTCTGGTCGGTTGTTTAGACTATCTTGTTTGCTATTGGATATGTGGTCTGGTATTGGCTTGTGATATTATCAAAGAGGTTGATATGTATTGACAGGTCTATGAGATATGACGTGTGGTTTTCAACTTGGACGTGGAGAGTATTTTGGCAGAATAAATGAACCTGGGTAGAGTGAGAGGCATATTACAATAGACGTGCTGCTTGAAAGAGACTCATTTATGAGGGGACAATCTTCCAGTGAGGACATCCAATTGGTAGCTGCGCTTTGGCAGTTCATTCATTCAGTGGACTGGAGATTTTGAAGTCAATGGCTCTGGCAGAGATAGCCTCGCTTCGTAATGACATGTCCCATGAAGACCCTGTCAATGTTACCGTGGTCTCGTGAGGAGTGAGGAACAAAGTAAACTCGCATAAGACCAAGACCTAAAACTTGATATCTGGTTGGGCACCGAGACTGTTGATCATGTTCCTTTCTAGCTTGGCTTATGATTTATGCTGCAGCCAGACCAGACCATACCAGACTTGGATGTTTGTCTCGGTCCTGATGGTACGCTCCCGGGTCCCGAATGAAAGCAAAACGCGGGGTTGGCTAAACCAAGCCAAGCCAAGTTGAGAACGCAAACATCTCCACCAATCAACTTACACGACGGGGGCTATTAGGCTGGGTTGAGCAGTCAAGTTCACCGAGAATGCCGCCTTAGGCTCTAGTCGCATTGTATTGCTCGATATGAGTACCTTCGTCTTTCATCTTTCATCTTTCATGGGTGAATGGTTGGTTACCGGAGAGATTTAGTGGACGAGTCGAAGAAGGGTCATGAAGATTCAGAAGATGGATCAGTTATCATGGCAGAATCATGTGATGCAATGTGGAGGGTATGCCCCAGATTAACTGGAGTATGTTAGTAACACAAACAAATCATCCATCACGCAATGCAGTAGGAATACTGAATACTGTGGCACAGCATGGCGACACCAAGAACCGAATACAGTAATTGCTGTACGGTGCAGTGCAAGCACGGTGCTGTCTAATCATATTGAGACAGTATGTGTATGTTGGGTGATGTGTAAGCGCTGGATAGGGTGTTCTCATGGAGATGATTGTAGAGAATTCTAGACTCTTCGAACGCGAGTGGCTGACAGTTTTGGGAACGTTGCGTGTAACGCTGATGTGCAACCAAGAACCCGACGCCGAGTCTACCGTGAGCAGATAGAGGGGACAGGAAGAGTCCAAAGCAGAGCGAAAGTCAATTCTCAATTGATGTGGTATTGCACGCATAGCAAGGAGCATGATAGAAATGGCTAACATTATCAACCTTCGTGCCTCGACCAGTAGATTTGGGCATGTGCTACAGAGGCGTTCGCTTTAGTGCGAAACAGCACGCTACCAGACGCTACAGTAACGTGCAGTAGGGGAGTTCATAGTAGGGCAGCTAAGGAGGTCGAAAGAATGCTTGGCTGCGCTGGGGTAAATATGATTCATCTTTGGCTGTGAATGAGTCGAAATCTTGTTGATAATCATGATAGAAGACCTGGCAGTGAATCGCCAGGGTCTCAGCAAGTTTATGACTGCTGATGACGATATTGGAGGCGATCACCAAATCATTCTTTCCATCCAATTGCCTGCCATTTTCCATTTTCCATTTTCCTGGGCTGAGCTCACACCAGCGTTTGCCAAGTCGCCAAGATAAGACAGTCGCACTGTATCACTGTTACCCCGGCCGCTGAGTGCTGAGTGTGGCAATCACTGGCCTCCGCTCTCCACTGTTGTGCACAAAATTCCAGAGCCTCAGGTGAGGGGTCCACCCGAAACGCACTGTCCCTTCCGCCCCGAGCACCCCGAAGTCGTCAAATTCCTGCCCGCCCCGGCCTTCTGTCCCCTTCCCACGCCTATTTATCCTCACCGCCGCCCAAACTTTCCCGTTTCCATCTGCACTCCATCACATCAACACGAGCACCCAAACGCAAACGCAATCGTCGCCGCACGTATTCGCAACTTGTTACTCAGCTTTCGCCTTGAATACAAAAAATCAACAACACACGCAGTTTCTTTCACAGAATTCCAACGCGCTGTTCTCACGAATCACTCCCAAACGTTATCACTCAACTTCTGTCGATCAATAACCTCGGCCCTCTTCAAACGATCACCACTTTAGTCGATACCCAGGAATCATCATCAGCAATGGCGCCAATGAATAATCAGAATTTGAATTACAGTAGTAATTACGGCGAGGCCGCTGCCCAGAAGGTCAATGTCCTTGCCTCTTGCTACCTCGTCGACTCTTCCGCCAGCCTCAAGGGCCTCCACTACTGCACTACCGGGGTTGCAGGTACGTTATACTCCCTACTCCACACCATGGCTTCTCTATCAAGATCCTAACTCTGCCCAGGGGCCGAGTGGTATTCCTGAGGTCCCTTCCTCAGGACTACCCTCCCCTCCAACAAGCCCCCCCCTCGCCGCACTAACCTCGTCTAACGAGCTCGCCCTCTTGCCCAAGAGCAAGAAGCGAGAAATCCCAGGCCGGCGCCTGGGACGACGAGGGGGGGCAGCACTTTCGATCAGGGAAGAATGTGAGAGATTCTTTTGCGAGTCCATGAAGGCGACTTTCCGCGGTGAGAGGAATTCGTCGATGCATGGCTCCGGCCTGTCTGGTGCTTTTTTACCAACGCCGCCGTCCGATGACCGGCTTCCCGAACACTTCAAGCCTGTCGCCGATGACAAGCTATCTGCCTACGAAATTACCGCTTGGCTGGAGATGTGGGACTATGCCGGCGGTGCGAGCTTCCGCGCCTTTGCTGCTGATGACGGAGAGGAGAAATCTCTCTTCGTCTTCTTCGATATTGAGGGCGTCCTTGGCCGAGACCTGAAAAAGGCGTATGTTATTTTATCATTTATTCTTTGTGCAAATACTGACGAGATGTAGTCTTATGGCCCTCATTGAATTGGCCGACGGTCCTCTGGACTGTGCCCACATTGTTACTTGTATAGACAGGCGCATCCCCGCGGATGACGCTCTCTCTCTGAGCAAGAGCCTTCAGTGGGTTGGCTTCGACATGGTTACTCTTGACCACTGGGCTCATGATCTTGATGTTACGAGCAAGAAGTGGATGTTGATGGCCATGGAACTATAGGTACTGTCTAAATTCCGTGTTTTCTGGAGTTTAAGGATGTGTTTTCCCATGGTTTCTATTATGTCGTTTTCTTCCGTTGGTGTGTACCAAGTTTGGTCTGGAGGCTCACTCTGCGGTTTGCTCTGCTACTCTTGGAGAGATCTGATAGCATAGGGCGTTGAGTTGCAGAAAAGTTCAACAGTTCCAAGGCTTTTGGTGCATCTTTTCCTCTCTTTACTTTCTTCCTTGATGGATTTACTAGGTGTTGGAGCTTAGGTGTCTCTGTGTTAGTCTGAAGCTTCCATGGCGATGATATTTACGTAGTACATGCCTGCCAGTCGAGATAATACCAAAGCGAATTGTTCACAAACTCAAACAGCTGTCTATGACTTTGTTCCCTGTTCTATATTCTACCTGACCTAAAATTCTTCCTCGAACTGTCTCACCTTAAGACCCTTTTCTTGCAGGTAGTCCTTGACCTGCTTAACTGTGTACTCCCCGCGGTGGAACATACCAGCGCCCAAAGCAGCATCAGTTGTAGTCTTTTCAAACACTTCTTCGAAGTGGCCTGGGTTACCAGCACCACTTGAGGCAATGACAGGGATCTTGATAGCCCCCTTGACCTGGTTGATGAGCTCGTGGTCGAATCCGCTGTTGGTGCCGTCTTTGTCGATGCAGTTGAGAAGGATCTCGCCAGTTCCCATCGCTTCAACGGCCTGTGCAAGCTCGACAACATCCATATCACGAGTCTCACGACCACCTTTGATAGTGCAGGCATACCAACAGTACTCTTCGCCCTTGGGACCGGGGAATTGTGTCTTGATGATGTTGTGACGGGTGGCATCGGGCTTGGGGACATAGACGCGCTTGGGGTCAACGCTCACGACTACGGCCTGGTTACCATAGGCGCGAGAAATTTGCTCAATAGCGGTGTTGCCAAAGAGTTTGCGACCCAAAGAGTAGTACTCCTCGGCAGCAAGGACGGCATCAGAGCCGATCGAGACCTTATCAGCACCAGACTTGAAGTACATAGTAGCGATCTCAAGAGCGGACACCTTTGTGCCGTCGGTATCCATGGTATCACGGATGCCGCCACCGATAGTCAGGGGCACGAAGACTGAGCGAGATGTCTGACGGAGAATCTCGAGCATGGGTAAATCGGCAACTGGACAGTCTCTGAAAGACGTGATGTTGAGGAAAGTCACCTCGTCTGCGCCAGATTCGTAGTATCGCTTGGCCATCTCAACAGGCTTGCCAAGATTACGCACGTTGCGATCGTCACCCTTCTCACGGACATCGTACTGGTCACCCTTTGTAACAACTAAATCACCCTGATCGTTTGTTCGTACATCGAGACAGGCAATGACTCGTCGTGTCAGACTGTCCTCAAACTTGACAGGGGCGTTGGCGACAGCCTCATCAATGACTGTGCCAAGGGTTTTCTGACCTTCACCAGTGAGGAAAGCACGAAGGGTCCGCAGACCGGCAGTACCAGACTTTTCTGGGTGGAATTGGGTCGCATAAATGTTTCCCTTGGCGATGGCACCGACAAAGGTTTCGGTGCCATAGGTTCCAGTTGCAACAGTCCAGCCTTGCGACTCGAGCTCGCCCGGCTTGTAGGGACACTTGTAAGAGTGAACGTAGTAATATTTTGAGTCAGGTTGAAGGTCGTACATGGCCTTTCCACCAGTGAAGGCATTGTTCCATCCGATGTGCGGGACGGATTTACTTGAGTCTTCAAATCGATCCAAGGTCGCTGGGACGACTCCGAGACCGGTTACATCGGGATCCTCAACGGAACCCTGGAAGAGAGCTTGCAAGCCGACACAGACACCAAAGAATGGCTTCCCGTCGGCAATGTGCTTCTTGATGGGGTCAAGATAACCAGCCTGGGAGAGCTGTGATAGACAGTGGCCAAAGTGGCCGACACCAGGGAGAATGAGTTTCTAAGATGCATCAGCCATGATGGATAAGTGAAGAAAGGGGGCTTTATCAAACCTCTGCCTTGGGAACGTCTTCTGGCGAGCGGACCCATTCGACCTCGTATCCGGCCTTTTCAATGGCATTTACCAGACTTCTGATGTTGCCAGCGACATAGTCTAATAGATGAACAGTAGGCATCTTGCCCTTAGATATGATGGTATAGATATGATGGGGATATAGAGCCCAACTGTTCCTCTGAAGACAGGACGCAGTTACTGTTATGTTAGGATATCCAATGGGTGGGATGTGGCTTTGAATGGCTCAATGAAACCAAGTCTCTCAAGTTTTGAAGAAGTCGAGATATGACTGAGTTCAAATCCAGCAAGACTCACAGTGGAGGTACAACTGCGATAGCGGGGCAGCCGCAGGGCGCAAGGCGCAAACCAGAAGCTGCCCCGCCTGATCCCTGCCATTCTGTACTTTTCTCAGAAAGTGCCATGTTTGACCGACTTTCGAACCTGGAATTGGCAAGTACCTTGGCTTAGCTAAAGTTTCGCGACGCAACCTTTTGCCTAATGTCAACAAAGTCATGAATGACTTTCTCAACTTGTTTGTTTCTATATTCTAACTATCAACCCGAAAGGAGTCTGGAGAGAATTTCTTTATCAACATCTACACACAACATGACTTCCTCGCTGGATGAGGCAAGACTGGCCGATGCGGCAGCAATGCTGAATGTTGAAGAGCAATTCGAAGTGGACGAGCAAGAGGATTGGGAGTACGAATACTCTACGACCGAAACAGAGGTATGAGCATGCTCTGTCGCCCTGTACTTGCTGCGCGCAGTCGGCTTACCCTTCCCTAGATATACTATTTGGCGCTCGATCTTTCATACCCTGAGTTTAAAGACCGACAACTAAGGGCGCCTCACCACAGTCGAGGTGGATACTACAAAACATGGCTCGACCACAATCCTAGTTTGAGAAGTATTCGTGCTGGGGAAGGAGATGATGACGACGACGACAACGACAACGAGCCTTTACCGGAGCCAGAAGCCGACGAAGACGAGCCTGAAATCGATCCAGCACTTAGAAACGATAAAGGAAAGGGAGTGGATATGGGCAAAGTAGCGGAAGATACGGAAAACACCAAGGAAGACGAGAACAAAGTCGACGACAGAACCGAAGAAGTTCAGATCCTACAGCTGCATTCGCAACACCCGATCATATCATACAAAGGACGCACATTCGTGGGATCATGGGCAGAGATCATTGGTACCGAAGCTATCTTTGTATCACGCGAGGATGACCAGCCTCTCCCTGCTCTACGACATCTTGACGGGAATATTGATTTCCTCGGCGCGAGTGCATCGAGAATCGCAACTAAGGAGTATATTGTTAAACCCAAGAACACCAGAGAAGACCCGTTAGCTGCCATCAAACAGGGATGGGACTTTCGAATTCCCGTTGGAAAAGACAAATCAGGGGACCGCAGCGCACAGACTGGTTTACTAGAAACTATTGCGGCGCTCAAGAAGCGTAAAGGAGAGACAGGACAGGTCACTGTTTGGGCGCAGGATGGTGAGGGTCAGGACTTTAAGGATAAGAGAGACCCTGACTACAAGCCTAGGCGAAGGAGAAGACTGCTTAACGAAGACGGTGAGGAGGTGATTCCGAAGCGTGAGAAGCGACGGGCGAGTGGACGTAGAGGTGGACGGCCTAGGCTTCGAGCTGGTCGTGTTCGTGGGACAGCGGCAGAGATGATGACTCCAGCAACATCGAAAGCAAGAGAAGGGCAGAGCGCTGCACGGGGAGGGAACCTTTCAACCCCCACACCGAGCAGATGGAATGAGCTGCATGGGAGGGACGACGAGGAGATGGAGCAGGAAGACGGTCAGAGCATGACTGAGGACGACGAAGACGAAGACATGTCTATTGCAGACTAAAGTGGCCGTTAGACGCTCACGAGGAGGTGGATAGGTTGGCTTATACTCTGTAGCGTATGATACCCGTGGTGCAATCTCGCCCACAATGAATAAGATGGTTTCCTATTGGAATTGAGCGTCAGTGACTTGGCTGTCCAGTACGGGTTTGGTAATGGTCAATGCCATAATAACCATGGGATACGTTAAACCGAGTATCGTTTGCGATGAAGCTGCAAGGCTGAGTGTTTTGTGGTTATGGCACGATCTTTGCGATGACACCACCATTGGTTGATAGATATGCAGTCAAGAACAGTTGGAGACATCACGTATCCGTAGTATGCTCTCAGATACCGAATACGAAGACGCAGCTGCAAGCCGTGAGGAGCATGTGGCGGTGATAAGATTGGCGATTTGTTGGGTCTAGAACGCTTGATTGATGAAACAATGCTGTAGCCCATTGTCTCTTATTTTCGTATTTCTTATACCAAAATTGGACAGCAAGTCATTCACTTACATGGCAGCATGATATATGGTACGTCGTGACTCGCAGAGATAAAGAGTGATCATGTCACTCAGGACAGTCCCCCCCACCTTGCTTGTTCTGTCATGTCTCCTTGGGCGTAAACGGGTATTTGTTGGGGAAAAGATGTTTGGGCTGACGGTGAACTGGATGCAGCCGTTTCCCTCCTACTACGATGAAAGTATTGTACTCGGGACTGTACATGCTGACACGACGGGTCGCTTTGGCTTAGTTGTATTCTCCTCAATATTTCATCCTGTAATCAATAACTTCTCACCTGATGCCGTGAAACGAAGGGAAATATTATGGACTTGAGGGTATTGAGCAGCCAGTCGGGCCATTCTAGTGTTATAGGCTTCGGGATCCATTCATATGGAGGTTGGGAGGGGAGGCTCTGTTGTAAAGAGGGGTCCTTGCGCGCTAAAACATTCATTTCCAGGTTCAACCCGACAGGACGGGGAACTCCATCACTGATGGATCTTTGGTGGCGAGTCCGATCTACTGCAGTGTCTGATACCTAAAGGTGTCTAAGATTTAGTTGGCAGTACCCAACTATAAGTATGAGACATTGCGGGAGAAGCCCTGGAATAAATGAGTATCAAATTGAGTTTATCGAATCGGCCTTGGTTTGGTGATTGGCAAGGTTTCTCGGTAGAAGACATGGGTCCAGTGCATCTCCATCGTCAACAGTTTACCCCGGACTTGACGTATTCGTACTGAATGAATACTTGACACCTACTAAGCCATTGACCGCCAGATACAAGCAAAAGAGAAATGGAAAAAGAACACTTGATCAACTCCTCTTAAGCCATGATTACCAAGTCAGCGAGTCCCAAATGAAATTGAATCCACGGTGCCATGGCCCAAAGAGTGAAAGTATATGTATATGTACCTTCAATGCAAGGCGAGGTACCTGCATCTCCACCGATTACGTCTCACCAGTGACCACACTCTCCGTCAATCCATACCCTTGCCGGCCAACGACCAGACCAAAAAGTATCCTACTGATGGGCGCGCGCTTCTTTTTCTTACCTTGAACTTAGTGGGAGCCTTTGTATTTCCTGTTCTTTTATTCTTCCTTTCTCAACCTTCTCCATACCCGTCCTGATCTTGTCACCAACGACATGCCGCGAGCGGTTTTGTACGTCCATTCGTGATGCTCATATAGCAGGCCTATCTTATCCTATCATCTTCTCCAATCGACACTCCGAGAGCTTCACGCCTCTCTTCGATACTCGATTCTCTGTCCAGTGCAATCGCTGTGCACCTTAACGCCTTGTTGGCTTGTGCTGCCGGTGACCACTTAAGCCATGATTTGGTTACGCCGTTTCACCATTTTGCTTGCTTTCATGCTGCTTATCTCATTCGGCGCATGGCTGCTTCCTCGAGTCCTAGACCCAACCACAAAAGGCCCCGAGAGGCGGGCAAGAGACAAACGCTGGGTGAACAGCAGCCCGTACTTCTTGGACCGACAGGCTTGTCGCTTGATTAGTCTGTGCGGACTGCACCACTTGCGCAGCGACCCTCCATCCCGTGGGAACGACGAGGACGAAGAGCCCGAATGGGGAGATCTCAAGCGCCGCTCTCTATCTTGGGAGCCTAAAGAGATTCCCCGCCGAAACCACAAGCGAAATGTCAACCAGCGCCGCCGAATTCTTCGTGATATTCCCAGTTATGTTACAAAGCATGCTCCGCTGGTTCACCTTTACTCTGGGGAGGAGTTCTGGCCCTCAGACATTAGCCAGCATGTCGAGCATATGACAGCGTATTTGGGCAACGAACCTGTCAACTCGACCGAGAAGTGGACACTACATAACTTGCATGAGTTGAATAAGTATTCCGACAAGGTCACTCTTCGAAGCGACGACGACGTCGAGTCACGACCTAATTGGCTACATAGCCATTACAACACTCCCAAGCCATTCCCTGACGACAAAGACGGCGACCATGATAGTGGTCCGCCCGTGGGAAATCCCAGAGGGCGACCCGAGGCTAGAGAGCCTACCACCTGGTACGATGTTGGCAAGAATCGCCCCGTACACAAGATTTCGGATCCTAGGAATCGCAAACCTCAGAACCTTCGTCGACAAGAATCCAATGGGCATAAGCCCGATGCTAATGGGTACTCGGCCGCTCCAGCTGTACTTGTAGTAGTTGATAAGGGGTCCGGCATTGTCGACGCCTTCTGGTTCTTCTTCTACTCTTACAACCTTGGCCAAACCGTCTTCGACATTCGCTTCGGCAACCATGTTGGTGATTGGGAACATTGCATGATGCGTTTCGAGCACGGCGTCCCTCGAGGTGTCTTCTTCTCGGAGCACGAGGGAGGACAGGCGTATGCATTCGAGGCTGTCGAAAAGCGAGGCGAACGTCCAGTTATTTATTCGGCCGTGGGCTCCCATGCGATGTACGCATTACCCGGAAACCATGCCTATGTCCTACCATTCAAGCTCCTCAAGGATGTTACAGATAAAGGACCTCTATGGGACCCAGCCTTAAACAACTACGCATACCATTACGACCACACGAAAGAGCAGGACTATGACCCTGACGTAAAACATGAGCCTCTAAGTCTTATTCCCTCAGCATCGAATCCTCATGCACCGACATCCTGGTTCCATTACCGTGGTCGTTGGGGAGATGAAGTGTATTCTCTTGCTGACCCGCGTCAATGGCGCCTCTTTGGTCAATACCACTATGTCACTGGACCCAATGGGCCGAGATTCAAGACTCTTGACCGTGGGAAGATGTGCCAGAGGCAGAATTGCAAAATTCTTTACAATCTTGACTCGAAGAATACGTGGTACTAGATGGGGTGCTTACCGTCTTAGTTTTATATCACTATCATTGGCGTTGATATAGAGGCTTCGTGCCACATGAGGGTTGGCAAGTATATATCGGAACAAGATACCCGAACCATGGCTCAGGAGCTGTGCGCTGATGACTGCTACTATGGAGTACGTTGCGGCCCGGTTCGAGACTGGCGCTCTGGTTACGAGACGTGGATGGTTCAGAGTTTAGAAGGGGCATGATATGAGGCATTATACTCCTGAGACTTAAGTTCTGCGAAAGATTTTGTGTTTATGTGCTTGACTCGTAAGAGATAAACGGATGGTGTTCCAGCATAGGGGAATCAGGACTACAGGTTGAATACGTTGATGATGGGCCTCTGATACCAGGATGTCGCCTTTTTCGATGTCCCATGTTGGATATTCCAACGCGTCCTACATGGTTATGAAATATAGAAATTCAAAGTGTTGGCTTTATATCTGCGAAGCACTGAAAGATAAGCCTTGTCGTTGTATGTGTTAAGTTTCACATGAACTATGAGCAGTTAGAGCTCATACACCAGGATGTTACAAAGATATAACGCAACAAGTGAATCCCACAAGCAAGTAACTAGGGGATGGGGAAAGACTACAGATAACATGCCAGGTCAATAGTGACTGCTATAGAAAGGTTACCGATATCCGCTGATGTTTATGCACAGCGCTTTACTGAGTGTCTCACCTGAGCGCTTCCCGGCTATCGAGACATAATTAGCGTTAGCAATACGTTCAGTGTTTCACATTTATTATGCGGCGGCCATGGTGTCTGTAGCACAGTCCCAATAGAGGTCCTTTTGCGGCTCCGCACTCTGGGTCGGCCAATATTATAGACTGGTCGAAACTCAAACAGCAATGGCTTCTTAGTTAGGCATTTTCATATGCGTGTTCACCGACGCTCTATGTTCTTCTCCAGACTTTACATAGTGGCTAGGAGTTTCACTTATATGGTTCCATGTAACAAACAGTTGCTTCAGATAAGGTGTTGGATGGTTCAAAACCACAGCCTCCAAAATCCGTGTTAGTGGGCGTCACCGGCCACGATAGTTCAATACCAAAACACTTGGCGGCGTCTATATTGACATTAATAACTAGCCAACTATGACAGCACTTTAGTCACTCAATGATATTATACTGGGAACAGCGCTTTGTCGAGCGGTTCAACCCGTTAGACTCAGATCTAACTCGTCTATGCTATTCTTATTCAGCGATTCATATAGATAGGCGGTTCTAGTGCACGTGTATCTGTGCATTAGTACTATCAAGTTTGCAGATCTTATGGATAACGGTGCGGCTCTATTGCGTGCCAAGTTTACTATCCGTTACACCATTTATGTATCCGTATGTCGTGCTGAATAGGCGCTCCAAAGAGCAGAAGGCGTCAAAACTTTCGATATTAAGGTCTAGTTTTCGGGAGTTCCGCATCCGAGGAAGTTAGGAACGATCCTTGTCCGTCACGTTTCACGCACCTCATCACTTTCTCTTGATTTCCTCTACCCGAACCCGAGGAGACGTGCCCCTGTTTTCCTGCCATTCTTAAGCAGCGATCGATGAAACGTAATCAGAATTTACCGCCGATCTTGGTCGAGAATGTCGAATGGGATGGACTGCTCGTATGAATATGGTAGGGGCTTTTACAGGGACGGTATTAATATGTTGTTCTCTCTCTTCGCCTCGGTGAGTGGATATGAAGAGTTTACGTCCCTCTTTGGAGACTGTTTCCGAATTGCCTGTTTCGGTGCAATCATTGACCGGCAGACAGTACAGTACATATGTTGTGTGTTGATCTATATGGGCAATGATAGACGGTTGAGGTGATATGTCGTAGACATTTGGGCTCAGAGTTGAGGACATTTGTCAGGTTGACTTGATAAGTCACAAGCTATAAAATGCAAACATTGCTTTTCTATGTAGCTAACGGTTAGTGATGCAGACTTCAAGAATGGAGGCTGCAAGAACAATACAAAACATAAACAGTGATAAACTATCTCCCGGTAGAGAGTGGAGTGCCGGCTGTTAGTGTGACATGTACATCATTATCATCATCATCTATCATAGGTTTGTTGATGTGACTTCTGGATCAAATGCGGATAATTAAATTCCCCTATTATTCGATGTAACAGTGCAATAAGCGATAGATTTCCGTCCTGCAACCGCCAACGGAGATGAATGGAGGTGCAAGCTAGGGGACCCTGGAACCCTAGAAGGGAACAGGGGGGACGAAGCGAAGGTTCGAACTTCTGCAAGCTGAACCAGGATGAACCAAGTTTGCAAATTCCGACCGTTGGAAGCCAATGACGAGAGGTCTATCCGTACATGTATGGATTACTATACGGAGTACGGGGTAGCTGATTTGTAAGATATCAAAGCACAAGTCAAAGTCGTCTATCTTCCCATCGAAGCCCTATGATGCTAGGGCTGGCTCTTGATACAGTAGCCTACTTTTTTCTCCCCAGCCCAAGACAAGAGCAGAAACAGAAACAGACATAATAGATGAGGCGACGGATTTAGCTTAGGTAGTTGCGGAAGTGGTAGCGTGTGTTTGTTGTGGTCCGCAACCACCAGACAACTAACCCCCAGTCAAGTTAGACCATATCCCGAATCCTCCAAAGAAAACTTCATCACGGCAACATGGAAGTAAAGGAACAGATGCCCACTCTGTTTTTTCTACGGCACCTTGATCAAAAGAAACACCAAGAGAATCAATAATCATTAACCTGCCATGGTAAGGGGTTGAATTCTTGTTTGTATGTCAACACTCACACGCGTCAAGGCATATTGAGGAAACGGTCGTTGATCAGGACAGGCTCATGTCGATCAAAGCCCAGTGGCGTTTTTAAGGCCTGAGAGTAACGGAGTAAAGAGTAAAAGCGGACACGGCACTCTCCACGCTCAGGCTACGGAGTACGTACTGTGTCACTAATGTACTAAGGTATCAAGTTCATGCCATTGCCATGTGTTTTGGGCGTCTAGAGTGTCTAAAACAGCCCGATCTGAAGTCTTGAACCACATGGCAATTGCGGGCACGGCCTTTGATGCAGTAAAAAGTCCACAATAGAAGTCAAAACCTGAAGCAACGGATTCACACTTTTACACACAGGCCCAACAATGCTGACTGCACTGCACTGCACTGCACAGCTGTCTTGGTTCATCAGTGCCGGCACATGGGCATGGGCATGGACATGGACATGGTTTCAGCATCCACTCACACCTCGTGGTGAATGGGGTTCCTAACTTTTCCAACAAGCAACGTAACGCAATGCATTGTCAGCTGCCTCGTGGGGATCGTTGTTCTAGTGGAGTGCTCTAGGTACGGGATGGTGTTCCAGAGTTGCATTGCAGCTGGAGATGCATCAGACGCGACGGAAGAAGAGGTAGAAAAAATAATAAACCTAATCCTAAATGTCCGAGCAATCAACCATCTCAACAAGCTTAGTACGGATAGAAAGACATACTAAGAAAAGACGTGTTTCAAGGGGCTTTGGGTGAGCTGGGTGAATTCCGGGAGACGGGGATAGCCCTGAAAATGAACGAGCCAGGATTTGGTTTGATATGCCCCAAGAACGGACACCAGGTTGGTGCTTGGTAGATTTCCCAACCCGCGGTTACCATTCCACACGTACCTTGGGCTTGGGGCTTGAGGGAACCCATGAAGCTATCGCCGAGAACGGCATCGTTTAAAGAGACCACTCCACCCTCACGCCAGCAGCATGAAGCCCCCATGCTTGAAGCATGCTCAGAGTCTCAGACAGGTCAGGCTAAGGCTAGGTAGGTACCTAATCTGCTGAAGGGCTTCAAGGCACGCTAACAAGACGAGCCTTGCCCTGAGCTGAACTGAGCTGTGACTTGTATGGAAGTGATGCGGATAGAATTACGGGTGTTGGGTTCAGAGCCCGCAGAATGGATGGATGGCGGATGATAAGGAGCTAACAGCCTGGCGGGAGACGTGCCAGAAGCCCTGGACAGTGGAGCTTGCCGCCCACTGCCCGCTGTCGGCTGCCCAGGGCTGTCTCCTGTGCCTGCTGTGCCCATCCCATGCTTCTCTAGGCTTTTTTGCCCATGTCCTTTTGCCATCTATGGATCCATACCCTTGGCTCTCATCCCGTCATGAATCGTAGCTCTCTTGTCTCTCACTCTCTCTCGCTCTCTCCCCTTCCTTATTTTTTATTTTTTGCCTCGTAAATGGTCTGTCCAGGTCCAGTCAAGGTTGTTCACTTTAGTACCCAGTCGCTACGCTACCCAGTATTAGGCGACCCGTTTGTTCTGTTTTGTCCTAATCGTCCCTGTCTTAGAACTGCGTGGCTTGGCCCCGTCCTATCCCGTCCCGTCCTCTAACTTATGGTCCTGTCGTTTCTTTTCCCCTCCACACCAACACCAACCAATAATTAACCAAAGGACTTCCTTCGATCTTGTTCTTTAATTAATTATTACTCTCTCACGGAACCAGGGAAGCGTGACCTAATTATACTACTATCGTCGATAACCTTGAGACATCTTCCCTCTTACACCATCTCAACCGGTCATTCCGCCGAGTACCAAGATCAACACCGAGTATCCGGCCCTTTGCGCGACCTCATCTTGCGACTCGCCTCCTGCTTCTACAGTAGCATTGGCCTTGGCCAAACCTCGAGCCTTTTGCTTCACCCTCAGTTTTGATTTGTCTCACTCCACTCGCTTGCGACAACCGAACTGAAATCTTCGCCCTATTGACAACGCCATTCCTTTCTCACTGTCTCTCATCTCTGCTTCAGCTAAGCTAGTCGCACACGCCGAATCCGCCCTGAACAACCCACAATGTGCTTCGGCAGCCGAGACAAGGGCGATCGCGGCCTCGCGCGGTCTCGCGAAATCGAAAAGCAGCTTCGTCAAGATGAAAAGAAGCTATCTAAGGAGGTCAAGCTCCTCTTACTGGGTAGGATTTGTCATGACGCGCCTTGAAATTGTATACCGAGACTGACATGCCATGCGCGTCAAACAGGTGCTGGAGAGTCTGGAAAATCTACTGTGCTCAAGCAGATGAAGCTCATTTACTCCCAAGGTTTCAGCAGAAACGAGAAGCTCGAATGGAAGCCTGTCATCTTCAACAACATTATTCAGTCCTACAAGATTATTGCCGAAGCAATGGGCGAGCATGAAATCCAATTCGACAACCCCGACAATGAGGTAAGTTCAATCTTTCCCCCAGCCTTTATCATTGTCCTTAGGGATGAGTCAAAGTTGGGCTGTCGCGTGAGACACTCAAGCGACTAACGATTACTGTAGAAACACATGGCCCAAATCCTAGTCGACCATGAGATAAGCCCTCACGATTCAATGCCTGCTGATTATCTCGAGCCTATCAAGGCCCTATGGGTAGACAGCGGTGTTCGAAAGGCTATTGGAATGGGCAACGAATATGCGCTGCACGACAATCTTGCTTAGTACGTCTTGCACTACGGCATGTCCAATCCTTACGCGACAATGCGCTAACATGTGTTAAAGTTTTATCGAAGATATTGATAGACTATGGGGAACGGACTACGTTCCAGATGATCAGGATCTTCTCCGGTCCAGGTTACGAACTACCGGTATCACAGAGACAGTTTTCGACCTCGGCCAGTTGACCTACCGAATGTTCGATGTCGGTGGCCAGCGGTCAGAACGAAAGAAGTGGATTCACTGTTTCGAAAACGTCAACTGCTTATTGTTTCTGGTCGCTATTAGTGGTTACGACCAGTGCTTGGTTGAGGACAAGGATGGGGTTAGTACCTAACGAATCGTGACGAAAACCAACGAATGACACGCTAACAATACCGCAGAACCAAATGAACGAGGCCCTCATGCTCTGGGAGTCAATTGCCAACTCTCACTGGTTTGCCAGGTCAGCCCTGATCCTCTTTCTCAACAAGATGGATCTGTTCAAGGAGAAGCTTCCCAAGAGCCCTATTACGAATCACGGCTTTACCGACTACCACGGACCAAAGGACGATTACAAAGCAGCCAGCAAGTATTTCTTGGACAAGTTCAAGGCCTTGAACCGAAACACCGAGAAGGAGATTTATGGCCACTTCACCAATGCCACCGACACAAACCTGCTCAAGATTACCATGGCTTCTGTCCAGGACATGATCATCCAGCGCAACCTTAAGCAGCTCATTCTATAAGGACACCCACTTCTCGATTTGGGTGGTTACATATGCGGATATCCGTCATCTTCTCGGATACATGGGCATATGAGACCTGGACATTTCAAGATGAAGAACCTCGACCCCACTTCAACATAACATCATAACATATTATTAGTACCTGGCGAATCAGCACCGGTGCTGTCCACATGAGATTTACATTCTATCCTTCATTCTTCTGGATTGTACCTTTTTGAAGCCTATTATCGGCTGGGCTAGTCAAACGGGACAGCATGTTGAATGTGCTCTGGAAGACGATCTACTTCGACAGCCCAATTACGCCTTTTCCGGGGTTGCATGAGCCCCTCTTACATACATATATGCCACACACAGGGTTGTCGTCCAGAGCGGCACAGGGATTATAGCCGGAACCCCCCACCCGGACGACAGTTCGCAGGACATATCCGTAGAACGATTGGAGACGAGTCATGACTCGTACCATGTCGAAAGATGACTGGATGCTTCGGGGCGATTGTGGAAACGTGAGCTGAACAAGCGCTTTGACTGAATTATGCTTTTCTTTTCTTCTTTTTTCTTTGCTTGCGCATTGCATTGCATGATACCTAAGGCGTACCAGTGCTTTTTTATCTGAGGTGGTGTACTCCGTAACCGATTACGTCAGAAGCGCAGCGGCGGGTAGCCATTCAAGTGTTTTTTTTCTCTTCTTCTCTGCTGCTTTTGGTGCTTAATGAGGCGTACGGCATAAAAAACAAAGAGGGATTGGCCGTTTACGGATAGACAGAGTAACATATACTTAATATATACGATACTCAGGATAAATATTGGCATGAAGCTTATATTGTGCGCATTCAACTTTCGAAGAAGAAAAAAGTGAAGCCGATGTGGCACTCACGTCTTCATTCTTCCTTTCGCTTCCGCAGAACACCCTATGCTATGGCAGTGGCCTTGGCCGCTCGACCACATGGCTGCTTGGACCACGGGTTATTCTGAAGGGGCATGACTGTGGCGATGGCTGCTCGCTTAGTGGCAAGGATCAGTTAGGGTGGCAATGAGAACTTTATTGTTGGGATCTTAGGGGTTTATTGTGGAGGATGAGTTTGTGATAGTATTCCCATGAGATGAGGCGGTGGTGTGGGATATGGAGATGAAAATGATGGGTGAGCTCTGCCAAAGCTCAATTACTCTGGCCCCTCTTTCAGAGTGAATGAGCCAGATGTTAGTTTGAAGCTCATTGACCAGTGCTTCAAAAAGAAAGCTCGTGTTCATTACGTCGATTTCACCATCATACAGTTGCCTCTGAGTTCATGCGATCGCTAAGCACCCTGGAAGAACGAGCAGGACTCCATGTATCAACCACTATAAAGCCCCTGTCCTCTTCCTCTCATCAGCTTGCTTCCAGGAAGCGAGGTGGTTTGTATTCGCCTATCTGGTAGGAGGCTCCACCCCGAAGTAGGACTTAGGTTGAATAAATGAGGTGCTCATCAAGGTGAACTTGGGCATCATGTCATCTTGGATGCTCAACTTGTTCCATTTGCGATAGGCAGGAACTTGTATTGCGAGCTCGAGTCTCAGCTTCACCTTGATGCAAACAAATCCCGAGCAGGACATGTTCGGTAAATCAGATCTGAACTGAAGAAGTCCCTGAACCTGTGGGTTCAGATTGTGTAATTCATACACAATGATTGGTTCAGCTCTTATGACGGACTATCGCGGGGCTCTAAGCATCAGCTCAACTGCATCTTAAAAGTCATATATTTCTATCATATAAAATAAAGCAATCAATTAATGTTGAGTCTGTTAGCACCTTTGAGAAAAAGATCTAGCTGTCATAATAGAATCCACAGAAATATCAACAATAGAAAAGCAACAATATCTCAAATCCAATAAGGTTACCTAGCCATCAGCTACCGCAATTCTATTTACAAAGGGCATAAAAGGCCCCTGCTGAAAGTAATTAATAACTGTTGTTTAATGATGAGGTTAAAATAGAATTCAATATCCTGCTTGTGATATTACTCCATATACTATATTCGCCCAGTCATAATAATATAGCTCTGACGGCACTGCAAATCATTACCATGCTGTCGCATTACATATGGATGTGCCACTTATTTTGTCCCCCGCACCTTGATAACTTCACCTGCAACTTTTTATCCTCCCCTCCACACACATCCTCCCTCCCTCCCTCCTCAAACACAACCACGTAACAACTTCAAGGCGTACAGTATATGTTTCGTCGCCTCTTCACCACAATGGCCGAATCAGCATCCAAGCGCGTCAAGACCGCCGGCAACGGCCCTCTCATCGGCACCCACAATGGCCACTTCCACGCCGACGAGGCTCTCGCTGTCCACATGCTCCGCCGTCTTCCCACCTACCGTGATGCCAGCCTCGTCCGCACCCGCGACCCTGCCGTCCTGGCCACCTGCCACACCGTCGTCGATGTCGGCGGCGAGTACGATGCCGAGAAGCGCCGCTTCGACCACCACCAGCGTGGCTTCACCACTACTTTCCCTGGCCGCCCTACAAAGCTCTCCAGCGCCGGTCTTGTCTTCCTACACTTTGGCCGCGCCATTGTTGCCGAGCGTCTTGGTCTTCCTGAGGACTCTTCAGATGTCGATCTGATTTACAAGAAGTTGTACGAGAACTTCATCGAGGCCCTTGATGCCCACGACAATGGTATCTCGGTCTTCGACCCTGCTGCCGTCACCGCCGCTGGTCTTCAGAAGCGCTTCAGCGAGGGTGGATTTGGTCTTGGCGCCATGGTTGGACGTCTGAACCCCAACTGGAACGACCCGACTCCCTCTGATCCCGCCGAAGCCCAGGCTGCTGAGGATGCCAAGTTCAACGAGGCAAGCAACCGTATTGGCGAGGAATTTGACCGCGATCTCGAAGGCTATGCTGCTTCTTGGCTGCCTGCCCGCACTATTGTTCAGGAGGCCTTCAACAAGCGCTCTCAGTACGACGAGCAGGGCCGACTTCTTGTTCTCGAGGGCCAGTCTGTTCCCTGGAAGGACCACCTATACACTCTTGAGGATGGTGCCCCTTCGGTGCTCTACGTCCTCTACGCCGAGAAGCCTGAGCCTGGTGCCAAGTGGCGCATCCAGTGTGTGCCTGAGAGCAAGGACTCTTTCGTCAGCCGAAAGCCCCTGCCTGAGGCTTGGAGAGGTTTCCGAGATGCTGAGCTGGATGGAATCAGCGGCATTGATGGGTGTGTCTTTGTCCACGCTGCTGGTTTCATCGGTGGCAACAAGACATTCGATGGTGCTAAGCAGATGGCTCTCAAGGCTTTGGAAGGTTAAGCCGAGAGCTTCACATTTCAGGTGCAATTTAGGTAAATGAATACTTCTACGAGACCATGGACAGGCACTGGGAGTCTGGGGAATATTACATGTGAAGATCAAGGTGAAGAAGAAAAAAAGGGGAATAGAAAGGATGCTTCTGGAAACGAAGCGGGTAGCTAAACGACCAAATGAACATGATAACTCTGTGCGGAGATGGCGATGTTTCTCTCGCCCTGCCGCTACCAAACAACCTATCTGATGATTCCAGTTCGAGATATGTCCCCTCCATATGTGTGAACCAGGTTGTCTGCCGATTCCCGAACGCCAAGTGTGCGACCCTCGTAAGTCGTCCAAACCCGATTCGCAATCCACCACAAGCCCACGCACCAGGCTTCGTACACAGAAACCACAGTTTCAGGGTGTGCATGATAAAGAAAAAAAGAAAAAAAGACAATCCCACCATTTCTGTTTCGGTTTCTGCCGCACATCTTTTTGCCTCGGTTCTTACAAATAAATACTCTCTATCGTCGGATGGGGATGCCCTCGCCGCCGGCGGCATCGGACTCAGGTGCAGCGGTGACTGCGTCCTGGGGCTTGTCTGCGTCGTCTGTCTGGGTCTCATCGACGCTGGTTTCGCTCTTAAGGAAGCTGCTCTCCTTGATAGGGCTGCCAGCCTGGATGCCGGGGACGGAGCCATGGTGCTTGGGGACGCTAGCTCCGGAGCCGTTCACCGGGGAGGAGAGGTGGGGGATGTTTTCGGGCACGGGGTGCTGAGAGCCGACGGCACCGGCGTCAACGCCGTCGCCCTTTCCGGCCTTGGACATGGCATAGTCGCCCGAGTCGAAGTACTTGCGGTCCTTGAGATGCTTGGCGAAGTGGTCGGAGCGGGAGGGCAGCTTGCCGTAGAGGCGGAAGAGACGCTGCTCCTCGGGGGTGAGTGACTATCAGGCGGGGAGCATGACGTTAGCAAGAGGTTGAATAAGCTCGGTGTCGTGTCGGTGTGGGAGTTTCGAAGATGGAATGGTGTTTGACGGGTATGGAGGTGGGATATCGTAGGCATCGAGTCATGAATAGAGGGGAGCTCAAGTCGCCTGAGGTTCGTTTCCAAGGGCAGCTTACCTTGACGTCGACCTTGTTCTTCTGGTGAGGGTTCATGGCGAAGGTTGTAGTGCTGATACGCCCAAGCGGATGTGTACGAAGGTCGAGGGACAAAGGGTGCAGTGCGCTACTCTGCTCTTTGGCTCCTTTGGTATTTTGATGTACTGGTACTGACTGTCGTTTTGAAGGGATCAAGTTCCGAGACTGGCGGGGGAATTTGCTGGAGCCACAGGGTCGCAGGTCGTCGGTAGGGGATCGTGCCTGATTGGGGGACTGAAGGAGCAGTTGGGTATGATGTAGCTGAGAGCCCGAGAGGTTATAGTGGGGTCGGGTTACATGGATGCCCGCTTGATGTGCTGTTGCTGAGCCTGTGTATGAAGATAGCGAGGGGGCTGTTTAGGCGTATACACGTCATAAGTACATGGGCTGAAACACTCTGGTGAAGGTGTTTCATACAGGCTGTGTGGTATGGTATATTCAATTACTTTCAATCTTTTCTCTCTATATTTATTAAGAGTTTGTGTGAGACTGTGGACATCAACAAGGTTTTTCTTGCCTTGTCAAGCGGGGTCCATCGATTGGGCTTTCTCTGCTTGTTAAATCGGCCAATATCAGCATGATTTGGGCTTTTCATTTACATGGATAATTAGGTGCCAAAGGTGAATACCTACCTACCTAGGGCCGGTCATGGTATACGAGGTGGCACGATATCATCAGGCAAATAGCCAGCAATGTAAGAGACACGTATGGCGTGAATTAACGTTGTCAAATCTTCATTTCAGGCCTTGAGCTAACCCATACTTTTTATATTCCTTGCAGTGTTGATTCCATACAAAGTACGGACAGTTGTTGATGCCCTGTGGATATGAAAGCAGTTGTCAAGACCAGGGTTTGCTCGTGAGTCAAACGAGGAGCCACTTGAGCAGCTAGAACCCTAACCTAGAAAGTTACATTATCCTGTTATCATGTCTGGGTTGATAACTGAGAGCGCGAGTCCAGTACCAGACAGAGTTTGTGGTTGACTGGCTTACTTCGCCTCGATAAGAGCATCGAGGGTGTCTTAAGTTGGGGGTGCTTCATCGCTCACATGGCATTCTTTCTAGCGTTATTTAGCCATCCATTAATGTTGTTTGATGATTGAGCTAGGAACGGAAGCCAAAGCCAGCACCAAACACACTTTGCTCCTCTCGGCATTCCATCTCCGGCTGATTTTTCGTTGCGTGTTGCACCGTGTGTCCGTCTTGTTATCTTGTTATCAGCGTTGACGTTTCTTACATGCATATAGTTACTTTGTCACCAAGCTCCCTCCAACTTTATCACTTTTAGACCTTCTGCTGCTTATACTGGCTGAGAAATCATAGCTTGCTGTTGCGTCGTTCTTTGCCCAAGCAATTGCCTAGGCACTGCAATGCTGATCCCCCAAGCGAGGAATCAATGAGGCACACGGCGCCTGTTAGCTTTTGCTTTGAAGCTTGGAGGGATGTCGGCTACGGTACTGATCGTCACCCTTACGATAGAGTTCGGCGTGTTGGTTCACACCGGAAGCTTGAATGCACCCCACAAGCCGGCGGCGTTGACTGCGGCTGCTGGTCCTCGGGTGCTAATGCAGAGATCCGGTGGGTGGAGTGGAAGTCCAGATTGCCATCCGGTTCTCTCGAGACTCTACTGTCGTACTTGAAGAGTATCAGTGGCTTGTGCTATACTTTCCTGCTTGTGAGGGAGCTGATGAATAGAAAGCCGGTATCAGACCTGGCACTTCGTCTGTCGGCAGTTGATCAATTCCAGACGACTTTGGTATTGAAGCATGACCTTGAACGCTGATATCCAAGTCTCATGCGATTGCTAGTACTCGTCTTGCTGTGCTAGCCGGGCTATGTGAAAGCTGGCTTACACTGGCCTCAAAATTTGGGATTCATTGTTCATTTCTACATACCTAAGATCCCGAAGTTCTTGATTACCACTATTCCAATTGCCATTCACTGTGGCCAATAGGCCAGGAAATAAGTTCGAGTTATCTTCTCTTGAACAGTAAAATCCGGTCTCGTTATGCCAGCTAGACCAGCTCTAGCCAATACTACATTCGCCAAGTGCACCCATAACTTCTCACTGTAGCATCGTTTCCGCGTGCTAGTTGCACTTTGTTGGCTACAGTTAGTGCCGCATGACTAGGAAGATACTACGCAGTAGGACTTGCACTCGGTTGGCTCCAATGACGACCACTACGTTGGAAAGGGGAGGGAGCGACAGTTTGCAACGCTCTAGACCAGGCCTGGTTTTCAGCTGGGAGAGAGAAGTGTTGTCAATTGTTGGCTCTGAGATGTGCCTTATTTCTTAGAGGAGGGGTATTCCTTTGCCCGTTCCGCTTTGTGTGATTGGTGTTTGCTTAATGGGGTGATGATCTTGGATTGATTGATTAATCGACTCACTTCACTAAGCCTTCCCACGAACGAGTGACTCGGTAAGCTCATGGCATCAAACGGGCATAGCTCGGGAATGTTATTTCTGAAATAGGAATATGGAACTTGCAGAGTCCAATCAGTCTGTGGCGGCAACTCTGGGTGAGATGTTTGTTTCACGTGTATCCTTGTTTTGTTCTGGAACAAGTGTTGGAACAAATGCTGTGCTATATATCCAGTACCTAGGTAGCCAGACTACATACAGCCATGGCTACGCTGTTAATGACATAATAATATATGTCTTTGTCATCGTTTATATGCCAGGTAGATATCGTCTAATGCTGTCATTGCCATATGTCTGTAGTATTACATTATCTCGGTTGTTCCGTTGCATATACAACACTCTTCTATTAATTCATATATTCCGACATGGTTACTACCGATATGTGGGTTTACGCATGACCAGCTGCATGAATGGTGTTGTTTGCTTAGCAATTCGCGGTTGCTATTGTAATCAGTGCGGATATCGGTCACACAAAGAAGACACTTGATAAGCCCCAGGTCACGTAGGGTGTCCAGTAAGGCTTATGAAGATATTAACATGTATGAAAGGATTGAAACAGATAAGAAGCATATCAACAAACACTTCAAAAACAACAGCATCATTAGGAATTGGGTCACAGTACAGCATCTTATATCTTGTGAGAGTTGCTTACCCTGAACCTGTATCTATACCGGGCAAATTTGCCGGAGACCATGGTTACTTGAGCCTGTTGCAGCTAGCGCGGATGGCATCATCTAGACCTGGTCCGATTTGACATATGAATCGATTTCTAAGCAGAAAATGCGCTTAGCATCGCAAACGTAACGCAGCACCTAAGGAAGTAGAAAACCGAAAACAACAACAGAAGATCGTGATGAAATGATAAGCAACTGAGCTAGAAGTGAATTTGCGTTGTTCCCACTGGAGGAGCCCCTGAAGTTTCCACCTCAACCAACCAAAACCACTGCCTTTGGCTACAATCAGCGCAGAAAGATACCTAGACTCTGGGGCAGTTGCTTCGGCGCTTCTTTCTACTTTAACTTGTCAACGGGCAACTCAAGTCTCACCTGCCAGAAAAGAACTGGATTAAACCTGATAATAACTCGCATTATTAAGGTCTTCTCTCTTCTTCTCCTCTATTATATCCCCTCCCTCCAAACTTCCCCGGGCTACTGATCGACACGGGCCGTTGCTTTTTTGACGTCTTTGACGACCCAGACTTTTTTTATTTTACTTTTTTTTTTCTGGATACGCTCCGGGCCGTCGGCCAATTTGCCATTGTCTTTGCGACGGAGCGAGACACACTCAAAGAACAACGAATCTCGGCAGACTGGTTGGATAGTTGCCCTTTTCTACGTATCGAGTATACAATTCGAGAGGCGATTGCTTTCCTGCATCAACACAGAAAACCTCCGGCATCGCAGCTAGACCTTTCGCTTTGCGTCTACCTCCGAGGTAGTGTCCCATTATCCAGTGTCCACCCACCGGCTTCGCCTTTAAAGAGTTCCGCTTCTCCTCTACTCTACTTACAAAAAGACCAATCTCTATCGTACACGATACCATTGGCAGATCGACCTCAGTCAAATCAGGCGATTTTATCCGACTCCCATTACCCGGTTTCGTCATTTTGGACAAATCTTTCCGAATACCGATCACACCTTTAATTAAGGTGGGCGCGTTTAAGCGACCAACCAGACTCTGGACGCCAACTTCTGTTCCGAAAATTCCATCTTCAACCCGCTTTGAGTTACTTTTTGTCATAGAAAAGCCTGCCTTTCTCTCACTATGGGTCTTCTGTAAGTCTATCTTATACTCAAAACCTAATACTCTCAAGAGTCATTAACCGACTTGACCTCAGAGCCTTGGGAACTGCCCTCGATTGGCCTGATGCCAAGAAGCGCGCCCCTCAAGTAAGAGAATGGGGTATCAAGGTACGTTCCTCACTCACCACCCTCACCCTTGATCATTTTGCATCTTTTATGCAATGAAACTTTCAAACAGTGAAAAAAACCAGACGCAGATCACTGACATTGTTTGATGTCCATAGCAACTCCTTGAAATATGGAATAAAGCTAAGGGCAAGGAGCGCGACGCTCTCCTCTGGGGTGACGAGGTAAGTTGTAACTGCAACAAATCTAAATCGGTCTGCTAACAGATTGACTAGGTTGAGTACCTTGTTGTGGTCTACTCGGAGGACAACCAGCGAGTGCTGTTGTCTCTCCGCCAAGCAGAGATTCTTGAGGCATTAGCTGCCGATAAAGACCTCAAGAAGCAGGGTGGCTGTATTCCGGACCTTCAAGATGCGAGTGCGGCGTCTGACACGAAAAAAACGTACATAAAACAAAATATACCCTGATATTATGATCAACCTGCTGACTATCTGCCAGAGAGAGAACCATTCCTGTATTCCACCCCGAGTTTGGTCGGTTCATGTTAGAAGCAACTCCGGGTAAGCCTTGGGGTATCGGCTTTAAGGAGCTCCTCGACGTGGAACCGGACATGAAGCTGCGAAGGAAGATTGCAAAAGAACACATGCTCTCCACAGAATATCCTATCACACTGACCACCTACCCTCAAATCGGCGCTCCTGGGCAATTTACCGACCCCTACTTCCCACCCTCAGGGCCCCGTCTCCGTTCGCAATTTGTTCCGGATGAGATCGCCAACCCTCACATCAGATTCCCAACCCTAGCAGCCAATATTCGTTCTCGAAGGGGTCGCAAGGTTCAGGTCAATGTTCCTATCTATCACGACAAGAACACCCCGAAACCCTGGAAGGATCCCACTGTCGACTTTGATAAGCATGACTGGCCGGAAGATGACGATGTGCGGAACGGAGCTGCCCCTGATGACTTCATCCACATGGATGCAATGGCCTTCGGAATGGGCAGTTGCTGTCTCCAGATCACTTTCCAAGCCAAGAATATCACCGAAGGAAGAATGCTTTACGACCAGCTCAGCCCACTGGGTCCCATCATGCTGGCCTTGACCGCCGCCACACCCGTCTATAAGGGGTTCCTTGCCAACACCGATGTGCGGTGGAACCAGATCAGCCGCTCTGTTGACTGCAGAACACCCGAGGAATTAGGTGAAAAGGTACGTGTCTGCTTCATACTCGACTTCGATGGATATAACTCACACACTAGTTTAGCCTCTGACTGAAGGGGTTCGAAGGATACCCAAGTCACGATATGCATCAAACTCGACATATATCGCCATCGATCCGCGATTGAGGAACGAGTACCTCGACCCTGATCTGGTCTATGACTCAGATATCAAACGACAACTCCTTGAGGGCGGTATGGACGATCGCCTGGCAACTCATTTTGCCCATCTCTTCATTCGAGACCCTATTGTCGTCTTTGAAGAAGACCTTCAGGAGCTAGACCTGAGCAAGACAGATCACTTTGAGAACATTCAGTCCACTAACTGGCAGCACATGCGCTTTAAGCCTCCGCCTGCCGACAACAGCATCGGCTGGCGAGTCGAGTTCCGTTCCATGGAGATTCAGATCACGGATTTTGAGAATGCTGCTTTCTCCGTCTTTATGGTTCTGGTGACACGCGCGATCCTGTCTTTTGACCTCAACTTCTACATCCCCATCAAGAAGGTCGACGAGAACATGGAGCGCGCGCATGAGGTGGATGCTGTTTTGAAGGAAAAGTTCTACTTCCGACGCAATCCTTTCCCCAGCCGCCCCTCGAGAGCCAACACTACATTCGGTGACGATAGCCGGCCAGGATCAGCCCATCCCAGTCGGCCGGCTTCCCCTGGCGGTCTTGTAGAGCACGAGTTTGAAGAGATGACTGTGAACGACATAATCAATGGATCAGAGTCGGGCGAATTTCCCGGCCTAATCCCTATCGTCGAGAGCTATCTTGACAGCGTCAACGTCGATGTATCAACTCGATGCCATCTGTCGACGTATCTCGACCTGATTTCTAGACGAGCCCGAGGAGACCTCGACACCACAGCCCGATGGATCCGCAATTTCATTGATGTGCACCCCAAGTACAAGCACGACAGTGTCGTAAACGACGAGATCAACCACGACCTTATCGGCGCTGTGATTGCCATCGGCGAGCGAGAGACGGCTGGCCGCAACTTTGCAGGTCTCGGCATCCATGGCCTAGAGCGTTTGCTGAACGGCTTCCGCGGAGGATGCGGCGGCGGAGGCAACACCTCTAACGGAGACGCCAACGGAGCCGAGACGGAGGCCATCAACGGCTCACTCAAGCGTAAGAGCGAGTGGATCGAGGGCCAAGAGACGGCACCATGAAGAAGAGAAGGGGAGTACAGCAACACAATTGGGTCGGAGTTTTTGGTCCCGGTTTTCTTTTAATCTATATGGATGTACCTAGAAAGAGAAGAGTACAACTCCTCAACGAGTGGTTTAGGATATACTGCCCTGGCAAGCTCCATTGAGACACGGCACGGCGGTTGCCAATATGCTATTAGGCAACTGGCCGAGGCACTACCAGCAGAAAGATATATAGACACACATGCTCAAGTTCATGGTCGGCGGGGTGATATCTCAATCACGTTCCCAAGAGTCCTGAGTCGTTTGACGCTGTGTCATAAAAGTCAAAGTCAAACGAGAAAACATGAATATAGTGGGCAGTCCTGGGCAGAGTTTACAACCACACAGAAACGAAAAGCTTGACCATGACTTTACCCTTTACCACCGACTACTGAGGGGGGCCTGACGATCATGTAACCTCATACTTGGCAACACGATCGATCTGTCAAGTTCTCAGGCGGGATTTGTCCCATCCGTGCCCTCGGAGCTTTATCTCAGGCCTGAGACGCGATTCCCGGCGCATCCCTGCAGTCTGCAGCCTGCAAGTCAGCACAGCGAGGCTTGCGAGGGTTTCTTGTACCAATCTACCGCCCATGGCTGGCTCAAGGGAATTCTTAACCGTGCCGTACCGTGCCCACGCCGGGTTATATATGGAGTAGTATACGGCGAATGCGCCCACAACGCCTCCCTCCGCGGCCGCTCGCTTCTAGAAAGAAAGACACAGTTCTAGGTTGTTGTTATTGTTTTTTGCTTTCTTGGCTGTGGAGGATCGCGGTTCAGGGTGTCACCTCTTTGTGGTTGGAATTCTCGTAAAGACTAAAAATGACTATTTGGCGGGAATTAGACTACGGTAGTGAAAGAAGGTTTGCTAATGGCATTTGACATGGAGTATGAAATGGATGACATAGGCAGGGTGTTTGACCGGTTGCCTGACTTGGAGACCGGTGTGATGCCCTTCAGCGTCCGGTATTGAGTGTTGAACATGTCGATAATGACAAGTCTGTTATGTCTAGTATTATGTATGAGGCTGTACTCTGTATGTATGTAAGATTATATTTGCTTTTTCCGGTCTTGCCCCCCTTGGCGAGCATATCCACGACGATCTGTACGGATAGCATGTGGATTGCTTAGCCTTGAGCTAAAGCATGTGCAGACTGCAGACTGCAAACAATGCGGCATAATCACAAAAGGGGGGAGGGGGCAAGGGAGTAGAATATGTCTTGCAATGAGATTGTTGAACGGTGAAATGATCATGTGAGCGCTAGAGCCAGAACCAGAGCCAGAGCCAGAGACAGCGGCCGTCAACCCGGTGGCTGATGCCGATCCTAGGTCTGCTCGGGGCCGAGGCGGGCGACTTTTCAAAGGCCGACACCGGGTCCGGAGGCCGGAGGATGAAGAGAGCGGCTGCAGCTGCAACCACAACTACAGGCACAACTACAACTGCAGCCAAGACGGCTGATAAACAACGGGTTATCGATTTGTTTGCACTTCATAGTATCAACATGAGTTGTTATTCACGTTGACTCAGTGGCAGTTATTTCTTACCACCGTACACTAAAACATACTAAGCTATGAGTGATTGATTAGATACCTCCAAAGCGTCTACTGCCAGAACGCTGATCTTTACCTTTGACTGTTGGCATGATCCACCCCTGCCTCGAAACTAATGCAACTAAAAGGTTTAGCATAAACGGTGACCAACAATGTCTGTTCACAGGCAGGCGGGCAGACAGGCGGGCAGGCACCGTTGTGGAGTTGACTCGGAACTGAAGGCGATGGGAATACAGGGAATCGACGAATATACTTGCATATCCGTACTCCGTACTACTTCGTACATGATAGTATCCAGAATCCTTCTCTCGGGTAGTGAGACGAGGAGATATACCCTCCAATTAGAACGACATGCTTTGTCTCACAGCTGAGACCTCGACACTAGCCAAAGTCTCAAGCCTTCTTTTCTTCTGATGTACGTAGTGCAGTACATACAAAGCACACGCCCAGCAATTGCCGAAAGCAAGCCGCCATTCCAAACTGGGCATGACTCTCAGACACTGAGGTCGATCTTCAGACAGATCTTGCTTTGACAGGATCGAAAAGAGCTGACTAGTCGTATGACACGATGCTACGGTAAACTACACTCTTGCATAGACTACTACTACGCCGACTGGTCGACTGCCTGCAGAGGGGGAGTCGGCCGATTACGAGTCAAAATATGCCCAATTTAGTAGGTAATTCGTGCCGTCTTTTTGTGTGATTCACTGTCTTTGATCAGGAACTTTGGAGCGTAAGGAGAGAGACAGCGCAAGAGTCATGTTCCCCAGTATGTGGCTTTGCCGGTGTGACGGCTTCAGGTTAGGCTCACAGACACGTTTCTGAACTGAGTTTGTTAGTCGCTGTTAATGTTTCTTGAAGAAACGGGTTTCTTTCTGGAGATGGAAGTGGAAAGGTCTGCGGAGTATACTACGTACGGCAGTCATGGCCAGACAGAGACGTAACTCGGCAGTTCCATTGTGATGCGAATAGCAGTTATTGGAGTGGTTATAAAAAACCCGTGTTGTTGGTGATGCAGATGTAAGTCCATGAGACAGTTTCGAGAGCTTCTATCATATCATGTTCGTTCCCCGAAACAAAACTCATAGCAAACAAAGCAAAATTAAGCAAAACAAAACAAAATAAAATAAATGGATATCCAAAAACCCTCAGCAAATAAACAAGACCCCTAATTCCACTGCCATGCAACGTTGAAATGCAAGGGGTAAACAAAACCCACGAGGCTGTCTTAGTTCTATCACATTCCTCTTATGCCTCCCTCGCATCACCATGATTCAGACTCCTCGTGCTTACCACGCTGAGTGACATTCTTCGATCGAGCCAAATATACGACCCTCTCAAGGGGCAAACAGAGAGACCATAGACCAGGGCCCTTTCTTTGGCTTGCTTTGACTTGCTTTGACTTGCTTTGGGGGGTGGACTCCCACGTGGCGGTCAACAATTCTGAATGGTACAAATTATGGTAGCTTTTTTTGTTTGGAATGACGGCTGCGAGAGATTGAATAATAGTGACGTGATAAAGAGTTGAAGTGTTGAAGACGGTATCTTGGTTGATATGTCATCAACATGTGAACGAGAGAGTTTTAACCTAGAGTAACTGACATTGAAATTGGTAGAACAGGACAGAGATAGAGGCGAATATTACGATTATTCTGTAATACTTTTTGTTTCTTTTGGAATGCAGTAAAAGGCATAGCCGGTTCGCGTTCATAACCTGTTGATCTACTGCATAGTCACTAGTGAAGCTGCTGACAGTGACAGTATTATACTCCTGTTTCACCTACCCTATACATGGAACTCTCTGATCACCAGAACCTCAATTAGCTGAAACCAATATATAGAAAACGACAGGTGATGGCTAAGCTGTGATGATAAGTGAGGCAATAATAGACATGTCACATTTAGACAAGCATTGCCATATTCTTTCCGAATTCTTCGTCATTGTCGACTGGGGTCAAGCGGCCATGGTCTGATAATGGATTTCAATTCTACCATGTCACAGCACGTCAACGTTCAAAGAGGTTTGCGAACCAATACAAAATCAACCGATATCACACCAGTTGAAACAGATCTTAGATGCCCCGCGCGCGGGACGGGTAAGCAGACAATATGTTAGGTTGCCCACTCAAAGGGCAGAGGAAGGGCCGAGTTGAGAGACCTCAAGTCAGATCCTATCCTCATTCATGTTCCCATCGCGATCTTGCATGACAAGGGGGCACAGAGGCAAAACTTGGCCAATCGTGCATTTATTTCATGGTTCAAAAGGTGGAGTAAACCTCGAAAGAGACGAGCAAAAACAATGTGACTCTACAGACACCTGTAGCTTAAGTCAACCGTGCTTTCGATTTCGATTCTGATTCAAAGACATAGAACCATGAGAAACATGATTGTCCTAGGCACGCCGTATACAGGGCCAATCTGGCATCTCGTAAGCCTCACCTCGTTCAAGACAGATTTAGAGCATGAGCATGGTCATGGTCATGGTCATGGTCATGGTCATGGTCATGGTCATGGTCATGGTCATGGTCACAGTCATGGTACGTAGACAAGTCCGAGCGCCATGTACTGCTCGGAAACTCACTACCGATGTAGCATAGTTTGGTTTGACTTTGGACCAGAAAACCAATCTCAGCTCAGCTTCAAGCCTTCAAACTCCCCTGGGCTCAGGCACAAAGCTTGTACCAAGTATCGCTAGCTTCCATAGAAGCTTGGCGGCGTGCTCTAATTTCTTCTAGAGTATCCATATCCTTTGGTCCGCCGTAGTAGTAGAGTCAGTACTCAGTAATTAGCCTGCGCGATCTGAGCACTGAATCATAAGACCCTGGATTGGGGCCCGCTGTCTCAACTATGCAAGTTGAATCTCCCATTCCACTCACCCTGGCTGGTCAAGGACTCTTCTAGCGTTGTCAACGATTGTTTCCTAACAACACCAGCGGCGGTGAGTGAAGCCCAAACCCCAGACCCAGACCCAGCCCCTGCTATTCAACTTGAGCCAGCTGATGGGATCTGAGATAGGGTTGTGGGCTTGGGCACCGACCAAGAAATCTCAACTGGACTGAAACAAGCCAACCACGAGACCCGGAACCAATGATCGACAAAGCCACCCCAAGGAAACTATATCAATTCGGGGTCCTGGGGTTATGGAGTTATGACCGGTATCGACGCCATGGTCAGTGCCTTGCCCCAACTGGCAGTCCGGATCGTCAATAGTTTCGGGCGAGTCGCGTTAAACAGAATATAATGCCACATACGAGATCCACGCGAGACTCTCCCATTTAACGGGAAGCAAGCCAGCCGAGACTCATTTGCATAAGATACAGATGCTAGCCGTGATCACAGCTTGCCCTTGCCACCCGTCTGGACCCCATTAGACGCGAACTTCAGTTTCACCCCTCCGCTGCGAGATCCAGCATGACTAGAATAGTATC